ATAAGTTGATTTATAAACTGGTTGAATTCAGTGGTAGTTTTTCCAATAAATAAAGAAATTAAAGATATATTTGTAAGTCTACTGTTGTGACTATATCTTCCCTAGGCCTTACTGAATCTAGTGGTGGTTATTAATATTATAGTTGTTAGCAGATTTAGTCTTTTACCTCTTGTCTTCTAATTAATTTTATAATTTTATAATCAACTTCTACAGCTGCAGAATATCTGTAAGGGTCAGCTAGTTTAGCTTCTTTATTTAAGTGTGCGATATGTTGCTCTTGTAGATAAGCATGTTAAGGTTCTTATTACTTATATCATCATACCCTGGGCAAAGAGACTAGGAGATAGAGCAGAAATATATATTTCACATAGCTCTAAAGAACAAGCCGCCTTAGACCACCAGGCCCTTATTTATAATTGGGGCTAAACTAAGGAAGATAATAAGCTTATTATATACTCAGATGGCTCCCAACCAACTAAAAGGTCTAATGGGACAGGATTTATCTCTAATGCCTTCTTCACTAGCTGTCAGGGCCCTTGCCATGTACCACCTTCTGAACCTAATATAGAACTTTGAAATATTATATTTTATCTTTTAAACTAATTAATGGTCCTGCTGCATTCTAGAGATTTATTAATAAAATTCTTATAAACTATCTAGATTATTTTATTACTGGATATATAGATAACCTCTTAATCTATAGTCAGAATAAGGAGGAACACATAGAATATATAAAGAAGGTCTTAAAATATTTTCACAGTGTTAGATTATAGGCAAGTATTAAAAAATATAAATTCTATATTATATATATAAAGTATCTTAGCTTTATCCTAACTACAGAAGGTATAGAGGTTGATTCAGAGAAAATAGCAGTAATCTAAGGTTAGAAGACTTTTAATATAGTATAAAGGGTCTAATTATTTCTAAGATTCTATAATTTTTATAAGAAATTTATAAAAGACTACAGCTAGATATCTAAACCCTTTTATAAATTTATTAAAAGGAATGTCTCTTTTAATTAAGATAAGAATTGTGAAAATATCTTTAAGAATCTAAAAGAACAGCTTTTTAACACCCTTATTCTACATTACTACTATCTAGACCTTAAAACTAAATTAGAGGCAGACACCTTAAATAATATAATAATAGGAGTCCTATCATAGAAATATAATAACTAGTAGTACCTAGTAATATATTACTTTATGAGTATATTAGCTGCTGAAAAAAATTATAAGATTTATAATAAAGAACTATTAGCAATTATACAAAATTTGTAAAAATAATAAGTAGAATTAAAAGAATTCTAACTATAAAAATAGTTTAGCATCTTTACTGATTATAAGACTCTTGAATACTTTATATCAATAAAAAAACTAAATATTAAATAAGCCTATTGGGCTAAGTTCCTATCATAATTTTATTTCTTAATTTAATATTATCTTAAAAAACAGAATATATTTATTAATACTCTTAGTCACTCCTAAAAAAGTCTAGATACTCCAGACTGCAACTATCAATTCTAGATCCTCTTAAAGCTAGACTTCTTAGAACCCCAAGTTTATAAAGAGATTAGTTTATCCCCTATCAATCCTCAGATTCACATTATCAATTAGATCCTCTAAATGAATTAAGAGTCCCCTAAGCTAGAAGAATACTAAATAAAGATAAAAACTAATTAAGATAGACTATAAGAGTTAAAGGATAGCCTACTGCTCTAAAATAATTATTTAATAATCTTAAGTAATGATTTAACCCTACATACACACTTTTTAAATAAAGTTTATGGGTAAATATCCACAGTGTATTTTAGATAAATAAAGATTTAACAGCTAGTACAGGCTTAATATTACTAGCCTAGCTAATATTGAGATATTAAATAATATATATAGAACTATGTCAAATACTAAAGAGCTAAAAATTTTTAAGATAAAAAGCCTAGATTACTATAGCTATTATTAATACCTAATCACCTTTAGCAGCATATCTTTATAGACTTTCACTCTTTCTTTAAAAATAGGAATAGATTTGATGCAACTTTAATATTTATAGACTGACTTAGCAAATACCTTATTAATATCTTCTATTATAAAGAAACCACTGTAGAACAAATGGCATAACTATTTATTAAATATATATATTATTAATAAGAGCCCCCTGACAGTGCTATATCTGATTAGGGCCTTTAATTTATTTTTATCTTTTAAAAGGTATTCTGCTGAATCTTAAGAATTAAACTAAAATTCTCTACCCCTTATTATACAGAGACAGATAGGCAAACAGAAATAATTAATTAATATATTATAATACACCTGTGACCTTTTATCAATCACTATTAGGATAATTAGTCTAAATTCCTATCTCTGATTAACTTCACTGCTGCAACTTTTCCCTCTGAAATTACTTTAGCCTCTCCTTTTCTTATTGATTGCAGATATGAACCCCAAATCTTATTTAACTAGACTAGTCTCATAACCCTTATCTCACAGAATAAGAGGGTTAGCAAGGAATAAGCTAAGAGAATGATAAAGCAGATATAGAAAATATGGCTAGCAGCAAAGGAAAATACTATAGCTGTCTAAAAATATTAGAAGATTTAGGTAGATTATCACTGCTAGAAAGTGGACTTTAGAGTTAAGGATTCAGTTTAGCTGTCCTTAAAGGCATATAGAACAAGTTGACCTAGCAAGAAGCTGGATAGCCAGATAATAGGACCCTTCTGAATTTTAGAAAAGATAGGTCACTCCTACTGATTAGAGCTTCCTAAATCTATGAAGATCCATCTGATATTCTTACTTGATAAGCTGCGCTGAGCTGCAGATGATCCTCTCCTAAGATAACAGATTAAGCTCTTAGAGCCTGTAATTATCAATGGAGAGTAAGAATAGGAAGTTGAAAAGATACTGACATCACAACTCAACAAATAGAAACTCCAATATCAGATTAAATAGATAGGCTATGATGAAGACAACACATGGTATCCTGCCCAAAATTTCAAGGGATCCCCTTATCAATTGTGAGACTCATACAGTATATTCTTCCCACCCTAGACTACCACAGCATTTGAATGAATGGCTGAAGGCCTGGGAGAATGATAATGACCTACCAGATCACAGAGATGACAACTTACCAGCTTGAGGGCTAGGGACAGCCCTCTTAAAGAGGGGGGTAATGTCAGGGCTCTTGCCATGTAGACCAGGACGAGCATGTGAGCTTCCTTACTTGGATTAGCGTGGCATGTGGATAGGAGTACGTCGTCCAGCTTCACGTAGATCTCTTCCTTTTTCCTTCCTCTCCATGCTTGAAGTTCTGGTCGATAGCTGCCTAGATAGCTGAATAGCATCCTATTCATCGTCTAGTTGAGTTCCGTGACAGTGGCCACTCATTTACAGTGGCCGCTCGCTTACCGGATACGTTAATATTTATTATATAAGCAATTTCTCTTATAATTTTGTCAATTTTGATCTGCTATTGGGCTTATTATAGCAATATTGATGTCCTTAGAGTCTCTTTTAGAGGGTCAACTTAAGAACATTATAGACTGATGCTGCTTTTTGTATAGATTAAATCTGATTTTTTTTAAAGTTTAGATTATTAATAAGATTCTGCCCTCTTACTCAGCACATTTTTTTGATGATTTAGGCTTTTTTGGTGGCATGGTGGGTGTTCAAATAATATTGATTTTGACAGGGTGGAAGAAGCTCATAGGGTGGCCGGGTCGATAGGGAATTACGTTAGTTGTTTAAAAAGTAATTTATCTTTAATTTCAGTCAGTCTATGGCTATTGGCATGTCTTTCTGATCTTAATTTTAAACTATCAAGCTGATTATGTAGAGTATTTTTAGGGATTGCAAAAACTTGAGCAGTATATAATATTAATTTAATTTGGCTTTTCTGATAGGCTGAAATAGCCATCTGAATATGTGACTCTTTAGAAGGAAGCATATTGCAGTATAGTCATGAAGATTTGACATATTAAATAGAGAGAGAGTAGAAACTGGGTTGAAATCTGCGGTTCGGGGGTTGATTACGTTATGAATCTGCTTCTTTATCAAGAGATTAAGACTTTATAGGCAGAGAATAAGCAGAAGATGAAGAAGAGGGCATATAAGCATAGTAATCTAGGCTAAGATACCATGCTACCTGTACAAAAAGGCCAGGAGTGTGTTCAATAGCTTGATATAGTAGGTGAAGCACAGGTTGAAGCTGATATTTAAAGGCCACATGTTACGCCCTGGGATCCTTCGTACCTCTGTATCGTTAGCTTGGGCTTCCGGTTGGCTTGACTTACCTGATTCTCTGGAACCGGCGACAACGCTGTTGTATCGTATAGGCCTCGTGCCACGGTGTCTTGACGATAACTCCGAAGGGTTCTCAAAGAGGTAGAAGAAAGCAAGGCTCCCTTGGTACATATACCCTAGGATTATAGAAGTACTGACTAATACAGACCTCCAAGTTGATACTTCAGTAACAATGGTAAGATTGAACGCGAAGAGAGAAAGATCAAACTAGATACATGGTGGTCAATGACAGTCCTTATATAACTCCCTCGTCATCTCCTATGACCTGCTCGGTTCATCCCCATGGACCTGTTGAGTCACGTGACATATCATATCAGCCTAACGCCTCACTTTGTGCATATCCTCACTGTACCGATAGGCTGTTGTGTAACCATCCTAGTAAGGTCCGTAACACCACATCAATGAGCTCCACCATACTGCAGTGGCTGTTGGACTATTGAACATATTAAGAGAAATGTACTAGTAAATAGCAGTATAGCAGTATACAGTATATAGTCTAATTTAATAGTGTTGGGCGTTTAAAGACTTCAAGATTGTGGTTGTGGTAGTCGCGGAGAAAACGCGCCACTCGCCCGTGCGCGCTGCTCGGCCGTGGATTACGTTATAAGCAATTACCCAATATAAGCAACTGAAGGGCCTGGCTAATTAGGTGTTTTACTGTACTGTTACATCCCATATATTCTAGTTTTCGCAATAACAAGTGGGTCCTCTACAAATGGAAAAATTGATATTCCAGCCGAAATTTGAAGGTCCCCGTAATGTTGACCTCAGCTATGTCCTGTTGGGGAACTGCCAGTCTGCCACACCATGTGACCCATTTGTCTAATCGTCTCGATGCTTAATATAATACATAACCAGAGTTATTGCATTACCATACGAAGTAGATAGAGCTCTACAGGAAGAATACCGTCCCACAGCCTGGAAATTCCAACCTACGCGGCATCCCACAGGAGATGGCACAGGTTGAGAAGCGGAAGCGCGACATATCAGTCATCAATGGCGATACGGACGATGGAAGCTGTAGCGAACGCCCGACAGCTTCTAGTAACAAAAGAACAAGAATGATCGGACCATCTTTACCCTCCACAACAGATGATTTTAGTGAGGACAAAGGGATTGGGAGAGAAACAGATAGTGATGATGACATTGGTCCGAGGCAACCCTTCACAGATGCCATACCGCCCGAGAAAATAACTGGTCAAGAAACTCCTAGCGTACCGCTTGAGCCTCCTCGTGATAAGGAGGAGTCTGCTTGTGACGGGGTTCGACGTGATGAATGGATGATTCGACCTCCAGGCTCAGCAGATTGGACTACCAAAATTGACCCAACCAAGCTACGTAATCGCCGGTTTCAATCGGGAAGATATGCCAACCGTTCATCTGGCCAAGATGGACCAGACAAATCGTGGACTGAGTCTCCGGGGGAAAAGATAAAGCGACTACAGGATAAGGTAATGGGAATTACCACACCTGGCCCAGAGAATCAACCGAAAATCACAAGGCCCAGTGGAATGTTAGAGAGAAAGTCGCAAAAACACAATGTAAGCTCCCATGGAATTAGGTTTCCGATTCTTTCTAACCTATTTTTTTAGGATGCCTCGACGAAGAGAGGATCTCTATATAGGGACTTGCACGGTCAATCCAGAGAGAAGATGAAGGATGACCAAGTGCGCACTTTTGATCGGGAAACAGATATGGCTCTTGCTTCCAGACTGTCCGATGCTCAACGTCAGGAAGTGCTCGACAAAGCCTCTGAATTTGGATCCCGTTTCACGAAGGGCAACTTTCTCTAGTATAGTGGAACCATACTTGGGAAGGGGAAAAAAGGGAGCAGAGAGTTAACTACCCTACTCTGTACATTATGCTTCCATATGGGCTTTAGCGTTGTTATAAATGTGATATGAATATTTCCACTGTAGCATGATTCCTCTACCCTATTACCAATAATAAAAAGTGAAGACTATGTAATCTAGTCCACTTCCTGGGAGAATTATAAAGAGGTTTGAGGATAAATATCCCTGTGACTATATACAACAACCTGGCCTGAGCTCTGTCTAGTACTGGGCTACAGAGGAAAACAACTAGGATTGATTGATTTGTTATTTAACGTCTGATGGGCACATGCCCAAGATTCCGGAACGGAACATAAGATAGTCGAAGCTAACTCGGCTGGCTAGGGGTGGTTTAGTTACCGAAGAGCACCGGCCCGCGCGGGAAGATGCTAATAGTCCTCCAATACTAGAATTCTCCTCAAATAGCAAACCATGTCCCAGGTCCCTAATCCTGCGGTGTTGCAGTTCCTTGAAGTAGCCACCTCTTTCAAGTCCATAGAACCCGCTGATGCAAGGGGAAAAATCCCAAACCCCTTTGGGGAAAAGGAAAAACCTCAAGTATTGGTAATGTTTCGATCAAGAGCCAGTGGTCCCTCTCTTGGGGTTCTTGGAGCCCAGGTCGTAGGCTGGCTTGCGAGCCATCATGTGAGTCGCTGGCAGATGAGGCTCGTCTAGCTGACTAGTTGGTAGGCCAGGTCAATCAAGGGTCATCAATATCTGTTCATGTGGAAAGGGGGGGAAGCTGCTTGAACGGGTCAGCATCGACGGGTCCCTGGAGCCGGGGCTCAACAGGAAGGCTGGCGTAACCAAAGCCCACTTTAGCCGCTCTGCTCTTAGCCTTCACCTTTGGTGATGTTACCAGGCTGCATCACGAGGAGGTGGCAGAGTCGGACTTCGCAGCCCGAAAACAACTAATTATGCACTGCAAAGGAAGGAAGCGATCATGTGACAATAGAGATGCTGGATCCATATCAACTTTATTTAAACTTAAACAGTACTCTGTAATAACCTACTGAAGGAGGATGCAAAATGAGTGATCCACAATCACATGGAACTTCAAATCCCATCGTTTTTTTTGATATCACTCTGGGTGGTAAGTCATACCTGGCAATAACTACTATTTCTCCCTCCCAATGGCACTGCAATCCACTGTGGCTTCCCAGTAACTCTTATGATATTCGGTTATCACTTGCACACAGAACACCTTCCTTGTACCGTTTTATGGCTTTTCTGTTTGCACTATTGGGCATTTCATCAGCTCAATGATTGCGATTATTGGATTTCCAGGATATTGTGGAGCTGAGAGATATCATTCACCTTTGTAACAGGTGAGCCTCTGGGTCGTATAAAAATCGAGCTTTTTGCAAATATCACACCATGGACGGCAGAGAACTTTCGCCAATTCTGTACTGGAGAATCTAGAAACTCACAAGGGCGGCCCCAGGGATATAAAAACAGCAAGTTTCACCGAGTGGTATGTCTATTTACACCATGGTATTGGTGATCGCCGGACTAACTGTGAACCAAATAAAGATCAAGGACTTCATGATACAGGGAGGGGATTTCGTCAATGGCGACGGGACCGGGAGCATGTCCATATATGGTACTCCCAAGTTCCGTGATGAGAATTTTACACTAAAGCATGATCGTCCAGGCTTATTGAGCATGGCAGTAAGTTCAAGAGACCATTGGAGCGAAATAGCCACCGAGCCCTGTTAATATTAACCTGGCCACAGAATTCGGGACCAAACTCAAATGGATGTCAATTTTTTATAACTACAACTGCCACACCGTTCTTAAACAATAAACATGTCATATTTGGCCAGGTGATTGATGGGATGGACATTGTTCGGATGATTGAGAATACCCGGACGACAAGAGACAAGCCCAACCAAGATGTGGTCATTGCACAGTGTGGTGAGTTGTGAAACCAACCAAGCTGACACGGGAAGCCTATTTATCTAGACCGAGATAACACAGTTGATTGAAGACCAAAGAAGCAATGTTAGATATTCTTTTACTGGTGAACTTCTCCAGACTACTAGGTCAAAAGAGACATTTATTTGTATTCCAAAGAAAACTATCTAGAAGCTGCCAATATCTCGTGATACATAGCATGGCAGACTCGAAACCTACAACTGGAACTTACTAAGATACTTAGAAGCCAAGGAAAGAGCTTCATCGACCCTATCAGGATTGACCCCATTTCCGATAGAAGTAGGCCCCTTTCCTCCAGCCTTTCCTCCCACGACACCGGATACAACTGCGGCCCAGTCGTTTGCTAAGGCCCCTTGATCGGCTAGCGCCTGCAGCGGTCGTCAGCTATTTTTTTCTAAAATATAAAATAAAACCTGCAGAATACAGGGGGAAGCGGGGGATTACCTTGGAGACGTAGCACCCATGAGCGACACGCCCCTGTCCAGCATGAGCAGCCAGTACGTAGACTGTTTTATCCGGTAGTTTCGACTTGACGTAATTCAACGACTCGCTAACTGCCTTAGCATTTGCTGAAATCGGGAGCTTAGCAACGAGCCACGTCTTATCTTTATTTTTAGCATCCTGAAAGTAAGAAGTTATTGTTTCGAGGGCCATCTTGGATTCGAGTTTCTGCTGAGCCTTCTGTCCGTCGATGACCTGCTTGTTGATGCGGGCCAACCGTTCCCGAAACCTCGTTTTTCGAACTGCAGATATTGAAAGCTGATTAAGCTCCGCCTGCATCTGCTTTGCTTCCTGTTCTTTCTGAGCACCCAGTACCATGGCATCGAGACGGTTTAGACGCTCTTCAAATTCTGTCGCTACCCTTTGTACTTCATGAGCTACCTCACCAGTGACAGCAACGATCCTGCGAATCCCCTTGGCTATGCCATTCTCTTCCACAATTATCAAGTCTTTTATGTCACCAGTTTTTTGGACATGAGTTCCACCACAAAGCTCAACGCTGACTTCGTTCCAGCGAGGATCCTTCACATTTTTCAGTATCTCGTCCAGTTCCACGCCGACAGAGACAACCCGAACAGGATCCGGGTAAGTTTCACCGAAGACAGCTCGAATACCCGCAATCTCTCGAGCAGTGGAGAGAGGGATCTCTTTGGCATATACAGCGCAGTTTTGTCGGATATATTCTGTTGCCTTGTTCTCGACCTGTTCTATTTCCTTATCTGACAGAGCAGATTTGTGGGAAAAGTCGAATCTGAGTTTTTCTGCGGCTACAAGCGAGCCTTTTTGATCCACTCCATCTCCGAGAATTGCTCTCAAAGCGAAGTTGAGAATATGAGTCCCAGTATGATTATTCCTGATAGGCCGGCGACGTAGTTCATCATACTCACAAATGACAGTATCGCCAACTGAAAAAGAGCCATATTTCATAAAGCCAGTATGAAGGACATACCCAGCATATAGCTGAACATCACCGACCTCAAGCTCTGCCTGTCCGTCTATAGTGATGCTGCCAGTATCATTCTCTTGCCCACCTTGTTCGGCGTAGAAGTTGGTGCGATCGAGAATGATTCCAAGTTGCTCCCCATCACGTATCTCTTTCGTGCTCGCATGGAAAGTTTTTCCATGATATATCGCTTTGATCTGGGCAGTGATGTTGCCATCCTGAAACTTTGCGGTATCATCTGTCTTCGGTACATCATTCATCTTCTCCAATTTCCCTAGGTCATGGACATTAAGCTTGACGGTGTCTGCCGCATTTTTTTTCTGGCCCTTGCTTGCTTCCCTAGCTTTCAACCTTGCGTCTTCGAATTCAAGGTCATCAATCTTCAGCCCCCGCTCTTCCGCCATAATCCGAGTAAGGTCAACAGGGAATCCGAAGGTGTCGTAAAGCCTCCAAACATCAGCGCCGTGCAGTCTATCAACTCCCTTTACCTTCGCCTGTTGCGCAAAGTTCTCAAATTGTCGTTCGCCGCGGTCTAGCGTTTTGGCGAATGATATTTCCTCTTCGTTCAGAATATCTATAACATCATTCTGCTTGCTCCTGAGTTCCGGGAAGATGTCGCTCATTTCATCCACGACAACAGGCACGATCTTTGAGAAAAAACTTCCAATTTCAACCCCAAAGTATTTGCGAGCGAAACGGGCGCCCCTCCTCAGCACCCTGCGGATCACATATCCACGGCCTTCATTGTTCGGGGTTGCACCATCTGAAATTGCAATCGTAAGGGTCCGGGCGTGGTCTGCTATCACCCGGTAAGCAGTATCAATACCATCAGGGTCATCGGCGCCGAACAAGCCTCGATATTTCCGGGCGCCAGTGACATTTTGAATGGCTTGGAACAACGGTAAAAACACATCAGTATCGTAATTGGATGATTTGTCTTGAAGAATCGAAACAAGTCTCTCAAATCCCATCCCGGTGTCAACATGCTTGTTTGGCAAGGGCTTCAAAGACCGGTCCGGTTCACGATTGTACTGAATAAAGACATTGTTCCAGATTTCGAGTACATTAGGATCGTCTTTGTTGACAAGCTGGGCTGCATTGCGCCCTCCGATTCTATCGTAGTGGACTTCACTGCAGGGGCCGCAGGGACCTTGATCACCCATTTCCCAGAAGTTATCTTTCATATTTCCGGGAAGGATATGATCTTCGGGAACCCCAACTGCCCTCCATAATTCTTTCACTTCTAGATCAGGATCTAGGCCTCCTGCCTCATTGCCTTCAAAATAGGTAACGTAAAGACGTTCTGGATCTAACCCGTATACTTCTGTCAAGAGTTGCCAGGAGTATCGGACCGCATCCTTCTTAAAGTAGTCCCCAAAACTCCAGTTACCAAGCATTTCAAAAAAAGTCTGTTATATATTAGCGATGCCTTAAAGGAAATTAGTGTGGTTCGACTAACATGATGGTAGCTGTCTTTCCCTACATCATCCAAGTCCTAGATAGTGTCAGTAAACGTATATATATGCTAAATATACTTTTGCACAAAGCTCACATTATGCTTGCCACCGGCACGTATACACTGCATAGTTGTATTAGCCTCAACCCTCAAAAGTCATAAGAGGACTTACGTACTTTTTGTGAATTGACCGCTCGCTTTAAGGATGCAAAATCAGACTGCGGATCGACAGTCCCAAGAAATATTGACTTGAACTGATTCATTCCTGCATTCGTGAAAAGCAGGGTAGGATCCGAGAGAGGAACAACAGAGGAAGAAGGGACTATCATGAGTCGTATATGAGCGAGGGAAGCTGAGGGCGCAGGGGAAAATACCATTCTTCGATACCTACCAAATTTGTGGCCATTCTCCTTGAAATACTCTAGGAATGTCTGGCGAACATGATGAGCCGTCCATTTTGGACTACTTTTAATATCAGAAGTCATAGTGAATCGCTTGGAATGTGTCACTGTAGAAAAGGTTGGGAACGTTTGGATGACAATGTGGGTGCGATAGAAGGTTCTGGGTTTCGACCCGAAGGAAGAGTCCTTAAATGCTCTCCAAACTCGCATTAAACACTTGAACAACTTTGGATAATCCCCACTGTCCTTGTTCTGGCCTCGGCGGCTTTTGCAAAAGAAAAGGGAGGTCGAGAAGAAAGAAAAGCATCAAAACGTCAAACGAAAAAAAAAAAAGAAAGAAAGAAACCCCCTTTCAATCGTAAAGCAGATGCAAAACGTCCGGGTCGCTAGCGGATGGAGGGACGTCCTGATGTGGGAATCTTATGCCACGGCAAGAAGCGCCCGGCAGAACACGAACCAGATGCTGATCAACCACTGGCAAAGAAATTCGGACGCCTACAGATCGGTATTAAGCATTTTCATTTCCCTGTCATATTCTACATGGTCCCTGACTAGTTTTATTTCGGCGTTCAGACGCATTAGCGAATCATAGCGGTCTCGAGAATCGGGAAACGCCTCTCCCTCTTGAACGTTCGTCAAACTCAACTGATGCAATGTTACTTGATGATACTAAAGATACAACCTATATTCACGACTTGGCGCGCGAGATAGCAGAGGCTGAAGCAGAAGAGCTTCAAGTTTCATTTTTGCCCGGGATTGTGGAGAAACTAACACCGATCCCGAAAGCAATTCTGGCAGGTCCGAAGCCGCAGAGCAACGAACTCGTTCTCTACCGGGAACCTACGTCTTTGACAATGCCGAAGGAACATGACTGTATACGAAGGGCTATAATCGACTCGAAGGAACGAGCAAGAGCGAAGCGGACCCAGCCTCGGAAATTCACGCCAGATTCTCTAAGCCATGTGAGGGACGTAGATCACGGCAATTGCGACACCATTTGTAACGAGGACGCAATGGACATTGATGTTGAGCGCTAGTTTCGTGGGTGCTTAATATAAGCGTCTATGATGACCATTGTAGTGTGTCCTTGGGTTTTATATACGATGGGTGGACTGTGCATAAGAATGATTAAACGAACGAGATTTTGATCTACTATGGTTCATGGAAGAATGGTTCATCTGACTCCAGCGGAGCTTCAGGAGGACTAAGAACACTTCGAGGTGGTTCAGGGGCCTGCAGAGATATATCAAATGGCTGGCTCTAGGTGTTACATGTGGTGAGCATAGACATCCATGGATACGTGAATCAATATCTGCATAAATGCATGGGATTATTACTATTTAGATTCTCCGCAGAGTAATAGTAAGAACAACACAACGTCCAGTCTTATATTATTGATAATAGTTAATGCTTATGTTTCTGCTGATGTTATATTATTATTGTATAGTACAGAATCCATAATAGATTATACTATAGTGGTACCTGTATGGTGCAGCATGTGCATTACATTTTAAGTTACCCGTAAAAGGATTGTGGCTTGGCACATTGTCACATAACCCAAACCACTTTAACTCTCATCCTCCATCCTCTGAAGGTCCCATTGCCTAACTACACATTTTTAGGATACTGACCTAGCAAGAAACTCCTGAATCTTGCCTTCTTTCTAACATCTTGACCTGCGGCCAGAGAGGACTGGGCTACTGACATAATGTCTTTGATGGAAGTGACTCGTGCTGACGAGTCCTTCGATGAACGGAACAACATGAGGGAAGATGGTGATAAGAAGTCAAAGAATAGGAGACCAGCAAGTGAGATCGATACCCCTCGTACTTTCTAATATTTTAACTGGATCTAACCAATCCTTTATTACTAGACACGGCTTTCCGTCAGCAACGTTTAAAAGCCTGGCAGTAAGATTTGCGTCACTAAATAGGATTGTACCGCTCAGCTAACCCTATCTGCTAGGCCGATACTGACTCCTAAAAGTGTACTACCTCTCTTCTTTATAATTGGCATTATTTTTGCCCCGATCGGCGGTGTTTTGATATGGGCCAGTTCAGAAGTAGGCCCTAACTTCTACGACAATTATTGAAATTGCCTCGAAAGTGATTAACTCGTCTTGTGTAGGTGCAAGAAATAGTGATTGACTATTCGGAATGTGCCACAAAGGCACCTTTAGAAGCAAGAAGCCCGATTCCTGACAAGGTCAAATCGACATTCAAGTCTTCCAAGCAGACTGGTCTACCATATTGGCAACGAAGTATTGTCAACAGGACTTTGGTACCGAAAAAGCCCACCACTGTTTGCTCGCTTTATTTTGAAATCCCAGATACTATCAACCCTCCTGTATTCATGTATTATCGCTTGACGAACTTTTATCAGAATCACCGGAGATACGTGCAATCTTTGGATTTGGATCAACTGGATGGCAAAGCTGTGGATAACGCTACTATGCGAAACAGCAAATGTGATCCTCTGAAATTGGATCCTGAGTCTGGAAAAGCGTATTACCCTTGTGGTCTAATCGCTAATTCCCAGTTCAACGACACAATTTACAGTCCTGTGCATTTGGATAATAACGCAACATATGAGATGACGAACAAGGGTATTGCCTGGGACAGTGACAAACAGCTGATCAAGAAAACAAGCTACAACCAGTGGCAAGTCCTCCCACCGCCAAACTGGCATGATCGTTACCCAGATGGCTATACCGATGAACGGCCCATTCCTAATCTCCACGAGGACGAGGATTTTATGGTCTGGATGAGAACAGCTGGATTACCGGATTTTAGCAAGCTCTCTAAAAGGAACCATACTACAGCAATGAAGGCAGGAACTTATAGGCTTGATATCGATGATTGTATGCCCCTAATATCCGTCTGCCATTATGTTCTCAGCTAAAAGTGGATTCAGATTTCCCTGTCACCGAATATAGTGGTACTAAGTCAATTCTTATATCTACCCGGACTGTTGTTGGCGGCAAGAATCCTTTTATGGGGATTGCCTACGTAATCGTTGGGGGTATTTGTATTGTCCTGGGGACTCTGTTTACAGTTGCACATCTAGTTAAACCAAGGTACGACAAATATCTTATGGGTCCCCCCCTGTCAATACTGGCTAATATAGGTTTTCCCAGGAAACTTGGCGATCATACCTATTTGACTTGGAATACTGAGCCACAAAGCACAGCTGTCACATCTGGAGCAGATGTTGGACTCAGATCGCATGCGCCTTGAACCTCATTTCTGCTTTTATCTTGTTTCTTGTTTCTCGCCAGGCGTTTTACAACGGGAGTTGGCTACTTACCAAGGGTTTAACGTAAATTGAACTTCTTTAAGGCATTGGTCTGTGACTTATTTATTTTTCAGAATGCAACTGTTGTCGTTCCCCCCCTTCCCTTACAACATCCGTCGGCCCTTTTGTAATAGCCGTTTGGCTAATATTTCTCGTCTCCCTGACTAGACTTAATTTTTGATGATGTACTGTAATTGACAATAAAGGTGTTAAGAAAAGGCATTGTGGAAACAAGGCAGAATTAGGAAATAAAGGTACGAGGGCATTAAAAAAAAATAAAAATAAGACTTTGCACAATCTTAACGTTTCCGCTTTTTACCCCGGTCTTCATCATCAAGGCCAGCCTCTCTGTCCTTTTTTCTAGCTTTCTTCTCCAACTCATCCCAATCTTCGCCGCTTTCTTCATCACCGCTGAATTCTTCACTAGCCTCAGCGCTGGCATCATCATCGAATTCACTATCATCTTCCGAGCTCTCATCTGCAGCAGCAAGCTCGGATTCCGAAAGCTCGAACGCAGATTCTTCTTCCTCGTCAGACCCATCCTCGGAGTCTGACTCTGCAGCCAAGAAAGACCAGCCGCCATCAGCGAAAAAGCCATACGGATCACTCACAACTGTCTTCATAATAGTAGTCCAGTTCAGGTTAAGTGGACCCTCTGTGAATGCAATGTCAACCGAATCAAGCCAATCTTTGACTCCCTCCAAAGACTCTACTGGAATTGTGTTGATATGCACAGGTGGTCTGTGAAAGTCTTTGAAGACAAATACCAGATCAAAATTCTTAAGTCCGAACTATAGCTGCATTAGCAAATATGATAGGCGGCTGACAAGACTCGTCTTAGACATACCTGCACTCTCTCCAAATGAGCAATTTCAATCTCATTCAGAGTAATAACCAAGAAAGGTGGTTCTGTAAGTTGGACAAGCGCATCCGTAGTTGGTTGGACCAAAACATTGGAGCGATTTGGAACACCGGTGAAGCCAATCTCCCTGAATGGAATGTCAACATCAACGCCTTCATCTTTCCCATAGTCGGCAATTTTTTCCGCAAATGCCTTGAACTCTCGGTCCAGTGCTGCTCTCCGTCGTCTCTCTTCTTGCTCGGCTTCAAACTCTTCCTCATCCCCATAGCGATGCTTACGCCTACGGTTTCCTGTTTCGTCGAATTGCATTTCAGTGGCTTCTCGATAAAACTGGACATCCCTAGTCTTTCTTTTCCCAATCATGATAGGCGTTTTGAGATGGACGTGAATAAGAACGATTAACTCATGCGCGCAGGGCTGGAAGAAGAGGTGTTTCACATTACTGAAAAGTACGTCGACACGTTCATTGCGAAATGGCGACATATAACGTAAACCGTTTTGGTGTATCTCAACTTCTCCTGGAACGCGTTTTCCATCGAGCGGCGGACGGAGGTAGACATCTGGAAGCTTCACAGGACGACGATCTAACTTTATGTCAGTCACTGCAAAAAAAGTTATGGGGGTTCTACATACTTCTTATTTCAATCAGCTTATCCTGTTCCACCACATCCTCCATTTCTTTCTTCTCCTGTTCTCGTCTCAAAGCATTCTTTCGCAGCTCTGTGATATCTTGCGCAACTTGCGCGAGCCTCTCATTGTCTTTGGACCTTAATGTTAAGTTCCTTAAGAAATGCGCTGACAAGTCCTCAAATGGTTGGTCATCCTTCCTACCGACGCCCTGACCAGGTGAAAGGAAGTTTATTCGAAGGTAAGCATACTCTCCTTCATCGCTTTTGCTGGCATTCTTAATTGTGTTAATGTGGAATGGAACGGGCCGTCCCATAATTGGTACGATGACTGTCGAGGCTTTATGATCAACGTAAACAGTAAGATCTTTAACCTTGGTCGGTAGCTGATTATCCCGCTTGTATGATTCAAATCGTTTGAATTTCTTCTGAGTGACCCCATTGTCATCCCCAGTCGTACCAGCAAAACGATCAAGGCCTTCCCTCGTTTTCCTTGCAGCTAATTCTCTCTGATGCTCGCGGCGACGTGCTTCGGCGCCTTCATTTATCTGAGTCGGTCGTTCAGCACGGAGCTTTGTGCGGGTAATGTTCCTGCTAGCGACAGCATTCGGTTTTGACTCCTTCTCCTTGGAAGGCTTTTCGGGTTCTTCCTCATCTCCAAAATAGAATGAGACCGAGTCCATATCAATACCGGCGTCTTTCGTGAATACATGCGGTCCATGCTCGCCAACACGAACAGTGTCTGTTATGACCATTGAGTAAATGGAACTCCTGTCTGTGGAATCTTGATTTAATACGTCAACAAGGCCGACAGTAATAGAAAGAGTCATGCCGCTCTTCAAAATTCTGTTGTTTTTCCCATTTAGCACCATATTTGCGTCTTTGACTTCAATACCGATACCAGCACCAATGCTTTTAAGGAAATGCCTTTCAAGATCTGGCCTTTTGGCCCGAATAATGCCAACTGCCTTATTGTATAGATCCTTGGACACTATACCGTCGCGGATATCTTTCATAACAGCGTCATAAATATTCAACAAAAAGGCATAGTTTGCTTCTTGTGACTTGCTTGGATCAACCAAATAAGTTCGCGCAATGCTTGAGCTGTAGGTCTTGTAGCGAATTCCAAAGCTAGCGATGATTATTCCCGGCCGAAGGTTGCTGCTATCAGGTGTAGCTGTGAGCTTAAGATCGTACTTTCCCCCACTCTGTACAACCGGCCCATAAGCCCAATCAATCTGCTGAGCATCGAACTCGGATGGCAGTTTAGGCAGCTTATTGAAGAATTTGGAGTCGTCAATCTTCGCATCAATTTTCGCAGACAGCGCTCTGTGGGTTATTTGTCTTTCTTCGTCAAGCAATTGAGACATTTCATCAACGAAGTATTCAGACATAAGACCGCTGCATGCTCTCGACGCATTACGTATAGAAACCTTCACAAGATCAGTCACCGAAAACTAGAAGACTTAAGTCGCCATTTGACTAACCAATTCATCGGTATCCTTCACCGAGAAAGCAGCAGAAGATAATGCAGGTGCAATATCAACTTCCTCCACTTCTTTCGACAAGTCTGAAAACGAGCGCTTCCAATCGTCTGCAAAAGGACCGGAAGTTGAGTCTTTGGGCAAAATACCAATTTTTTTCTATTTTGTTAAACCATATGATTAGCCATGAGAGGATTGGTGAATATGAGCAAGAGGTCTTCGGAGAGATACCTACCCCAGCATTCTTGATGATATCCAAGCATTTTTCAAATGCTTTCAATTTCTGCTCTGGATCCTTTGTGACCACAATAATTTCCAATGGAATCTTGCCACCTTTGAGATGTTCTAGGTGTTTAGCTGCATGATGCGATATCATATTAGCAGTTTATTGATAGCTATGTCGGAAGGATGTAAACTTTTACCTTTCTTTGCGGTAGTCACCACGTACATCGCCTCTGTGGTAAATACCATCAACGTAGCAGGGAACTCGTACCCAAGAAGCCAGAACTAAAGAATAATCACATCAGTTATTCGACATTAATACCGGAGCCGAAGAGTGAAAAACATACGTGCATTGCATTGCTTTTCTGGAAAGAATTTGCTTCATCCGTTTTTCCCATGAGAACCACAATCGAACCAACCCCACCAAACATAGCATTCCCAGAACGTCTGTCTGTCTTCCATGCCGTATATAGTGTAGACAAGCGGTTGAAGAATGTCGCTTTGTCAACGACTATTTCTTCCGCCATGGTGGCGCTAGGTCGAGTGACAGCTAGTGATGCCTGTAGCAAGTGGCAGATGTTGGTTTTGCTAGTGATTTAGATAAAAGGGTGGGAATTCTTTAAGGTTGATAGACCAAAATAATCCGCAATGCTGTTAGGCGCTGCTAACTCTGACTGGAAAGAAAAAGGATAAAGGAAAGATACTGCGATTAGAGCAAGCGATGAAGGCTACGACGCGCGGAACGCGTAAATGATGAATTTAGGCATGTTTGAACTGTTTGTTTACAGACCTTCGCATTTTTTCAACCTCTCGTCTCCACCAGCAGTCGATCTCAAGATTATTCCCTCTCAATAGTTTTTCCTAATCACAGCATACTCTACCTCGCTTGCAGCCCTAATGGAGGCGTACTTGTTTACATATGACATTCACCGGGAATACTTCTATATTTGGCAATCAAATGAACTCTGATGTTGTTTCAAGCTCCCCAGAGAAGGGTTCCCAAAAGAAAAATGCAGCGACCGGTGCATCTGCTGCAGGTGTTCGTGCTATCAGTGCGCAACTTATAGCATTTTATTTTAGAGCCCCTGTAAAGGCCTTTTTCCGGACCCGAGTTGAGTATGCAGCTCTCACCTTTGAGCTATACGGCATTTGAATTGACGTGATATAGCTACATGGTACATCGGCCCATATATATATTAGAGATCTAAGGTATCAACTAATCACTGTTCTGTCTGTCCAAATTCATAGGCATTTGCAAGAGCCGTTAGTCCACGAGCTGCGGAGACTGCATGGTCTTTGCATAAAACTACACCTGGCTTACTTGCTCATGCTGTTCGCACATATGGTTGGCGCTTTATTCCAGATCAGGTAATACCTCCTCTTTTGGCAAATGCAGGGTAAGGTTTCTTGTTTGTCTTATCCCTCTAGTTTTAGCATGGCAATTCCTGATTCGCAACAGGGTTGGCGCCGTGCTTTATACCACTTATCTGCAAGTTCTCGGTATTCTACATGAACCTTCGTCACGAGGTGCCAAGCATATTTATCCCCCTGTCCATCCTACTCATACATTTGCGGCTGGTTTTGTCTCCGGGACCGTCCAATCAATCGTTGCATCCCCTCTGGACGCTTTACAAGTTCGCCTCCGGGCACCCGATATGCTGGAAGGCCGATATCGAAATATGTGGCACTATGGACGGCACAAACTCAAGCAGATTGGCGTTAATGGTATTTTTGCAGGTTGGCCTTTGTCCTTCTTGCGTGACTCGTTCGGATGCGCACTCTTTTTCACCTGCTTCGAGTACATTAAATCACAAGCCTATTATTCATATATTACCGCGTACTATGGGTCACCTGGTCCATATTGTGCCGGCCAGTTGTCATCCAGGCCCTCTGATCCGGATCTACCGCTAATCAAGCCTCACTACGCCTTAGAACCTTGCTTTCTTATGATTGCGGGTATCGTGGCCTCTATTAGCCAACAAGCGATACAATATCCACTCGGCATGGTACAGAATTTACACTTTAGTCGGTTGGAGTACCTCGATCGCCAGGCGAGTCTTCACCCTTCGAGAAAACACATCTTGCGTTTTTATTTTCATGCTTACCAGGAAACCTTCAAACGGTGCCAGAAGAAGGCTGCGCATGCTGGTGGGTGGCGGACTTGGCTCTTCCATGGGTTTGTGCGGAATGCTATCCGCCAGGTACCCAGCACCAGCGCCGGGCTGGTTGTGTTTGAATTAGTGCGCCGTAAGTACACTAATCTGGCTGATGCTGTCTACATCCGTAAGGACGGATATGGCATTCTTCTATAGGATGGGCCGAATTTGTCAAGCTCTGTAAGGTTGAGGATCTGGGCTGGCATCCACAATGTTACTGGATCGTCGTTCTGCTTGGGGGAAATACTACTTCTGTAAGCGATACGGAGTAGATACGATTTTTTAGTGCTCTGATTGTGCGAGCTGCAAATAAGATAAAATCGTCAAGCGGTTATTAAGTCAAAACATTAACCCAAGCTGGCAGAGAGACGTTAAAAAGGTTTATAGGCAAATATGGAAATTAATTAATATTAATACCGAATAACTGCAAAAGTTCAAACCAGGCCTACAATTACTGACAGCAAATTTCAAGCTAACTAAGTAATAATGCTTTGGACATGATTAACATTAATTGGCTCCATGCGAGCAGTCTCGTGCGATAATAGATGGATAGCATTAGGGTGGAGGTAGACCTTGTCACCGCTAGGTATAAATGACACCACATTACGACAGTCAGCATACCTCAAATAATTTAGAAACTCTTTTATGCAGGAATACGGGACAACAAGAAGTTCCAATCCGGAGATATTGGCTTAAGACATCTCTAATTAACCCTTGGATCGTGAATATGCCTAAACTGGAGTCATGAAAGGGGGAAGCAAGAGAAACGAAGAAAAGAAACCAAACCCATATTTTGCGACCCCCGTTGACTTAGACTCGCTAGCCAGTGTTTCCTACTGTTCACCCTCTTCCTCTTGATCAAGGCGTTGATATCGATTGCGTGTTTTCTTCGAGGTCTCCCTATGACGGCCAACCATATTTGATATCCAACCGCCAAGTCCATCGCGTCTAATAGCTCTATCATCCCCAGACGGAGGACCGGACTTGCCGCTGGTATCACCACGATCATTTGGAGGATCAATATCTAAGCCAGGAATAGCGCTTTCCGCTCCAAGCTGACCATACTGCCGTCTTATGTCAAGCGAAGGGATCGGCGAACCAGTGCCCATTAGGCTACCGTGTTCTCCCTGGGTAGTCGGAGTCGGTATGGCCGTAGTAGCATCTCCAAATAGAGCATCCATGTCTTCCAGGCGAACGCCGCTTGTCTCAGGATATAGAAAGTAAACTAGTAATGTCAGTTTCAGTAATGATTCACCGCCGGGTCATCCGAACGAGACCACCTACCCAGAACAAAGCTACAAGCACAGAAGAAAGCATGAACAAGGTAGAGTCGCCATTTTATAATGGTTTCGAGAACTGGTGTAACCTCACCCACAAGCCAATTAAAAGCCCAGTTTGCAGCTGTGCTAAGACCCGCACCCTTGGCCCGAATACTTAGTGGCAAGATTTCAGGAGGATAGAGCCACGGGATAGGGCCCCAAGAGGCACCAAATGCAGCGTTGTAAACCATGACGAAGGTGACAGTGAGTGTTCTGGTTGCTGCGATGTCGATATACATAAAATATGACACCAATGAGAGTGAAACCATCATGGCGATCGCCCCAGAGAGTAAAATAGGGCGTCTCCCCCAACGATCCACGAGATACCATGGTGGGACTGTTGATGCGAGGTACGAAAGCGCGTTTACGCCAGTCATCAAGAGAGCATCACGGCCGACCCACCCTGCTGATTCAAAGACGATCGGCGCATAGTATGATATAACGTTGATGCCGTTAAGCTGGGCTAAGGCTTGTGCGGACATTGCAATAAGGACACGTTTGTTATACCGCTTGAACATATCAACGTAAGATCTCTCGCCCTCCTGTCGTTGGAGAAGAACATTCATCTTGATATCCCTGTACTCCTGCCGGGCTTTATCATTGTGCAAATCTCCTTTACCGTAAAGATTTGCAATTACCACCATGCCCTCCTCGTCATGGTCATTATCCAGAAGCCACCTAACCTCATAGGAACATTAGCAAGCCATGATCGCCACTGCGAGGACCAAAGGAGGTTTTACCGAGGTGATTCACAGATAACTAGACTGCCAAAGCCGAGAAGAGCGCCCATGACACATTGGCAGAGCAATGGCAGGCGCCATGAGTAATCATTCTTGATAAAACTACAGAAATAGTCGACCCAAACGCTGGCAGCATAGCCAGAGATGTTTCCGGTGAACTCAATACATGCCAATTTCCCTCTACTATGCGGAGGCTTATATCTGAGCGTTAGTGAATGGTATGAGATCCCAAGGCATGTGAATTGACAATACCGATATTTCAGACTGGTAAACGGGCACGATTGTTGAGAGTGCCCCAACCCCAAGACCCGCAATGATACGGCCGACCATCATCATCGACATTCCAGCAGCGAAGGTTTGCAGTGCACCACCTACAAAGAAAATAATAGAACCGTAGAGGATGGTTTTGCGTCGCCCCATCAAGTCGCTAATGCGTCCGACTAGTAACGAGGAAACCAGGGCACCAATCTCAAGAATTGCAACAACAGTGCCAATTGCTGCCGGTGATGGGTGGTTAAAGTAATCCTTGAAATACTCGCCCCTAGCCTCTGTCAGCATTCTTGGTCGCACAAGGGAAGTTTCATGTCTCGTGGAAGGAGAACAAACATTATAACTCCTGACATCACGCCTTGATCATAACCAAAGAGAAATACGCCCAATGACACGAATATGCTAGTAAAATATCTCCATAAAGGTCAGCAGAGAAGAGAAATGAGAGTCAGAGGATGCGGAATACTCACAGCAATGGCTTGCCAACCAAGCCATGCATTTGAGCAGTCTGCCTATTATTAGGGGACATTATGACGGCCAAAAACCGTTCTACTCCTAAGATATGCCTTGGACCGGGCTCAGGTATCGCTATGGCCTCCTTGTCAATCTGGCCGCTAGCAAGACACCGCTGGTAGTGTACACGTTTCAGTTGATCAGCTCGCACCCTCACCGTTTTCTGTCCAAGTGTTCCGCGACCTAAGGAACCCCGGAGAGGAGTCCGAAGAGAACCTTCCCCGTCGGCGGGATGCTCGGCCAAATCACCTGTATCTGTCCAGATGGATAAATTGGAGTTGGAAGAGCGAGAAGACGTAAGGGAGGATCGCGGGCTGTCTTTCACCTCGCCGGCAGAATCCAATGCTGCGACAAACTGAGACGAAGAGATCCGAGGCTGGGAAGGTAGATGCCCAAGGGGTATAGCTAAGGGATTACGTTGAGAACCGGATGCGAGAGGAATGATGGCGGTAGTGAGGGCTGGTCGTGACAGCCCCTTTGTCGTGAGAAAGAAGTTTAGGCTGGAGATTTTATGTCTCCGCACTAGTATTGATCCACGGAACCCTCCCAAGGAGCATAGAGATGTTGACTGACGTTGACCGGAAACCCTGCCCGTAAATCTGAATGGTAGGTTAGTATCGTGGGGTAGAGGATGACGCGGGGGTGGAATAAGGGTGTCGCACGCTTTCAGTAATACAAATCTTTTCTTTTAAAAATTAAATAAAAAAATCTGCCAGGGGTTTACGAGGCCACGGGGCCAGAGACAGGTGAGTGTGCTGGTCACCTGGAATGCGCTGACAGCACAACGGGAACAACCCGACGCAGAATGACCAAGTTTGGTGGATTTTGACCAACAGAAGTGACCTAGTTGAAAGCTGACGAGAACGAAAGAAGGTGAAAAACAGTAAGCCGTGGTTTATACGTGGACGTCTAGGCTAAGAGCAGATGATATGAGATCGACTGGAGAACATCACGGAACTGTAGGTACAGATTCTCTTTTCCTACAAGAGAAATAATAAATCCTGGGGCAAGGGGGTGGGAGGATCTCACCCCAGGACGGAGGCTAATTCTCTAGCGTACCCTGCATACAGCGTAAACGCGGAGTAAACCAAATTAACTTGGTAGTTACGTAGTACGTATCTTTAATTATTAATAGTGGGTAATCCTCGAGGTATCTATTGTGAAACAAATAACTATTTAAGGTAGATATTGGATGACTACTCTGTGCAGGCTGCGCTGTACACCTAATTACTAGTAATGGCAATTATCCTTAATTGACCTGGCTGGATCTCAGCTTTAAACTTATGGCACTGTACGTGCTGTAACGAATACCCGTCATTTTGCAATGCTGCTTAGTTAGGTAATCAATTAGTTATACACTCATACCTAGGTACAGCTAGCTCCATATGATAATAATAATAATAAAAACCACTGTACCGCATAATACTTGCTGCACGTATCCATAGGTAGTTAATATTTAATGTATTTACTGGGTACCTAAGGTAATAGGAAATATGAGGGTACAGACTTAGGGACGTATTTACCAATAATTGTGCCCACACCGCCTACCTACCCGTGTAGGTGAGCCCAAGTACAACATGATATTTTTAATCTAATCAATAAAATCCAATTATCTCAACATGGCCAGTAATTATCTTGAAGAAAAGCTTGTCAAGGTGCAGGTTCAGCAAGCAGGTATCAATTGGGTTGGACACTCAAGCAGACTACAACAGGATCAAAACAAAAGGAAATGCCATGAACCTGGTTTGGCAACTGGATATATGTTGGTGTTTTTGTGGGTTTTTAGGCTGGCTTCTCATTCCTTTTTGTGTTTCTCTTTTCCCTTTTATTCTCTTTTCTACCCCTTGCTTCATATCATTTCCATTTCCACATTTTTGCCTGCATGTAAGCATACATAGGAAGCGATGTTCCTGTTGGCACTTAACGCAAATTCGAAAGTTCGAGGTGTCGATGATAAGCCTCTCAGCCTGCACTGCGGTCACGTGGGCGGACTGTACTGACAGAACGGGACCATGGGCTGGAACTGTGACGACGCTCAATCTAGAAAGAATAGAGAATGCTATTCAGCTATCTAGGCAGCTAGTAAACAAAAAGATCAACAATGAGGAAGAAAAGAAGGAAAACTAGTCCAATCGTCAGCAGAGCTATCTCATTTGATGAAGATATACTATTTCGGACAGATGGACTATCTAATGATCCAGCCCCGGGATCCGGAGTATATATATTCTGGGAGGTGCCTACACCGGGGTTCCCCGAATCCCACATATATAGGAGAGCTCGAGCGATTAAGCATTAAGCATGTCAATTAAGAGCTTTACAATGTACTAGAGACGGCAGTATATTGGTATAGAGCGTTCACCACGAATCCTACGAATCCTATGGTATCTTTTTAGTAATTGATATCCGGACGCCGCACCCCTGATCCACATCATCATTCATGGAACACGTGATATAATCAATCAGTCACATGATCAGGCAGGACGGGATAAGAAACATACAGATATGTCAGGGCTCGAGCGCACACGTATGCTGTTGGTGGTTCCCATGGTTCAGCTCCTTCCTAGTTAGGTTTAGCTCCCATTGGTCAGCATAGCGTAGATAGTAATGGAGGCATAAATTGGTTGGTTACTAGCTAGATAGGCCGGGCTGAGAGGACCTAGACGGCAGAATACCACGTGATCTAACAGATAGTGTCATAGATCACGTGGGTTATGCCCAGTTAGACCGCCGTCGCCTGGCCTAGCAGAGCTGGTTCCGGCACCTAGATAGGAATCCAACACAAGATACACCTCCAATAGATAGTTTTTCCGACCCTAGAACAACCAACTTAGCGAGTTCAACCGGAAATCAAAAATATTATTAATATAATAGAGCGTTCGCGGCAGTTTTGGTGTTTGACAGGTAGTATAGTTATTTTTAGTAGGCGGTGGATTAGCGCCGATAGAGGCGGTCATTTTTTTATGACATCCCACTGAGCCGCACGATGCTGTACATAGTACATATCGTGTATTGTTTGTTACTAAGGCCACCTTTCCTTTCTAAGGTTCTTGCTCTATTATTACATCCCCAAAGCTTTATTTCTGGACTCGAGCTATCTTCTTCCATCTTGGCTATTTATTCCACTCCCCCAAAGGTTTCTTATTCATTTTCTCACTCCTCATTGTCATCTCGCAAGTAGTCAGAGACCGCCCTAGTCTTTCATAAAACACCATACCCAGAAATGTTCTGATTTGTGTCTCCAACAGCATCTGTTTTCCACTTCATCCTACTACATTTAACACTGCTTCATCCTCCTCCGATCACTACGGTTTGCTTTGGTCATATTTCCAAAGACCTCACTTCTCGATCAAGTGGCTTACAAGCTGCGGTGCACCATGACGGAAGCCGACACGGCTTTTACCACTGGAGCCAAACGTGACTTTCATGTGCGGCATCGACATGTCGCAAATACGGGAACGACAGTAGAGAAACCCAGTTCTTCTCCAGTCGACAATGACAGAAATAAGACTACGGTCGAGGTATGGGCATTTGTTTGGCTTTTGCTAGGCATAGGATGAACGGGCATGTTCGCATCTTTCCATATGCTGACATATGCAAACAAAGTCCAATTCTCTTCTTCGCGCCCTCAAAACCTGGGAACCTGTGATTGCTCCAGTGATTCTGACCCTTATTTCTATGATTACCCGGATGTATCGAATTGGTCTCTCAAACATTGTTACGTGGGATGAAGCACAGTAAGTCTAACATTGGTCTCACCTGTTACTTATATATCTGAGGATACCTGCTTATGACATGTTGAAGCTTCGGCAAGTTTGGCTCCTACTATCTGAAGAGGGAATTCTATTTCGATGTCCACCCACCTTTAGGGAAAATGTTAGTTGGTCTATCAGGTTACCTCGCCGGTTACAACGGGTCTTTTGAATTCAAATCAGGAGAAAGGTATCCAGAAGATGTCAATTACACTTTTATGCGTGTTTTCAATGCCGCATTTGGGGTTGCCTGCGTGCCTCTCGCATATTATACCTCTCGCGAACTCAACTTTCGAAGAGCAACTGTCTGGCTTATTAGCCTGATGGTTTTATTTGAGAATTCATATGCGACGATCTCGCGGTTTATACTACTTGATTCTATGTTGCTCTGCTTCACATTTACGACAGTTTTGTGCTGGGCTAAATTTCATCAGCTGCAGCATGTCAGCTTCTCAGCTGAGTGGTTCACTTGGCTCTTCCTGACTGGGTTGAGTATTGGTTGTGTTTGCAGCGTGAAGTGGGTTGGCGCCTTCTGTACTGCAATGGTAGGCCTGTACACTATCGAGGATCTATGGAACAAGTTTGGGGATCTTAGGCTACCAGCGGTTCGTTTTCAACTATATTTGGGAGGTTTGGGAATACACTAACCACTTCCGATGCCCCAACAGAGGATTTTCATGAAACACTTAGTGGCACGTGTTCTAGGTCTGATCATTATTCCCATTTTGGTCTACATGTCTTCATTCTATCTACACTTCTTGATTCTTGAAAATAGTGGCCCTGGGGATGCACAAATGAGCTCCCTTTTTCAAGCAAATCTCAAGGGTACAGAAGTTGGGAAGGATAGTCCCCTTGAGATTGCAATTGGATCAAGGGTCACATTAAAAAACATGGGCTATGGTGGTGGGCTACTCCATTCACATATCCAGACTTACCCTGAAGGGTCCACCCAGCAACAGGTTACTTGTTACCACCACAAAGATGCAAACAATGACTGGTTTATCTATCCTAACCGCGATGAACCGGAATTCGACCCTGATGGCCCCTTAAAATTTGTCGGACATGGTGATGTCATTCGTCTTATTCATGGCCAGACAGGACGGAATTTACATTCTCACGCTATCTCCGCACCGGTCAGCAAGTCCCATTACGAAGTATCATGCTATGGTAACACCACCATTGGTGACGACAAGGACCATTGGATGGTGGAGGTAGTCAGTGATACAGCATCAAAGGACAGATCAAAAGTCCGAACTCTCACGTCTGCATTTCGGCTTCGACATCCTGTCTTAGGATGCTACCTGCGAGCCGGTAACGTCAATTTACCTCAGTGGGGTTTCAAGCAGATTGAAACCACATGCGTTAAAGAGAATAAGCCTAGTGATGTCTACACCCACTGGAATGTTGAATCTCATACTAATGAACGACGTGAGTTGCATTCAATACAACCCATCCCTTCCGCGCGACGCCCGAAGTGCTGACAACAGCTTGGACAGTTCCCCCCGGCAAACCAGACTCATATAAATCCCCTTTTCTGAAAGACTTCGTGCACCTTAATGTTGCCATGATGACATCTAATAATGCTCTGGTACCGGATCCAGATAAGCAGGATGATCTTGCTTCGAAATTCTGGCAGTGGCCAATCTTGCATGTTGGCCTTCGCATGTGCTCTTGGGACGACAACACTGTTAAATACTATCTACTCGGCAATCCATTTGTATATTGGGGAAGCACGGCCAGCTTGGGCATCTTTGGGGTATTGTTTCTCTGGTACCTCATCCGCTGGCAGCGAGGCTACAATGAGCTCACTAGAGCGGATATGAACCATATCCACTACTCTGGCCTATATCCCATAATCGGATGGGTTTTGCATTATGTCCCATTCATCGTCATGGCAAGGGTTACATATGTTCATCATTATTACCCTGCCCTTTACTTTGCTATTCTGACTCTGGGATTTTGTATCGATTGGTTTACGCGCCACGTAAATGCCACGGCCAATTGTGTAATATATGCAACCCTCTACACAATCGTCATTGGATTGTTCGTCTACTTTCGGGCTATTGTGTTTGGCATGGAGGGCCCCAGTCAACAGTGGGCACATTTGAATTGGTTGAGTGGATGGCGGATTGCAAACTGACATTCATAACTAGCGCCATTGTAGTTTCATTCTCCTAAAAATTGCAGTCTTCTTATTGTTCTACATAATTGTTTGTTCTCCCATTGTATATCTCTGAATGTCGTAGAATCAGTGACTACAGAATTCAGCTGAGGCCGATAATTAAAAGTGATTCGCCGCAAAAAATTCTGCCACATTCTTCCGAATGTCGATGCCTCCTAGATTTTTGCGGCAATTTATAAATACAATTACATAGCCTGACATAAGACTTATTTCCTTAAAAAATTCTTATCAATGAAAAATCAATCACATTTTAATAAGCATTTTATCATCATTAAAAGTGTTTGATACAAAAATGGCATTTCCTATCAATCTAGAGAATGCAACACCTAACCTTGAGGGCAAGGAAGAAGCTGAGTGCGATACAACAGACGTGAGTTTGGAAACATTTGCGAATCATTTCTCAAACGGTTGTTAAATACTTATGTAATAGCTGAACATGTCCATTCTGCTTGCTCAAACCCAAAGGAGCTCTATTAGAACTCGATTTCTTAATTATACACATGATCTTCCAGAATACCCTCAAACACATCCTGACGGATATACATATGTGATATATGCGCCCGATAAATCAAAGCTAACAATTGATCGAACAATTGAGAGTGAGTATCTGTGAACATTTCTAAACTGCTTATGTGGTAGTAGTAAGGAAAAGGGATTACAAGCAGTAAAGAAAAATTTAGTAAATGCCGCAAAAAACAGTGGGTCTTCACTTCTCTTTTTGCCCTGTCCCCATCTTAACAGCAACTTGTCAAACCATTTCCATGACTATGCATGGCATCATTCAAACCAAAAGTAACGGTTTTAGGAACACCGGTGTCCGCGCCTCCTGTAGCGCCGAAACTCTTGACACCGCTCCGCCGATCATTAAGGTTATACTCGCCAGCTAGAATATTGCGATAAATTCTCTCCGCAACTTCGAGGAAAGCACGCTCAACACCATCACCAGACTTCGCACTTGTTTCGACGTAGCGGACAACATTATTAATGCGGCACCATTCTTCTGCTTCCTGCCTAGTAACTTGCCTACTATTCGTGTCAGAATTAACCCCAACAAGATCACTCTTGTTGCCAACTAAGATCACAACAATGCCTTCCTCCGCAATTTGCCGGAGGTCTTGAAGCCACTGTGTACAAGACGCAAAGGTAGAAGGTCGTGTGATATCAAAGACAAGAAGAGCACCGGAAGCACCACGAAAGTAAGAGCGAGTGATGGACTTGTAGGTTTCTTGACCCGCCGTATCCCAGAGAGATAGTTTCATCTTCTTCTGGGGTAGTTCCCCCTGTGGATTTTCGGGAGGCCCCGAGAGATCACGAATAACGGAGTCATCTGGAGCGCCTGATAATGTGGAAGGTAGCGATAGCTCTGGGGGAGTGATCCGGTTGTGGGTATGTAGCTCCGGCCCTATGCCCAAGTTCTTCGACGCAGGTGGCCCTACAGGAACAATCCGCGACCCAAATTCGACGCCAATAGTAACATCATGAGAAGGAGAAAAGCGTCCCTCACAGAGGCGAATGGTCAACTGAACACATATACATCATGAGAGTTAGGCTATTGTTATTGCAAAAATTTAGATCCATCAGTTGGACATGAGTGTGCACTCACGCTGGATTTTCCAGTCCCGGAGTCACCAATGCAAACAAGCTTAGCGATGTAATCCCATGGCTGTGACATGGGTACAGGGGGTTTTGCTTTGTGCAAACACAGGAACACAGAAGAAATCAATCACGACAATTATCACCAGTACCTGGTAGCTAGAGGCCGAGACAGCCCCTTCAGAGTGCTTTCTATAATATCAGCAGAAACCCAGGTAATGAGTATGTGTTGTTACTTGAGGGGCACACTATAGGTCGTATTGCATACAGTATGTAATTAATGATGATGACTGTAACGTAACCCATGAGCGAGCTGGCCATCTCACACCTTTTGGTCATGCCCAAAAACTAAGGCAGTTCAACCACTTATGCCATCAAAAAGCTCATAAAAAATCAAAATATTCAGCTGAGTAAGAGGGGAGATTCTTGCTTACAAAATCTACTATTAAGAAAGACAATATCTCAAATATTTGTGAAGCAGCTTGTATTTTTAATATTCCTTGTCTATCCTTCAAGATGTAAGGTTTTGAATATAGAATTCCTTGAGAAAGGGAAGAGAACAAGGAAGGATTTTAGAGACGGGCTTTGTGTACAAGGGAATAGGCGAGCTGGTTACAAACAGAACAAACAGAACAATGGGACAGATTGTGACGGGCTAGGCCCTAGGCTTCGGATACCCTCAGCTAACACCAACAGCAAGTAACTAGAAGTTTGCAGACCAGTCTACAAACTTTATTCTGCCACTATTCACCGCCCTGTTTATGTTATTCCGTCCCAAGCTCCCTAGGTAAACAAACCCCTAGGAGCTACACCACCTCTTTCCCTCCCTTTCTTCAAGATTTAATGTACTCGTAGAGTGGCCTAGCTAGTTGAATAAACTACCTTGAGACCGTTACACAGATATACTCAGGCGTTGGCCCTGAGTTTGCAATATGCCTGGACGCAGCCCATGACACAAGATTGAATATGTAAATTAAGTCTATAATTTTGTTAAATAACATGATAAGCTCAAATAAGATATTTTTGGTGATATAATCACCAGCATAAAATAACGTATTTCCCGGTCGAGCGGGCCACCTCCTGCTAATTCCTGCCCGCGGGCTAAATACTAGAGCCTCTACCAGCCAAACAATTGCATTTTTATACAAAAACTAATTGCTAAGGGGATTAGGACATCTAATGTAAAGGGGGGCGTATGTGCGTTGTTCCCTGCGACAGGAACCGGGTTGTGATCGAGGGATCTCAGGAATGGATATACCAAGGCGATGCCGCTATACCACACGGCACCGAACGATCTTAGCAAGAAAACGATATAACGATAAAAGGAAACACAACGACGAAGGAGCCTCGCTCCGCTCTATACGACGATAACGATACTAGTGAAGCAACCTAGGAACCAAAAGAATGCTCTATTTCTCGTAATTATCTGGAAGAAACCCTCCATTAAGTACTCCGGCCGTGGGCTCCACCATACATTAGTATGTCGGATTCCGCGGTTCTACGGTGTTCCAAGATAGGAAATATGGGAGATCCGGGGTTTCGCAGTGCCCCCGGCACAATAAATGCCTTAATTCCTTTTTTGCTGAGATACTAGTAGAAGGGTATAGCTCCTATGATAGTAATATCAACTAGCTTCTTATTATATAATATAGGCTGGTGGACCTCTTCTTAAATATCTGTCTGGAGAGTCACAGTCTCAGTTAGATAACCTTAGTTAAGATTCTCTGAAACTAATGCCTACATCCTTTTTGCATTGCTTACTTAATAATCCTATTTTATGATTTCTGGTTGTTGATAATAGTCTTTTCTCCTTTATAATTTATCTCAGTATTCCATGTGGTTCTAATATTTAGGTGTTGGTATTGGATGCTTAAGAATTTATTTAAAGATAATAATATTTTATTTAGCCTAGATCCTTGCAGTTAAGGGCCTCTGATTAAGTTAAATTAAATAGTGATTCTTTATATCTAGCCAGATATCTCAATCTATAAACCATTTCCTCCTCACAATCATATCATGTGTCAGGGCCCTTGCCATGTAGACCAGGACGAGCACGTGAGCTTCCTTACTTGGATTAGCGTGGCGCGTGGATAGGAGTACGTCGTCCAGCTTCACGTAGATCTCTTCCCTTTTCCTTCCTCTTCATGCTTGAAGTTCTCGTCGATAGCTGCCTAGATAGCTGAATAGCATCCTATTCATCGTCTAGTTGAGTTCCGTGACATCATGCTGGCTAAAGTCCAGAATAAGAAAGGGCTGATTAAGGAATCTTTGGCTGCTAATCCATAAATATAGTATAACTATATAAGTAATAAAAAGGCTTAATTATTTATTAAAACTTTTTGTCCTACTTAGTTAGTCTAATTATTAGATAAAGATCTTTAAAAACTCAGCAATTTTAGTAATATAATATATATTAAAAAATAAATAACTATTTGCTCCTATATTAGTTAAGGTAAATAAAGATATATTGATTCTATTATATGTTACCTGACTAGATATAGTAAAACTTTGCTTTCTAAATAATTTATCTAAATCTATTTTTTCTAAATTGCCATCAATATAACCCAAAAAAAAGATTTTATCTTAAATTAGATATTTTCTGACTAGTTATTATTGTTTTTTTCCTTTTAAAAAAATTTAATCTTAATTAGGACTACTTCTCTAGGCAATCTTAAGATTAATATCCTTACTCATAACACCTAAAGCATTATCTTTTTTTTATTAAATATTCTTATAGATCTTCAGTCATAGGGGCACTATTAGATTGTGAAGTACCAGGAATAGTTTCTTTCTTAATTTAGGTAGTCTAACTAATCTTAGTAAGGGTAAAAGTATGGCTCTTTTATACTTAATAATTAATAGCTTCCAGATGACCTATAATTTAAGAGTAAAGATTTAAAAACTCTTAGAATAATCTTTTTTTAAGTTTTTTAATTATAGTCAGCTTCTGCAGCTCTGTTATAATCTAATAATATAATTTATTTTTCTAACTGTCCTTAAGGACTTCCACTTTAATTATAAAGTAAAAGAATTTAGAAAAGAAATTATAAAACTTATTAATATTTTTTATATATAGCTAATAGAATTAATTCTTAGCTGTTGTGATCTAGTTAAAGTCTTTATAAATTATCTTTAGGTAATTAAGAATATTTTTTATATTTATATAAAGGCTAGAAGCTCCTTCTCTTATTCAAAATATAATATATTTTTATATTTTGCCTTCACAGCAGCTTATTATATATATAATTTAGAGTTTTAAGATATTATAATAGTCACTATTTATAAAAAGCTTCTGATTCATCAGTAAAAATTAATCTTCAAATAAGATTTCTTGCTATCAATAAGTATAAGAGGATCAGAGAGCTTAGCTAATTTATAAATAATAAAATTTAGTCTAATTTAAAAACTTATATTTTTATCAGTAATAATTTTAGCAATCTATTAAATATAGATATCTTATTTTATTATAGCTTAATTTAGCTTTTTTTATAAATATTAAACTTTCTACTATAATAAAATCAGATTAATAATAATCTTTTATTTCTTTATAATAACCTCTACAATCTAGACCTTCTGGTCTTTGATTATTTCTTTATAATCCTAATATCTGGACTGAATATCTTTAAATAAGATTTTTAAATTAGTAATCATTTATCTGCAGAATTCATTTAAGCTAATATAATTAAGTTCTTTATAATTATTAAATATAATAGTCACATTGATTCAGTTCTTTTATATTTAGATTTAAAGTTATTCTAGCTGGTTTAGTATTAGCTATATCAGAGGGTCTTGTCATTTAACAATTTAATCAGTCATTCTATTCTTAGGTTCAGGGATTTATTTTATTTGAATTCATCAACTCTGTCAGTTTAGCTCTGGGTGAGTCAGTGGTTGGTGAGAATCAGACTCCAGCCCAGGTGACAAAAAGATAAGGTGGATGCTTGAAGTTATGTCACAGAACTCAACTAGACAATGAATAGGATGCTATTCAGCTATCTAGGCAGCTATTGATGAGAACTTCAAGCATGGAGAGGAAGGAAAAAGGAAGAGATCTACGTGAAGCTGGACAACGTACTCCTATCCACGCGCCACGCTAATCCAAGTAAGGAAGCTCACGTGCTCGTCCTGGTCTACATGGCAAGGGCCCTGACAACTACTAGGCCTATAACAAAGTTAGTCTTATTAAAATTATAGATATCCTCCTGTACAATCTCATATTGTATTATAATGATTTGTATATAATTAAACTACTTTTTAATAATTTTAGGATCTTCACATTTTGCTTATTAATAATTATAGTGTTAAAAATAGTGTATTTTTATTTTATCATATTATTTAATAAAGCTAGAGAGCTAATTTTTTCTAATTGATTAGATAGGTGTTGTACCACACTGTTGTGGAATATGCATGTAACTCAGGGAAGAAAGGCAGAATGAAGCTGTATCAACTACACGTACGTAGCCTACTAAGGAACAGATGCCATTCTCTTCTGTGTCACCCTCTGTGTCTACATATAATCAGGGGCTCGGATTCTCAGGGGTTGGAGAGGGAGCCAAGCCGCCATACCACGTGACCTTTTCCATATCAGTGAATATTGCAAATTTCCTGCTTTTCTAAAGTAGAAATAGCAAGTAAGATCTTTCCCTCTTTCTCAGCTGAATTTCTTGAATTTTGACGCACTTTTGGAGGCATGGTTGGTGGTTGAATTAGTTGAAGCAGTAAAACACGTAGAAATTTGATGAGGTGGCCCGCTCGACCGGGAAATACGTTAGTTATAAAGACTTTTAAGATTATTAGAAAGTGTTTTAACTCTATATAAATCACCATATTATATTTAGTATAGAATTGTACAAAAAGATATTTATAATTTTAATGAGAATAATTTTATAATAAATCTAATTGTATCTGCCAGCCCCCGTTCTGCTGGTACAGACCGCCCACATGACCACGAGAGGGATATCTATGACTTGGGTTTTGATCCTGTTGTGGCTTGAAGAGCTACATCTTATCTATCTACCTGTACATAGCCTGAACTGTAGCCTGCTTGAGTGCCTAATCCAATTCATACCAGTTGCCTGAACCCACACCCTGACGGTTAGGGACTAATAGTCATAGTATATATTATGTGTTGAACGGTCCATAAAGCGCAGTGCAGGCTGGAGGCTTACATCATGGCATTTCCTTTTGGCCGACTCGCCAACATTATGTCCCCTCTAATAAGGAGCTACAAAGAGCAAATCCAGGCAACTGGTATTAATTGGATTAGGCACTCAAGCAGGCTACAGTTCAGGCTATGTACAGGTAGATAGATAAGATGTAGCTCTTCAAGCCACAACAGGATCAAAACCCAAGTCATAGATATCCCTCTCGTGGTCATGTGGGCGGTTTGTACCAGCAGATAATGGAGTCAAAATACCGGGTGTGCGCGGCTTGCTTGTGGATTACATTACGTTACCGGTATCATCTGCCGAGTCATCTATCAGTGGAACAGCTAAGTTAGGTCACTGCTAGCATTGATTGCCAATATGACGGTACCCTCTGCACCACTACTGCCTACAGTCATATCATTCCCATTCAAAGCAATCCTAGTAGCATACCTAGCCTATTCACTCTACTAGATTTATCATACAGTTACTTCGTTGGAACTGGCCAAAGATTCATTTTTTGGCTAGTTCTATCTGAAAAGTGAAGTTTCACAACTTGATATTACCCAGCAACTTCAAGAGAACCAAGCCACTGCTCAAAGCCTGAGCTGACAGTTACTGGGTATCAGCTAAAATAAAGCCAAAGACTTTGGCTATATAGGATGATGTTTTCAGAATGTGGGTGTTTCATGACTGCTGTCTTGGAGTTATTACTCACTGTCACCATCACTTAGATGCATCTCGCTTTCTGGCCCAGTCGCAGTCACGGATAGCACTCCGCCCCGATGAACTGCACACAAATAGCCATGATCATCGATGGAGACCTCAGGGAAATGCACGCTTCCCTACTTCCCGATCTTTTTTGCAAAGAACAACCGGTGACCCGTATCAGTCGGCCGCGTCACAGATCTCCAATTTACCTTTTGCGCCGCGGAGATTTGCTCAGGCCGCCCCTCTCTTTTATAGTGCCACTGACGAATTTCGAGAAGAGGATGATGAAACAGAGCACGAGCGTGAGATTGCAGACTTCTATGCATTACAAAGGTCTAGAAGGCATTTTGGTAGCAGCCACCTAAGAGACTCCTTGGAAGTCGATGATAGAAGCTTGGCGGACTCTGATGAGCTACAGACCTTCCGGAATGACAGACTTTCTAAGGGGAAGGGAATCAGAAGCTCTTGGCGTGACGAGAAATTCAGCAGCAGTGAAGGAAGTAGTATCCAAGATGAATTGGGATCGGGCGTGATTGGAAACAGGCCAAAAAGCCCTGCCAGTCGAATCGGCAGTGACATGCAGGGTAATTTAGTCGACATAGGCCTAGATGATACCTTGCGAACTGATGGTTTCAAGACGCCCCATTCGCCGGAGTTCGGGGATGATGATCCTCCTATCCAACGCTTTCGAGGACTCCCCGATATTCGAAGGGGGAACCCGGGGGTAGACTCATTCATTGCTACAGAGACCGACAAGCAGAAATTGTTGGACAACCCTCCGCCGCAAAGCTCAACAGATTCATATCCAGCTTCAGTTACAAATACACCGGTGGAACCACCGCTGCATGATGCCTTCTGGGGCCAGCTTTTTTTAATATCTCTAGCAAGCCTTTTCGCCACGGCTTTTCTTGTGTATCTGCATACCAAACCCCCTGGAGACAAGCCAAACTGGGGCGACACGGTCTACATGACCATTTACAGATCATATTTCCTCCTCGGCGCTTATACTCTTGTTTCTATCATTGTATCGCTCCTCTGGCTTGCGCTACTTCGGTCTTACGTTCGCACTTTAGTCTATGTGATCATGGTTTCTGTCCCAGTGCTCCTTTACTCTTTCTCTCTCTATCCATTCGTTTCAAGTTTCAAAGGAACCTGGCATGGTGCCAGCTTGCAGGACAAAGTTATGCGGTTTAGCTCTGTTGTCCCACTCATTATAGCCAGCGCATGGGTATACATCGTCATCAAGGGCCGCCGTGCCATAAACAAAGCCATCAACATTCTTGAATTTGCATGTCGAATTCTTTCTGTGAATCCCGAATTACTTGCACTTGGCCTGAGTATCCTCGTCTGCATCGTCTGTTGGACTTGGCTATGGATGCTCATGTTCACTAGGGTGTTTCTGGGAGGACATGTCTCTGGCTCCAAGTCATTCATTATAGATGTGAGCAGCTGGTGGCTAGGGGTGTACTTCGTTCTTGTCTACGTATGGTCGTTAGGAGTGATCGGTGGAATACAACGAGCGGTCACGGCTGCGACAGTGAGTCAGTGGTACTTTCACCGTCTGGCAACTCCAGCACCAACATCCAGGCAGATAGTTCAAGCTGCGATTACCCATGCCGCTTCAACTCTTTTTGGCACAATATGCTATTCCACACTTTTGACGCTGTTGATCAGGCTCCCCTTGCTTGTGCTCCCAAATCGCGTATCTTCCGTGCTCAGTTTATTCGTCTACTCCTTCGTCCCCACTCCAGTTACTACACTCACTAATCCCCTTTCTCTTTCTTATGCTGCAATCCATTCGCAACCACTTGCTGCCTCGGCTCGTGGTCTTTCACAATTGACAGTTCTGTCACCCCGGGCACCTGCTACTTCGTTACATCCAAACACATTTTATTCTCAGCCCCGGGGAAATTATTCTCCCGTCTCCTCCTATCAACTTTCTAAACTTATTCTACACGCAGCTCGCTTTATGATGTCCTTGGCGCTTGGCTTTGGTGGCTGGGTTACAACTGCTCGAAACCTAAGTGTCCCTGGCGCCGGTGGTACCACACGTGGAAGCTTGTACGCCTACGTTGTTGGGTTGCTTGCAGGAGTAATCGGGTGGAGCGTTCTGGGCGCAATTGAGGGTATTGTAGCGGATATTGTAGACGCATCCGTTATTTGTTGGGGCAGCGAAGTTGGCACTTACGGCAGGGAAGCTAGGTACTGTCGAGAAGCCGAATGGCTCTTTGGTGAGGACTCCGATAATTCAGGACCCAGACGCGCTATTCCTTGAATCTCATGTTTGGGGAATCTTGCCAGATGCCCAGAATGACAAGCCTTAACCCGTGAGTATTCACGCAGCCTTTTTCATGACACCATACACATAAAAATATCTTTACAACCCAGTTATTTTTATCTGGAATGTCAATGGCCACTTTTCCCTCTTATTTTCTTTCGCGCCTTTTCATATTATCCAGAAATCGCTGTTTGAGGAGTCCTTGGTTATGCTTCTAATTCAATCAGAGCATAGAAATTCGTGAGAATATCGAGTTTGGAGAGGGTCTTGGGCCCTAGAGCTGCATCTATGCATGTCTTCCTTTCCTTTTCTTTTGAGCTTCTGAAATTTTGGCGTTAAGATGTATGTATATACCTGTCAGTTCGGGGATATATTTGTAATCATTCCAAAACCAGAAATGCAAGATCCTACAGGAACTGAGAGATGGGGGGAAGCCTCAGTAAATGATAGTCTCGAGTTCCCCCAATACGATCTTCATGGAGATATTAGTTCATTATTGTACACTTGTATTGTTAAGCATACATATACATAACCAGATGCTTTGTCAGTAAGGTCACAGGGCTCTGTTCCTTTTCGAACACTCTCCCTTTCAGCCCTTGAACCAAACCCTCACTTAGCTTGGGTTGATCGATGGCTAACTCTCGGTAGTCAGGAATGAAGTATCCAATCAAATAGCATTATAGTAAGATAGATTGATAGTGCTAGTAGTTAAGTTGTAAATGGAATTTATATCTGCCAGTATCCAACACTAGATAACAATAAAAGACCAGCCTTCATGAATGAAGCAATTGGAAGGGGCACTGAAAAAGTAAAATATGAATAGTAAATAGCCCAATAGTAAGAACAAATGAATATGGAAGAGGACTGATAAATGAACAGGGCAATCGAAGATCTGGGGTATAAGGATGTGCGCATCTTTCACTCACTATGGCCTGCAAATATTGAATGGAAAAAAAAAAAAAAAAAAAAAAAAGAAGACAAATAGGAATCATAACACAAGCCGGCCATCCCATGCTACACATTCTTTAGCGCACCACTCATTCAATATGGACCAACCGAATCGGACAACTTCCACCGGCGTTGTTGTCCTGCGTAGGGGCAAGAAATACTCCCCAGAATATTCGCCGACTTTCAGTTGTTGATTTCCATGTTCGGAATAATTCGTGCAACGGTTGGACCATGTCATTGGGAACTCACGTAGAAGGACATCCTCTGAGAGTCCTCGAGTGCCTTCGATCCATAACCTTCTGGCTTCTTTGAAGCATTCAGGAAGCCGTGCCTTCAGCTCAAGAAATTCCTTCCGACTCCTTTTGATATTGTCCTTCATAACGTTCACATCACTCCCTGGAGCGCTGTCACCTGGGAGAGGGGTAACTGCGAGACGTTCTATGTCAAGAGCGTGAATCGCATCGTAAGAAACAGCACCTAGAATTAGGCAGAGACTATGCAGTTGCCGGTACGGTGCGCTGTTTTTTTTTACTACACGCCAATATGCGAGGATAGATAGCCAATTCGATGATTCTCCGACCTGGCGCGCCAAATTTTTGGACTGGTCATCGGCAACAAACGCTAGAATGAAGCAGAGAATCGCTTCAATTGCGGTGACCGCTGCAAGCTTTTCATCTGCGGCTGTCACATTATCCTTTGCCGTGTAACGCTCTGCGGCATGTTTTAGTTCACGGCCAAGATTTCCGTATTTCTGGAATTCATCTCTCCAGGCTCGCCGCTCGCGATTTCGCTCGCGATTTTCTTGAGTTTCAGACTGGGGTGACAGCTTCGTAACAGCTTCGGAGTTATCCGGCGTACGCTTGCTGGCTTGTCGAGACGATGGTGTTGTCTTTCCGTCATCAGTAGGTTCAGCCCGATGCATAGTCTTATTACTATCTTTCACTGGAGTTATTGACACCTTTCGTTCTTGATTTTGAGTAGACATCGAAGGAGGCAGCAGAATTGGCGTATTGGATTCTGCAGAAGGAGTCTTCTTAGGGCCCTTCAAGCGCTCTCCGTCTAAACTACCTGTTTCATCGCTCCTTGTTCTCTTCTCGGGCACGTTGGATGCGAGAGTCAGATGGTCCGGCCCTTGATCTTTTTGAGAACACTCCTCTTCCTTATTCCAGTGGTTATCTTGAAGAATCGAACCTTTAACAGGTGAACCTCCAAGGACCACTTTCCTCTTACCAGAGAATCTGAGAAGAGCTTCCACTCGCTTTCTGTTGGATCTACCATATTTCAGTTTGACAATTCGTCGTGCATTAGCTGTATTGACATTATGGAGTGTTTTGGCGCTAACTGACGATGTATAAGTATTCGTCGTATTAGATGCGTGAGGTCGTACATGCTTGTCAATGGTGTCCGAGTGCATCTTGCTTGCCGAACGCTCGAAAGTATGGTGATTACCTGAATCTAGACCCAAACCCTTATCCGCTGGATCCAGCGGTTTGCTGCGAAGACCCCGACTACCATGGTTCAACGAAGTTACCGGTTGTGACCTGGCGTAGCTGGCTAACTCGATCATTGCCCGATCATCCTTCCTCGCCATCGACGTATTGGAGACGCCCCGTTTATGACGTGAACTCCGCACTGGAGATTCTTCGCGCAGTTTCGCAAGCTCTTTTTCGATATCTGGCGGAAGTGTTGGTGATAAGAGTCGAGGAAGTTCAAGGCTGAAAGAAGTCGGAGGTAGTGTTGGAGAGAGAAGAGCAGGGACACCATTGGGAATATTCTGCCCGTGGTCAGAGTCTTTGCTCACTGCCCTCTCGGGTGAGAGTCGCGGTCGTTTTGGAGAACGAATCTCTGATTTCCTTGCTTCGCGTGGTTGTAATTGTCCAAGCTCGGGCTCGGGAGCACGTTTTTGCCCTATGCCCTCAGCAACAGATGGAATGGCCTTCTTGGAGGATGAAGAAGGTTTCGGTTGGTCTTGGGCACTATTTTCCATAAGGCTATCTCGGGAAACTGGTCGATTATCGCCAGATCCTTGTGAAACAGAGACCTTTCTATTCGCGACCTCTGAAAATGAAGAGGCAAGAAAATCACCCTTCTTTTTATTCTTATAATCGCTCAAACTGATCTTCTTTTTAGAAAACCCGCCGACCGGGGTGCTTGCGGCACTTTGTGCCCCTAGGTGTTGATCCGCCATGGCGTTCCCTGTTTCATCTGACCAATCTCCCACAGCCAGAAGTAAGGAATCCCCTTCGTGGTGTGTCAAAAATGTCATATACTGGAGTTGTTGTTCCTCCGGGGCGAATGGTCCGTCCGCCCCAACTGCCCAATTGTTGACGAACCGACTTCCGAGCCGGAAAGGCACATCGGTCGGAACAGTGAGGAGAAATGGATAGAAAGGAAGAACCTCTTCCTTGAGGCGTTTCAGTCGTAGGTCAATCGATTCCTGTTCCGATGCCGGTTGCCTTTTCGAAGCGAATATGGGGTTTCCTATTTCGTGATCTGCAACCGGTGATAGTTGGTTCACCGACATTGCAGTCTGCCGGGTGTGAAATTACGGGGATGGTTAAGTCGAGGCAAGGCAATGGAGGATGCTATGGTAGGGAACCCAAATGCGTCAATGGGGTTAGGAAATGAGGGACTAGGTCCCCTATAGCAGCGTTGTGATGAGGACGAAGATAAGACACCAGAGGAAGGCGTTGGTTATCCAGATCTTGAACTTCTTGGGCAACCTTCACCCAGACTCAAAGAGAAAATGAATAAGCGCGAGTGAAAAAGAGAGAAAGAACATGGACGAAAGAAAGGGAAGAGAAAAAGAGATATCTGCGAAAAGCCAGATTTAGTTAGTCCAATTAGCTTGATGGTTATGTTGTTGTTCCCCGTCAAGGACTCGTGTGTACAGAAGTACATTGAATTGAACCCAATGGTAACAAGAAGGTCCGACAAATGTACCAGACAGACCTCGATCAAGTTGTGGAGATCAAGCAGACTCCCTGATGGACTCTATACGACGACGCGCGAGTGTACCCCTCCAGGTGCCTGTTCCACGGAGACGCCTAGCGCAACCAGTTAGGAAAATGCGCGAGTAGCAGCCCTGCGGCGGAGATGGGATTTGGTATGGCCGGCAGTGGGGTGGGGTACAGGATTCCATAGGTAATATCTCCGGAATGACCATGACAAGCCAGGATGCACCGGGCCCTGGAAGAAAAGAAGGGTGAAGGAGGATGGGGCTGAGGCTGCAGTGGAGGTCCGTCCTTGGCAGGTTTGGAGCAATCGACAGCGTGCCGTAAATTAACAACACTCGCAGATGCAGTGATATTAATAAATAAATATTAATAACATCGCGTGAGATCAATGTCGACTCGGGGTCGCTCTGCTATAGCACTAACTACAGCTGCTGCAATCTATTAATTTAAACTACTGCAGTACGTTACCCGACTTGAGAATGTATTACATCACTCCATAAATGACACTTGAGATTGATATATTTGACCTTCGTTTCTTGAGACGCTAGGTGAAACGGTAATTACTGCCATAGTAGATTCCATAACAGGGGTGAATATGCACTGGTTGGCAGTCCTTGCATGTGTACCCCTTATCGACCTGGATGTCTGGCAACATTGACAACCAGTGGTTACTATGAACGATCGTCTGCTGCGAATTTGTCTTGCCAGAAGGCCCTGAAATGTTTCTGCTGGCCCAATTCTGAAATTTCGTTGATCTCTCTGGGAGTCAATTCGAAGGTCAGAGCCTGCAAGTAACTGACAAGACGCGATTCCTTGCTGCTTGTAGTGATTGTCACGTCGCCGCGATCTATGGACCACCTCAGCAGTATCTCGGCCTCGCTAACGGCATACTTCTTTGCCAGGGCCGAGAGCAGGCCATCCAAAGGTCCCCCATTTGCGCGAATAATAGGAGTCAAGGGTCCATAGCTGGCTGTCTTGATCCCTCTTTCTTGGTGGAAAGGGACAAGACCGCCATGCTGAAGGTACGGGTGGAACTCGATCTGATTGATCGATGGAGGCACCTTGGCGGTCTTAAGGATGACTTCGAGATGACTTTGCAGGAAGTTGGACACCCCGATAGACCTTGCCTTTCCGGACTCCTTGACTGCTTCCATAGCGGCCCAGGCATCTTGTAACTCCTTGTCGGATTTGGCGAAGAAGGGGGAATGGATCAGATACCTGCAAAGGTTCGACAGTTAGCCAGATGCCGGCCACCACCGGGAAAATAAGCAAAACGCCATCTGGTGTGGTTATTGCATACAAATCTACATAACTAAGCTGGAGTTTCCGCAGACTCGCATCAATCGCTTTTGGAATATCAGCGATATTGGTGATAACCTTCGTGGTCACGAAGAGCTTCTCTCTTTCCACACCACTCTCCTTGACCGCAAGACCCAGTTCCTCCTCGGTGTTATAGACTTCTGCCCCATCCAGATGATTATACCCTAGCTTGATGGCAGTTTTGACCGACTCCACCAGTTCCCTATTGATTTTGGTGTCTCCCGCTTTCTTATACCAGGCGGTCCCTGCGCCATACCCGAGCTGCCATAATCAGAATATACGCCGTTGAGAGGCGATCGCCAGGTTTCTACTTACAATCGGGATAGAAATGCCATCGTTGAGTTTCACGCTCGGAATTATCTTCACAGCGTCGGGCATCTTCACTGTGGGCAGGGAGAAGTTGTTCTGCTTGGTTTTAGGTGATGCGAAGTTTCGGAGTTGCGTGTGGGATCTGGATGAGACACTCAAGAATAAGGGTAGGAAGGAGACTGGTGATTTCTACGAACCCTGCTGGGGCCATATCATATATATATACTCTTCTATTGCGTTATATCGTGGGTATATTCCGTTGCCGAAGATGGGGGCGAATTGATTCCGCAGTGGATGCGGATACTATGAGCTCCGTATGGCGCATCCCCACGAATGCAATCTACATGCGAATAGGATTACCACTCTGCTTAGGAGGCGTTTGAAGCAGTAATAGGACGTGACTCGTGGGCGAACCCATTCAACCTAATCTTCATTATTATTAAGTCAGTCAGTTAACTAACTTATTTCTCCGAAACAATCCAGTTATGGCGGGATGATGTCACTTCAGATCTAGAAAATAATTATTAATGCCCATCGCTTAAGCATATAAAGTAGATGCTGTGCGGACATATATATACATCTATCAGCATTGTCCATGAAATTCTCACCTTTTGGCCCTCTATATTTCACCAATAAGTAGCATCCCACTGCACTCAGTGAGCCCAGGCAACTGTTACATATATGCTTGCAAGGCTCATCCGACATAGCTTCCATCAGACGAGGCTGCATTTCTACAGCAACATGGCCGGGGTTTCGCTTGATGAGCTTCCAAAATCAAGTGTCTTTACATCGAAGCTTCCGCCCGATCCCCAGTTTCCGATGCCCGAATCTTCCCATAATGCGCCTAGACAACATCTCGGCCCTCGCTTGGTGAAAGGTGCCATGTACACTTTTGTTCGCCCTGAGCCAGCGGAGGAGCCAGAGCTCTTAGGTGTTAGCCCCAAGGCAATGGAGGATATAGGGCTGAGGAAAGGAGAAGAGCATACACCCGAATTCAAATCATTGGTTGCTGGAAATAAGTTCTTCTGGAGCGAGGAGAGTGGCGGAGTATATCCGTGGGCTCAGTGTTACGGAGGTGAGATTATCTCTGATGGCTCTAAGTTTATACGGTAGCGGTCTGCTGACGGGGTTTATTTTTAAAAATTTTTTGAAGGATGGCAATTGTACGCTTCCCAAGGCTCTTAACCCCTATCGCATAAGTGTTAACAATTTCTGGCAGTGGTTCATGGGCAGGCCAGCTCGGAGATGGGGTGCGATCTATGTCTATGTCCATAATTTGTTTTTGGGGGAGCGGGGCGACCGATTGCTGACTGAAGTAGCGCGCGATAAGTCTTTTCGAGACCGTTAACCCCAGAACGAATACCCGGTTTGAGTTGCAACTCAAAGGCGCTGGCAGAACGCCCTATTCGCGCTTTGCAGATGGCAAGGCTGTTCTTCGGTCTAGTATTCGCGAATACATAGTCTCAGAAGGTATTGAATCAAGTCCTATATGACTATATATGGTGCTCACTCGCTGAATCACCCAGCTCTTAATGCACTCGGTGTGCCCACTACCCGAGCGCTTTCTCTTAGCCTACTTCCGAAGTCGAAGGTTATACGGGAACGCCTCGAACCCGGGGCTGTAGTGGCTCGCTTTGCTGAAACATGGCTGAGAATTGGGTCCTTCGATATTCTACGTGCACGCGGCGATCGTAATCTAATAAGAAAATTGGCCACGTTCATTGCTGAGGATGTCTTTCCCGGGTGGGAATCACTTCCCGCAGCTCTCTCCTCAGACGAAAAGAACCCCCCAGCTGCTGTTGATAATCCACCCAGGGGTGTCGCCCGAGATGAAATACAGGGACCTCAGGAGGAAAATCGCTTTGCAAGATTATACCGAGAGATCGCCAGGAGAAATGCAAAAACAGTGGCTGCGTGGCAGGCATATGGATTCATGAATGGCGTGCTGAACACCGATAATACGTCAATATATGGCCTGTCGATCGACTATGGCCCTTTTGCTTTCATGGACAATTTCGATCCTAACTACACTCCAAACCACGATGATGATCTTCTGAGGTATTCTTATAAGAACCAGCCCAGTATCATCTGGTGGAATCTAATCAGACTTGGGGAATCATTCGGAGAACTCATAGGAGCTGGCAGCAAAGTTGACGATGAAAGTTTTGTGAAAGATGGCGTGACGGAAGAATTTGCTCCTACCCTCACCAAACGTGCAGAAGATATCATCGGACGAACGGGTGATGAGTTCAGAACCGTCTTCCTGAATGAGTACAAGAGGCTGATGGGTAGAAGACTTGGATTAAAGATCAACAAAGAATCAGACTTTCAAGTTTTATACTCGGAATTGCTTGACACAATGGAAGCCCTGGAACTTGATTTCAATCACTTTTTCAGACGGCTGTCAGGACTGGCCCTTACTGACGTGGACACTGAAGAGAAACGGAAGGCAATAGCGCAAGTATTTTTCCACGACGAAGGTGTCGGAGGGATAGGAAATACAGAGGACTCCTCGAGGGATCGTATAAGCAAATGGCTCGATAGCTGGAGACAACGAATACTCGAAGATTGGGCTCCTGACCAAGACAAGGAAAGACAGGAGGCCATGAAGGTCGTTAATCCAAAGGTGACAACCAACTTCTGAATCTTCTGTGGATGTCCCTGATTGACACCGGGTCTTTCTAGTTTCTCCCACGGGGATGGATCCTTGACGAAGTCATCGAGCGCGTCGAGCGTAAGGGTGATCGACAGATCCTGGACCGTGTGATGCAGATGTCATTGAATCCTTTCAACGACGAATGGGGCCTAAACAAAGAGGAAGAGGATCGTTTTTGCAAGGATGTTCCCAGATTTAAGAGAGCAATGATGTGCAGTTGCAGCTCATAAAATTATGCAGCTATTACTTCCATGCCAGAACAACCATATGAGGCAGCCAGTCCGTTTCTTATCGTACTCAAGACAGGCTCTGGCTTCTTCATAAGCCCAGATGAAAAGGAGTCAGTCCTTATTTGAAAGAGGCAAAAGACAACGGCTCTACATCGGAATGAATGTTGCGAGGAGATAAGAATATAGAATGTGATCCGGTATAAGAATGGAATTAATTCAACTTTTGATACAGGCAAGAAACAATGTAAATGAGTTTTTGACCACAGCGTACACGGTTGCTAAGGGCAATCTTTTAAAATGGCGGTAAAGGCAGAGGTGGAGGGAAGGAAATCAATTACCGGAAAAGATCTGAGTGCCCAGTGAACTCTCAATGAAACCAGCTGAAAATGGGTGTTTAAGAAGGCCCAACACATGATTATACCGAAATACAGAACTTTTTCTTTTTTTTTCTGGCAAGGAAGTGGTCGCAGACTGCTATACATACATTTCCAAATTATGTCAAAGAAGAACCGTATATGCCCTTTTGCAACAGACCGTCTGGGACCATTTTCTCCCCTTCCACATGCGCCATGCCAGGAGTTAAATGGCTTTTGACTGTGCCATCATCGCTCGAGGTGAACGTTGGTATCATTTTTTGACATTGAACGAAAAAAAGAAAAGGACATCATTAAAGATCGTCATGATCTCGCCATGAATGTAGAATTTGAAACCGACAAAAAAGAGTGATGGAGAGGAGACGGCTTGAGACATCATGAGGAGCGCACTTGATAAGTGAGGGAAATCCTCATTCATACATATCTTAGTATATGCAAGCACTATAGATGGTCTCAAGAACCGACTGCCACTCTAATTGGGACAGGCAGCCTGAACGTGGCCTGGCTGCTTGCACTTGTAGCAAACCCGCTCACCCTTCGCCTCCGTAGGACAGTCGCGGGAGACATGCCCAACCTCTCCACCTATGGACGGAACTTAGTTATGAAACAGCTGGGAAACGGATCAAACCTACAGTTGTAGCATTTTTGACCCTGGGTGCAATCACGAGCCATATGACCGAAGCCGCCGCAGGAATAACAGGTCTGCTGGCGTCCGCCATAGCCGCCGTATCCATTACCGAAGCCACCGCCCTGAGAGCAGTTGCGGGCAATGTGACCGACTTGACCACACTTATAGCATTCTTGACCACCAGTGTAACTATCGCCTGCCTGAGGGCATTCACGGGAGATATGCCCAGTGGCACCGCAACGGTAGCAAGACTTTTCCTTAGGGGCTACAGTGCACTCGCGACCTATTGGATGCCAACCATCAGTGAGACCTGGATGGTATATAGGAGATGTGAAGTAACTTACTAACGTGCCCTTGTCCTATGATTTCAAAAGGAAAAGGAAGGGAATTATCAGCAAGTCGTGCTACCCTCAAAAAAAAAAAAAAAAAAAAAAAACATACCACCGCAGTTGTAGCTATTGAATATAATGTTAGCAATCCCATTGTTTATCTTCTGCAGGCTGTACTGGGATGGAAAAGAATATATACCATGTTGGAGTTCCCTTCTTCGGACAGTCACGCGCCTAGTGGTAAAGCAAGTATGAATTCTTTGTCCCTTATGTAGAAATTCCTGAAAAGCAAAAGTGAGAAGGGTCCCTTTTACCTGATGTGACGCATCGCCGCCTAGGTTTTAAGAGAAAGGTTAGTCCAAAGGATATTTCGGGAAGGAAAAAGAACAAAGTAATGGTGATACCAGTATTGGCGCACATGAAGCCAATCTGCTGATATCTGATCTATTTAGATCGATCCAAGCGAGTAATACATGGCCGAAAAGAGCACAGAAAATCAAGCTGGACTTTTTGGTTTCCCCCAAGAAATGCAAGGATGCCAGAGGAAGTTCGCAGAGATCACCATCTGCAAGTACAGCAGTGCCATATGTCAAGACTCACAATTGAAGCATCCACGACCTCCAGACTGGTAATCCATGTCGGCCAATGATATTTGGTAGTACTGAAAGGGTCGATTGAAGTGGAAGGAATCGAAGCAAAATCTTGTATATTTCGTCGTACGAGGTGGCGGTCAGAAATTGAATATTATGAAACACAGATAAGATACTAGTGCGGAGGACTTGTGGTTCCTGGCAAGACTCGAGTCTCGCTTCGGAGAGCGGATGAGATACACAAGAACACAGCAACCACAAGAAAATATACGAAAATAAAAGAAAAGAGGACAGTAAAAATAAGCGAAAAAGAGAATTGAGCTGAATGAAAATAGTGATGTTTTCGTTGCTGGAATTCCGAGAACACCGATAAAAGGAGCCAGAAAATAACAAACTTGGTAAAACGATGCAATGAAGGGCAAGGCCAGAACTGACAGGTAGAAGAGATTGCACATTCACTGGTCCTTCAGAGGCCTGTCTCTTCGCCTAATGCCAGAATTGGTCATAGCAATCTGGTGAATCTTACTCTCACAACCATCTCTATGGGATCGAAGGATACCTCGACCCTTGCAAGTGCGAGAGTAATGGGCCCCACAAAAGGCAGTTCAGAGTGCTGAATGATGGCGTAGCATAGCTATCAGTCTTCTCCAACCACATCATGTTCTGGAGAACTGTTTTAATCTGTCCAGACTCGATACCCGAAGGGCTGCTAAAAGTTGAGTGGTTTGTCGCATATCAAATAGGACGAGTTTAGACACGGACTTTTGGCCAAGTGGAAGCAGAGAAAATGAAAGAAAATGACAAGATAAACATCCCGCAGCAGAGCAACCTGAAAGGCGACCGATGTTGAATGAACCCTGCATGCAGGGTTTAGGTAACTTTCCATCCTCCAAGGTCCTCGGCGACATGTGCAATTCAGGGCATTGAAGAAACTCAAGATCTATATTAGTCTGTGACTTGGTAGGGTTTCTCTCTATACCTGGAGGCGTTATTCTATAGAAACCAAAGGAAGTTAGGGTCTACGTGAAGTCATAACATTCGAGCCACGGTGTTCCCAAGCCCTTTTCTCGAAACAACAGTACTCGCTCGTCATCAAACCCAACACAGCCGCGCAGCATGCCCATCTTATTTGGCGTATCCCCAGACGCAACCTGGGCAGCATGACCGACAGTATGAGAAAGCATGTCAAGATCACCGGATTTCCGATGTCGCTTGTTTTCTGGCGTGATTTGAATACTATTTTCACCCCGCAATGCATTGCGTCTCCCAGAGGAAGACAGAGCTGACTCGAGCTCCCAGATTCTGATTTCATCGCCAAACGAGCCAACTGAGACAGCCTTGCCACGATCACTCACATGCACTGCGGAAACGGACGATGTGTGGCCCCAAAGTCGCTCACCACTTTTGACAAAAAGACTTTCCGATGTAGAGACAACAATGTACATCGTTAGAGTATTGTCTGCATGGGAAGTCAAGAGATAAGGATGAGAATAAGACATCGATGTGGGGGGTTGTTGATGCAGTATAGATGGTTCTGCTGGTGCCACCGAAAGCTCGCTGGCCACACGATTTTGAACCCCAGAAAGCTCCACCGACGGGAGGACAGTTCGCATATGTCTCATGCCGTACTGAGAGTCCACGGTAGTTGCAAGCCGGGAGCCTATCTGTTGACCGTCTCGATTAAGACGCAATTCCTGGATTCCCAAAGACCATCCACATCCAAGATGGAAGAAGCTGTAGACTATCGATGAAATTATCTCTGATGCCGAAATGCGGATCGCCAATGACATGGGCGCTACAATACTATCCGCCCTGAGCGACATCAATAGACGCGGCTCCGCAGCCTGCTCATTTTTATTTGCACCTTCAGGTGTAACCGGCATCTCGTATAATGAAAGCACATTATTTTGTGAAACCATTAAGAGATACGGGGATGACGAGGCCATGGCAATAACTGACCCCTCGGTGGATCCGTCATGAGATGAACGCAAACATAGGAGCGAGGTTCTATGGTCGAAATCATAGACGCTGAAGCGCCCGTCTTGAAATCCCACTGTAACCTCGATCGTAGTGCGATGTTGAGATTCTGCAGCTGTCAGAGCTGTTGGGGCAGCACATGGAGTCTTATCAGGCCCACTGAAGGGAATATTCGCCACACAGGAAGTCGGATTTTTAGCAATCCAAGCACGAAGCCCGTACCGAGAGTCCGCCGTAAAGAGGATCCCAGCGCAGAGCTTCGCGAGAAACGGAGAAACAGATGCCTGGGGCAATTCAACTTCGGTTACCCGACATACTCCTTTCGACCAGTTATGCCTAAGACGATATTGTCTCTTCCAATTTGTAACATTTTCACCCTCGGCCAGATGGCTGTGACCTAGCCACGTCGATACTTTCGGCGAATACACAAATTTTCGCCGAGACAGACTTGAGCGCCTCGCATTTGGTAGCCGACGCGCACGCGGCCATACCCATCGCGAGTAATATTGCCTCTTCCAAAGTTCCGAGTCGGCTGCCAGGGCATAGAACCGGCGTGATAACCTGAAGAAAGAGGTCAGTGCCGCTTCAATTTTTTTTATCTTTCTCTAATCTTTAATACTTATATGGATACTCGGTACCTTTGGCAAGTGTTTAACGTTGGTATTGGGAGGAAAGACAGAATGTGGAGTAGCAGTTCGTCACTCAAAGACGAGAGGCGGTCAGGCGAACGGATCTCATTGCGGATACGCTTGGGGGGTGGAAAGTCTCCATGCGTATCGCATCTAGATCGTTTCAGCATTCTGCTACGTTGCGGATATGTATATACAACAGCAAGGAACGAAGAAGACGAAGTCAAGAGGAAGCTGACGGCAAACCAAACTACTGGAGGGCAGAGATACGTCAGACTGCTTAGATAACGGCCGGCTTCCGATAACTAGTTAGTCAAGCTTGCCCGCGCATAACCACAATACGCGTCTACCCGCGTCTTGACTGCCAAGGCACTGGCCTGTCACTAAATACTTACCATGGAGGTCCTCAAACGCCTTCAGACATCTGTTGCTCGAGCTTTTGATGAATCCTTCGACGATGCATACAGACACTTGAATGCCGATCTTGCTCTTCGCGATGCGAAGGTCAGTGAAGCCGAGCTTGCCCATGACGAGCGGATGAAAGCCCTCGCAAAAGTTGAAGAACTTGAGCGTGATATTTCTGCCCTTCAAACAGAACTAAGACAGTACACGAACGGCATGAATGACGTTGAAGATTCTGTAACTATGACCAAAGATCTATTGCATCAGGCATATGCCCCAGAGCATGTTCTGGCCGACACAGTCGACGGCCAAAATGGCCACTCACCCCTGCCGAAACGAGCAGTTGAAGCTAAATACAGGGCGCTGTACAGTGATGCCCAGAAACTTGCGGAAGCCAACAATCGTCTTAAAACTGAACATGCGCGGCGAAAAACCAAGTTACTGCGACTGCAACAGTACATTGGCCGTGATGAGTTCACAGTTGTGCTTGATGGAGGAGACACAGTTACATTCAGACGGGTCCAAAGGATTTCCAATGGTGTGGATTATAAGAATAAAAAACCGCGAATCTCCAAGCCGAATGCTGGGCAGTTGGGCCCGTCTGATCAACGAAGTGAAGTCGAAGCATCTACAAAGAAATCCAGCCCGTCCACTCGGATTATGCGGGAAAGTAACGGCTCGGAGTTGAGGACCAATGTTGCAAATGATACCGACAATGACCATTCCATACGACTCAATTCTGACCAGTTAGACCTGGCCTCGACGCAGTCTGGCGACTCATCAGGACCTGAGGGCGCTGTGCTGGGCCATTCTTCTGGCGCCCCGATTGCGGAGGTGCTGCATGTGCGCAAGAGAAAGCGAACACCGTTACCTGAATCTCGCCATATGCATTCACACCTCTGTGACACTGCCACGAATGAAAGCTCGGAGAGGCCCGTTTTCATAAAAAGCGAAAGCGTATCCCCTGGTCCATTGCAAAGTCCCCTACGGGATCGCCCCCTGATCTCGGCTGGTACCCAGGATCTTGATGATATTGGTGTTGCTATTGGAACTCCGGAGAAAAGAGCAATTTCTACCCACCGGACACCTTTTTCGCCTCGCGATATTCCAATGCCGACAAGCGATCTCAACGACAGTGATCATCATAGCCGTGGTCAGCAGCAACGGATCGATTCAGAACCATCCAAGCGTCCCACTGTTCTTCAACCCATTGACAGCAACGCTCAAGCTCTCAATAGATTTGATTGCCAAACTGATTTCAAGAAGAGGAAAGTTCTAGCCATACCTTCAATAACAGAAGATGGTGATGAATCCTATCTTCACTTTGAAGGAAGGAAAGCAACGAGCATGCTTACGCATAATAGAGAGTTAGAACAGTTATCCGCTCCTTCCACAATTCATCAGCGGTTAGAGAATCTTCTTAACGGACCGTCACCTTCCAAATCACCACTTCCTTTTCCAAAGAGTCCTAAAGGACTTAGCCTTCCGCCACACAGCCATGATGGTCAAATAGGACGGGATCTATCGATTCAGCACAATATTTCTACATCGAGCGGCGCTACTACACGGCCAGTGGTGGCGTCAAGCGAGGCTGGCAATATATATAATCCCCGGCGAATCAATGTTGGCAATGAGTTACCTGACATGGTGTCCGAGGACAAAGGTCATCGATCAGGGCTAACCCACAGGCTTGATCTTAGTGATTTTAGGGTAAACCCAGCGAAAAACCAGGGGCTTGACTTCCCATACAAGTCGGTGGTCCGGAAGAAAGATGAGCGCAAGTGCCTTCCCGGTTGCGTTAGTGAGGACTGCTGCGGGCCAAAATTTCGGCGCATTGCTCGCAGTCTCCCTTGTACAGAAGATGAGGCACGGAAAATCGTGGAGGATTATCTCGGAGATGAGAGACACATACTTGCAAGGATTAGTGACGACGAGCGTGAGAGGATTTTCTTGGACGCGAGAGCATGGTCCCTTGCAAATCGATATGGTAGACACAGAAAGAATCACCAACGTGCGCCCTCTCCTCCCGGATTCTGGCGTACGGAGATGCCTGATACCCAAGAATTAAGACATGACCGTGAAGAGGCCGAAAAAATTGAGCAGGAAACAATAATGGCGCGCCGTAGAGAGGCAATGCGACCGGGAGGCCTATGGGAATTTGCAGACCAGTAACAGGACACAGCGAAGTTAATGTCGTTATAACTAGTATCGAATCTAATATAGATAAATATCTAGTTACTAGATCTGACGCTTACAAAGAATTTCAGCCGGAGCAACACGAAACATAATAGGCTTTGAAAGCCCGGATGGAATGTTAGTGCTGCTTGTTTTCGAGGATCAGTAACTACGCTGTACGTCTACGTCAGCGGGTGTCAATTACAATAAACCTCGGTATAGGTCTCTTGGCAGATGCGGAACACGTGCCGGGGGGTCATACCCAGTTTGTTATGTATGCTATGCTCCCCATTAGATATTTGTCTAGTATCCGTATACCGATCGTCTTGAGCCTTACCCCTTCCTGCGCTGGGGTGGAAACAACTGTCAGTGCTTGCTCCAATGCCCACTTCTGCCAAGTTCGTTTGAGAGATGGAATCTATCCCGAAGGCCCAGCATCAGGTGCCTACTGCCTTGCTACATCCTTCAAAATGGCTTTACATGTACGAGGACTTCGTGACAAAGAACGCTAGCTCTGTTGGGCAGGTCGAGTCGGCACTAAGATCCTTGACATATATCATCCCAGGTGAGATGGCAAAATCTCACATTAAGGACGCCTTACTGCAATAGGTTCTAACTGTGGTCTCTGTCTAGGACGGTATCGTGATTCGGAGGTACCATCGGAATGTGGTATGCTCCTATATCTTTATTTTACATTGGGAGGGTAGATTTGTTGACTTATCTAATAGTACACTCTGTGGTTCAACTTCTTTCCCTATACCACGATTCCCTCGTGTCTCGGGTTATAGCGAGACTTCCTCCGACCATTCCTCGTCCTACGCCGACCCCACACTCCCGATATACAAAGTACTGGGTTTCCCATTCCCAATTGTATCATAAAGTGGCCGTTATCCTTCGGATGATCCAATATACAGAGTTGCTGTGGGAGATGATCGCGCGACGACGCGGAGAAAAGGTCCGCTGGCGCGTGGTGGTCTTCGTCGAGATCTCCAAAGCTCTGTGCCGTCTGCTCTTGCTACGCCTAACAAATTCCAGACCGCTAGTCAGCCCTCCACTTCCTGAGCGCGAGGCCGATCCGAGGACCCAAGATGAGGAAGGCGAATGGAATAAAGCGGAGACACCTGAGGCTGAACGTTCACTGGATATGAACTGGACAATGCCACGTACTGGATTGTCTCTACCGTCTCTTCCAGACGTGAATGATGTATCGAATTACCTCATCTCGAAAGTGCTCACAGCGGATGATATCAAACCTCCAGCGGCTCTTTTACACCGGATTGCGGGGCAGGGTCAGCTAGCTGAAGTCTTATACATCCTTCGTCCAGTCATCTATGCATTGGCGTTGCAAAGATGGAGTGGGAACAAACGAAGTTGGAGACCATGGCTGATAGGGTTTGGTATGGAGTATGGATGCCGACAACTCGCCAGGAAAGATTGCCGGGAAAGGATTGCAGGAGGCCTTCGAGGACTCACGGCACTCGAACGAGAGGAATTGAGAAAGCGGGGCTGGGCAATGGGCTGGTGGTTTATGCGGGGCGCTTTTTATCAGAATGTGACAAAGTAGGGAATCCACTCCATGATTGATAGGAACCAGAAGACTGACAGGAAACAGACAATGGCTGAAAGCCTTAATTGGAAAGATGAAGGGAAAGCCTCTTCTTGACCTGATCGGCAGTATTGTGGAGGATTATGAATACCTTTGGGACACGTACTATTTCCCGACTGCGACACTCTAACCTTCCTTTTCTTTGTCATTATTATTATTACCTTTCATCCCTTCTTTTCGTTTTCTTCTCTTTTCCTTCAAGCATGCTTGGCCCGAGGACTCTAGGGGCTTTTACGCTTTACGAGGGTGTTGTTTCAGACAGTCAAGAGGTATTGTTGGGAGTTAAATGAGATTGGATACCCAACAGGCTTAGGAAGTCATTCAATTTTAATTCTGGGAAGAAAACAAAGTACGCAATGATCATAACTCTTTTACAATTCACTGGTTAATTAATCCATTACACTTGTCATAAGATTTCCGTTGCTTTATGTCCATACCATTCCCGCAATCCGTCATCACTGGCATTCTTCCCTGGTCCCGGCGTACAAAGAAAGTCTGTTAGACTCGCATTATTTTCTTCATATACAGGCCAGTCGACTGTGGTCCCTCCTTTCAACTCCAGCATTTCTTTTGCAGTACCCCAGCTGAATCGGCAGACATTGTGCCAACCAAAAATAGGATTCATGTTCCTCTGCAGCCAGCCCACACACTTAGAATCTGATGGATAACCACTGCCCCAACCTTCTGTGGTCCGCAGATTTTGGGAGGATTGTTGATTGATATCTTGTTGACTTCCGAGCAATTTCTCGTAGCACACTTCCAATCCAGCATCCCTAGTCACTTTGGCAACAACGCTTGCGGCACTGACGCATGGATACAACGAATCTGCCTTCTTCGCCACCGTTATTTTCAGCGAAGGGAAGATTCGTTCTAATTTTTGCTGATAGGTTGTTGGGTTCCCAATAGTATCAATGTAGACCTCTCTTACATCCACTTTCCTATCCTCTACAATGCCGCGGATGATTTCGATGGTAGCATCCATTGCTTGCGCATTTAAATTGTAGATCCCGGTTCCCGGCCGCATCATGCCTGACGAAATATCTCGCGCTGAAAGAACTTTGACTGCCCATCCACAGGACTTGAAGAGTGAATTTCCAGGAGTGCAAAGTAATCGCATCAGATTGGAGCGAACGCCGGGGGTGAGTGTTTTACTGTCATTGAAGCTATACTCGTGAGTCAAGAGCGAGCGATGAAGATGGCTGGGTAGGTAAAAAGCACTGTAGACCATCGGACCTAGAACAGGGCCGCGACCAGCTTCATCAACACCAAGAACGTACGGCTGGCTTGGTTGGTTGCTAGGAGATGTCGATGCATTTTGATCCGTAATTGAGACTGGCTTGGGAGAGTAATAAGAGTAGGATTCACCGGATAGAAGCGAGACGCGGTCTATACTAGGAAGGATAAAAGGAAGACTGTCTTGGAGGATATCGACAGGATCCTGCCTTGAATTCTCCGTGAATATCATGTCCAAATAAAACTAAAATTGAAGAATGGAACAGTTTTGAATAGGCATTGAAATTCTGCAAGTATGATGGTCAACAAATTCGGAGACCCGAAGGAAGCTCTTTGACGCGTCGAAACGGTTCGGGGTTAGTGGCGGATCGCGTCTGCTCTCCGTACAAGCTTGGCCAGTCCGTCTTCCCCTCCGCACCTGTTTGTCCTTCACGGCGCTCGCTCTTTGTCATTAATTTTTTCTAGAAGCCCTTATATGATCCACTACAGACCGTCATTGAAATTATTTTCACAGTTTATCTTTTGTCTGAAGCAACCTTGATATTATCTCCAGCTTTCATCTCTTCGTATCGCCTATTCGTGTGCTGACGATGGCTCCCCGAGGGCCCGCAAAAACCCGCGATTATGATTATTCTAACGTGGGCACTGCGGGAAGGTGAGCATGATATTTCTAGAGACCGTCCTTTTATCAATACGCGACTTGAAATTTGTCCTATAAGCTTTGCGAGCGCTAATTAGGAAATGTGTACAGGCGAACAGGGATTACGCTGAAGGAGGGCAAGCGCGACGAGCATGGGATGGAAGAAATCGAGGGGATGTTTTCATCCCCAGAGAGATCCCCAGTCAAATACAATGGATTATATAACGAGAACGAAACAGCCGGCTCCGAGGGCATGTCAATGGATGAGGGTATGTTTAACGCCTGAATTTTCTCACAAGATTTACTTGGAATTCTGGGCTTGCGATGCGCCAGGTAGTACGACGCAATGCTTACTGTCTGGGTTAACAGGAAGTGCACCTGGCCCTGCCGATTTCTTAAAGGGTAGGCGCGCGTCGTATTTCCCACCACCGGTTGCGCGCTCGCCTGTGAAGACCGGCTTGTCAGGATCGCCACGGAGGACCCCTCGTTTGCGGTCATCGAGTCCACGACGTGATATTCCCTCTTCTGGTACATCCGAGGACCAATCACGCGAAGTTCGTAATGGAAGCCGCCGACAAGATTCCTCGCCTCTCTCTAACCGTCACGTAAACGCGTCAAGTTATACGAACGGCTTGCGGAGTAAGGGCAAGAGCGATAGCAAGGCCTTCAGGCCAGATACTACAGTCGATTTTTCGGACAGCGATGAAGATGGCCAGTTAAATGGTGATGAGAACATGAGCGCATTTGACCAGACACAAGATGACTTGGCTGATGGGTTTGGCGCTGCCAATAGTCCTGTGGTGGATGGCCAGGATGTACTCGACCATGTGGAGTCCGCATATAACAACTCTGATGAAAATTCACCATCGGTTCTAGCCTCCGACTCTCGCAGATCAAGAAGAGGCCGGCCCGCCTCTAAGACGAAGAACTATAGTCCAGCCAGAGCGAACGGTGGTCAAGGAGTTACGCAACACAACACAGCTACCGGAGAATCTCAGCCAAAACGTAAACGCCCTGGACGGCCTCCAAAATCCCAAAACAAGACCAATAATGACGGTGCGGTGGATCGAAGACCATCGAAGAGGGCAAAGACGTCTGACGAAAAGCGCGCTTCTACGTTGAATCCCGAGTTGGATAAAGTTGTCGAGAATTATGCAAATAGCCACACCGGGCCCTTAAAGGGACGCAGCCTATATATTCTCAAGCGCGAGTCACCTTCAGATAGCAATGCCACTCACACTCGGTCGGGCCGAGTGTCCGTACGGCCTGTTGCCTTTTGGCGAAACGAACGGTGTGTGTACGGCAGTGAAGAGGCAGCCGAGGGTCAGCGATTTCCAGTCTTGACAATCAAAGAAGTCATCCGGACCGAGGAGCTACCGCCAGAGAAGAGGAATACGAAGAAGCGTAATTCCTCAAAGAAAACGAAGCCAAGAAAGAGAAAAGAGGATGAATCAGAAGATGAGGATGATTACCTCGATCCGTGGGAGAAGGAAGGGGGTGTCCTTCACGGCTATGTCAGGAAGTGGGATTCTGAAACCCAAACTGGCATCGATGAAGAAGAAATTCTCGGTATTCATTGCGTTTCTCATTTCTTTTTCTACGGTGTTTGCTAATCTGCCTGTTTCAGATATCGCATACGCACCTTCTGGAATTGAGACGAGGGACACGAAGGACTCTTCTTTTCGTTTTGCAAAGCTACTTAGTTCTCCTTTCTTGGGATCTGGGATTGTGGAACTCCCTCCTGGCGGTGTCAAGAAACCCAAGAATTCAAAAAGGATGCACATGCTCTTCTACGTTTGTCGAGGCCGAATCCAAGTTGATGTGTCTGGTGTTCAGTTCAGTGCTGGAAAGGGATGCGTATTTCAAGTCCCGAGAGGTATTATATATTGCCCCCTTCTCCCGTGGTGACATCGCTAAATATTGGGAAATTCCGACTCTTACCTCAATGTAGGCAACTACTACAGCTTCGCAAACGCGCACCAAAAAGTCGCCCGATTGTTCTTCACGCAGGGTTGCGTTCCTGTAGAAAACGACGGCCCTAACTCGGATTCGAAGCCTGTTGCCACCGAGGATGAATCCGCAACTGATGCCCAACCAAACGGCGTAGGGAAGGGCCGGCCAAAAGGGAAGCAGAAAGCTGGAAACGCACATAAAGCGTAGCCAGATGACATGCCCTTTTCGGTTTCCTCCCCCTCTTGAAATCCTCGATATGTTCTGATCCCTAGGTATCACTTGGCTATTTATGCTCTCCTCTTCTTCAAACGTGATGTTAGCACTTGCCTCTTTGTACGTTTCTCTCTAGAGAAGCTCATGTTAGCGATTCAGACGTATGTTTAGATTATTGCATTTCCACCCTTTTTCTCATGGGGATGCTTGGCATTAGGTAGTCAATATTTGTTGGGGTTTCTTCTGGCTGAATCTACTAAGGTATCTTGAATGGAATTATCTTCACGAATATTATGGCAGCCTCTTAATGCTGAGGACATTCTCCCCGGGTATGTCCAGATCACATTTCTTCCATGTTCCCATCTTCCAGGTTGTCATCTAGTTCCAACGGGGGGAAGTCGCCCACTTCAACTTTTTCCGGCTTCACGAAGATGCCACTATTGTTAGGGCAGGCGAAATAGCGCCTGCCGCCAATTGTCCCGTCGTTTTTGCCCATTGGTTCATCAAGTTCAATTCCGACCCAGATTGGCAGGGGACCAGTGTCGGAATTTGCTTCATCCTCTGCGGCTGTTTTCTTAATCCCTGGGAACGGAATTGTCGGTGCTGGACCAACAAAGCGGACAGTACCACGTCGAACATGAGGCGGAGATGAAGGCAGGATAATAGCACGTTTTGAAACGGCGATATCTGATAGTTTGCAATACCACAGTCGTTAATGGATATTCTCTCCGTCAAAAAGGGACCAGTTAGACCCAGATTCCCAATAAAATACTAACCTCTTTTCTTGACCTCCGCTACATCCTTCTCTGCCTGATTGCGCCTCAACTCTTCTGGTGACTGCGCATTAGGGTCAAAACGACCTAGTTTTTGATTCTTTTTCCACGCCAAAACGGAATTTGATAGTGACTCGTATTTTGAATCAGGGAGAACGTATTTTTCGACGGAAGACAGGTCGTTGAAATTTGGTCGCAGCGCTTGGGGACGTGTATCGTGTACCTAGATCATTTCCTCCCTTTCTCGTCAACATCATTTCTTTGCAGTTTTCGGGACTTTAGCAACGCGAAGGGGAAAGAGAAGTCATAATAAACTGTACCTCTATTTCACACCCCTTTGCCAATCCCAAATCCCCAATAATCGTATTATTGCCCTCAATCCATTGATCAGTACGTCCGGGAGTTTTGAGTCGTAATCGCTGGCTACCAGGAGGGACACCGGTCATGGTTTCTAGCTTTGACTTCAATTGTATGACTGACCATGTGGGTGTAATGCGGCGCTCGGTCGCGAAACCCGGTTCAGCTTCCACTGAAGCTGGTGTAGATATAATGACGGAAATGTCCATCGGCGTAGGCTTGAATTCGGACGCCATGAGGAGAGTGCTCAAGGAAGGGGGAGAATAGTATCTAGAATGAAGGGGGTGTAAGGTATCAATCAGGGAGCGCGCTGCCACTTCAATCTCTCCAATCGCTGTAAGAGACTAGTGTAAACAGTACATCCAATTATCTTTTTCAGCGCTAGCAATAAAATGTAGAGAGGTGATTATGGTTTAGAGATTCAGATGAAACAGGCACGTGGAAGAATGCGATAGGTGTATCCGCATAGGAATAAAAAGCAGGTCGAATCTCTCAGAAAAGCTGAGTCGCACTTACAAGGAATAGGCGCGTTAAAGCTCAATGTAATGACAATATGTACAAGAATCTAGTAAATGATTTTAAGTTATATTAACGCGGCCACTAATGGATAGGCGCATGTATGGTCGTATTACTAGGTAGGCCTGCCTGTGCCGTGAGATAGGTAGCGAGGGCGGTCTAGGACGGCAGTACCTCACGTGTACTAACACCCCCCCACGCACGAGCAGCCTACAAACTATGGAATCAATCTAAATACAGAAATCGGCCTCTATTCGGGCCTTCAAATGAGTGAATATATGCAAAAATAAACAGAGGAATGAAGGTTCTGCTTTAGCCAATCGAATGCCGTATATCAAAATAGAAAATATATCCAAAATGGGGGAGATATACGCGGCTTAGCTTATGCCAGTGAGTTGTAGGAAATGATCAAATTGTTCAGTTCGGAGAGGTTTGGTCAGGCCGTCTGCTGCTTGTTCTTTGGTAGGGCAGGCCTGGAGTTTAACAATACCGTCTTGGATCTTCTCCCGAACGTAATGGTAACGTATATCGATGTGTTTGGATCTCTTTGTGGTGAGCTCAGCTTCAGCCATGGCGTGTGCACCTTGATTATCGATATGGAGAGTAATTGGCGGGCATTCAGTAGGGAGTACGTTGAGCTCGTTGATGAGGTTCCGGAGCCAAAGGGCATCTCGGCTGGCTTCACTTAGAGCCATATACTCAGCTTCATTGGAGCTAAGTGCAACGGACGTTTGCTTGCGGCTTTTCCAGGCAATTGGGGCCCCGGCAAGCAGAAATATATATCCAGATACTGACCGGCGATTGCCTGTCAGTTGACCACCCCAATCAGAATCAGTATAACATCTGGGCATGAGGAGGTCAGATGTAATGGGTTCCGTGGCCTTATGGTAGGTAATTTGTCGGTTAATGGAGCCTTTAAGGTAGCGTATAGCGTGTATAAGGGCACGCCATGCCTTTTGGGTAGGTTTGGCGTGATATTGGGATAGTACGCCAACTGTCCGGCTAAGATCAGGTCGGGTTTTGGTGGCTAGCCAAGTAAGGCAGCCTACACCACGTTGATATTCTTTGATGTTCACTGTAGGGTCTGGGTCATCATCAATTATTAAACTAGGATCCATGGGGATCCCAACAGGGTGTGCTTGTGCTTGGCCAAAAGAGGCAACAACGTCTTCAGCATAATTGGCCTGGGAGAGAGTATATGTGGTCTTGGATTGAGAGGTGGCCATGCCAAGGTATTTGGTAGAGTTTCCAACTTCTTTTATGTCAAATTTAGCAGAAAGAGACTCCATAAACCAAGTGGCATCGTTCTCATGCTTAGCATAGACTTTGAAGTCATCCACATGGGTAGTCACATAGAGTTGGGTCCGGGTGGTATGGATCCAGAGACCAGAGTCGTATTCGGAGCTTTTGAAGCCAATTTGTCGTAAGAAAGCATTTAGTGTATCATACCAGATACGGGCAGATGGGATTAGTCCATAGAGGGACTGGCGGAGTTCACAAACCAGGTCTCCAGAGCCTTCTTTGAATCCCTGAACTTGGGTCATAAAGACACGTTTATCTGTGGGCATTTTTCCATTTAGGAAAGCAAGGATGGCATCTGCCTTTTGAGTATGCCAGCCAAGTAGAGTGGCCAGTGCTGTAAGGGTTCTAGTGGTATTTTCATCTACCACTGGGGCGTATGATTCCATGAAGTCCTTGTCAAGTAGATTTCCACGGATCACCCAGCGAGCTTTAGCTTGGTAGTCCCTTGTAATAGGGGTACCAGGGATTTCTTTCTTTTTGTATACCCACCGGCCAGGGATGACCTTGGTCCCTGGTGGTAGGTCAGAGCGGCGGATAAGTTGCCAGCAGCCTTTTTCTTTGAGTTGGTTGACTTCTTTTTGCATGGCTGCTTGCCACTTGGTGGCATCAGGATGAGATATAGCCTGCTTATAGGAAGTAGGCGTGTCATCTTCAGATGAAGGAGTGGTTGAAGCGGTGAGATAGGCTAGGGACATGCCTTTGGCGGGTCGAAGCCATATTTCCTGGTCTTCATCTTCAACGGGTTGGTTTGTATCTTCTTTATTAGGAGTACTTGGATCTTCAGGAACAGTAGCTTGTGGAGGTGTAGTTGTGGGATCCTCATATTCTTCATCAAATATAGTGTCATTGGTTGAAAAAATGGCGTCTGTTTTAGGGTCCCACACTCTGTATTGTTGGCTACTGATTTGGCCGATCATGAAGCAGCATTTAGAATGGGAATCGAACTTGTTTATAGGCTTATCTGAGCCATGTCGATGAACCCAGACAGGGCAGCCCCAACGTCAGTATTTGTTGATACTAGTTGGTGAGTTGGTCCAGGCAGCCAGAGGTGATTTATATGGGCTTGGGCTGATTTTGGTGTTGGTATTGACCCCCCCAGGGATAGGTGAATTGAATAGGACTGTGGATGTTGGGAGGCGGTTTGTTATATCTGATGCATATTTTAAAGCATCAACCCAAAATCGCTGTGGTATATGGGGAGCGTCAAGCATTAATGTCCGAGCACAGTCAAAGAGTATGCGTATGCTGCGCTCACTGACACCGTTTTGCCAAGGGGAATATGGAGAACTTGGTTGCCATTCAATGCCTTCCTGACGGTAGGTTTTCTGCCATTCAGCTGAACAGAATTCATTGTCAGAGACAATATAGGCTGGGGCAGGGAAATGGTGATTCTTCATCTGTTGTAGCCAACCCCGAAATGCTTCAATTGCAGCAGATCTTTCAGTTAGGTAGTGGATCCAACGGTAACGTGTAGCGTCATCAGTAATAAGCATCACATATTTGGCTCCTGTACGTGAAGGTAGAGGCATATCTAGCTTCTCTATATCTAGTGTTCAGCCGCCACCAGCAAGGTCTATGTGGACTCGGGCTAGTGGTGCAGTCATACGGGATCTTGGTGTTTTGCTGTATTGGCGAGTTTGCTTGCCCTGGATGCAGGCTTCACAAAGTGGTAGTTCTTTGGAACCTTTGATTTCAATGTCTGATGTAGGATCTGCGGCAAGGCGTAAAAGATCCTGCTGGTTTAAATGGCATAGACGGCGATGCCATGTCATAATTGGTAGAGCTGTTTTGGAGCTCTTACTCTTTGGGGATGTTGTAGGTTTCTTTCTGGGAGGGTCCCCTGGTCAGTTGGCCTCTTTGCCAGACCGGGTGGTGACAAAGGCATAGGAGCTCTCGTCGGGAGAAATGCAATCTGATAGGATGAATACATTGTTGGTATTCAAAATGGCTTCAAATTCTGCACCAGAAGAGGTTGTGATTTGTGCTACTTGAGAGCTGGAAGGGAATTCGATACGAAAACCTTGTTTGAGAAGCATTCCCATGGAGATTAAGTTGGAATTGAAGGATGGAACATGTCGTACATCCCTAAGAATCAAGGATCCGGTTCCAATATCAATGACGACGGTGCCAATACTATGAGGTTTGGAAATCTTCCCTTGAGCATCTTCAATATAATCCGCTGGAGTAAGGTCCTCCTTTCTCAATGTTTTATAGGACGTGAAGAAAGCTTGATGGGGTGTAACATGGAATGAAGCACAGCTATCAAGATACCATGAAGCTTGGAGAGATTGGGCTGATTTAGCAATGGCTGTTTTTGCAGCTGAAGAAGTCCATGGTACCAGTTCATTGGTTTCTGCTTCAGAGAATGAAGCAGTGGAAGATTCTTTAGCAGTGTGTAAAGCACGAATAGCTTCAATAGTATTTTTATTGGCTCGGCGCCAATGCTCAGAGGCTTTCTCAGGGTTCTTGTAGAGGCAAGGCATTGGGTGGAAATGACCACACCAATCACAACGGGTCTTTGGTTTGCGTGAGTCCTGGTCCTGAGGTTTATATTTAGTGTTGGAACTTGAGGCGGAAGAGCTAGCAATGGGGTTAGATGCTTGTTTGGAATAGCTTCGTCCGGATAGATTCTCTCGTCGTCCTCCGTGTTGGGAGCGGGATTCACGGGCTTGGGTGCCCATACGGATAGAGAGTTGAGCTTGAATGGTAGGTAGGTCCAGATTGATGACAGGGCCTTGTCCAGTTGAGTATACTTCATCAAGTTTACTCTTAATGAATGCTTTGTTCCATTCGCGGAGGCCTATAAAAAATAGGTCGTGAATAAGGTTGTCAAATGATGCTTCTTTTATAGCATGAAGGCGGTCTACTATCCTAGTAAACGCAGATTGGTAGGATAGGTAGTCATTGTCTTTTATATAGAGCTCCTTGAGCTCTTTTATGAGAAGCATTCGTTCTTCACCAGTAGAACGTCCGAAAAAGGTAGCAGTTCGGTCCCATAAACCATGGGCTGATAGGTCATATGTGTTGCCCAATTTGTCAATGGCTTGGGCAGTCATAGCATGAAGCATTCGGGCTCTCATGACAGTGGCTTTGCAATGCCATACTTCAGCATCATAAGCTGAGTATCCTGCTGGAGGTATATCCTGATGCAAGACTGTACTAGCGTTCAGGACATTGGCTTCTCTTTGAATGGCTGAACTCCAGAGGTCGTAATTATCATGAGACAGTGTGATTCGGCATCGGTCTAGTAGGAGCGCTTTAACTTGAGCTTGTACATGATCAAAAGGGTCTTTTTGTACTGGATTTGAGGCTGGAATAGCCGTATTATTTTGAATATGATTGTAGGGAGTAGCGTTATGCCGGACTGTAGGAGTGGAGGATTGGGATTGATGGTGTTCAAGGGCATTAAAACGAGTCATGAACTGGTCCATCTGCTTCTGCATTTGTTCCTGCATTTGTTCCTGCATCTGCTGGAACAGAGCTGTGATGTCTGGTGTGGATGCCATGGTGTTGGCTGTAGTAGAGCTTTGAGCTCTAGGGGCAGTTGGGGTGTCCATTTCTTCAGAGATTACTGAGGAGGCGGAGGAGCCTATATCTGATGAAGGATCTGTGGATTCTGGCTGACGACGGTGACGTCTAGCGGTGGTAGGGGGCGTTCGAGGCACCACCATTTTGGATGGGATCGATCGAAGGATCCTGGGGTTCAGGGGCCGATTGTTGGCGGTCCTGGTGTTCAGAGTCGCTTAGAAGCGCTCGATTTCTGGTTTGACCAATGAGAGGTCACAATTTAGCCTATCTGAAAGGCTTTTTTAAGCTCAATATCGTAGAGCTAAAACGGGCTCATAACCTAATGGATAGGCGCATGTATGGTCGTATTACTAGGTAGGCCTGCCTGTGCCGTGAGATAGGTAGCGAGGGCGGTCTAGGACGGCAGTACCTCACGTGTACTAACAGCCACAACCCGGAATCCACGTGACACTGCAGGAAAAAACAGTCAACTTTAATTTGACAATGCATTGCCTTCAATCAATAGAATGAACTCCAGGTACGTCGTCTCAAAGCCGCCTATCCATGAAGAGTCTCCAGCATCTGACAGGCCCTATATCTCAACATGACAAATTGATTAATAGTGGATAGGCTAGGATAATTTACGTGAACGACTGCATTGACTACATTGCAAGTTTGTTTTCGGTCACAAAATGGCTTCTCCCAATACTCTCCTCCAGGGGAAGGAAGAGGCATACGAGGAGAAGAATGTCCATGAAGTGTACCAGCAGATTGCGAAACACTTTTCGTCAACTCGTTATAAGGTGCGTCCCATATGCGTTGCCAATTTACCGATCGTACCCGTTTGGCCCATTTGTTACTACCTAGTATTCCTGGAGCTGTTTAATACTAATAAAATTGCTAGCCATGGCCAATAGTCGAGCGGTTCCTCAAGGATCAGGCACCAGGTTCCATAGGGTTAGACGTTGGTTGCGGAAACGGCAAATATCTGCCCGTAAACAGGGACGTTTTTATAATTGCTTCAGATAGGTAGGGACTATATTTCTAATAAACCTTGCTTTCCATGAAATCGTTTGCGTACATTTCTGCTTTTCCAGATAGTTAGGCCGGACGAATTGACTGTTTCTCTCCCGCTTCCTCGCGTCCAGGTCTGAGAATCTCGCACGGATTGCTGTGCAACATCGGCCACATTCCACCATCGTCGCCGACATTCTTAATCTACCTCATCCCAGTTGCTTTTTTGACTTTGTTATATCGATTGCTGTGATTCACCACCTGTCAACGCCTGCCCGGAGAGTGCAAGCCATTGCTGAGATCTTGCGAACTTTGACTCCTACCACTGACCAGCATCATGGAGGGAAAGCCTTGGTCTATGTCTGGGCACTCGAACAGAAGACCAGTCGCAGAGGCTGGGACAAGGGCCATGAACAAGATGTAATGGTACCCTGGGTTATGAGGGAAAGTCCCTCCGCGGGGAATCCAACCGAACAGTCCAAAACGTTTCATCGTTATTACCATCTTTATGAAGAAAATGAACTCGAGCGTGATATAAGTAACGCAGGTGGCCATGTCCTTGAGTCGGGATATGAAAAGGACAATTGGTGGGCGATTGCGACTCGGATAAAGAAATGAACGTCACGGAACATTCGTCGCCATTCCCTTCGAGATCCAGCCTCTTGAGGACTCATGTTCTGTCAATTATACATGACTGATACATGAAGTGGCGAAAGTGAAACGAGAATGGAAAGGCCAAAAAGGAGAGGGTGTGCTCATCAACTTGTTTATCCACATCCGTCACCCGTAAAAAGATGAGTCTCGAGAGCAGAGAGAACCTTCTATACCATCGTCCCTCCCCCAAGAAAAAAAAAAAAATTCAAGATATGCCTCCAGCCAACGCTATGCAAATCGTAACAAACGCAAACAGCACAAGTCCATCCCTCCTTTTCTATACATGGGTTCGAGGGGGGAAGCCTATATTGGGTCCCGCTTGAGTGCTTGGATTGCTACTTGGTTCAGATGATCGTGGTATTGGGTAAGCCTCCCGGGGAGGTAGCCCTGGAGCATATGCTGGAACTCCAGCAGTGAGCTCCTCGACAGATGGAAGATGAGGCGGAATTGATCGGGATGATGACCCTTTTCTTGGTCGTGCAATGGACGTGCTAGCACGGCGCGTCCTAGATGAGGAAGGATCAACAGCGGTGCTCGAAAGCGAAAACGGAACCACGCCAGCTCGACGAGCCATTTCTTGTTCCCCTAATTGCCAATGCATTGCTTCTGCTGCTCGCCAAGGAATGGCCATTTCCTCCGCCACCTTTGACCACATCTCCGCTTTGAATCTGTAAATAACCAGAAGTTAGTGAGTCCAAAAACTCCCATCATCTTTGCAACCTGACAGTCGATGCTTCATCTGTCTACTCATTTCTACCTTCTTCCCTTCTCCCGCCCAATGTGAAAAAAAAAAATCCACGACTTCTTTATGCGACATACCTCTCGTACAATCTGGCCAGTTTGTTCTTTTTGTCCTCATCCCACTCGCTTCTGCGCTCTAGGTAATTCTGGTAATGCAGGCGACAACTGATGGCGCTCCGTCCGGGCAGTCGTTTACTGATGTCCTCCCACTTCATACCTCTGCCGCGCAACTCGATAATAAATGCGTCTTCTTCGGGTGACCATTTTGATTGTTTCTTTGCCGGGGACTCGGATGAATGAGCCGGTTGGATACGTTTGGCAGGAACAGACGGAGACACTTTGGCGGAGAGAGGAGGTAATGAAGTTAAGGGAGCCGGTGCTGCTACCGCCGGCGGCGCCGCCGCTGTCGTCGTCATAGTCGCCGTCATCGCAGGTGGGCCCAAAACCGGCCTTGGGGGAAGGCTAGCTGCAGTGGTCACCGGGGCGGTCTCTTCCTCATCTTCGGGCTTCAGGAGCAATGAGATATCCACTTTGGCGGAAGGGAGTATTGCTTGGTTTAGTGCCACAATCATATGCGCGTTTCGCAACGGCGGGATTTCAACTTTCAATTGTCCTCGTAACAAGTCTTCACTAAGCGAGGGAAAAGCATGCAAAATGCGCTACAAACGTAGTGCAAAAAGAGAGACTTCAGGGTTCTTGGAATCAACCAGAACCCTCCACAACGAACAAAGAAACCCAGCCCAGCAGGAGGTTTAGGGATTGCGGCACGAAAGCAAGCAGACAGACCGCGTCGAGGATTCGGCAACGACTGAACCGGGGATTCTTCAGAACACCAGAGGCTTTGTATAAGCGAACCAGCAACGCCCAACAAATGAACGGGGTATCAAGTAAAGAAGGAAGATAAAAAGAGGAGCAGCTGAGAGAAAGAGAAGAAGGGGCGAAAAAAAGTAAAGAAGGTAAGAAAGTAGAATGTCTAGAAGTCAACAATGACCGAAGATATCCAATAAGAAGGCAAACGTGGGGATCGCAATGGCAGCAACCAAGGCTAGCAAGAATATGGTTCGGGTAACGGTACCACGGGCTCCAGCATGGAAGAGAGAAAAAAAAAAAAAAAAAAAAAAGAGGGGAAGAACAGAAGAGAAGTGAGGAAATGGAAGACCGAATGGAAGAGACAATATCAAGATGAAAGCGTGGAGGCAGGGGGAGTGGGAAGAGAAAGGAGGCGAGCGTGAAGATTAGGATGAAACACCTATGAGAAGCATAACAGGATCAATAGAAACGACAGGTGATCCAGCAATTTAATCGACAAATAAGAGAAGAGGGGAAGCGTTAATAATAATCGTGTAAACGACAGCAGAAAAAAATAAAATAAAAATAAAATAAAAATAAAATAAAAATAAAATAAAAATAAAATAAAAATAAAATAAATACAACGGTTCAGAAACACGCGATCAGAAGGTTCAATCAAAAGACAAGTTACGATCCGAGAGGATCGAGAGAAGCATCACGGATGGACCGAAGAAGAGTAATCGAAACCAAATAATAGTAATAATAATAATACATAATAAGAGGAACGCTCCATAGAACTGTCACAGAAGTACAATGAAGGCATATAAACTAGTACGAATAATGATACACCGGTTGCAGACCTAACCTGCCTCCAACGGTATCCACCATGGGTACTAAGTACCCAGCTAGCTGGCCATAACAGGCCTGTTCCATGCAGCAATCGCGGTTCACACGAGTCAAGTTAAATTAAATCGATGGCCTGTCAAAAAATGCATTGCCTCGAGCGGTTCAAAACTTAGTCCTGCCGAAAGTCCTGGGGCAGACCGTTCGAGCCCAGCATGGGCCACGACGGTTAAGCAGGGGGCTGTGGGATTATCAGTTAGAACGTGGAACTTTAGCACTATGCGGTTTTGGTGGGAGGACGACGAACTCGGGTGGAGTGCGTTGGCCCACGGGAACCGAAAAGTCAAGGGCCGGACAGGGGTTGTCAGTCGGTAGAACAGCACAGGGGGAACAGGGGAGCCAATGAGGATGGCATCGAAGATGGTCCCGGCCTGCTTGATAATAATGACTGACTGGATCTAGAAAACGATGCCAGTAAGGACGAGGTTGTGGTAAATAGAAGGGGGGAGAGGATGGATGTGCGGTAAACCGTTGAAGCTGCAGAGCTGAAGTTGATGGTCAGCTTCCTACTTCCAAGAATTTATGCAGAATTCAACTGCCTACGAATGAGGGAATGAATGCATACTTCTCCAGTCTCCCCAACAACCACAGAACAGGCACCAACACTGCCAACTTTGATTTCCCGACCTTCCCACACAACCTGAAGTCCAGCGGGGTTTGCAAGTGGCGTTTCTTGACTCTCTTAGCCCACTCCCCGAAGTTAAGGCACCCAGTAACAGGTGGTGACTCTGGATTTCGCCTGCAGAACCTGCAGTTCCTCTCCGAGCGGGATCATCGCCAGATACGAGGATGGGGAGGGGAAGAAGATCTCATTTCGCCTCTTGAGACCGCGGACCCGGGGGGAATCCATGCTGGTTGATTCTATTCCACTTTGCATGTGAGGAGCCACAGGGCAAAAGCTATGATGGATATCCGTGCGCTGAGTTCTGACTTCCAGGTCGCAAAGGACGGTGTGCAGTGTACACGCATGCGGTGGCGAGCTGTTGCATTGAAAACCGCCAACTTGACGTCCGAGCATAACGCCAGCAGAGTTACGCTTCCTAAATCCCCGTTCCGTCCACCAGTCATAGCTAGCCGGCTTTTCTGGATGCTTTAATGAAGGACCGAATATCCTACATTAGCCCGCAGCAAGCCATTCGCGGTGGGTCTCAACTCTAATTTCCTGAGAAATCAGCATTCATGCCTACATGATCGCCGTAAATTGTCCGAACCGCATCAGCAGGGAGAAGAATAAGAATAAGAGGAAGAAGAAGAAGAAGAAGAATAATAATAATAATAATATCCCAGGTTCTTATCCTGTTGTGGGTATCTGTGAGTTCGTCTAATGCTGTTCTGTTTGTCCACTGCTGGACCAGCTTACCGCTAGTCGAGCAGCGTGGATCGCGAGTTCTTCATGGATGACTCCATGTGTGCTTTGCATACATGCTATATCCCAGCCGCATCGCATCAAACGCAGACTTGAAGAGCAGATGGACAGTCCTGTTGTTGTTTGCCTGATCTGATACAGCGAGCAATCGCCGACTAGGCAGGATCCAGACCCGACTCTCGGGAATGATCTACATATCCCCAGTACGAAATTAACGAATGCACGCCTCTCCATCCGGGCCAGGCTCTCGAACGGCTCCCGCGTAATCACATCTAATAAGAAGATGAAACAGACACAAGCAGCGAGAGCCGTGCGGAGCCAGTGGAGAATAGAGTTCTAGAATGTTGGAGTAAGCCGCTCATATTATTATTATCATTTATTCTTCACGTCCGTTTAATTGCCAGGACCGTCTTCTGCGAGGTTATTATCCTGTGCCGCGAAGACGGTCAGATCATGTTAATATTGCTCGGAGGCTCCCGAGAATCGAGAGTCCCTTCGCTATTAGATTGATCATAATTCCCGGAATAATAAATAATCACAATCTCGCCTACAGAGTTCCCCAATTTCCCGAAGCAGCAGGTCGATAATATTAGCATGGAGCATCCGCACATATAAGATTCAGATTACGCTGTCCTCCGTCACTGCCAAGGACAAGGAGATTATTTTATACTTCGCTTCGCTTATCTTTCCATCGTTCGCTTCCCGCGCATTACGTGTTCCCCGAGCGCAATGCCTCACGGCGATCTTTATCATTATTCTCGCTTATGAATGTTATGGGCGGTTCACAGCGATGTGCATTATCTCGCACAGATGATATCACTCATCTTCTCAGCACAAAATACTAGAATGACTGTCTGGTCTCTCGTGTCTCCAGCATGGATGCCTCCTTTCATCCATTCTGCTCATACTCCCTCTTTGCCACGACCGAGAGAGCTCACTTTGTGAGCATACAATGCATCAAGAGGCATTCTTTCACACAAAAAGCTTGGTCAATTTGCCTCCCTAAAACTTTTTGTCTTTGTCCTAAGAGCCTCATAGCAGTGAATGCCAATGCCTTTTTCCATCACCAATATGCACCATGGCAATGGCATGGATGCTACTGACAAAGAACTATTCCATAAACAAAGGCGCGTGAATCTTAATAAATCTTTCAAGGAAGAACAATGGAGGGCACCGTGAATATAAAACCTCTCCAAGGTTCTCCCTTCGATTGACTGGTAGACCGCATTGCTCTATTTTCCTATCCACATCACCAATCATTGCCCGCGCATAAACACAACCAGACTACTATAGCAGACAGCGGGGAAAAGACAAAAAAGAAATATGAGCACTCAACAATTAAGCAAAGGAAACAATCTTAGAGACACACGAGGGTTCTCCAACCCCTTTTCCTTGTGTTACCGAAATGCGAGCCTCGTATTGCTGCTTCATACAATCGACCTTGTACGCTGCGCCAACAAGCATGACTACTGTCAAAAGCCTTGTCTGCTTTGCGCTTTTCATGATTTCTCTCGAATATATTGGTATGGGGATGACTCTGAAACCGAACTTGCAATGGAAAGTTTTTGGGCAGAGGTAAGACGCACGTGGGACAAAGACCCGAACGAGCAGCAGGATGTTCCTGAGTTTATGGGGCGTTTGATTCAAAGGTTTTGCGAATCTTGGTAAGTGATCTCTGTGATATATTCTTTTCTTGAACGACAACATCTCAGAGAATACAGTGCTGATCTGAAACTGGAAACAGGCCCGAACGCTTAAACCCCGTGTTGAGAAACTACGTAGAAAAACGTTATATATGCCCGGCATGTGGAGAGTCAGGTCGTCGCATCGGTCAAGTTGAAGAACTGTCTATGCTCTTCGCTGGAATTCCGGTGATCCCCCCTGGTATAGCGAGGCACAAACTCACTGTAGTAGGCGCAATCGAAAACTTAATGCATGATAATGTATCTGTTGAAATGTGCACACGTTGCAGGACAGAACATTTTCACATTCGTGAGTCTCTTACTCACGCACCTAGCACCCTTTTGGTCCAGCTGAACAGGATTGTCGACTATTCCACTCTTGAGAAATCACTTGAGCAACTATATTTCGACGAGACTCTGCCCATACCCGCAGCCCTGTACGATGAGAGGATGCAAAAACGGGTAGAATCATCCCTCTATGAACTATATGCTGTGATATTCCACCAGGGCAATACCTCTAAGCAGGGCCACTATACCGCCGCGGTTAAAGCCCATCATGGTAGGTGGAGATTTGTCAATGACAATAAAGTGAAAGAGGTTTCCTTTGAGGATATTAGCGATGAGCAACGTAGACGAGACGTCTACGTTTTAGCATACCGAAGAGTCTCCCCTGTCCCGGACTTCCCAGAAGACTGGTCTAGGGTTTGGTTACAAGCCGAGGCGGAGCTATCCGGGGTGAAATTTGCTGAGAAGATCAACGTGTCCATTAGACTCCCTCTGGATTTCCCAGGGCTGTGGCCCGATCAACGCAAATTCACGCTGAAAATTCCGAGTCTTCAGCTATTATTCCCAGATACCTGCGAAGCCCTTCAAGGGCATGGAAAGATTATGGTTAAAAGGTGGGATGCCAGGACACCACTAAATAGTGGTGCTCTAAACAGTCGCAAGGGTCGAAAGAGAAAAATTAGGAAGAGAATAAAGAGCCCGACTTTAGACGATGCTGCCAAGTCGAAGGGGGTCACCAAGATGAAAGATGGAAAGACGAAGAAGCAGGAAACAACAAGAGTCGAGCCGATACAGACACGCAGTCGAACCAGGGTTTTGCAGCAGCGTCAGTGAGTTTTTCTTTTTGTCCTCTTATATTCTACGGTGTATCTATTTGGGGTTGGGAAAGAGTTGGACTTTGTTATACTGGAGGTACAGACTCGCATTATTGTAGGAATGCATGTTAATACTAATACGTTAGTATCATATGTACTTTTTATTCTACCCATGTTGAAGGCCTTCCCTTTCCGTTTTGGTGCTCACCCCCTGCTCACCTGAGTGCTGAATAATACGTAGCCTCAATAACTAACGTTAGTTGGTTAGAATGAACCCAGCTTAAGGGGTCTTGACCATGTCATTGTTTCAGTTCCTGCCTGAGTGTTGGGCATCAGCCATATTGATTAATTGCATCCGCTCATTTCCACACATCACGGCCTGGGCAAAACATAACCAGTGATTAATTAATTACATTCTTTGTGGAGACCACCATCTTTGTTCATGCATCTATAAGCATTTTTTTTGGTCCTAAGTGTTGTGTAGTATATTCTCAGGGAAGGTAACACAGCAACAGTAATTACTTGAGTGGTATGGAGATTAGCTTAGTTGAGGTTGATAGTGTTGGTCTTTTTGGCCTTGTAGGTGATCCAGCTTCATCTCTTACAGTAGGCTTGGATGAAGTGATGGGACTGTTGCAGGCTCGCAGCTTTGGTGTGCTGTTTAGCAATGACAGCATCCTCTCCACAGTCAACAGTGCAAACATTCAATTGTCGTCAAAACAGCATGTTTTCACCAGCATTATTCCTCTCATCTCCGGGAATCTGTGAACTCAATGTAGCCTCCAGTAATCCTGTACCTTACCTGGCTCATATCAAACCAGCATACCTAACAGCTTTGTTGGGTGTTCTTTGCAGTATACCTCCATCCCTGGTGATACTCAAGCTGCCCACCTTACTTCCTCTCTTTCTGCAAAGCTTGGATCTCCTGACTCCCAAGCTTTCAGATCTGTGACTTGGGAACCCTTGCCATCATCCATGAGAATGGTGTTGGCATGATTGAGGAATGTGGCCATGTCCAGAGCCTAATCACCCATCTGCTGAAGACAACAGCCTATATTCCTGCAATGGCAGAGGTTAATACTGCTGTCAGGGCCCTTGCCATGTAGACCAGGACGAGCACGTGAGCTTCCTTACTTGGATTAGCGTGGCGCGTGGATAGGAGTACGTCGTCCAGCTTCACGTAGATCTCTTCCTTTTTTCCTTCCTCTCCATGCTTGAAGTTCTCATCGATAGCTGCCTAGATAGCTGAATAGCATCCTATTCATCGTCTAGTTGAGTTCCGTGACAACTGCATCTCATGGGCCAGTGAATGGTCCGTGACTCTGTAAACAGGCTCTGAGATGCCTTTACCTGCTTGCGCAGCAGCCCAACATGGATGTTCTGTCTGTTACCACAGCACGGGAAGCTCTCTCCTCTTCTGCCAGTGTAGAGTCACGTTATCTGCTCTTTGCGAATGTCTCTTGATGACCCAAAGCATAACATTAAGAAGGCTGCGGTCGATGCCTGTGGTGTTTGGCTGAGAGGCATAAAAGATGTACCTGAAGAGGACTAGAAAACAAAAGATATAGAATGATGTGATTGAAACATCTTCTATCTATATGCATGGGCATTTTTAGATAGCTAACGAACTTCAGAACCTGAAATGTATTTCCATAATAATTGGCTCCCTTTTGTGTGGTTCTCTGCTGTGTCTCATTGCGGCTCAAGCAACATAATATTTTCGGATTCAACATAAGCAACAAAGTCATACGCAGGGTTGCTTTTTCAACATATCCCAGACTACAATCGGCACCCTAATGAGACATAGATCGACTGCGAATTGAAGATGCGATGCCTTCAATGGTGACTTCAGCGACTCCTGCAGGGACATCACTTAATAGCCAAGCCTTCCAATGCTCAACATCAAGTATGGCAGTATCTTCTTGTAGATGTACAGAAATTAGGGCCCATCATATAGATAAGTCTAATGCATTTTGGAGGCTTTGGACTTCACAAGGCATGTCGTCAAGCAGTCAAAGTGTAATGCTAGATTTTGAAGGGTGAGCCACATGGATAGGAGCGTAGTAAAGCTGAGACTAGGGGTCATTAACTCGGGTAACAGGGGCTCTGTGTAATTGGCAATCATGATAGTGATGCTGGCATTTGCCCCAGAAGGTTTATAAGATGACAAGTGAAGTTGTTGATCAGGTGGGCAGATGCTCTGCTCTCAAAACCTGATGTAAGGGTACCCCGAATCCTGTATATATAAGAAGCGAGCTTGAGCAAGCGATTGAGCATGAAGCATGTCAATTAGGAGCTTCACGATGTACTAGAGACGGCAGTATATTAGCATAGAGCGTTCACCACGAATCCTACAAATGCTACGGTATCCTTTTAGTATTTGATATCCGGACGCCGCACCCCTGATCCACATGCTGTTAAATAAGAACACACCCTGAACATCGCCCAACGGGCGATGTCCAAACGATGAGTTAGTTGATGCCCTTACTATACCCTAAACGTCTAATGAGTTGAATACTGCCGGCACTATTTAGGTACGTAGGTACGTACTCCAACGCCTGGTCCTTTAACTGCTTAACTGGGAACGGCAAGAGGGACTTCCCACCCAGAGCCCACACGGTCGACTCCCCAGCCTTGATAGCTTCGTTGAGCGCTTCTCTGGGAAATGAGTCTTGCATCACTGCGCATGTTTTTTGTGTACATTCATGCCGTTGCCTGATGGCAGTGAAGTCTCGCTGCGAGTGCTCACAAAAGTCGAAAGTGCATTGCTGGTGGTTTTTGTGCGGTGGGATACGTTTGCCGCTGGGCATCACATAGGGGAGATCCTTTCCAACGACGGACCATACTCGATGAGGGTAGAGGTTGAGTCATTTGGTTGCTCTGTCGAAAGTGGACGCGAAGTCTGGCTGCAAGTTGCTGTCCATTTGTTCTCACTTCCGCCTGTTTTCAACATGTCGGGCACTACAAAATCACAGTATATATAAAGCAGCCTAGAGACTCGGACCCGTCAAGCAACAATCAGACTAGGCAATTCGTAAGTTTGGGACCTGGAGCCAGGAGGATAAATGAATGAAATCTGTTTGTCCGGGCGACATAGGGCATAGCTAAGCGCCGACTATTCCATGAGCGAGTGGTGCATATTGTGTTGAGCCACTCGCCCATGTGCGCCACTCACCCTGGACTGCAGAGGAGGAGTGAAATACAGATTGGCTTCTGGCTTCGCCTTCGTATGCTTGAGCCCCCAACCAGTTGGCATCGATCACAGGCGCCACCATGGCGCTATGCATCAGTCTAGTCCAGGCGCCGAATAGCGTACCCAATCCTCCGGCCTTTAGCCGCCGCATGAGTGACGTGTTCCCTAAGTGCTGCCGATATGGTCGAAGAGTACACTGCCAGGATCTTGACCATTTTCGCAGGAACGACCTCCGTATTGTCAATCGTGATGGGTGAATTGCTGTTCTTGGCTTGGTTCAGCGTGAAGTGGACGATAGCCATTTTGTATTTCTCGAAAGAGGCACCGCTCCGGAATCCCCATCTTTTACTGAACCAGGCTTGCATTGAAGAATAGGACCAAAATAGGATACAGGTGATCCCTGTGGGAGGCCCGCTGGCGGAATGGGGTTCAATTGACAGCATATAACGATGATGATGATGATCTGTCATTTTTCTGTATCGTTGCGGTATTCGCGAGGTTCTCACGAGCTGTGTACTCTTTGTCTTGGTCTATGTACTCTACACTTCATGTGAGACTTCATGTGAAACCATCGGCAAATGGTAAAACTCATGAATTTTGCATCCACACATCCTTCCCACTCTCTTGTTCTATCGCTGGGGCAACATTCCAAGGGATATCATCGACCCCGATCCCATGCCGGTTCTGCTGATACCTTCGTTTATTGACTTGTTACCAAAACGGGACATCTGGAGGCGCAACCCGCATAGAGCTGGAGACGTTCGGGAAGAAGATAGGCATGAGCGATGCGCCGACAGAAGGATATTTAATTTCAGTAGTTTTCAGGACCTCGGACACGGAATTTCCACGTATGGTCTCAGCCAACTCGAGATGGAATCCCAGCGCAGATGGTGATTGCGAGACCGCGCTGGCGACTAGATTTTGGACGCTGCCGAGAAGCCCTATTCCTAGAAGATCTGCCATAGGTTTTGTCAGCCAACAGCTTCATTAACTTATTGGTTCGGCCCCAGGTGGTGGTGAGTTAACCTACACCATGTCTGATTGTCCATATCGGCCACGCTGGTCAAGAGAAGCAGCCAAAGACCAGCAGACAGTGTGGAGACAATACGAGTTAGAGCAGAAGATCTAGCAGTCCTAGTTCCAGCAGCCATGATCTCAAGATCTAGACCAGCCCCTAGATGCCCAAGAATAGTTATAGCATGGCGATAGCCGTTCCCTTGGGTCAGTGTGATGGTTGCACCGCCTGCCCTGGGACTTGCCCACTTCTCCTTCCTCCACTACGGCAAAGATCCATGAATGAGGGCAATCAGAGTTCCAGCAGCAGTGATCATGAATGGTTGCCATTTTGCGTCCTCGGAGCTAGCCCAGGGGACTATAGAAACGCTGAGCTGCACCGCAATAGTTATCCAGCCGATAACCCAAACCCAATCAATAGAAGGGAGTCCATTGACATGATGTTTATCTTGGACAATTCGCCAGACCGAGACCCTCAGTGGCTCCCAGATTTTCTGGCCGCTTTTGTCCTTTTTCGACAGAGAGGGTGCTGGCAGGCCTTCCGGCTTGTGTGGTGATGCCAAAGCGGGAATGTGCGGGCCTTCGTTCTGGTCCATTTCGCTGTCCACGGCAGCATCAAGGTCCCGGAATAGTCTACCCAGAATCCAACATTTGGTCTGCCTGATGAACTCAGTCTGAGCCCCGATGACGAGGAGGTTTCTGATTTCCGAATCCGGCATCAGCTTCCCATCTGATTTGACTGTTAACAGAAGCACAAGACTGCTACTACGTCAAATCTTTCCATACCGCCCAGGACTGAAAGCAAAGCATTTGCGCTGTAGGCTACTCATCCGAAAGAGAAGGCTACCGGGGTAATGCGTCTCCCTGCGAGCTGGGCAATGGCGCGTTGGACCGTTTCCGGACCCCAGAGTAAGAGAATCGACAGGACGTCGCTCGGATTACGCCACTGTTGGGCTAGCACTCGAGACGCCATTATACTAAGAGTCGTTTCAGTTTGTATGGCCACTGTGAAATACTCTTTTGTAATAACAACATCGAGGGAACCGGAAAAAATGAGAGATGAAAGATGAAATGTCAGGTAAACCGTCAATCCTTGCAGGTCAGCATTTCATCATCCCTTTAGAAGGCATCGCACAAATCTCACGTGTCCCTTCCGGTGTGAGGCTGAGCATCATGGAGAAGCATGCATATTGTATTCTACCGTGAGGGCTGCGAAGACCGACTCTGCCACCTCCTTGTGGTGCAGCCTGGTAACATCACCAATGGTGATGGATAAGAGGAGGGCGGCTAACGCGGGCCTTGGCTAAGCCATACGGTTCTAAGTAAGGTAACTTGCCTAAGGAAAGTATAGGTCTAATGCCCTATACTACATGGGTAACATATAGGATCTAGCAAGCCGTATTTGGCAATAAATACATAAAGAGACTCCTGGACAGGTTTTTCCAGGTACTCACTAAATCCTTGCCTTGAATCCACTCCATGATAATATATGCTCTGTTCTTGTGGAGAAAGGAACAATGTAAGGGGACAGCTGGGCCGCCTGCGCTCCCCTACAAGGCTAAAACAGCTGAAGACTTATACCGACTGTAGGATAAAGTTGTTGAGAGGCTCAAGGTAGCAACAGACTCTGGCAAAAAGAAAGAGCAGTGAAGAATGAAGGAGTCAATCCCGATGACTTGGGTGTCAACTGAACTGAAACAAATGTTGAACAGGCAGGAGTTAGGAGTGACTGGACTTTTAACCATGGAGCTAGCCCCAGCTGGTGGGTTGCTGAGGACGTCATTTTCAGCGCCCTTTGGAAACTTGGGAGGAAGCAAATAATGTTGCGGACAAAAATGCCACGATGCGGAAATTGTGGCCTGAGGAGGTGACATTAGTTAATTGGTGGGTGGGTGGAGGAGCGTGGCAGACTATAATTGCTGAAACGCTGCCGTTTTCGACCTCATGGGCGGCCGAAAATGGCAGCGAAACAGCGAAACGAAATTCTATAGTGGCATACTAATATTTCATTGATCCACCGCCCAAGAGATAAAACAACTCCTACTCATAGCACACCAAGACAGACTCAGCGCAGAGATGGTTCTTTCTAGTCCTCACATCCCCAATACTCATCTTCCTTCTGCTTCACGGTTTGTTGACCGTCTAATAGTACAACTTTCTGACTGTGAGCTCCCTGAAGATAGCCATGACAGTATACCTGGCTACGAGCCAAGTCCAAGCCGAAGAAGTCACGATCAGGGCCGAATTGAAAACCCCCTTTCTTCCCTTCCATTGCCTCAGCTATCAAAAGTCAAGCCACTCCTGCTAACTCTGCATTGCCTCTTTCCGAACGAATTGCTTCTGGCCCTGGACATCCTGGACCGGAAACTGATACGACGCCTCATAGTGGAAGGTGAGGAGACTTTCTTCGTCATATCCACATCCTCACCGCAACCAGCTCAATCTCAATCTCAATTCACCTCCTCACGAGAGCATACTACTAAGAGCTACGAAGTCCGCTTGCGCGCGTGGAACTGCACATGTCCAAACTTCACACTTTCCACCTTCCAGGACCCCGAGCCGTCAATTCCCGAACCCGGACCTGGCAAGGACTCACTCGAATCTTCTCAAAATCACAATGATGACGACCCATCACAGCACCAGGGCTATCTCTTTGGTGGATCTCTGACTGTATCCCGATCATCTCCATTATGTGTTTGCAAGCACCTTCTTGCCTGTCTTTTGGCGGCGCGTTGCCCTGCCCTCTTTGGAAGGGGCGTGGAAGACCGTCCTGCCAGTACGTGGGAGCTGATTGCGTGGTGTGCTGGATGGGCTGAATGAGTTATTTGGGTCGGACTGTGCCTCCAGCAGGGAGTCTATTTTGCTTTGTGTGAATAATCTCACTAAGTGATCAACAATGCTACATTGATCTTGATGCAGAGCGGCTATAAACCAACAGGTTGCTTGCTGTCTTCCAGATCTGAGAATTCTACACAAGCGAAGAAGGTCCCGACCTCTCTGCATACGGCTGACAAAGACCGCACTTGAAAGCAAGGGCTTCTTCTGGCACCCATATACGTCTATTCCTTTCGAGGACCCTTCTTTTCAATTGCAATTTGCAGATACCTTGTCTGTATGACGGGCGAAGCTGGATGACTCGCTCGCAATACATGGGTACTGCCACAGTCATTCAATGTAGTCCATTCTGAATCACTGGGAATACCTGATTAAGGCGTGCCACGATTCCGGAAAGTCTTACAAGAGAAAAAGAGGAGCAGCTATGCCCCATGGCCAATGTTGTCATACCCAGCTAGAAATGTATCTAGATGTGTTTTAAGATTAACCATATTATACATTCCGCCCCGGAACGACTTGCTCTAAGCAGCCCCAATCCGGCTCAACACCATGACTTGAAAAGAAAAGGTTCATCCTTTCATTGTGGCTTCTTTCTAGAACTCTCCTTTGAAGTATATTCTTCATCCTTCTGTTCTCCATTCACTGCTTCGTCTGCCTTCTTAGTGGCATCCTTGTCGTTCTTCGAAGGAGATGTTTCCTGTTCCTTCTTTGACTCCGACTCTTCCTGCTGCTGCCGATTCTGAATCTTATTTTCTATCAGGTCATGGAATGCTGTGATGGCACGGATAAGGCTGCTCAGGTAGATTGCCATCAACTGGTCATTTGTCTTCACGCTCATTGCCCGGGCAAGCTCGCTATTCTCGATCTGCTGCTCTGCACCATCAATACGCGATGCAGCGGTGGTTCCCGGCGTCGAAAGATTGGGAAGCAAATTGAAGACATCTTGGAGGTTGCCAAGGATAGCATGATTGATGGGTAGCTCATGGTCGAGGACCTTCTGTAGGTATTGCCCAATGTCGCGCAGCCGTAGATGGAGTCCTTGCAATGATTGCAGTTGCGAGGTTATGCGGGTGGAGAGCGTTCCGACAGCAACGTCCCTAATGTCACGGAGTAGATGTTCCACACCAATCTCCTCGGCCTCTTCGGCCTCGATTATGGACGGGGTATGGACGAATGTCCTGGAAGTTGTCGTGCCATCCTATATTTGCAAGGAAAGTCGTGTAAGCAAATGGGAGACTTCAGTTTTTACTGTATAAACTCGTAAATGCGGAGGGAATACTACATACGTCCTTGATTTCGTCAACAGCAAAATAGGCATCCGTAGGGACGCCAACCTCCTTCGGTTGCACATCGATGATCACCAGTAAGGGGTTTGGCGTATATTTCTTGAGTAGTTCATTTATCTCAAGATCAGAGGCCCGAAGTTTAGGGCCCGAATGGTACCATCCGACGAGCTTCTCACGGGCGTTGATCTTCTTGAACATGTCTCTCATCGATTCAATGAAGTTGTGATCTAAGAACCAAACCGACGGATCCTTCTCATCCTCTTCAAATGGAACTGGAAAAGGAAATATAATGAGTGACACATTCTCTCAAACCGAACGAGCAGCAGAACGACAAGACAAGACAAACCTGCAAAGCTGTTTGATACTCGAACATTCTGACCGGTATTCTCGCCTAGAAGCACGCCAACCACACGTTTCCGAGTACCCTTGGCGGACCGGCCATAGTGATCTGCAACGGAGAGAAGGACTAGGGGAGCAACGGAGACAGTGCGGGTGACGAGGGAGAGCGCGTCCGCCGTGGTGGCCGGCATGGCGGGAGCAAGGACGGATAAGATCTAGAAAGAGAAGAGAAGAAAAGAGGGGCAGGTCGAAAAATAATTCTGGAAAAGCACTAGACAGAGCAGGGAGGAGGGAGGAAAGAAGAAGGGGAGGGGAAGGGGATAGCAAGAGCGTTGGCAACGACGATGACGGCGAGCTGTCTTGGTGAAGGTTGGTCTGTTGCTTGCGGAGAGCTCCAGCCATAACCCAGCCACAGTAATGTACCAGCCACATATATTCTGGCCTTTGTGCCTGAGGCAGTAACTAGGCTTTCCGGAGATCATGTGCCTATTTCCGGTGAGTATTTTAGGGTACCGCCAGTCACCTGCGAGAGATAAATACGACCGCGCTGGAGAACAGCATTCTATGGGTGCAATGTACTGTTTGCCCTCGGATACCTTGTAAAGGCATTATCCCTAGCTTTCTAATAGAGATCTCCATGTCGTACTGTGTAGAACAATCTAATCTTGCTGACGACTCCAACCCCGGACCGGGCTCGGCACTGGCGATTAATATGTAATATTGGAGAAGCTGGAGCTACCTCGGAGGCTCGGGCCACCCGTGCGCGGTTCGTTATTTTTCCCTTCGTTTTGGCCTTCTCCAACGATTTTGGTTCCATCCACCCGGCCCTCTACCCTCTCCCCATTTTCTCCCGAACTCCTCCCCCCGGTCGCTAAAGGATCTCCCCTCGCCGTTCCCCTGTCCTTCGTGGAGCTTCTCTCTGGTCGTCCTTCCATTTTCCCACAGCACAATGGCACCCATCACAGAAGAGACCGTCGCCGGTCTGAAGAATGTCATTGACAAGCTCGAATCTCGAATCGAGAACCTCGAGTACCGTTTGACCCATGGATCGGAGAAGCCCAAATCAGTTTCAGAGCAGATGCGCATCATTTTAATGGGGCCCCCCGGCGCTGGTATGCTGTTTTTATTGTCGTCTTTGTTTTTGCTATGCCCTTGAGACATCTTCACTGCGCCTGACAAGCTAACCATATTGTTCAAACAGGAAAGGGTACCCAAGCGCCTAAGATCAAGGACAAGTTCTGCGTCTGCCATCTTGTAAGTTCTGTCGCCGCGTTCCTAGTTACCTGATAGAATCGCAGCGGATTAATTTTCTCCCAATCTAAAAGGCTACCGGGGACATGCTGCGGTCACAGGTCGCCAAGAAGACACCATTGGGACTGGAGGCCAAGAAGATTATGGACCAGGGTGCCTTGGTTAGTGACGAGATTATGGTTAACATGATCAAGAGCGAACTTGAGACCAACCGCGAATGCAAGAATGGGTTCGTATATACTCTTTGGGATCCTAAGTTGGACGAACGCGTGACAAGCTGACAGCCTATTCTCCAAAGTTTCATTCTCGATGGCTTCCCTCGTACAGTCGCTCAGGCAGAACGTTTGGACGACATGCTTAAGGCGCGCGATCAGAAGCTCCAACATGCCATTGAGCTGCAGATCGACGATGCTCTGTTGGTCGCAAGAATCACCGGGCGTTTGGTCCACCCGGCTTCTGGACGCTCCTACCACAAGATCTTCAATCCTCCCAAGAACGACATGAAGGACGATGTCACTGGGGAGCCGTTGATTCAGCGGTCAGACGACAATGCCGACACTTTGAAGAAGCGTCTCGCAACCTACCATGCGCAGACCACGCCTGTCGTCGGCTATTACAAGAAGACCGGTATTTGGAGGGGTATTGATGCTAGCCAGGAGCCTGGACAAGTCTGGAAGAGCATTCTTGGTGTTTTTGAGAAGAAAAACTAGAGGCATTGGCTTTGAGTAGTCAGGCCTCGTGACGGAATTCGATGCAATGCGTGGTCCATACAGCATCTCAAAACCTTCATGTTATAGCGGGAAGATAAAAAGGCAAGAACAGCTTCCATTCGCAGAAGAGAAGGCAAATGTTAAGACTTTTTCGACATGTGCGAAGGTGCTTGGCTACATTGCTGCCCTGTTGCAACTGGAGGTACTGGTGGGATCAAAACTGTGTTTAGGTGTTTGTACATAGACACGTTTCGCGACAACGCTATCTGTATAATCCGATATTCACAACCCGCTACCCTTGAAGAAGAGAGGTTTCTACTGTTGTGGCAACACTTAGGAGTTCTGTATTCCATACGTGCTTGTTTTCCTCTTCTCTTACATCTCTGGACTTCCATTGAATCTCCAAGTACTACTAGCAAGAAGGCTATATACGCTTAGATATCTTTACATCTGTACAGGATAGGCAGTCGACTCGATCTTCTCCGGATACGTCAATCCTCCCTGGCGGCGCACTTCATCCATGACTTCCATGATGACAATACTCTCTTCCCAGGGCATGGTATCACTCTCCAGCTTGCCGTCGCGAATGCAACGAGCAACCTCGTCCGCCTCCCAGTACATACCCATTCCATTCCCAGGGAACTGGCACTCGACCTCTTTCACGGCCGGCGTTTCCTGCCCTTCTTGCCTGGCCGGGATGATCTTGTACTTCTCCGGTCGGAAAGCCGGGCCAAAGACCTGGATCTCGCCCTTTGTACCCGAAATGCGGATGGAGGGACCTGATGAGCGGTTCTGACCCGGGTCTGAGGCAATCCGGAGGTTGGTCATGGCCACGGCGTGAGACTGGTGCGGGGGAGCGCTATTGGAGGGTGTGCTGGTTGGGAAAGTGAGGAGGATGTTAGTTGCTTCATCTGCACCAGTCAGATGGTAGAGACTCATGTGCGCGGAGACAGAGGATGGAGGTTTCCTCTGTTCTCGTGGGAGAGTGTGATATAGCGTTTGAAAAACCCAGGTTAGAGAGTAGATGCCCACTGCAATTAGATCAGTCTGACTACTTCCCTCATTTTTCCCAAGAGAATAGCATATATTTGTAGAGAAGAGGGAGGAAGACAGAAGGACGACTCACAATCAAGCAAACACCCTCCGGCTAAATCCTTATTCACCATCCTATGCTTTGTTCCCCATTTCTGTTCGACATCGTCCCCAAAGCTATTATCCGCGACCACCCTTAGGACCTCACCAATCTCACCCTTCCGGATGAGCTCCCTGATTTGTACACTAAGCGGGAAATATCGAGTCCAGACAGCCTCCATGAGGAACAGGTTCTTCTTCTTAGCCGTTTCGCACAGGATCTTCGCCTGTGTCGCATTAACAGTGAATGCCTTTTCGCAGAGAACATGTTTTCCTGATCCCAGAACGAGCATCACGTTCTGGAAGTGGTGAGAGTGCGGCGTTGCGACGTACACAACATCGACGTTGGGATCTGCCACGAGCTCTTCATACGAACCGTACGAAGCGCAGGGGCCTGGGATACCGGTCTCCCTAATGAACTTGTCCGCATTGGCCTTAGATGAAGATGAGGCAACGGCAACAACAGTGTGAGAGACGTCGGAGCTGGAACGAAGCTCAGGGTTGATGAGGAGGTCCTTGACGAAGACTGCCCGCCGTGAACTTCTTGGTTAGGTGATTGATAGTCAGGGTTCGAGGGTAGCCATGAAACTTGGACGTACCAGATGCAATCCACCCCGTAGCTGCAGTCACTTGTTAGCTGCACGAAAGGTAACTTTGAAGGTGATATATTTTGTCTTGGTTGTCTTCATACCCAGAATACCCCACCGGAGATTATGCGGTGCCATGGTAGTAGCAATGTCTGCAATTTAATGACTTCAACAACTTGCAGCATACAAAGCATAGGAATTACGATATTGACGACGAGGGGTATCTAACTTGAATTTATCCCCCTCATCTCCGGAGAGAGCCCGGATTCTCCACCTGAAAGCGCGGGGCTTCTCCGACTTTCGATCAGAAGCCGCTGACGGCTATTGAACATTTGGCTAACTAATAGTAAGGGCACTTCGCGAAGACTGCATAGAATTAATATGCACTGTTTGCGGTGCCCTTGACTTCAAAGAGCATTATCTATATATACAACGCCGGATCTCTTTCGAATGTATGCAATAACTCGCCAGGTAGATACGAACGCCGGTCTGCCTGTGCCCGACCTCTCAAATGCAAATAATCAATCCCGGCTAAATGCACGCATCTCAATTCAAAATCCTTGGATCAACCTGTACCCAAAGGAGACAACGACAGAAAGAAGAAACCAAGGGTGGTGGTAGTGGTGGCGGAAGAGAAGCAAATTCCCGGTACTGTCATTGGAGTGAGACCGCTGAGATGATGATGCCTGCCGGGAAATGAACAGTTATAACAATACCGAGCCCGCAAACGCCTTGCATGTTTGACTTCGAGGTTATTTGGTAGGTGAGAGCGAAACATTGTAATTTCCCAGAGATACAGGAATGCCGGCTTCACGAAACGGGTTCTGTCTTAATTCGGACATTGGGCGTAGGAGTATCGTTTTCCTATGGACAGTGTAAGTTAGCAAAGTACATATCATAGTCTCCTCACCGTGGATACAGTACACCTACTTCGGTCTTCCGCTTGCCTAGCACAGAGTCCGGGGTTGCAGTTCGCCCCAGAGGAGTGCCCCCACGTGCCGGAGTAGATCCATCTTTGGTGACTTCCGCATAGCAACTGGCGTGATATACACGGCTCCCGACTTTTACTGCATCCTGCCATATCCAGTCCTGAACATTCTCTGACCATGTCGACTCAAACTTCTCCTGACAAATGGGACACGGCGTATTCCGCAGGACAGCATCATTCGGCGCACGAATCCAGTGTTTAGGTAGACCTTTCTTATCAGCATTGTCATCAACCCCAGCTCCATTTCCACCAGCAGGTTCGCCATCGGTCACGCCCTGGTCGTCTTCATATTCCCGGGATTTGATCCAATCCTGTTACACAATGTCAAAAACAGGAACTAAAAATTATGAAGGAAGATGCCGTTACTAACCCGCTCGTCAACATACCAACTGCGGTTCTGAGCCCGCTTGGCAGCATCCGCCATTCGCTGGTTTGTTTTGAAGTGCCAGTCCAAATGACGCGCCTTCTTCTCTTTGCCTTCTTCCGTTTCAAAAAATCGACGACCGCATGTTCCACATCGGTTAGACCTGGCCTCATAGAGGCTGGCTATCAAAGCTTGGCGAGGGCTATTGTGGGTTTTCGCTTTATATTAGCATTGTATAAATATTGCTGTTATTGGAGATATAGATAAGACCTACATTTTTATGGATGCAGTACTCATTTTAACATCAATAGTGACATCAGAAATATTGAATGTTTGAGGTGTCGTGGTAGGAGGTGCATATTGAACTTGACCAGGAACAATTAACGGCAAAGCCGATGCTAGTGACGGCGTAGGAGCAGCGGAACTGGGATTAACTGTGGGGGCTGGAGGCAAGATCCCTCGAGCTCTCAGAGCTGCGATGAGGGGGTTCTCAGACGCTGAAGACACGGCTGGTTGGGGGGCACTACTGTTCGTTGGGACCTTAGGTAGAATGCTGGTCGTTTGAGGAGGTGGAGTAGGTTGCTGGCGAGTAGCTGTAGCTTTGATGAGCCCAGCAAGAGTCCCAGGGTTAAGAAGCTGCTGAAGCGGCTGGGGAACCACAGGAGGGGTTGATGTCGCCGGAATATTTAGAGGAACAGTCTGAGGAGTTGGGATCACTGGTATCGAAATAGGTGCCAGAGCGGAGACCTGATCGCGAACAAGTCTAAGCTGGTCTTGGGTAAGCTCCTGACGTTGCAAAATGCCTTGAAGGTCTAGCAGAGCCTTCAGACGCTGCTGCACCGAGGGATTGAGAGGATTAGTAGCAAACTCGTTGCGAGCAGTGTTTATTAGGGCCTCGATATCCTGATTCAGAGCAGCTAGGTCGACTTCCTGACGCGATTGAGCTGTTAGGATGGTATGTGCAGGGTACTGGTCGGCCTATCAACCTGTCAGATGCTGGAGGGCATAAAATGTGTTCAAGGAACTGGGACGAAAGAGCGTACAGATGTGGGATAGCCATAGGCATGTCCGTTACTATTGAGTTGGGGCACAGTGGACTGGCTCGAAGGGGTGGGAAACCGAGCAGGCTGAGGAGGAGTGGGAGTACTAGGCCAGCCTGCAATCCCACGGCCACGGCCAAGAAGCTCTTGTTGACCCCTAGCATGCTGCTGATGGAGGGCCGCTGTTCTCGCCTTGATAAGAGCATTCTCGATACTACGGGTGATCTCAGGAGGGAAAACTGGCCTGGTATCCAGTGAACCAGGAACAGGCTCCTTCCACGTCTTAAGCATCTCATCCAGCTTCCTGCGGGTTTGCGAATCGACCAACGTATATGCATTCATGAACGTCTGATACATGTTGCGTCCCAGGAAGAGAGTGTAGGGAGTCCCTACATTCTTGACAATGGAGTCGACTACATACAAGGCAGGCAACTTTTGCGTCGGCGGCGTCTACAAAGCACAATTAGAGCCATTCATCCAAAGGATGACACACGGCGATGCGCCTAACAGAGTACAATGCAAAGGGATGAGACACCTACTGTTCGAATATGATTCTCCAATACCCGCGAGATAGCCATTGCATGCTCCGTGTTCTCCTTCGCTATGACGGTCAGATTGCTGATTTGGAACCTGTCATTCGTGGTTAGATCTTCCAGAGAGTTCTTGTAGTCCTCAGCGACTTCGTCGGATGCAAGCCCGGATGACATGATGAACTGTAGGAAATACAAGATGTCGATAGTGGACGAGAAGGGAGATAGTTCCGAGGCACGAAAGAGTAAGATATGGCAATTGGCCGTTCTGCTTGTTCAATACTTTTCTTGTTTTCTTTCACTTTTTTTTTTCTTTTGTCTTGTCTTTTTCTTCACCCCTTTTCCTTTTCTCTCTTTTTTTCTTTTTCTTTTTCTTTCTTCCTTTTTTTTTTTTTTTTTTGCTCTCTTTGTTCCTTTTTCTTATTTCCTTTCTTCCCTTCTTTGTCCTGAAAAGACGTCTTCTGGAAGAGCAAGAGATGGAAAGTAACGGCGAACTTGTAGAATGCTTGCTAGCTATGTTCTCGAGATTGAGACAACAAGTAGTTTCGAGCGCCTCCCTCGACAACAGAATAAAAGAACCCGCGACCCTCAGTACCGTCCAATTTATCTATCTACCTCACTATAAATCCTGACCGACCGAACCTTCCAATAGAAAACGAGCAGGTAGGAGAATGAATATGGTGAAAAAGAACGGACGCGACGGATGGAGTGGGCAGTACGTGAGCCGCTGAAACCAAACGCCAAAGGGTCAAAAAGTGTGCAAATTGGGAGAGGAGGAGACTCGATTGGCAAATGAAGGAGGTGCTATTTTATCTGCACGGTGAAGAAAGGATGGAGGGTGGTGAGGAAGACCGCAGGTTGAGAACTGATGAGGGAAGAAAAGGACGGGCGACACAAAAGGACGCCAAGAATTCTGCTGAGTCAGCCATGTTCCATGACGCAGTGCAAGTGACCATCTTGACTGTTCAGAGACAACGCAATTCCCCCTTGTTCAATGCAACAAACAACTTCTTCCACACTGTCGCCAGACTGATTATACCATAGGCTTGCTATCATCTTCTCACTGCTCAGAATTCCAAGTGCATTATGAAGCTGTTTCTCTCCGCGCTCTTCTTTGGCCTCCTTCCCTTTGCACTGGCCGGGGACTCCCAGAAGTCAGTGGTTGTCACTTACCCGCAAGACACGCCGAACTCAGTTCTTACCACGGCAAAGAATGCAATTATCGATGCTGTACGTTTCGCATGGTTTTGGAAATGGCTCCTTCCCTTCGCTAACTTCACCCGTCATTATTAGGGTGGCATCATAACCCATGAGTTCCGTAAGTTCTCCTATGCTGACCAGGCAGCTATTTGTTATGGTACTGATATTTATGATCTCTCTCAGAGTTAATCAAGTAAATCTCCCCATCCTGAACTTGCTTTCGATGCCTAGTTTCTCATACTTTGCTAGAGGGTTTGCTGCGGAGGCTTCGGCAAATGCTCTCCAGGGCCTCTCCGCCTTATCCGCCGAATACGTCCCATCTATTGAAGAAGATAAAGTGGTCACGGTCAATGATAGGAAAGTCGATGCCTAAGATATGACCTGGGCTCGGTCAACTTTGAGTATCGTGTGCCTATTACACTCACACCTGCAGAAGCTGGTCTACGACATGTAGCTTATGCCGGATGAACTTGCATTGAATTTATTCCTATGTGATGCTTAATGTATGGAAAGTATTTTGCGCTATTCTATAAAGATAATGCCGTAGTCTTGGTAATATCTGATAGATCCCTATGAACCATCGACCGATGCCATTTCCATGGTAGCACTTGCACCTATTTAAGGTTCAAGCAATAGACAATATACATGACCATGGACTCATTACAATCTTGGTTAAGCCGCTCAAGAAATCACTCGAAGAATTAATAGCTCTTTAAATGCCCGGAATCTGGGAAAGTATGGAGGCAGGCGATCGATCTTCGTTCTCCGATCGCGTGCGGCGGGAGCGTGCGCCCGCTTCAACTTCCGAATACTTGAAGTTGACACAAAATAAGCCGTGGATCCTTCGTCCTTACCGGGTCCCAACTACTATGCGCTCTCAGCAACATATCATAACGGTATAAATTGACTCTTCCTTAATCTTAGCATATCTATGGTCGAATTTGCAAAACATGGCATCAGAACACACGGTCACGAAGGTCTTATTGGAGTGGATCAACAGCTTCTCCCTGGGCAAGATACTCCGGGCCACAGATGAACTGACTGACGGGATCATTCTGTGGGAGATCCTACAGGATATTGATCCCCAGTACTTTTTGGACGAGCTACCAGAACGCAGCCCATCAGGCCATTGGGTTGCAAAGTGGCAGAACCTCAAGCATATCCACAAACTCCTCGTTAGCTATATTCGGCACAAGAACGACGACGAGCTTCCCCCCGGACTCGATCCAACCCCAGATCTTGACGCCATCGCGGCAAAGGGCTCTGTCAGAGAAACGAATAAGCTCCTAAAGCTTCTCCTTATCGCGGCAATCAGCTCCCCCAACGCTGAGACCTACGTCCAAACCCTCCAGACCTTAAGCACTTCCACTCAAGAGGGACTCAAGGATATTATCGAAGAGGCACAGAATGGTCAGCATGAACCAATTGACAGCGAAAATGAGGACAATGAATATCCGTCGAAGCGAGAGATTCCCGTCGACCTCGAGTTGCAGTTTGAAGAGCGAGTTGGGAAGGTGCTCGCCGAAAACGATCGTTTAACGAACGAAAAAAAGGAGCTGGAGAAGGCATTGGAGGATTTACATAACCGCTTGGCACGTTTGCAAGAGAATAACGATACCTTGCAGGTTCGTCTTGCTTCAACCGAGGACCGACTGGTGACATTGAAGTCCGGGAAAGGCGATATTGGGTTGAGTGCCAAAGCGCTGGAGACCAGAACCCGTCAGCAAGAGGATCTTATTGCTTCCCAGGAAGCAAAATTAGCGGCATCTCAGGATGAGATTGACCGCCTACAGATGTCTCTGGAGTCTTTGCGTGTAAAGAACCAACGGTTCCAAAAGCTACAGGACGATTATGATGAGCTGAAGACGGAAAGAGAGCAGCTTATTCGAAAGGCTAATGCAGCCGAGAAGTATCGCCAAAAGTTACAAGCTAGTCAGGATTTCGAAAAGGAGAGCCAAACTCTCAAAAATCAGATTAAGGACCTCCAGCAGCAGTTGAAGGAGGCTGACTCTCAGCATCGATGGGCCGCTGAGCGAGACGTCGAACTTGAGGAATATAGGAGATTACTCCCACACATCGAACAAGACCGTCATGAGATTCAGAACTTGAAGAAGCAGCTGGAATTCAATAACCATGCTCTGACAGAGCGACTCAGGGATGCAGAAGAACAACGAGAAAGAGACGATGCACTAATAAGCGAGCTGCGCGACCGTATTCGAGAACTAGAAGGCTTGCCTGGAAGTCCATCGCCTTCGTCAGATATGGAGACTCCGAAATTAGAGGGTACTCTCCAAAAGGACTTTGAGGATATCGGAGCTAAGGAGCCCCAGCTGTAAGTTTGCCTCATCTCGAAGTCTGTAATGTCAATTAACCGACTCTACAGAAAACCCGAAAGCGAGGAGTTGAAGAAGGGTGCTGAATTGGACGCTTACCCCGAGGATTTCGTCCTGACCGTCCAACAAGTGCAAACGAAGTCTCTTCAAAGGTCTGTTATTTCATCGAGATCCGCCGACTACGCTAACTCTATATAGTGAGGAATATTGGAAGCTGTATGAGAATTACGCAGCGCTGCGTAAGAAGTTCGCAGATGCTGAAGACTCTCTCGCAACAACAAATCGAAAGCTCGAAGATTCCTTATCAGAGCGTGAGCTATTCAGACAGCCCGAGTTCGTATTGACTAGTCGCTTGCTAATGAATTGTGCAGTTGCCCTTGTTGGCAAAGAAAAAATTGATATAATCCACGAAGTTAAGGAAAGCAATTCTACAGAATTGACTACGATGCGTAACGAATGGGACGCTGTTATCCAAAAGATACATCATTTAGAAGCGGAGGCCGACGCGAGCCATGCGTTAGCAAGAGAGGTGTGCATCGAACGCGATGAGCTCCGTGGAATCCTTGACAGCAAACAAGCAGAGTTCAATACGGAGAATGAGGAGTCATTGAAAGAAATGAAAGCACTCCTTGCAGAATTTTCCGCCCTCACCAATGGTGATGTGTCGGACACAAGCCAGAAATCAAGCGTTGAGCTTCTAAAGCAATTTGCGGAGTTGACGGAGAAGAATATCGAAAGACTTGCAAAGCGTGCAGAGGTAAGTTGCGGGCATTTCCCACATCGTTAGCAAATATGGTTCATATGCTGACTGTCATTTGATGGTACAGTATATTGAGCAACAAAACGAAGTCATTGAGTCGTTGCGCGAGAGAATCAAAAGCTATGGAGACATCGAGAATACAGTCAGCAAAGAGCGCGAGGTGAGCTGGAAGATTCTTGGTTTTACGAATATGGAATTTTTGCTGATTGATAATTATCTTATCCAGCTCGAACTGCAGGAGGTGATCGAGGCTCGAGATAGGGAGCTCTCCCTCATAAGCTCTGCTTGGTATGATCTGCAGAACCGTTGGCGGAACAACAATATCACAGTCTCGAGGTACCGCCGCGGACCTGCCAATGGGGCAGATACCAAGAAGGGCTGGCTGGCAAAGCAAAGGGGCATAGTTGCCGGTCAATAGTTATTGTAAGTCAGTTGACTTGGTCAAATGAGGCATGTACTGATCAGCTCATTAGGCATACCTGGAGCAACGGCTTACGCTCAGTTCTAAAGATTCGCACTTACACATACATTATGCTTCGTCTCTTTGTATATTGCTCCTGCGTTTCTTCAAGCCATGTTTACATTCACACTACTGAGTACATACAGTTGATTGACTATCCACTCTGCAGAGAACTTACGGTGTCTGCCATACGTTTTCAATTCATATCTTTTCAACTGCTGTCCACAATTTCTCTTGTTAAAAGTGAAAAATGCAAAGATTGTGCATATTACTTCATTCTAGATACTTGTATAGATATGATTCACTCACTACTTTAATGACATGCCATTCTAGCTTTGGGATTCAATACTTCATTCTCTTTGATGGTGTTTGACATAGAATTTGTTCTAATATCCCATTTTTATCAGTCTATACCTTATATCAGAAGAAGCAAGCCCAATGAAATATGAACAGTCAACATACAACACATACTATACAGGAATGATTTTATCATTTATGACTTCATGAAATGGCAGTAATATTAGTGCACAGGTGGCCCATTTTGAATGGGAAATCCTTTTCATTTCCTCGAAGGAAACCAAGAAATAAGGCAGGTATGCCTTGAAATCCAAGAAGAGATCATAAATCTCGCAACTTTTTGTTTTTGCAAACAATAGTGGAACGGCAAATTTCTAATAATAACGTTTTTCAATCCGATGTGGAATCCGGTGGCCAGAAATTATTAGGCCCATTGTCTTGGATGCTTCAAGACGTCCATAAGTTCCTTTTCTTTCTCTTTACCCTCTACCTCTGTCTCGTCCTCCCCAGCAGTGCCAGCTGTTTCAGTCCTGGTTCCCGAAACAGGGTCCATATATACCCAGCTTGCTGTGCGAGGGAGGCTCATCAGAATGCTCTCGACACGGGCATTCGGGGTGCGCAGACCGAAGCTAGTGCCACGGTCGTAAACAAGGTTAAATTCCACATAACGGCCCCGTCGGAGCTGTTGCCATTCCTTCTGGGCAGGCGTGAAAGGCATGTCTTTCCTTCGCTCAACGATTGGCACGTAGGCAGGAAGGAATGAAGCAAGACAGTCAGAAACAAAAAAAAAGAGTGTCTCTTGCGGATTTTGAGAAGATGTCGCAGAGCTTTCTAGGAAGGCAGCGTCGAGATCATCGAAGAAAATTCCACCGATGCCACGAGCTTCCCCACGGTGGGGCAGGTAGAAATACCTATCGCACCATTCCTTGAACTTGGGATAATAGGTCAAGTCGTGCTTGTCGCAAGCATCCTTGATGGTCTGATGGAAGTGCTTGCAATCTTCAGGGAAGATGTAAGAGGGCGTCAGGTCCGTGCCGCCTCCAAACCACCAGTTCTTATCACCATTAATGGGGTCCTTGGGATCCGAAGTCTCGAAGTACCGGTAGTTCAAATGGACCGTTGGAGCCATGGGATTAGAAGGGTGCAAGACCATTGAGAGACCGGCCGCAAAGAAGTTCAGAGAGTTCACGTCCGCACCAACGAAGGACTTGTGGTCAGCGCGCATTTTTTCAATGGCAGGTCGGGGAAGCTCTCCGTAGACGACGGAGACATTGACGCCAGCCTTTTCAAAAACATTTCCATCTTGAAGAACGCAGGAGATGCCACCGCCGCCGTTCGGGCGCGACCATGTGTCTACTTTGAATGGTTTACCATCGACCCTGCTGAGTTCGTCGACAATCTTCTTCTGATGTTCTTTGATCAATTTCTCCATGCGTAGGCGCATTGGGGACGATTCATTGATGGTGGATTGTTTTTTGAGGGCCTCGTCGATCTCGACGATGGATGGAGTGTCCAGTTCGGTCACTTCGCCTGTCATCTGCGTTGCTCTATTAGCCAAGAAGCGCCTCAGATGGGCAACGGATTCAGGCAACGCGGTACCATGGAGTATATAATGGCACCGATGAATGGGATGCCGATCGCCAAACGAAGGTATGGTCTCCAAACAGTAAACGGTCGTGAATCACGGGACTTCTGTTCCGAAGAGTATCTGCGAAACTGGCCTTGGAGGCTCTGAGGACGTGGAAGATGTTTGGAAGCAGAAAGACGACAGAGCGGCCTCCGTAGAGGAAAATATAGCCGGGCAGAAGCCATCGTACGACGGCTATCGACCCGCGGTACCTGGACTAATGGTCTGCGATGCAGAAATTTGGAAGCAGGCAAAACCAATTGACCGATTCCTATTCGTTTTCTGTACCAGGCAGCCACCACAGAACCAGACATCCGGCGATGGCACCACCGTCGATGGAATCATGTTACAATGACCCGTTCGGGGCAGATGGAAGCAGAACCGGACGAGAGTGTGTTTGCAGTGTTTGCTCGTTTGGCGGAGGCAAGCAGTTTGTTATGTTTGCATGTCATTATTAATTACTACATAGGTAGTTAGTTAACTAGTTACTCCGTAGTTACGTAGAGTATGTACCCACAGTAGTGACAGTACAAAGCAGACATGGACTATTCCATGCTAACTCCAGCACATCACCCAATCATCAACATTAATAGCTCCATGTAGGCAGCCATCATATTAAAATCACCAGAATCAGTCAGCAGGTTCCAGTCACTGTTACTGGGAAGCTTTGCTCACTTGATGAGTCACATGAACTGCCTTCACCGCCTTCTTCCCCCCTGTGATATCTAGACTGCGGGGCTGTTTGCCTTCATCTCCCTTCCCTTTATCATCTTGCTGTAAGCATACTCCTTCGTCATCTCTCCATCTTCATCTCTCTACACCCCCTGCATCGAGTATCCTTGTTCTGCATCAAGTAATACTATCTACCAGTCTCTGTAATCAGCGACCGCCTACTCCGCCCATTCTTGTCCATTATCTTCTTATCAGCCGCCATGCGTTCCAAGTTCAAGGACGAGCACCCCTTCGAGAAGCGTAAGGCGGAAGCTGAGCGCATCCGCCAGAAATATGCCGATCGCATTCCAGTATGCTTAGCTCTTAGCTCTCTCGCTCTCTCACTTTCCTATGAAAAAGAACACGGTCGCGTTTTATGTTTGGGTTCTGTTCTCACCGCTTGTTCTGGTGGACTGACATCATACTTCTATCCCACAGGTCATCTGCGAGAAGGTTGAGAAGTCGGATATTGCGACCATCGATAAGAAGAAATACCTCGTGCCGGCCGACCTTACCGTTGGACAGTTTGTTTACGTCATCCGCAAGCGTATCAAATTGTCGCCAGAGAAAGCGATCTTCATCTTCGTCGACGAGGTGCTGCCGCCCACTGCGGCTCTGATGAGCAGCATCTATGAAGAGCACAAGGACGAGGATGGTTTCCTCTACATCACGTATGTCTTCTGCCGCCATCCGCACTGGGGAGCACGTATTGACTTGAGATCCTTCCAGTTACTCCGGCGAGAACACTTTCGGTGATTCTTAAGATTCGATGCGTCAATGATGTAACCGCCGCCGTCGCGCTTGTCTTCCATCGGGTGGTCGTGGCATTAATTTTTTGGGACATCCTTGAAACTGGAGGCAGGCCTGGCGTAATTATCCACGGTGATTTCTTTCATGTATGCAGGGCGTTTTTGACGGGTTCTTTTTTCATTATTCCTCGTGACATTGGCGAACTATCCTTCTGGCGGGTGTTATTGAATAAATATGCTCTACGGAATTTCATCTCTGTGATATGGTCTATGCTCTGCTGGGTTCCTCTCACCAAAGCCTCTTGCCTACCTTGATCTTTGGGGACTTCCTCCATTGAGCCGTGAGGGAACCCAGCCAGATAACAAGGGCGATCCAACGGGCGGTTCTACAGATTAAGGAATTTTATAGGTGTCTCTATCTAAAATGGATCTCGATGCAGACCGGCGAAGTTCCTATTTCACCGTTACTTCCAGTCTAGCGTAGATGTGCCAGTATTGTGCGGCTTCATTGGAATCGACGTGTCTTTGGTCCCTGTGCTTGGAGAGTCGAGTTCTTGGCCTTGCTCCGAAGACGGAGCGGAGTAGCTTCATTGGAAGAATGAGCCTTCTTGGGGGTATAGTAGCAGTTTTGCAGTTCAGGTAAAGGGAAAATAGTTTCATTGACCTAACTCTGTAGAACAACAATGAGAATAATCCTGAGGAAGGATATTAGTACTCTGTAGTAGATAGATGATGAGGAAGACTGGATGTTGAGGATCGGTGCTTTTCGGAACAAATAATGTTTCCGGGGCACCACTCCGGAGTCCAGAATAAATTTTGGAGTGACTCCTCAGCTTGGGGTTTCTACAGAAAGTGTCTGTTGTTGCTTTTTTCCTTCTCTTTTTGTGTCTGTTCAGCACATTCATCTGTTTGTTCTCTTTTCTTTTTTAGTTTCTTTTTGTTTCTTTTTGTTTTCATATCATCCACCACACCAGAGAGAAGAACATGTCTCCTGCAGTCGTACAAGCTGGTGCTGACTCTGCAGCCAAAGATGTCAAGAGGGAATCTGCAACTGCCCGATTGCTGGGGTCCGGTAGGTACTATCATCTAGTATGAGATGAGGAGAGATTGCTGATTACTTTCAGGAACGGCTGGAATTGCCGAGTTGATGGTTTTCCACCCCGTACGTTCGACCTCTCTGTCGCTGTCGCCGTCGCTGATGCGCCTTACCTGCTAACATTAAATCAAAAGGTCGACACGATTGCTAAGCGTTTGATGAGCAACCAAACAAAGGTGAGAATCCCATGTTGATTCCAGGCTCACACTGTAGTCTTCAATTGACTAACTAGGTTATCCACTAGATCACTTCCACGAATGCCCTCAATCAGGTCATTTTCAGGGACTACGCCGATGCAGCCGTTGGTCGCAAGTTCACTTCGCTCTTTCCTGGATTGGGATATGCTGCTGGCTATAAGGTTCGTTTATATGCGATTAGATGGCTCGGTTTTATCTCCCCCTTCCCACTGGCTGATCGTCTTACTAGGTCCTCCAACGAATCTACAAATATGGCGGCCAACCTTTCGTGCGCGACTACCTGGCTAAGCATTATGGCTCGGAATTTGACAATGCATTTGGAAAGGGAACAGGAAAGGCCATTATGCATGCGACTGCTGGAAGGTGGGCATCTCTATGGATCCGGATAGACAGGACTGTCCTTTTTTCGCTGACGCTGTGTCCAGCATAATTGGGGTCGGAGAGATAGTCTTGCTGCCTCTTGATGTTCTGAAGATTAAGCGCCAGACGAACCCGGACGCGTTCCGTGGCCGCGGCTTGTTCAAGATCATTTCGGACGAGGGGATGGGCCTTTACCGCGGCGCCGGCTGGACAGCAGCCCGTAATGCCCCCGGATCTTTCGCGGTATGTTGTTCAATGCATTCATGTACCCGTGCTGCTTTTTCGTTTTTCGTGACTGGCGAGGCTAACGACGAGATTAGCTCTTCGGCGGTTCTGCTTTTGCCAAGGAATACATTTTCTCCCTGAAGGACTACAATGCGGCCTCATGGGGACAGAACTTCGTGGCCTCAATCTGCGGTGCTAGTGCATCGTTGGTGGTTTCGGCACCGCTTGATGTGATCAAGACGCGTATTCAGAACCGCAACTTTGAGAACCCCGAATCTGGCTTCCGAATTGTGTCGAACATGCTCAAGAACGAGGGATTCACCAGCTTCTTCAAGGGTCTCACTCCCAAACTACTGATGACGGGACCTAAGCTCGTCTTCAGCTTTTGGCTGGCGCAGACCCTGATCCCTGCGTTCAATAAGGCTGTATAGTGTGCTTATATGCTGGATATCTATTTTTTTTTTTTTTTTTTTTTTTTTTTTTTTTTAATTTTCCGTGCCCTTTTTGTGTCCTTTTTCCTCATCTCGCTCTTGGTTGGCGAGCCTGCCGTTGTGGGATTTTAAGATTCCAGCTATCTTCCATTCTTGCCTGTGTCAATAGAGATTTTAAGAATTTAAATGACTATGGATTCAACAATTACTTCAGGGAATTGCGATCCATTGAATAATTAACTTAATGTCTTCTTCAGCCTACCTAGGACCAGGTACCTGCCTCTTTGATTGCTTTGATCAATAAATACTATGACGACAGATCTGAGCTGTCTCTCACAATTATTACATTGCAACCTCTGTAGCATCTATATCAGTATATAAATAAATAAGTTAACCCTGCTTGATAATCGACCTAACTTGTTATTCTACTTATGTATGAAATAAAAAAATCAATTCACGATTGCTACAAATAAACCCACGTGACCAAACCAGCTCATAAATCATCATCCGAATTACCAACACATATCCTTCTTTGCCTTTCAATCCGCTGATCCAATACCGAACAGAGCCATACTATCATACCTAACTTACTGCCTGCTTGAAGCCACTGAAGAAGGCACGCTAGGTATACCGGAGTATCAGAGGGAGCAAGTCGCCATGTCCACCCCGAGCCCTTCCTACCTAATATCAAAGTAAGTCGCTGCAAGAACAACTAATGGAAACGAATGAATGAAAACTGAAAAAGCAAACAGAGTCGCCGATCCCATCTTTGCGCTGTCCATCGGCACTTTTGCCGCTCTCGTCCGTATCCGGCGCGAGGAAGTAGAAAAGCTGTTGAACTCGGCAGCTTTTAATGGTGACCATTCTGCTGCTGCGAAGCAGATCGGATTTGGGCATGTTCTTGGTCTTGGTGCAAGGAGGGTACGGAGATGGTGGGCGGGTGACTTTTCGGGGTTGTAATTAAATTCTAGAAGAGTTGATGAAATCGGTCGTTGATTATTAAAGATTCTTTACATGCGCAGAGATATACAAATAGTCAAAACCGTGACATCTACAATAGAAATGATTGAAATTCACTCAACCTTCTTCGTATTAAGGAGATAGTATACCGTCCATCGTCATAACTTTTCCCACCCGTGAAAATTCGACAAGGACCATAAAGCACCAAACTAGGATCTATGCAGGTCATGCGCAATTAGAAAAGAAAAGGAAAACGTAGCAAATCCCATAATTCCGTGAAACAAGAACATAAAAGGCCTATTTAAGGCAAAGACATGAAAAATAAGGACGTAACTGAAGCCGCTTAGTCAAGCTCCTCAGGGTGCTCCTCGACCTCATCGGCAGTGCGAGTGGCACCAGGAGCAGCACCAGGAGCAGCACCACCAGCAGCACCGTAGGCGGCGGAGATGATGGGGTTGGCAACACTAAATTAAATGTTAGTTGAACTGACTTTGAAAGACAAGGGAAATTTAAGACAGTAATGGCAAAACATACCCTTCAAGCTCCTTCTGCTGAGACTCGTACTCCTCCTTGGTAGCGGTCTGGTTGTTGTCGAGCCAAGAGATGGTCTCGTCGATCTTGCTCTGGACCTTCTCCTTGTCGGAGTCGTTGATGTTGAGCTTGCCCTCGCTGATGGTGTTCTTGAGGGAGTAAGCGTAGGACTCGAGACCGTTCTTAGCCTGGATACGGGAAGCCTCGGCCTCATCCTCGGCCTTGTACTTCTCGGCCTCAGCCAGCATGCGCTCAATGTCCTCCTTGGACAGACGGCCCTTGTCGTTGGTGATGGTGATTTTGTTGGTCTTGCCAGTGCCCTTCTCGACGGCAGAGACGTTGATAATACCGTTGGCATCAACATCGAAGGTGACCTCGATCTGAGGAACACCACGAGGGGCAGGAGGGATGCCAGTGAGTTCGAACTTGCCGAGCAGGTTATTGTCCTTGGTACGGGCACGCTCACCCTCGTAGACCTGGATAAGGACACCAGGCTGGTTGTCAGAATAGGTAGAGAAGGTCTCGGACTTCTTGGTGGGGATGGTAGTGTTGCGCTTGATCAGAGGAGTCATGACACCACCAGCGGTCTCAATACCGATAGAGAGAGGAGCGACGTCGAGCAGGAGGATCTCGTTGGTGGTCTTGGAGCTGGTGTCACCGGACAAGATAGCAGCCTGAACAGCAGCACCGTAGGCGACGGCCTCATCGGGGTTGATGGACTTGTTGGGCTCCTTGTTGAAGAAGTCGGCAACAAGACGCTGGACCTTGGGGATACGGGTAGAACCACCGACAAGGACGACATCGTCGATAGAGGACTTGTCAACCTTGGCGTCACGGAGGACACGCTCAACGGGCTCCATGGTGGAGCGGAAGAGGTCCTGGCACAGCTCCTCGAAACGAGCACGGGTGATGGAGGTGTAGAAGTCAATACCCTCGAAGAGAGAGTCGATCTCGATGGAGGTCTGGGCGGCGGAAGAGAGGGTACGCTTGGCACGCTCGCAGGAAGTGCGGAGACGACGGAGAGCACGAGCATTGGTCGTCAGATCCTTCTTGTGCTTGCGCTTGAACTCGGCGACGAAGTGGTTGACGAGGCGGTTGTCGAAGTCCTCACCACCCAAGTGGGTGTCACCAGCGGTGGATTTGACTTCGAAGATACCCTCCTCAATGGTCAGGAGAGAGACATCGAAAGTACCACCACCCAAGTCGAAGATCAGGACGTTGCGCTCACCCTCGCCCTTCTTGTCAAGACCGTAGGCGATGGCAGCGGCGGTAGGCTCGTTGATGATACGGAGGACGTTGAGACCAGCAATGAGACCGGCGTCCTTGGTGGCCTGACGCTGGGAGTCGTTGAAATAGGCGGGGACAGTGATGACAGCGTTGTTGACAGTGCCACCGAGGTAGGACTCGGCAGTCTCACGCATCTTGATCAGGACCATGGAGGAGATTTCCTCGGGAGTGAACTGCTTGGTCTCGCCCTTGAACTCGACCTCGATGATGGGCTTGCCACCCTTGTCGACGACCTTGAAGGGCCAGTGCTTCATGTCAGACTGGACCTCAGCGTCGGCGAAACGACGACCGATGAGACGCTTGGCGTCGAAGACGGTGTTGTGGGGGTTCATGGCGACCTGGTTCCTGGCGGCATCACCGATCAAACGCTCGGTGTCGGTGAATGCAACGAAGGAAGGAGTAGTGCGGTTACCCTGGTCGTTGGCGATGATCTCAATGCGGTCATCTCTGAAGAAACCGACGCAGGAGTAGGTCGTTCCCAGATCAATTCCGACTGCGGGAGCCATTGTGTGTTGTGTGTGAAGGCGGGGTAGTAAAAAAAGAGTAGAAAAGGAAGAGAGGATCTAGTGTACAGAGATTCGCGGGAAGATAGGGGTATTTAAGAGGAGAGAAAAGTCAAGATAGATGATTCAAAGGATGTCTGAGGAAGAGGAAAAGAGGAAGAGGGAAAAAGCAGCGGTCGTTGCTAGATATAACTGAAGAAAGTGGGCGGGCAGAAGCTTCTAGCAGGGCAGAGCTTCGACGGGCGTCCATGCGATTCCATTCCAGCCGCCCGTCGAAGCAGCCTGAATGCCCCAGCAACCACTTTCACTTTCACTTTCGTCTTCGCTCGCTCTTTGTCTGCCGCTTCTTGTCTGCTCCATGCTGTTCCAGCGCTATCTTTTCCGTCTTCTTTCCCCTTTGTTCTACCACTGTTCTACTACCATCGTGTTTCGTCTACATACTACAGTACAGCTCCCTACGCTGTGCTGTTTCCTTCAGTCCGCTTCCATCTAGCGGAGCCCCCGGTCGATGACGTCGATGACCCTGTATTACGAGTATGATTGACTGTTTCTCTCGCTCTTCTGTTCTGTTCCATTCGACAGCAGCGGTGGGATGATTGTTCTCGAAGCCGACCTTGTTCCTTTGCTTCCCTCGACCTGAGGTCATCATGACTCATCCTTCTAATACTTGTCCTGCTCCATCCACAGCTGTCTAACCGACCCCTACGGTAACCTTCGGGGTCGCGCGTATTGCGCGACCCTGACAACCACCCGAGCACCCCAGCCACCCGAGCACCAATTTTAGACCCCCCTTCTAGCTTCAATATCTCAACGAATTCTATAGTATTTAACTTCAAAATATATTTAAACTAAAGCTCTACTCTTCAGCTTGGGCCCTAGCATGTCGTTGCCTTCGTATAATAATTCCTCGTCGAATGCATACATCCAGCAGCTCTGGTAGGCAACGCTTATACTTAGTCCTCCACCTCTTTATTTCAGCCTGCTCATTAATATTCGCAGTATTTCGATTTATAGCTTCAAGCTCTGAGCTTGATACTATGCCTCCCTTGCGAATCCTGCGCCTAGAGGCCTGTGATCAAGCTGCGCGGTCCCTAGCAGCTTTAATATACCGGTCAAGCTCAGCTTCGATAGCAGCTGAATATGATGCTAGCATACTACCACCATGAATAAGCAGCTCTAGGCCCTCATTAAATTGATCCTTGTTGATATCATGAATCTCCCATATCCTATCACCAATCTCCCTAAATCATTCAGCTTTTTTTTGGCGTACTGCCCCAGGAATCAACATCATTGGTATTGGTGGATGAAGAGGATGGATGATGTGGTTGAGGCATTTGATTGAGTACAATTGATGGATTGAATGGTATGATGCCAGTCTTTTGGAATCCATGCCGAATAGTACGCTTTTTGAATGTCTTCTTGCGAATTGCCCCTAAGGCATGAAGGAATTCAACCTTAGTAAATTTACTGTATTCTGAGTAGGTTGCATCTGCAACTGCTTCTGAATGCCAGTGCTTATATGCATGAAAAACACCAACATCCAATGGCTGCAAGAAATGACTTGTATATGGAGGTAAGAAGAAGGTGATGATATTGGTCTTCTCACAGAATTTAACAAATTCATGTGTTAGATGGGAGCCGTATCCATCACATATAAGAAGGGTATATTGACCCTTCCTATATCTTTTAGTATGCCGATAGAATGACTGAATCCATTGGAAGGCAATTGTATCAGTCATATAGCCATTTTCTGATACTCCAATTGAATAGTCTTGTTGAATATCAGCAGCTTCAAACCAATTTGTAAGTATACAGCTACCACTCATGAGAATAAGTGGTGGGCAGGTCCAGCCATCTGCATTGACTGCTTCAACCACAGTAACATATTCACAGTTTGAATTCATCCCAATATGAGGCTTATTAATATTGAAGTCCCTGGTAATAATCCATTGATCACAACCAACACTGATATTGAAGCCAGTCTCATCAAAATTGTAGATATCCTCCTTTAATATCCCATGGTTCTGGATGGTCTGATGGAGCTTCTGAAACCACTCCTGAATAACCTCATGATCCTCTGCACGCTTGTGGTCAAGCTCTATAGCTCTAGAGCGACGTCTTTTATATTCAGGATGCCTTCCTAGCCATCAGTTTAACCATTTCTCGCTGACAGTAGGTGGAGGGGTGTCTAGGCTGGTATGGGTTGATCTCAGAATAGAATTGGCACTTGATTGGATCATTTGTGCAAGTGGCTTTATATTTAATTGCTCTAGAGTATCAACATAGTGACACAGAGCCTTTTCTTGCTCTTCTGATAATCTGGTGTTGGTTGGTGGTCGTTCACATAGATTGGACCGTCCCTTCCACCTTGCGGAGAGGGTTTGCCGTTTAACTCCATATTCACGTGCAGTTTTGGCGATATTTGGGGGATTTTGTGTGCTTAACGCGTCAATAGCTTTGAGCATTCGATCTTCATAATTTTTATTGAATTTGGGCATGGTGGTGGTGGTTGAATTATATGATAAAGTTGATGGGTTGGAATTCTACGAAGTTCTAAAATCGGTGCTCGGGTGGCTGGGGTGCTCGGGTGGTTGTCAGGGTCGCGCAATACGCGCGACCCCGAAGGTTACCGTAGGGGTCGGTTATGGGTGGAAGGGCAGTTGACGTGCCCGCATGGTAGCATACGACGCAAAGACCGGTGCGATCATCTCACTTGGACGGGGCTGGCAATAGTAATGACCGATAGAAAGAAGGGAAATTAGAATCGAATAGAGGGAAGCAATATACAATGGCCATTGCCCACTCGTCATATATTAACTAAAGCGACAAGTTACGCTGGTCGATATGAGTTTCTTTGAGGCGGCCTCTACACAGAGACGCCGAATAGATAGATACACGAGAAGAAGGAAGACAAAAAACCCCTCAGGATCATTCCATGTCACTGTATGATCCAAGCAAGAACCCAACACCGATGTATGCATGCCCATTTGCAATTAATGGAAGTAGAAAATGAGGTAAACCGCAGAATTGGAAGACACAGAACGAAGTGAATCGAGATAAGAACGTCACTGACTCCAAACGAACCCATCGTTTGTCCCCGATTGGCATCTTCGAATGCATTAGAGTGCACATAGACAGAACGCGCAGACAATAAAGGAAAGGAAACTCTAAACAGAAAGAAAGAGGGGTATCTAAACACGATGCATTGTCTCCGGCCCCGGAGGGGAATTCGCTGCAAGGTATAAATCGATCTGTAGAATCGACTCCAGGAATGCATAGTAACGCCAGAAGGTCCATGCCGATGCATTATGCTGTTTTCCACCCTGGATGCCCAGCAGGCGGTCCAGGAATTAGGATCCATGTAACGGTAACCCGGGAAGGGCTCATCAATTAAGAAAGCTGCAATTGTGAACAACCATAGGAGTCTATTATAAACGCGAAGTGGGAAGGGACAGCTGGAGCGCGACCACGGACGGACAAATGAGCGTAGGGAAACCGCAGCGCACGCTAAGTTCAAGATCTGTAAGAATCCATTGACCGATTTGGGGACGAAATCGAGTCTTGAGATGCAATTTCCGCGTCGCTTGAAGGGGATTGTCGCCGACCGTCTCGATCACTTCCGCTGCTCCGCATCTGATTACGAAGAGCAGGGAGCTGGCGTCGCCTGGCGTTGATGAACCAGTTGCTGATCTTCATTTCCAGTCAATAACTCGACGGATACAGGGAAAAAGATGGCTAAACCACGTAGACAGCAGAACTCACCTGGCTGATGGATAATCCAGTACGAGTCATGAACATCTGCTTGTCTTCCTCACTGGGATAGGGATGGTCCAGATGCTCATGGAACCAGGCTCGGAGTATATCGGTCACGGGCTTGGGAAGATTCCCTCGCCTTCGTTTGATCTTGGGATCTGTCGCGTCCCCAATAACGCCAAAATTGGGTTGCTGATGATGCAGTGGTATTTGCCGGGAGGGCGACTCCAGATCCCCATGATGGATTGCTGGGATATATGAATACGGCGCTTGGCCGTGTAAGAATGGCGGGCCGCTGTCACCTGGTGCGTACGGGTCGGCGTTCCTTCGATCACTGCGCGACAGACCAGTCTGGCCAGTCGTGCCAAAGGCGCGCGGGGCATCTACGTAAGTTGCAGGCGGAAAGTCCTGTGAAGAGAAGGAATCGGGCCGCGAGGAGATGGTTCTTCTGCTTTCCGGAAATGGATGACCGGCTGGTGTGCCCACGCTGCCTTCAGGGTGAATGTCACGGATGGGGGGAAGAATCTGACGCTGTCTATAGGACGAGACATATTGCTGCTGCTGTGGTTGCAAGGGTCCATGGTCCCTAAGTTGACTTTGCTCCACCCTGCTCGGCGCGGCAGAGTAGGCTGGTGGTAGTGGAGGAAAACTTGGTTTGGGGGACGGTACATATGGTAGACGACCTGTTTCTGTATGTAACCGATGCTCGCCCGCAGATAGTCCCCGTTCGTGCGGACGATTCCGGAGCGACGTCAAATATGAGCTAGACTCTATCTCTTCGTGCAAGTGAGGCGGGAGCAGCTATAGAAAACACATATCAGTTCCCGCAGACACTAGTCATTGGGGACCATGGACTAAAATTTATCTCACCTCGCGAAACGAGGGGAGCGTTTGAGAGCTGCTACTAGTAGTTGGAAGTCTGTTCGCATACGAGACTGACATTTTCCGGGAATGCTGTTTGTCTTCCGGATTTGGGGACATAGACAGGTAGACGGGTGAGGATGAGCGGATTATAACGAATAGCTAGAAGGGGCGACAACTGGAGACACTTGTCAAATTAATTATTTGTTACGGAGTATTGCTATCATTGTCCCTGCTTCGGCTCTGGTAGGCCGGCAAAGATGGAAGTATGCCTGACGATGGCCCATGTGTCACTCACCTCATGGTCCACAGGAATCCCTGCCAAGGTTCAGCTGCAAGCAGAAAGTAAAATTGTGCAGATCTAGCCGCTGATTATGAATTCCTGACACAGTCCCATCACGCGTGGAGCTCTGCTGCAGCGAGTCGCTGCGGTTGCACTCCGACTGCCAAGGCCACTTATGATTACTGAACTTGGCTGATCAAAGACTCCCCAGGAGATACGCCGACGGACCACGCCTGATCTGTATCTGTCCTGATGCGCGCAGGATGACGCTGGCATACGAAGGACTCCGCATGGCGTCTCAGATGCGGGCCAATTACCACCCGTCTTATGATGCTATTCGATATCTGATTATCCACCGTATTCGCACTGTACTTCCTGAATCATCGTCATCGGCTCGCAGGTGCACGATTGGCCGGCTCCTCAGGGACTTTTGCGTCCCTGGGCAGATCTGGCCGGCGTTCTGACAGCTGTCAGAATCCTCGCAGTCTTTTCTCCCCGGGCTAACTGCAGAATGTCAGAAATGGAGAACGACGACCTGCAGGCGATATCACATTCATTCCTTGCGTCGTTTTTTGGCTGCATGGTGATGATGGATAAATAATAATAATAATAAGATGAATGGTTGGCAGGACGCTTTACGGAGCTTAGTATCTCGAGCTTCTCCTATTCCCCAATCCGGTCAATATGGAGAACACGTGCTTTCTGGCCGTGACAGATTGCGATAATTTGGAATTCCCTTCTCCACGACAATCCTTCGAGGCGCTTGAAATTTTGGATTCAATAATTAATTCGCCCACTCCAGATCTGCGTCCTCCACTCTTCTGCAGGCGTCTAGCGGAACCGCATCTCGAGTCTCGACAGATTGCCCGTGCGAAAGAACTCAACCTGCGACCAAAAGGCCTGCCTTCATCCCCGATAATTGCTATATATGCTATGTGCGCTCTTGACAGTGTTATCTTTTGACATTTTACAGTCCAGGTTTCCATAGCATCTTGCTTTCGCTGCGACTGCGTCCTCAATCGGCATTCTGAGCGCCCTCTCTTCCATTGCTTGTCTTAGCAGCAAGCTTTTGCAGTATACGTCTGAGCGCCCCACGATACGTCTTCATCATACCTTCTATGGCGATATATGTCGATCCGACCAGTCATTCCTCCATCCTTCCGCCTCACAATCCTGTGTAGCACCCACCGCGCGACATTCTGGAGCTCCTCAATAAGAAGAGGGGAAAAAAAAAACCTGCGGTCTGGCACTTTATCTCACGAATAAACCGTGGTTGAAGTCGGCCTGGCCCTGCCTACATCCTCTTGATGTTGCTTGGAAACAGATATTCCCATCCAAGTAGAGATGTTTGAACTCCACCTGTGGCTGATGGAGCGCTGCCAGCAACCATGGTGCGCGCATGAGTGTCCACAATGCTGGTTTCCGCATTAGATACATAGATCCGAATGTGGACTCTGGTACGCTTGGACTTGGATGGTACCAGCCACACCAGATTGCCTTGACGTCTGCGACTCTTGGAGATACGTCTTCCATTGTCCCCACCTGCGGTCCGGACAGGAGACCAAAGATCTGGGAACTTCATGCAGAAGAGCGGATAGTCCATTTTGAAACTCTCCCACGTGACTTTAACTTGGTAGGGAATTCATGGCATTCCTGTTATGTCCAAGCCCACGATGTGCTTGCACGTCCAGCTTTTTCTCCGAATTTGGGATAACTGATAGGGGGCCCAGATTCCATGATGATGCGTTGGCTATGCCTGCTTCTCTTTCAGAAATTATGGTAAAAGACCTGGGAGCACGAGTGGCAATACTTTGGGCGCCAAATGCGGAAATAATAATATATGTTCTTTGCAATCATCCCAAGAGCTGGTCATCGACCTTCGGCTTTTGTGCATGCATGCATCATTCCACCAGGTACTTGAACTAGATATGTTTTGAGTTTGGTTCTGGGAAGATCAAGCACACATCTCACTACACAAATATGACAATAGACGCTTATGCAAATGGCCTCTTACCATGATGCTTACAATTGGTTATACTTACTAATAAGTGCAGATGAGAAGTTTGACGTTGTGTTTGGTCTCTCTTCTCATTTACATGGCTTCAATTAGAAGATCTGTGTACAACTGATTCCATTGTATTTTGCAAATTATATCACTTCTCACCCTTTACCGGCCTTTCTCTTTCTCCCACGGCATCATGTATTAAGTAGCCGAGAATATCCCGAGGGGATTATACCTCCACGCCCATATACGATGTAATCAGATGCTGAGACAATTTGGAGCATGCAGGGACTATTGTGACAACATGTATCTTGCTTGTTTCAAGGCTGCATGGGAGTCGGACACATGGCGCCATGGCGAGGCTGATCGGGTTGTTTTGTTTTGTTTTTATTGGGATGGGATCTAAAATTTGAGAATCACCACATATGTATGAATCCACCTGATGAATGGGCACGGACAGAACGCCTCATTTCATTGCAGATTACCCACACTCTATATATACATCAATTTCGTCATATTCTATGGTATATATGTGTGACGTCTATCCCGATGATGCCTTGCCAGCGCCGCTGAAAGGACACGCCCCCGTCGTCGGCGCAGAGGTCTCTGGCTCTATCCCCTGTTCTTTGGCGACTCGTGCGATCTGGTTGAATAGTTCCATGGGATCGTACCAGACGTCGATGGATTGTAATTGGAGCTTGTCATTGACTTTGGCAACGACTAAGCCCTGGATATCAATGAGGCCGCCGTGGGGCTTGATGGTGACTTTTTCGCCTTGGCTGTGATGGTTGTTCTGTTAGTAGAGCTAACGCTTTGAAAATAGACCTAGCCGCACGGACTACACCGAGAGAGGGCGAGAGCGAGAGCGAGAGAAACTCACTTGTTGTATCCCGTATAATCACTGAGCATCTCGCCCCAGTGTCTCCATTTGAAAACCACCACCGGAGGTCCACTGTATACCTCCAACACCTCCCAGGCGAATGTGGGCATCATCCGCTTAAAGGACTTGTGGCTCTTCTCGAAGTCATTGTGTTCGGGATCATAGTACTGGCTCGGCGTCAGGAGGGCATTATACGTCCCTACGCGCAGCATGTCTTCACCGGACTGCGCCGGTCCCCCGTTTAGATGGAAAGTATAGTTATCCTGGTCGATCGTCCGCCAGTCTTTCAGCGAGGTCTTGTATGAGGCTTCGATTTCCCAGTTCTTGACAAGGTTCTGGACCAAACTGGGGAGGCTACCGGCTTCGTGGCTCATTTTCTTGCCTGGAGAGTGGGAAGGAAAAGAAAACGCGAAGAACGTGTCAAGACTTATGGTTGTTCATCCAGGTGGGACGGTTGGCCATCCTTTAGTACGTACTGCTTTCATAGAATGCTCGAGTCTTAGAGTAATTAGGGACGCGTTTGTATCTCCATGATGCGTCTGTGTCTTTCAAGACTGCATCCGGGTCCAGGACGTAGTCCGGAAGGGCGGGGGTGGTCTCTGCTCCAGCGGTTGACATGGCTGCCGAGGAAAGGCGTTAACTCTCCGCGGAGGCTACCGAGGATGGATGGACCAGAGAGAACAAGAGAGCAGTGAAGAATGTGAGAAGGGGCCGTGTTGAATCCAGCGGGGGGAGAAGAGCTGACTCTTTATACAGGCATATCCGGGGATGTGTTTCCCGTATTCCGCATGGGCAAGACGGTGATTGATAAACCTTCGGCTACAGCGTACTCGTACAGAGGTACACACGGGTCAACAATAGACCCCGGCCAAGGCGCGGAAACGGGGATCGTCCCATAAAGATCCAGAATCCCTGCTCATCAATGTCCAATGGGCAGTTGAAAATATCCGACATGAACTGACACCCGCATGTGGGACATGGTACTGTTCGGCAAATGAGACATCTGCCGATTCTGTCTGCTTCACTTGATTCGTCTTGCTGTCTGCCGTTCCGGTCCCTGGATTACTCTTTAGAAGCTCTGGGCATCGAAAATCCGCCTTTATCCGTCGTTGGCCATTAGTAATCTCTTAGGAATAGTTAACGTAGTTAGCAGTTGACCACGGAAGCCGCCAGGGGCGATTGAGTCGGTGGAGAACAGTGGTTCTATCCAGGGTAGTATCAGCGCTCCTTTTCGATCGGAGTGGGTTTTGAAATGAACCTCTCCTTCGTGTGGGCCGACAATGATACTCCCTTGAATAATGGCAAAGCGGATGTCAGAGAAAGATCATGCCACCTCCTTTATTTTTCGTAGTTCTTGCAGGGATCGACATCATGGCAACAGAAGGCGTCCTCAGTGAGCGATGCCTGTCGCGTTAAGAAGCTTCCGGATATGATAAAGGTTGATCTAATTAAATTGCATTGACGATGGAACCAAGAAACGTGCTCCGGACGGCTCGTTCTGACCAACCGGAAAATAAACATGGACAGGATTACAATGTCAGACCAAAATTGCCAGGCAGGTTCAAGGCTAAGACAAGGGTCGCTATGACGATTATGGCGCTCTTGTATTGATCACTGTGCCTGATAAATCAAAATGGGATTGATTGATGGAGCGCCTGAGACCGGAAACGCCTCCGAGGCTGCCACCAAGGCCAAAAATTGCCATGTGGAAGCAGTAAATTAATGCAGAACAAAGCATAATGCATCTATCCCGCGTTTCCTCCAAAATGGGTCTTCAAGATCATTCGGAATTGAAGAAAATGAACATCCGGCGTTCATGCATTATTACATAGAGACACTAGAACATTGCTTCTGAGACAACCAAGTATGCAGATCCAGACTCACGACGATGAGGGGGATGGTCGTTTGAAGGGGTGTGCTTCAGTATTTCTAGAGCCACGTCAGCGACACAAAATTTCCAGTATGGTTGAAGTCGACGCTGGGCGACAGGAGCATCAAGACTCATCGCACGGGAAAAGGTGTCACTCACAAGACATATTCATCCAAACTGACTAGGTCTGGTTCAGAAAAAATGAGGTAGAAATATTTCAATGTCTCTGCAAACCAGAAGCTTTCCATATAATCCAATTTCCGTGGCTCCCGGTTCCGAACGTCACTGATCGCCGCATTGGCATACTTTGTTGTTGTCAACCTGACAATATTCTGGAACATGCGCCATGCAGCGTTCTGCAGTTTCTTGTCCCCGGTTATCCGGTACATGATGAAAACGGATTCAATAGCTTCGGGCCTAGGTGAAAATGGAGTGAGAAACGGTTGATGACGAGGGCAAAATAACCCCCCTTATCTCCCAAGTGTGAGAGAATATGGCTTACCTGAGGAGATATTGGGCATCGCCAATACCAATTAACCCTGGCTGAAGCCCCTGCTCTGCGACAATGGATTTCCCGTTGGCAATAGGGTCTTCAGAGGGGCGGCCTCTGGTCACACGACTATGGACTTCCTTGTACCACTTGTCCTCATCCCACTCGCATTTTTCCACGTCTCTGCAAGCGCTGACATAGAAAATCTCAGGCATGATCCCCGTGGGCATCAAGTCATACGCCCAAATGCACCCATCGACTAGCTTTCGCGCGATGGATAGTTCATCAGGCTGTTCAAATATCTTAGCCCCTACGCCGACTGTACCTCCGAGGTAGCATTTGAGATGCTCAGCCTGGTATTCGAGCCTTGTTCGACCTCCTCCTCGAGCATCGCCGGCAAACAGAACGTCGCTGCCGTCCTTTGTCATTGCGCGGAAAAGTAGATGGCCCCTGATTGCGTTTATAGCAGTAGCATACATTTTATGGTACTGGTCTGTTCGACCGCCCAAAAGCATATGCTCCTTGGGAAGATACTCGTACGTGGAGTCGGCCATGCCGCCGACTGTGAACCGATCGTCAGGGAACTTCTTTTCCAATGCATCTACCGTGACGGGCCACAGGCCTGGCAGTTTAGTTGCATTCTGTGTCTCATCAAGGAAATCCGTAATCCTTTGGATGGCGTCGAAGTATTTAGGGTCTCCGGTCAGTTGGGACAGACGGGTAAATTCCAGGTTTAGGGAACCCAGCTCCGCAAGTATAGTATTTTGTGCAGGCAGGATTACCAAGCCTTCAGCAGATCTGAATAGCTGTCAATATAATCTACTTCTTTTGTTCTGGGTGTGAAATAAAGTGGTAGCCTGCGCTTATGGTGACGGTGATGATTCGCATCTGTAGTAGCTTTTCCTCACCTCGTCCATTGCCACCGGGATTGTGGCATTCTGTTTGGTGTATCAAATGCGTCATATAGCATATCTGCCACCTCTGTCGCCTTCCTCAACAGGATCGGGTACTTGCCATCAGTCAAGTCATAGGCGCCCAGGAATCCTCCAACATATCGGATTGTCGTCTCAAATACGTTGATTTCGCTCGCTTCCGTTGTTGTAAAGTCAATGCGATCGAGCTGCTCCAATGCTCTCTCGAATTCGTCGTACATATCCATGATGACCAGAGTGTCTAGAGCATCGACCAAACTGGCGGCCCAGCCGCCAAAGGCATCTCTGTAAGAACCACTGAGTGGGGACAGCTCATCGCGCAGCCATGCATGGAGCTTATATCCTTTCCACGCATGCCAGAACACCCTCTTAACCTCATTTTGCTTCATCACTCGTTCCTTTTTCTGGAACCATGATTCAGAACCAAACTGGTGCTGCACTCGTGGTATGGGTTTTGTAGGGCCTGTGGGAAGAGGAATGAAGGACTGAACGGGATTTATTTGCGGATGTTTTGCCCAATGGATCCTATTGTTAACATTTTGTGAGACAGGTACAGGAGCTGGATCCTGTGCAAATTCCGAGACAAATTCCCAACTGTCATCATCACCCAGTTCTACACCACGGGGTAAGCTGCTGTAGAAGCAATATAAAAAGACAAGAAGGAAGGTGGCAGGGAAGACGAAAGTTCTGCGAAGGCAGAGCATAGCGAAAGATTCACGCCCAACTCTACAGAGGGCGTAACAGAACCGAGTAAAATAATCACAGCAGAAAGGATACAAGCAGTGACAAAATGAATGGCGGCATTAATATGCCCGTGCCAGATTCCTGGAAGTTGATGGAATGATGGATGACAGCAGAGTACGCTGTACGCCAGAACGTTGGAAGGAGGTTGAGGGAACGACATGTCCAGATAAATGAAAGCTCCCCCAACAGGGATTGATCGACACCAGGCATATGGTGCATCACTGCATGACCTCGAGCAAGGGAACAAATAATAAGCTTATGACGATAAGTAAAGTTGTGGAACACCGCAGCAGATTTGACCCAGTGATCGTCTTTGCCCTGGCACAGGAGACACACAGGGACTCATAGCAACCGAATTGGAAAGTTTCTTGAGCATCATATTGCTCTATAATTGACTATCCAGTCTTGGCGACATGCTGGGGCACATTCTCCTCGAAGAAACCGTGGCTTTGGGCGAGCTGGTGTCCATTCAAGATTCGAGGCATAACATTCCCGCGCGGGATATCTCCGTCCTGCGGCACCATAAATAGACGATCCGATGCCAGATCAGACGGGGCCATATCTTGTTTGACCAGTAGAAATGGATTCCCATTCGTATCGTGCCGTCTCCTTTGAAGTAAGTTAACAAGCCGGCCGCGCGTCCTTGGCTCGTTCCTTGTCTGGGCGTGTCTTGGCCGCAGTGACGTTGTTTGCACCATTTGCATCATGACACCGAGGCTTGCATCGCATCGCAGTGGAAGCCGTTAATTTTTGGCTTCACTTGGGACATGGCACATCAGCTCAGAGAAATCATCTGCACGTACTCGTGACGGCTGGAGAACTAAGGGGCGCGTATCACAATGCCTTTGACAGGGTACGGCAGATGCACCTCTTCTTATTCCATCCACTGACAGGACAACAGTGTTTTCTTCGTTCCCTCGAACCCCAATTCCCTCACGGCCCTCGCGACGATAACAGAACGACTGCGCTCCGCCTTTCCTCATGAACAGCTTCTGCCAACTGGGCGCTGGGCTGCAGAGCACAAGCTCATGCGCGATACACCGTCCTGTGTGCCGGCCTCAGCTAATGCCTCGGCTGCCCAGCGACCACTGAAACCTCGATATCTACAGTTCCTATCCCTGTCTCACTATCCTAATCACGGATTCATATATACGTCCGAGCCGGCAGAAAATCAGAGTCCCTCTTCCGCACAGCGACATCCAATTCCAACTGCCGGACAGACCACGTCTGTAGCAGCAGTCCAACCTGCACAAGCACTGGGACATGTCGCTACCGCACCTGTGCCAAGTGCAGCCCAGAATACAAACACGAATCTGCCATCTCCAGGCCATTCTGATATGATTATGACCACTGTCCCTCTTTCCTCGTGCGCAACTTTGTTTAACCACTTCGTCTATGCCTGCCAACCCTTCTGGTGCCATCGCCATACAGTTACGGTACCCGCGGGCTTTGTCTACGATGTAGGAGACTTCCGAGTCCGTCTAGGTGACGTTCGACAAACGCAGCCCACAGCCCGGGTAAGAGGGACGGTAGTTGAGATCGAATGGAAGGGCCCGTCATTGGTGTCCTCCATTATTGCACAGAGAGCCAATGGCACAGCGTCCACTGACGGCCATGGAACGACTATCGGTATCGGTGGTGACGATGATGCAGATTCAGGAATCGATTTAAATTTACCATTTTTGCCTTCTGACATTGAGGACGCGGATGTTGATGCGGACTATGCGGCGACTGCTGCGTTGATAAGAGAGTTCTGGGATCGTCTGGGCATCAGCGGGGCTAGGGAAGCCATCCTTGTTTCTGATCTGGGGAAGGAGGTGAAGGCACAGCTACAAACATTGAAGCGGGCGAGCAAGGATAAGGATAAATACCGGAAAGCGGTCAATCATACGCCCCGTCATGATGTTGATATCTGGGATCTCAGTGGAAAGCGGGAGGATGCCGATCCGGAGGCCGGGGTAGATTTGGCTAGACAGTTTATGGAAATTTTCCGATTTAATCGATGATTAATGATTAATGACTGACGATTATAGTTGCTCGCGCATAATTGCTAAATAAAGCGCGAAGCGCTGACACCAGAGTGCAATAAAAGCAGTAAACCATGTTAGAAGTCGTTCATCATTTGTGGCGCATTTAGCTACGAGGAAAAGTCAATATGATCTAAATGCACTAGATCAAAGAACATAGATATGAAATATGACGGACCACAAATGGGCAGAGAGAGAAGGCACCTTCCAGGTAGCAGGGGAAGAAGTCGCGCAAGGAAATAAGACGTGTTTCCTATACATAACACAGTTATATCCTCTCACCCGACTTAACGCCCTCTCGCAAAAGTCACAGGCATTGGTTGCTTCAGAAGGTTAAAAAGTGACAGCCAAGTAGATTGGAAAAAGGGAAAAAAAGGCCAATATAACCTCGATAGTTGATTCGTGACGGCAAGTACTGGAAGGAATCCTCTCTACTCCACCCATTTTCCGGCAATACTCGGGAAAAAGAAGCAAACTTGGGTCGTGAACAGTGAACATTTATTTTTGCATCATGAGTTGAACAAACTCGTTGTCTGTTGAAGCCGCAGTCAGAAAACCGATTCCTGGGCCAAGCGTGGGCAAAACTCACAGTCAATTCTGCCATCACCATCCTGGTCGGCCTCACGGATCATTTCGTCCACTTCATCATCGGTAAGCTTCTCGCCAATGGAGGTCATGACGTGACGCAGCTCTGCAGCAGAAATGAATCCATTGTTGTCGCGGTCGAAGACCTTGAAAGCCTCCCGAATCTCCTCCTCGGAATCAGTATCCTTCATTTTACGGGCCATCATGGTCAAGAATTCTGCCAGGGTCAGCGCCGGATTCCAGTTATAGTGAACGATAGCGCATACCTGGGAAATCGATGGTGCCGTTGTTGTCGGCATCGACCTCGTTGATCATGTCCTGCAACTCAGACTCGGAGGGATTCTGGCCGAGGGAGCGCATAACGGTTCCCAATTCTTTGGTAGTAATCTGGCCTGTATTGGTGTACAAGCGTCAGCATCGTTGCCTGAGTTATTATTTAAAGACACCGAATAGACCGTGGATAAATCAATCTCGAGCGGGAGGGGGCAAAAAAGTGAACTCCAGCACTGACCATCGCCATCCTTGTCCTATTGACACCAAAAAATTAGATTCTGTTAGTTTTAAATACACAAAATTTGAGGATATAGGCGAAATGGATCACTCACAAACAGAGAGAAGGCCTCCTTGTACTCAGAGACTTGTTCTTCAGTCAACGCGTCGGCCTATGATTGTGGTTAGCAACCGTGCAGAGAAAGGAATGCTCCAGCATGTCAGATCTGCCCCGCAAAGTGGGGGAGACTGCACGGAGCAGATGGGAGACGGAAGAATTGCATACCATGATGAATATGAAGGAAACGGATTGAAAGGGGGACTTTGGAGAGACTTGCGGACGAGGGGAGCACGGCAGGAAGAATGCGTTGACAGGAAGCGCAGGAGATGGATGTTGGTGGGGTGTGCTCGAAGTGGTTTAAGGGGCCCAAGGAGAGATTAGTATGAAACGTGACCCAGTTTTCCAGCCTCCCGGAGGCTTACTTCGAGGCTCCCTCGAGGCTTTAATCTACGGTCTTACGAATAACACCGCGCTGCAAATGGTCCAGTGGAGTCGGATTGCCTGTGGCGAGCAGGCTGCATCGCTGGACGCCTTCCTTTCTATAAATATGTACAATATGTACCATATGTACCATGCAAAAGCCCAGCTAAGGAGCGCTGGCGAAAAGACCACTGCCGTCCCCGCTGGACGCTGTAGGACGTATACATACAGGTACTGCGAAATAATGGCACTCATCTCCCCATCTATTCAGCAGCCGTTCAGCACATACTCCCTGTAGCTGGGATGCCTCCCAAGTTGTCCCAAGAGATCCAAGAACCAAAATGCAGCCCTATTGTTATTGTTCCTTGTGCTGTGCCGGGCAAACAGAGTTTAAAATGCCCGAACTGGCGCTTACCCAAAACGGACAAGCCAATTTCTTCTCCCGGCTGTGTTCACGTGCCCCGGACGGGCAATGATGCTATGCTACGCCGTCTGTCTGCGTGTATAGAGCCGCCTGGTGTGTTGCTGTTGGTGTTGTTGCTTTCTCCTTGGGTCTTTGCAGATCAGGAGTCTTTCTTTCGGCTTCTCTACCCCCTGTCTTGGCTCCCATCAGTATTAGCTTCCAAACTGACTGCCTGCGACCGCCTCGACTTCTCCGATCATGACCAGGTAACCAGTATTAAAGCATACTACAAAGTGCTTCCCGATCACCACCTAATTTATCCCGTCCGTCCTCAGCCATAATGTGGCGGGATCGAACAAACCTGTAATTATACGCCCTTTCTTTCGTTCACGTTGGTGCTGGTGCTGACCGTTGTTCGCCAAAGCTACATCTCGTACCGCCAGTCTTTCGCGCACCATCCAACGAAGAAGCCACTCTATCCTGGCCTATCCAATGGCTTCGCTGAGACGGCCGAGGAAAGCCGTCGGCTTATTTCCGAGTCCGGGGGACTGGAGGATGATGGTGATGCGATCATCGAGATGGATCTGTTACCACCCCGTTGGGTCGATATGCAGGATGAAGTGACAGAACTGTTAGCAGACATTGCGCAAAAGTCGGCTCATCTGGACAAACTTCACCAGAAGCACCTACTTCCGGGATTTGGGGACGAGGAAGCCAGGAAACAGGAAGAGAGCGTCATTGAGCGGTTGACGCAGGAAGTCACCCGAGGGTTCTACGAGTGCCAAAAGTCCATTCAGCGGATTGAAATGATGGTCCGGGAGTCCAGACATCAGGGCGGAGGAATAAGCAATGCGGAGGAGACGATGGCGAAGAACATTCAGATATCACTCGCTGCTCGGGTTCAGGAGGCTAGTGCTCGATTCAGGAAGAAACAGAGCACGTATCTAAAGAGTATGGATTCCTTGCTGCACCTAGAAGCTCCCAGGATCTTCCATATAGGCCGTTTTTATTCTAACAACTTTTATGAACAGGACTTCGAGAACTCGATGGCTTGGCATCGCCATTCGAACGCACACCGACTCCAATGCAGAATCCCTACACGGATCCATCCCTGATGGAATCTGATGCGGACAAATCCTTCTCACAGTCGACGCTCATGCAGACTTCTCAGAAACTCAGTGGACAAGATGACACTGCTATTGCGCAGCGAGAGCGGGAGATCAATGACATTGCCAAGGGCATCATTGAGCTTTCGGATATTTTCCGTGAACTACAAACCATGGTGATTGACCAAGGCACAATGCTAGACCGCATAGATTACAACATAGAAAGGATGGGAACAGAAGTGCAGGCAGCAAGTAAGGAGCTGAACGTGGTATGTTCTTTTTTTCTTTCATCTTCATGCCTGTTTTGATAGACCTATTTTTAACTGACTGTATATAAATACAGGCTACCAATTACCAACGTCGCACGACAAAGCGGAAGATCCTCCTCCTGTTGTTTCTACTTGTGGTTGGCATGTTCATAATCCTACTCGTCAAACCAAAACGACACCATTCATCTGTACCCGATACTCCTGCTCCTGCGCCTCCTCCCCCTGCTGCACCCCCATCAGATAGACAATCATCTGACACAGTACTCCTCATACGGGAAGCTGGCCGGTCCATTCGACGCTGGAAGCGACCCCCATCATTAAAACGGTTCTCGAGGGATATATGGATTGACCCGGACATATTTCGATGAGAATTACTTAGTCCGCCAAGAAGGAAAAAAGGGCTAGTAACCTATCAATATTAAATGATTCTGATTTTTTTTGTTACATGCTATATGTTAAGCCAAAGTGCTCTAATTGTAAAGGAGCCTGGTTGTGTTCATGAACATGTAGGAAACTCGATGAATAGGTAGATAGTGATGATGCATCAAATGCCACGGATCAATTTCATTGCTACTATTTGGTTGAAAGGCCTGCTAAGGAGGAAAGTCGGCTATATACCTGAAACTAAAATTGGCAGCACTTTGCATTTTGGTAGTCCAATCAAGAGTGCGAAAGACAAGATAGATGGGCTCGGTCAAAGAAAGATATATCTGGTATTATACGCAAAGGAGCAAAAGCCAATGAAGAAACTCAGAAATCAGAGGCTTGAAACCATCAGTAGTTCCAGTACGGAGTACAATATTTAGAGTAAGAACTAAAGAATTATGTTAATCACTTCTGGCTTCCTTCCTGTGCCAGCAATTCTGCTACGTCAGCATCCAAATCTCCGCCTGCAAACTTAGCATAGTCCTCCTCTTCATGGCTCACTTTGCGCTTTTTAGAGCCGGTGCCGTTAGTGCTGTTAAACTGAGGGTTGCTCAGAGAGGCAGCAAGAGTGGACAGGTTAGTTCCAGGAAGAGCAAAGTTCCCTGCCTGTCCAAAACCAGGGAGGCCAAAGCTATTACCAGCATCCAGTCTGTGGGAATCATGTGCAAAGGCAGAGGTGTTAAGATCCTGGGCTTCTGGTTTAGGGGAGCCCACGGGGGTAATAGCCTCAACGGGTGGAGGAGTGAGCCCTTCAACAGCCGGACGTGGAACAGGATCTGCTTCCTTCCCAGATTCATTAAGGTGATTATCGCCAAAATTCTCCGCAGAGAGGCCTTTCATGATTGCATCCTCAACTTCGCGTTTTTTAGCCTCGGTTTCTGCTTTCCTCTCCGACAATCGTGCAACAGTAGAATGCTCCTTCGATAGTGCTGAACGGTTTGCTTCAAGGAGCTTCTCGAGTTCTTCAATAAGGGCATGCCGTGACTTGATACTCTCCGATACTGAACTCTCAGCATTGGCCAGTGTCTTTAATAACTGGCTTAGCCGCGCCGCTAAAACCGGAGGTGTAGGTTGGGGGTAATTAGGGTCGTGCATTTTATCGTACTCTGCATTTGCCGTCGTAGCAGACGCACCGGCAGTCATAACAGACTTGGATAGTGCTACCTGCAGAGGAACAAGGGGTTGAAGTTCAGCGGGAGTTGCAGGACCTGATGAGCTTGCAAAAAAGGAACCCCCTAATGGCTTCTTTCCTGTGGAGCGGGACCTGTCAATTTCTACTATCTGGTTAGTAACCAAAATACCAGGCACGGAAACGCAGCCTACCGTCCACACGGGCTTCTACGGCTTCCTGAATCGGAAGCTCAAATATCGAACGTTGTCTCCACACCTCTACGACTCGTCGAAGCTTCTGCTGGATTTCGTTCGATGAACCCTTATATGCAATCGTCATAGCTTCGGCAATTATCTTGAATTGATTAGCAGAAAATTTGCACAGATGGAGAAATTCGCACTCACGGGTGAAAAGGCATTGACGAAGTCCTCTTTGCGCCTGGCTTTTGACTGCTGTGTGACCTCTGCAAACTAGGTCAGCCTATTCACATATGAGAAAGAATACCGGCAGTTATTACCATTGGCAAGGTATATCAGATTAAGTCGCTTCGGCGCTGGGGAATCGCGGAGCTTTTGCAGCCAAAGCTGCGCAATTCGCTCAGCATATCGTCTGCGATTCCGCATAGATGTCAGAAATGGATGATATCATACATTCAAGGAAAGTTCCGGTTACCTATGAAAAATAACCCATTGGGAGACAGTGACGATGCCCTCCTGGGTCTCGTTGAGAGCTGACAGCTTCGCCTTAAGGGCGTCGTCCGTGAAAGACATCGCGAACGGGGCGAAGCGCAAAAGGTACGCGCGATGCGTTTGACAATGGGGACAGGATGACGCTTGTATAATAAGGAGAGTGCCTACTAACGGCCCAAACGAAAGGTGCCAAAAGGCTAGGTGAATGGAAGACGCGCACAAAAGAAACTCGAGGCAGCAGGGTGCAGAGGTCGAGGAGTGAGCTGTTGTCGACCTGGGCAATATGGTGCCAGACCGCCTTCCACGGCAGAATTAGCACGGAGCGCTCCAGCTCTCCCGACTCTCCAATGCTCCAAGAAGCCAGCTGGTTCCTCTCCTTGCTGTTTGCTCCATGCCATTTCTCCTTTCCTGTGAATCCTGAAGCCATTCCAGATACCGAAGATCCACAATCTCAATTGCCGACTCAAGTATGGCCGAACGTTTCCCTTCCATAGAGGACTTCTCTGCAGGTCTGCAATCCGTTCGTACCGTTACGTTTCCCTTACTCTAACGAATGTCGTCCAGGTCAAACCGAAGTCCTACCCACGAACGGAGCGTCAGACGCTGAGGACTTTCTAGCCCGCGAGCGCGCCCTTCTCGGAGAAGACGCAGATCAGTTTGCTACTCCTCAAGATATTGCTGCTACGGCGGAGCCAGGTGATAGTGGAAATGACCTCTTGGGGGAGGCGGATAACGCTCCAATCGAGCCCGCTGCGCCCGATGAGCTTTCGGGGTTCGAATCATCATTCCCTGCTATAGAGACACAGAATGAGGTACGCAATATTGCCTACTTTTTGTTCCCATCCCTGGCCGACGTGTGTACGTACTAATGGGAGTACGCCTCATAGCAAGTTGCACCTGGCGGCACAATCACTGGAACAGGGGCCCCCTTCCCTCCTACTGGCTTTTCAACCTACAAAGAACCGGAGGAAGAACCAGAGTCCATTAGGTAAGTCCAGGATCGGAAAATAATGGCCTTCCCAGATTCTACATCTTTCCCGTTTGTTCGTTTGTCAATGGTGACCAAGCTGACTCCCCTCACTCTCAATTCACAGGGAATGGCGTGAAAAACGAGACGCGGAACTCGCCCGTCGCGCAGAGATCTCGAGCGAGAAGAGGGAGGCAACTGTGAAGAAGGCACAAGAAGACATTGACGATTTCTACGTCTCCTATAACAACAAGGTCGACAAGCTTCGCGCCCAGACCCACGCCGATGCAGAACAATTCCTTGCTAACCGCGAGGATACTTCTGCTGGCGGTACCAGTTGGGAGCGTATTGCCAAACTCGTTGACATCTCTGGCAAGGGTAGCAGGGGCGGCGCCAGCGGATCTGGCAAGGAGCGTTTCCGCGAACTATTACTCGACTTAAGAAAGGATCAGAGTGCGCCAGGTGCCAGCGGCATTTAGTGCATGCAATCTGTATGATAGACGAGAGTAGGAGGCGGTTACGAGGTGGAGCCAGGGGCATACGGGAAGCAAGGAGAAAGGCCCACTTGAGGTTGTCAACGAAGTGGTGAGGTTGCAAATCTCATCCTGGACCATTATGCTTTGAAATGAAGGATGGAGAAACAGCGTTCCCATTTCTATTCCCTTTTTAGTACCGTCTCTTTCTGCCCACCGTTGCACATCACATCTTCATTTTATCCGGAGACATATTACAGTTCCTTTATGACCATGCGAAGATATCAAATTATAGGGTTTATTTAAAGTTTTACGGTTTGTCTCATTTCTCTTGGTTTTCCTCTTTCCATCTGCTGCTCTCCTGCCTTCTGCGCGTGGTTTTAATGTCTTTCTTTATCTCATGTCTTCTTTCTGATTCTTATCTTGCTTTTCTTAATGTATATCACTATACAGACTTTTTATTCTAGGATTACCAAGACTTTCCCATTCCGGACGTCACCACTTTCATGAGGGTACTCAGGGCCTTAATCAGTATTCCACATCACTGGTGAGTGCTGAGCTGAGCATTCAGGGTCTGCTTAGTGATCAGTCACGTGCCGCTATGAGCTCCTAGGTAGCTCAACAATGGTGCCAGATTAACCGTTTTCAATTTACGCAGGCCTGTCAATTGAAAAAATGGAACGAGAATGAAGACATACACTTTAGATTTTATTCCCCGGATCCAGAGAAAGGGAGGCGATGCTCAACACACTATGGGATAATCTTCAAGATTGCTGTATAATGACATCGCTCATCAGCTACAAGCCGGGCCTGAATGGGTAGAGGGAAGTCTCTCTAACCAGACTCCAAACCAGCTGTATCTGTTCAGGTACTGTATTCTTTGGAATTACTAGAGTGAGCAAATCCATTACACAGATTGTCCTGCTCCCAGTTTGAGAGGATCCAGATAACAGTAACGCCTTCGGGAGTTGGATAGTGAAGATTGGTTTACATTACTCGCGACCAAAAAATGCATGCATATTGATGAACAAAGATGGTGTTAATACCCGGCTCAGAAAAGAATGCAATTGCCAGTCATGTTTTGCCCAAGTTGTGATGTATGGAAATGAGCCAACACAATTGGTCAACATGGCCAACGCCCAACCACTTACTGGTCTTTGCCCAAGTGAGGATTGAAACAATGATGTGGTCAAGATCCCTAGAGCTGGGTGTATTTTATTGGGAAGGAAAAAATTAACTAATTATTTGCTTTTCTGACTGCGTTTCAGTCCAGCTCAGTCACTTCCCCTCCTGGCTCTCCAATTTCCTCCACGATTGTCTCCGTTCCCTTCTTACCCTCAGCTTCTAGCTGCTCCAGCTTTTTCTTTCCTTCTTCTGTAGTCGTGTCGACGAGACCTTCCTCGATGCTTAGGATGTTGCCCTCGGACAGCTTCTCCACGACATCCTCTGCTTCGGGGACGCTCAATTCACCCAAGACTTTGTTGACCTCATCCAATGATTCGGATTCCAATGCCTTGCGCATTGCCGGCGAGAAGGACTCAAAGATCTTGCGCGATGCAATCGCCTCTGGGTCATCACTGTTCTCTGGAGGGATGACGATGTGGATCTTGGTGTTGGGGTCGACGGCGTGTAGCTGGATCTGCTCCACGCCGGCGGAGTTGGAGCTTTCTTTTGCAATTTCGCTGACACGAGTCTTGATTCTATGGTATGTTTCATTGACGTCGTTTAGGAAGGTAGTTATTGATTGATGGCCTGGAGTAGTGATACTAGAATAAAAAAATAAAAAAAAACGGAATATTAGCTTTCATGCATTAGACTATAAGATTGTAAAGACTCACCGTCTGAAGAAAAGAGAGGTCCCATCTTTGCCGAGAAGACTGCAGTACCGTAACAGTAGGCCTTGGTGAACGCATTGGCGGGCATACTGCTCCTTGCCTTCAGCTTGGGCGCTGAAAGCCTCGGCCAGTAGACCATCGCACTCTTTATCCTTCACAATTTCGGGGTGCCCCGAGATGAATTGGAGCGACGCCTGGTAGTCGCCCTGTTTGATCTTCGAAAATTCCTTTGCAGTATCACTTGCGTTTATGTCATCGTCTTCATCCAGGTCTTCTGGCAATTTCTCGCTCTGGCTAGCGGCTGAGGGATTCAGCAACTCGACACTCTCCGTCTTCTGTTTCGCAGGTGCCTTCCCTTTATCTGTAGATTTATTCACATGCGACGAGTCAAACCCGGTATGTAGCATATCAGTGGTGATCTTGCTATGTTCCTCCTTCTCAAGCTGGGCAAGCTTCTCCAACAATTCCTTCTGGAGCCCCTCCACCTTGTCCTTGTGACCTTGCACGCCCTTGATGTAAGCCTGCCAGAGATTTTCCGGCTCAGGCTCACTAAATTCCTTTTTGACTTGATCCACGAGAGAACCAAGCATTTGCGAGTATTTTGGTTGTTCTTTTTCATGGGTGTAAACACCTTCCGGTGGTGCGGGGGGCCTGTCCTCATCGGGGTTACTTGCAGAGTCCAGAATAACCTGGAAGACCAATTCCCCTGGATCCCCTGTGGAACCCTCGTGTTTGCGTAGTGCTGCAAGCAGTTTATCGATGCGCGATATCAAGCCATCGTTAATTATGTGCTCGTACTTCAAAGTCTGGATCTCGTGGCGGCGTTGATAACGTTGCTGGTGGATCTGAGCTTGCTTTGCCCGGATGAACGAGCGCTTGTCGACATTGGGATGGACTTCGACGTCCGAATCATCGGACAGTTCGATGGAATCCCATTTACTATAATCCAAAACCATCTTTGGTGGGGGACTGCGGGAAATGAAGAAAGTTCACGAGCAGACGTCAGCATAAATCGCAGAATATATCGAAGAACAGACCATACCAAGGGGAATTAGCCGGTTTTAAGAGGAAGCAAGAAGAAATAACAGCCCCTGAGCGTCGTATGTTGCTGTTGAGCTGCAGAATCGATGGGCTTCCATGGAATCGACGCGGCTAGGGCGGTGTTGAGAGGCAGAACGGGGCATGTCGTCAGCGCGAAACGTGCTCCGTTCTTCGGCGCTTCTTCGCCGGAAAAGTCTCTCCTGCTGCTGCTACGTATTTCTCCCTGGTCCCAATCTCCCCAAGGCTGGTCTCGCTTCAGCTCTAGGATACCAGCTATCCGACCCTCATTGCTATGCGAGCTTGAAACTGCCAGTGTTTTGTCCGAGGCATGGCAACCTGCCTCTTCCCGTGACATAATTCGGAAAGCGAAATGCGCGGAGCCAGGACGCTCGTCTCCTGGGCTTCAGGTGCTATCCCAAGGCAGATTACTTGTACTCAGTCAAGCGGAGATATTCTGGTCCATCTTTGTCGCCAGCCATATGCACCTGCATTGAGATCAGGTAGTAATGGCTCTGTTCGGACATTTTCGGTGGTTTCCGGCTTGAATCGCAACAGCAATTGTCTCCGTCCCCACGCCGGGTTATTGTGCTCGCCTTCGTTGTGCATCAATGACTTGGGAGCTACCTTGAACCAACCTAGAATAATCGATCATGTACGATTCCTATCCTCTACGCGATGTCTGTTAGAAGCGAAACCGCCAGCCACACGTCCGAAACAAGTTGCGGAATCCGGCAGCAACGGTCGGGCTGAAGAAGAGGAGCCAGAGAAGGGATTTGAACTGTCGGAGAAGGGGGTTCAGGCAGCACAGATTAATCTGAGTGCAAAATTGTCCAAGGACAGCACCGGGGGAAAGAAGGCCAACTTCAAGGAAATTACAAGACTGTTGAAGATTGCACGTCCAGAGGCGAAATCACTCACGTTTGCTATCATCTGTCTGTTTATATCATCGTCCATCAGTATGTCACTTCCCTTCGCGATTGGAAAAGTCATCGATACCGCAACCCAGAGCACAGGCGAGCTCGGGGGCGAGCTGTTTGGCCTGAGCCTCCCTGTGTTCTATAGTGCGTTGGCTGGAATCCTTGTCGTGGGATCTGCGGCCAATTTTGGTCGTGTTATCACACTTCGGATTGTCGGGGAACGGATTATCTCGAGGCTACGTTCAAAGCTTTACCGACAGACTTTTCTCCAAGACGCGGAGTTCTTCGACGCGAACCGTGTAGGCGATCTGATCTCCAGGCTTAGCACGGATACTCTGATCGTTGTCAAAAGTGTCACGCAAAACCTCTCAGACGGTCTGCGCGCCCTTGTCAGTGGTATAGCTGGATTTAGCTTGATGGCCTATGTCAGCATTAAACTGTCTAGTATTCTCGCCCTGCTCCTGCCCCCTATTGGACTCGCAGCTTTCTTCTATGGACGGGCCATGCGACATTTGAGCCGCAAGATCCAGAAGAACTTGGGGACCTTGACGAAGATTTCAGAAGAACGACTTGGAAACGTGAAGACTAGCCAGTCCTTTGCTGGAGAGATCATCGAGGTTCACCGCTACAACACTCAAATTCGGAATATCTTTCAACTCGGGAAAAAGGAGGCTCTTATTAGCGCCAGTTTCTTCAGCTCCGTAAGAATCTATACGTCTGCTCTTCATCATATGGAAACTGGCTGATCTTTCGTCGTGCTTCTTAGACTTCCCTTATGGGGAATCTGACAATACTTGCCCTCCTTTATTTTGGAGGAGGGATGGTCCAGTCAGGTGGCATTAGTATTGGAGAACTGTCCTCGTTCTTGATGTATACAGCCTATGCAGGCTCCAGCATGTTTGGACTGTCCAGCTTCTACTCCGAGCTGATGAAAGGTGCTGGCGCTTCCAGTCGACTTTTTGAATTGCAGGACCGTCAACCAACGATTCATCCGACCAAGGGGACAAAAGTAGTTTCTGCGCGTGGTCCAATTCGCTTCGAGAACGTCTCCTTCAGCTATCCAACCCGGCCCGCCGTTACTATATTCAGAGACTTGGACTTTGAAATTCCCCAGGGACGTAATGTTGCCATTGTCGGGCCTTCAGGAGGAGGCAAATCGACCATCGCATCGCTGTTGCTTCGATTTTACAATCCTACCCATGGCAGAGTTCTGATTGGCGGGAAGGACATCAGCGAAATGAATGCTAAGTCCCTGAGGAGAAAGATAGGCGTTGTCGCACAAGAGCCGGTTCTATTCTCAGGAACCATTGCCGAGAATATATCCTACGGCAGACCTGATGCAACAAGGGCAGATATTATTGCGGCAGCCCGAAAGGCAAACTGCCAATTTATTAGTGACTTCGTAAGTGGATGATAGACACTCTATCCGGAGAACCATTTCCCTCTCTAACAGAGTCTGTAGCCGGATGGCCTTGATACACAAGTGGGACCGCGCGGAACGCAACTCTCCGGTGGCCAAAAGCAGCGCATTGCCATTGCCCGTGCCCTTGTTAAGGACCCGGATATCCTGATTCTGGATGAGGCAACGTCTGCTCTCGATGCTGAATCTGAGACGCTGGTGAACAGTGCACTGGCAGCTCTGCTTCACAGCAAAAACACAACGATCAGCATTGCCCATCGTCTTTCAACGATTAAGCGATCTGACACGATCATCGTTCTCGGTCCGGATGGCAAGGTAGCCGAACAAGGCTCATACGAGGAACTCAGCTCGCGACCGGACGGAGCCTTCACGAAATTGATGGAATGGCAGATGAACGGTAGCGATGCTACGCTGTCGCCTACGAGTGCCTATGCGCCTTCAGTGCCAGAGGAAGAAATGTGGGAGCTGCAAAAGGAACAGGAAGAGCAAGAGAAGGCAGCAGAAGAGGGATACGAAGACGAAGACGGGAAAGACAACGGAACAGCAAAAAAAAGAAGCACAAGCGAGCAAAAAGCAAGCTAGCAGTTAGATAGAGGATATATCTTTGGGGAGTTTCTTTTTTCTTGTGATTTACGTGGGTACATTTGCAATTGATGGTTCATATAGAAGTCCGGACATGCGGATAAACCGGTGGGATTGGTTTGAGTTGCAGCATATATGTGATTTGATTCTACTGTATTTATTTACTTCTTGAATAATTATATCTGAAGTCCATGAAGCATATGAAAGCGCATGCCGAGGCAGGCATAAAATCACGGGGAGAAGCCAAGACCCGGGGAAGCTCGGATTCTCCGCAAAGCGTGGAAACTCATAGCTTCATGAGATGATGTAGCACTCGCCATACCCGTTCCAGGTGAGGGGAAACAGAATTCCAGTCCTGGTTTACGACAATGTATAAATAAGATCTCAACTTCTTCAGGATGCTGGGCATCTACAATACTCTTCGCACCTCTGCAGCTTAGCAGGACTACATACTACAACGACAACAACAACAACAACAACTACTACTACTACTGCTGCTGCTTATCCACCAACATGCCCGCAAAGGACAAAAAGAAACCCTCCGAGAACCCCGTCATCGTTGTCGGAGGCGGCCTAGCCGGCCTAGTAGCCACCTACGAACTCACTCTCCGCAAAATCCCCGTCGTGATCGTCGACCAGGAAAGCGAAAAGAACCTAGGCGGACAGGCCTTCTGGTCCCTCGGCGGGATCTTCTGCGTGAACTCGTCCGACCAGCGTGGAAAGGGCGTCAAGGATTCCCGGGAACTCGCGATGCAGGATTGGATGGGGACGGCCGGGTTCGATCGCGAGAGGGAGGACTACTGGCCGCGGCGATGGGCAGAGGCGTTTGTCAATTTCGCGACGGACGAGATGGAGCGGTACCTCAAGGGTCTGGGGTTGAAGTTCGCGTCTGTTGGCTGGGCGGAGAGGGGCAGTGGTGAGGCCGGTGGACATGGGAATTCCGTGCCTCGCTTTCATATTGCCTGGGGTGCTGGACCGGAGGTTGTTCGTATCTTCGTTGAGCCGGTCAAGGCTGCTGCGAAGAAGGGGTTGGTTAGTTTTAAGTACCGCCATCAGGTGGATGAGCTGGTTCTTGATGATGCCGGTGCTGCGGTTGGTGTGCGTGGGACGGTTCTCGAGCCGACGGATGCTGAACGGGGCGTTGCGACGTCGCGGACATCTGTTGGAACCTTTGAGATTCGCGGCAGTGCAGTGTTGATCGCTTCTGGGGGTATTGGAGGGAATATCGAGATGGTCAAGGCAAACTGGCCGGTGGAACGACTTGGTCCAGTGCCCCAGAAGTTCGTCATTGGAGTCCCTGCCCATGTTGATGGGCGTATGCTTCAGATTGCGAAGGACCAGGGTGCAAGCATCATTAACAGCGACCGCATGTGGCATTATACAGAAGGGCTGGATAATTGGGATCCCATCTGGCCGGCGCATGGTATTCGCGTGATCCCAGGACCTTCATCCCTATGGATAGATGCAACGGGAAAGAGACTGCCCTCCCGGCTCTACCCTGGATGCGACACTCTCGAGACCTTGAAGTATATCGGCACAACCGGCTATGACTACACCTGGTTCATCCTGAACAAGAGCATCATCGCCCGGGAATTCGCCCTTTCGGGCTCAGAGCAGAACCCAGACCTCACGAACAAGAGCATCCTCCAGCTTCTCCAACGGATATACGGATCCAATGGAACAGTACCCGTCCAGAAATTCGTACAACACGGCAAGGATTTCATCGTCCGCAATAATCTAGATGAGCTTGTCGAGGCAATGAACAAACTCATCGGAGAAGACGGTCCGCATCTCGACATCAACCAAATCAGACAAACAATTGAGTTCCGCGACGCCCAGCTGACGAATAAGTATACCAAAGACGCACAGATCATGGGCATCCAAAACGCCCGCAAGTACTGGCCGGAGAAGTATAGCCGGATCACGAAACCTCACCGACTTCTCGACCCCCGCTACGGACCCCTGATTGCCGTCAAGATGAACATGCTGACGAGAAAGACCCTGGGCGGCCTGGAGACTAACCTGGATTCGCAGGCCTTACACCCTGACGGGAGCCTCTTCCCCAACCTATTCGCTGCTGGAGAAGTGGCTGGTTTTGGCGGTGGAGGCGTTCATGGATACAGATCGCTCGAAGGAACCTTTTTGGGCGGGTGTATCTTCTCTGGTCGGACTGCAGGCCGTGCAATTGCGAATCTGGTCTCACAAAATGCATCGCCGGCGAAGCTGTGAGCAGCCATTGATGTGAGGAATGGCTTTGTATGGCACTGTAGTTGGAGTGACAGCGGGATATGTACAGGATGCTGTCAGCCCTATGTTGAACTGTATACAGATAGCCTCAGCATTTGCTCATTGCCATTACGCAGGCAACGGCGCCTATCTCATCGCTATAGAAAGGCAGCTTTCTCCCTTTGAATGTCAGCATCAGCATCTCGACGTTGTTGGGCTTAAGCTACTTGAATAAACTCCCGAGGCAATTGAGGGATTCTAATATGAATCCGGAGACGACAGTGTTATTTTTCTGGGCGATTTCAGTATCAGAGGATCTGTTCTGGCGAAAAACATTCCGAGTTTCCACACAATGACCCTGAAAAGTATGCCCTGTCGTCTATTTTCTTTAGGGATGAATGACTCCATGTCAAGCTGTTGACTTGAGCACATGGTGCAGACCATCTTTTCAGTTCAATAACACTTCCCTGCGAGCAGGATGGCTGTCTCTTAAGGACCTTGGTATCACGTTAGGATAAAGAGTATTGACCGGAATTGATATCTCAGAACTTTGGCACATTCCATAGGGTTTCATTTATTTTGAACGACATGTATTAACCCAATTATTCATGCATAGACCGTCCTAACGCCAACAAGACCAAGAAGAACAGATAGAAATGACCGCTACCAAGGCCCTTTTAATGCAGACGTTTCTAACAGCTTCACGTCACTATTTTGCAAGCGTTGTTTGGTCACTACCCTGCAGTGATTTTGCTACTGTATGGCCCTCTTAGAAAGCTTTCATAGAATATTCCTGTCAAACTCATCTGTAGACAGTCTGGGCCGCATCCTGGTAACCTTGGAAGCGAAACATGTAAGGGTTATTTAACATAGATGCCGAAGATTCCAAGCACATAAATCTTCCATTCTTATGTTAGCAAACCCAAGTGAAGCACCCAACTCCTGAAAGGCGGGTGACATGTCTGCCAGGCACAAGTCAACACCTAAGGAGCTAAAGAAGTCCTTGTTCAGTTTCCAGACCTCTTTTGAGAAATCCAGCTCTGCGTCAACCGGAACACTGGCACGATCGTGCGGGCTGACGTAGGGAAGCAGGTACGGTGCTCTGCAGATTGATCCATCAGAAAGTTCCAGACACAAGCCTCCCTCGCGCGAGCCAACCAAGAAATCACGACAGTCGACATGGTTCAATCGCTTTCCGAGCGGTATTGCGGCAGCCTGGTCATCCAGGGTGAGTGGTCCGTGTTCATCACACAGCGTCTGGAACCTGTCCACGGTGCAACGATCGGCGAGCAGAGCCGTGATGTATTTGCCCGTCATGCCGCTGAATGTGTCATCATCAAAGAGAGTATAATTGCCAGGCTCGATGGAGCCGATTTGGGTTGTAAGGGGAGGCGCACCGTGGCGCGCAATGAACTTGCACGCTCGGCTGTTGAGTGGACGAAAGCATCGAGATACCTGGACGTTGATTGTCCCAGGCAGACAAGGGTCAAGGCTGATGACCCGCACGTTGCCAAAGAGCTTTTGATATGTCTGCTGTTGGTCCTGGAGCCGTAATGGGACTATGTTGACCCGTGGGAGCATTCTCGGTTCTCTGGCAAAAGCCCTGGCGAAGGCTCGTTTCAGCCCTGTGCAGAATATCCCGTAAAGCCGGGATATCTCGTCCAAAGTACAACTGGGATCACTTGCCCATGGCGCAACAGCCCAGTGGCCCTCTTCGCGCATATAAAAGTTGACTGGTCTGCTGTTGTCCAACGCGAGCAATCCTGTTCGGGCACTTTGGAAGCGTGTCCATTGCTCTGCCACCCCGTCAGAAAGACCAGAAGTATCCCCACGTCGAACTCCGGTAGAATTGAAGGCTGGGGAGGAGTCCCAGCTAAAGATAACCCGAGGGCTTTTGAGAAGTGAGACGTATTCCGAGACTTCCTCGAAGGATGCTCGGCTTCCCGGCCGCAAAACACACACGCATGAGTGCCTCCGGGCAAAGGCGAAAGAGAAGCGAGCGTTGTCGCCTCCAAAGACGTACACGACATGCACGGGACGATGCGTCCGGATATGGTGGGCAAGCATCTGAGACAGATGATCTATTACTCGCGTGAAGTTGACTGACCCTGGTGCGTACAGGGCAGCCCATCTGTCAACCGCAAGCCATTCACTGCCAGCAACAGCCAGCTCACAAAGAGAGAGGCGCTGGGCGCTAGACAGGACATCAGATTCACCACCAGACCTCATTTTCGAGGAGACGTATTGCTCATGGTCAGGACAGAAATAACCGCCTAGCACGGCCACGCCTCGCAATTCCAGTTCCCGCTTCGCTGTCTCCATCATCTGAATGTGGCCCTGGTGGATTGGACAGAAGGCACCCGTTGTGGCGAGAACAGCCAGTTCCTTCGAAGAACCATCGCTTCTTCCTAGCTGCGACAGCCGCGATTGCACCTTGTCGACTGGGCCGGTCCACCAGCTTCGGTCAAAGCTGTGGTAATTGCCGGGGAGACCATCGTCGAAGTAACCAGCATTCCGAATCGCTTCGAACGACCCGTTAAGAGCAGCCAATGCTTTCCGGTAAGTTGGATCCAGACTCGCTGTTGTTTCACTCACTGATACAGTATTGGCATCTGATGTAGTTAGAATCATAGCAGGTGCGGGCTGCTGCTGCTCATAGATGATGTCGGTCCGCAGGACAATCTGCGGACTGGAGGGATCGGTCCAGACGACAAAGTCATGAAGCGTTCTATGGTCGAAGAGCAAGCAGTCTGCGATATTCATGGGGATTTCGGCCAAGACATCTTTCTGTGAGGCGGGCTTCGCGTGGTCCAAGAAGCTCCTTTCATCCACCGGCATCCATCGCTGCGTGTCCAACAGAAATCGGGTCCTGAGCCCTTTTCCTTCCCGGATCTCACCAGGAATGTGCCATGTAAGGGCGAGTACGACACTTTTCAGCGTGCGCAGATTGCCCTCCTCGAAATCGTGTCCAGCATCGTAGTGTGGCACGGTAAGCTGAGGACCGCTGACGGAGTCGAAGCGAACAAAGCGCAGAAGCGGATCGATGCCGACAGGATGGAAGACATTCCCCGTCGCTTCCTGCTCTGGCGGAATAATCGGTTCCAGCTTTTCCCAGAGAAGATTCGCGACGTCCTTGTCATATGTTGAGATGCAGTGGGATGCTACCCCTGAAGACGTTTCGACTTGGCCATCATCAAGCACTCTTGCTCTGCCTTGCAAGTCGGCCGGAACCCAGGACCATTGCTCGAGGCTCTGCACAATTTCGTTGCAGAGATCTGGCGTGAGGACGCCGTGGGTTAGAAGCACAGAGTCGCCGAAGTCACAAAACCTCTCGGGTTCGGACTGCGACGCCTCGTTCCTGCAAGCGGATGTAGAAACCATTTCGGTTGGCTTCTTTCCATGCATGTCTAGAGAGCCCTGACTCGCAATCTCTCGTCGTTCCATTGCCTGAAAGGCGACGGGTTGGCTCAAGAGGGCTCGACGACATATATCCCAACATATCTCGGACGGGCTCTGTCTTCGCAGTGGCCTCTTGAACTTTCAGCCTTGGATCAAATGAGACAAGGCTGGGACGAGGTCCGAGCCTGACATTGCCGTTCAGCCTTGCCGGCCCAGAATCAGCCTGGTATTGACCGTGTTGTCGTCCGCTTCCTGATTTGCTTCTGAGGGTTATATGAAGCCTTGTTTCTCGTGCAGAGCCCTTCCGCGCAAATCTCCATACCACAATAACCCTTTCTCTCCAGGACCAGAAGCTATGGCTGCCCAAGTGCCTCGTTATCAATACAGCCCAGTTGACTCTGTTGGTGGTGAGATTCGTTTGCTGACGATACGCCCAGGCTCTCCGAACGCCCCGTTAGACTTGCGCCTTGACACTCGACGCCGACTTACTACCCAATCTGCTGCCCCAGGATCTCCCCCTCCCCCTCCGAGTTACGAGGCGCTCTCGTACACTTGGGGTGACCAGGAAAGCCTGGTGGACATTCCAATCGGGAGCCCAAAGCAATTCCTTTCTGTCACTCGCAACCTTGCCATCGTCCTCCCATTCCTGAGGCTGCCAGATCGAGACAGGGTCATCTGGATCGATGCAGTATGCATCAACCAGTCTGATCTCCAGGAAAGGGGCCTTCAGGTTCAGCTAATGGCCGACATCTTCCAGCGAGCGGTTCGAGTCGTCTGTTGGGTAGGACTCGAGAGCACAACCAGCGAGCCAGCACTCCAGATGATTCGCGACATATCCCGGAGGGTTGAGGTGGACATGGCAAGACAGCGAATCTGGCCCATTGGCGAGGAGAACAAGGACTGGGCAGACATGTCGAATCCCCTGCCATACGACGTGCAGGCCGCCCATGCCTTATCCGAATTCTTCAGCCGCGCCTGGTTCGAGCGACTCTGGGTTTTTCAGGAGATCCGCCTGGCAGCCAATGGAGCTCTCTTACAATGCGGCTCGGCCACTCTGGAGTGGCCAAGGGTCATGAAGGCTGTCTGGTGTTTTCACAATAAGCCGTGGAGAAGTCCTATTTCCGCCGCATTTCAGCAGCGCCTTGAGATGGTGCGCCAGCTGTTCAACTCGAACCCGACGAACCTCGCACTCCTGATCCGGCGCACGGTCTACTTCAAGTGTACGGATCCGAGAGACAGGCTGTACGCATTGATGAGCTTACGCCGGCAAGATGAGCGGCGGCTACACATTGCAGTGGACTATACCAAGTCTCCTGGCAAAGTTTACCAGAGCTACGTGCACGAGTATGTCAGCGTCCTGAAAAGCCTGCGACTCCTATCCTTTTGCGAAATCCAAAGCCAAAGCTTCCACCCGGATACGCCGACGTGGGTGCCGGATTGGTCTCGCCCGCAACACGCAAATGCGCCCAGGGCGCAGCAGTATGCCGCGGGCTACATGCCTGCCAACATCACTGGTATCACGGAAGATGAGCTTAGGGTAACCGGGGTGCATGTGACGACAGTACAAAAGGCGACGGTTATGGATATCAAAACTGACAGTGATGATGCCGCCACTGTCGAGCTTATACGCCGTTGTGCCCCGCCAGGGGTGCTTGAACAACACCCATATCCTGGAGACGGGTCGATATCTATGCTGGAAGCCTATTGCTGCACGATGTGCCATGACACATTTCGCAACCGGATCTCTCCAGAACGCGTACTGTTTCCTTCATTCTCAGAGAGCCTTTGCACGGTTGACGCCTTCCTCAGAGAATCATCACCGGCCACAGTGCAACTCGGATCTTCAGCCAGTCACTATTGCAGACTGGTCAGAGACATCTGTGCTGGACGTTCCTTCGTCCTCACAACAGACGGCCGCATGGGGCTTGCACCCGCCACGGCTCAGCCCGGAGACCAAATAGCTGTCATTCTCGGCTGTAGGAGCCTCATGCTCCTGCGGCCAAGACTGACCAAGCGGCAGCACCAGGTTGTTGGCCTGGCTTATGTGCACGGTATGAATAACACCGAGCCACTGTTTGGGCCACTTCCCCGCCACTATCGCCCGGTCTTGCTATGTGAAAATGGCCACTTCACAGAACAGTTATTCTTGGATACTCGTAGCAACAAGCTTGACAACCACGATCCAAGACTCGCTGACTTTGATGAAGCTGAGATGACCCCTGCCTTGTACTTTGGTGGCAAGGCACCAAGTATAGCGGCTCTTAAAGCCCGGGGTCGGGATCTGCGAACGCTCGTGTTAGTCTAAAGATGAGGAGAGATATGTCCACAGAGAGCAGAGTGATTGAGGAAGGCGATGAGATAGATCGATCAGCCATTAATGGCACCCACCGGGCACACATCGAATGGCTTTACTGCCTCTCTCTGCGTACTCTGTAGAATATGGGTTCATCGGCTCGTTGTTAAGATATCTAGCGTCTCTCCACGCATGGACAATCTATACTAATATTACTCTTATCACTGTGGACTAGACGAATACATACAGTCCCTGCAGCCTTGGGTAGAGACCCGGAGTGGTGGTATGAGGGCGCTATGCTTAAGAAGGGAAATTCACGGTTTCTCACATTACAGAAGAAATCAATCAGAAAAGTCCTTCTCATCAAGCCACCCCTCATCAATTGCATAGGCCACAAGGTCAGCCGCACAACACATCTCCTCATGACCATGTTCAAGGTCCAGCAATTCCAGTACGGAAACAAGTCTCTCTTCGAGAACCTTTTTGAATAAAGAAACCTGGAGCAGGGCTTCGCTATTGATACCTGTTGGCCTGATGGACTTCTCCGCAGCATGCGGGTTTCCACCTTCTTTGGGATGCTTATGTGAAGCCTGCCGAGGATTGGGCGAGCAGGGAGCTAGCGGCTTCCTCGGCGTCTGTCGTTGAGAAGGAGGGGATTGTCGAAGTGACTGCTCTGGTTGCCTGTTTTTCAGGAGGTTTTTGAGGAGAAAAAGCAGCCAGATTAGATTTGTCCGGGGAGAATATTCGGCCCATATTCCTGGAATGTCTGGAGTGGGCTCTGTATCTAGGGGCTTTCCTTTGTAGACTCCGGCGCGCATGCTAAATCAATCTAGCTTAGTGCGTTATTCATAGCCAGGGACAGTCGGTCACAAAAGACTCACTATCTATACGTGTTCCTCAATAGAATCTCATCCTCATCCCGGCCAATTGCGCCAAATATGTCTTTCTTGTCCAAATCCGAGTAGGCAATCTCGACAGTATCATCGTCGACCCGCAGATCCGCACGAGAAAGCGAGTAGTCAATAATGGTTGTTTCGAGCCTGCTCAGTCCGAATCCGCTCGAATATGCCCGACTTGCGATCTCAAGATCCATCGGCGGGGCCATGGAGCCATCTGAGCGTGTAGTCCTGATGCAGACATTTCCCAGATGCAGATCCCTATGCTGTAGAGACAAAGTGTCAATGGACTCTCCTCAATGCTGCGTGTCGTATGATGCTACAAACCTCAAACATAGCATACTCCTCTGCTCTTGCAAGAGCCATGGCCACTCCCCAAAAAATATCGTAGATCTGGAAAACGGATCCCCAAGAGAATTTCTCCAACTCGCATCCAGCGTCATCCATTTCCAAGATCGCCCAAAGCTGTCCATCAGGATAGGCCTTCTTACTAGCTGGATTGGGATTGAGACAATCATCGGCCGGCCGGGTCTGCTTGTAATGCACCCAAGCATTCTGGAAGGACTCTGGAAATCGGCCTTGGACGACATGGATTTCTCTGAATCGAGCAAATCCCGGGATGGGATCAAGATATTTGAGCATTTTCACCTCGGAAACAATTTCCTCGATGCTTGTGAATTTCTTCGAACCGGGTCCTCTCTGTGCACGTAATGGGACGATCTTAAAGACACCTTCACCGTAGGATTGGAGGCGGGCCAGCTTGGATTTCGAGAATGTCTGCTTGCACAGCTCTGGACGAAATCGAAGCTTGTAGACCTCTCCGTACGAGCCTTCGGCTATCTTGACGACTTCAAACATGTCACCAGCACGGGAGGCCCAGGAGCTGAATTTCTGGATACCTCGAGAGGATACTGGGGATAGGGCTTCATTGAGAATAGGTTGGATGTAGGCAGTTGCTCTCTCGTCGTGCACACATCCTGATGAATGACGGGACGCGGGTTTAGGCTTAGTTGTCTTGTTCCTTGTCTGCCTGCTTTGCTCTTTTAACTGTCGTTGTTCTTGGTTTTGATGATCCCCTTCTGTCACGTCTTTCCTCGGTATCCTCACTTCCACCATCGTCTCATAATGTGCCTCAGACCTTGTCGGTTCGCCCTTGTGAGTAGATTTCTTAACAGGCTTCTTCTTCTTCTTTCCAAGCGGGCTCGTATTGACAACGGGATCCCCCCTCCGCTCAGACTGGTTTCGTTTCTCCTGTTCACGGACAGGTGTATCGTCAATCGTAATCGCAGCCAGCCTCTCACCCACAACATCCAGAGACCTTTCAACAGCGGCAGCATCCTTCGCACGTTCCTTGCGCAATTCCTTCTCCTTCGTCTCCCTGGCAGCCTCTATACCCCGTTTATTGTGTCCGTGTGCCCTCTCCATCTTTTCCGTGGAAGACGGCTTCACTGTCTCTACCGACTTCATGGGACTTCCCTCCTCAAACACCGCCCGAGGCGCATTTGCTTTTCGTTTCCCGTATACCTTCTTCTGTGACATTGCGCGTGCTGCTGTCTTTTTGCGGTTGAGAAGACTTCGTTCGCTTCGAGGTGGAGGGGTAGGTGTTGCGTGTAGCAGGGTTGTGGTCGCCGAGATGGGCGATGATAATAGCATTGTAGTTCTTTTCTCCTGCGATGTTGGAAGGGGAGTTGTCGTTCCAGTCGATTTGGTTCAGGGACGATTCAGACAGAGCTTACCTAGGTTGGAGCTATTGACGTCCTTCCTGAAGTGGTTTAGTGTGGATGTTGCCAGGGTGAAGTGGGATATTGTTTATCCGGAGCCCTAAGATTAGCCCTGATGTCCTTGACTATGAAGTCCTCCTGGTAATCTGACACCAAAATCTCATGGTCAACTCTCCGCCGTCCATCCTCATCTATTCTATGGAGAACTGGTCTGCTACCGAATTTCCAACACAAGCACGCGAAAAGTCTGCGAAACAAAAAGCACCGTCTGCGCATCACTATGCCTAGGTCCAAGAAAACCGGGAAACGCGGTCCGAAGCCATCTTCCTCAGCAGCGCAGACCGCAGCCGAGCACTTGGAATCGCATTTTGCACGGGCGTGATGGCAACCAAAGCTCCGTTACGATGTTTAGATCTACTCGTTCGAATGTGGCGGGGTCTGCACTTAATCCTAGTACGCGAAAGCCCTTTGCACAGGAGCTGTCTGCTGGATCTGGCGCTCGGGGGATTGAAGCATTTAGCTTGAACGAGGATAAATACCTATTATCCCCGGGCGAATTCGGTAAAGAAATACTCATTGTTGTGAAGCGCGGCCCCGGGGTTGACGTCCGCGAACCATGTCGCGAACCTCCGTATGACGATCAAGACATTAGAGACTGGGTTCATGGGATGACTTGGCGAGAGATTCAACACATATGCGACCATGTTAGCGATGACTCCGAGTTATTTGATGTTCAGATGGATGAACCGACTGAGATCGATACTTTTGATGATGTTGATGAATATCAGTGGAATCTTGTCAGCTCATAACAAACAGGTAAGATGGACTGCCAAGATACCATACATACATGTCGGGTGAGATCTTTTTTTCAGTCTATAGTATTTGAAATAGACAAGACCAAGAACACTGAGTTCCTGGTTAATTGCAGATGATGTTACATCCTGGTTCAAAAGTCTTGCAACACAACGCGGTTGCGTCTTACTCCGCCCACCTATTTCACTACTCAAATGGCGCCCAGCGCCGCCGCTGCCAGGAGACATTTTCAACTTCTTAACATTCTGCCGTTCGAAAACAAAGCCCCTGTGATCCTGCACGTCCTTGATACAGTATAGCTCGCACACTGCGACCTAACCTTAGCACCACGTCAGCCTCCCTAGCTAGTTAACAAGCTAGATATACCTCCATTAGTCTATGAAGATGTTGGAGGGGGTCAGCTCCTTCATGTTGCTGAGGCGCTTCACTTCCTCCGGGCTGCATTACGTTCCCACGATGGACCGGTATCTCGAGCGTGTGCGCGGCAACATCCGGTTTCCCATCGAGGGGGCCAGGGCTCGCATAATAGAGCCATTCATCAATCGAGCATACGTCCCCGAGGGACTGAATCCGGATGGACGACCTTTCACCAAGATGGATGGGATTGCGTTGAACAAGCTGGACGGCGTTACCGCGCTCAACAAGATGGGGGTAAATTGAAGTATCTCTCACGTATCTCAAGTTCACGCTTAGCCGGAATATCTGTTTTCGTCGATCTCCGCGGGTTAATAGCAGGTACAAGAAGAAAGGTATAGTCGATCAGATTTCCTGTCCTTCAAGTGAGCATCTTGGTAATGCTTGCGCCTCGGCCGAGCGGCGTTAGGAGGCGGACATAAGCGGCTTCGGCGTTTATCGCGATTAACCTGAAAGTCCGCGCGGACGCATCTTTCCAACGTTTCTCTCTTCTCGATTACATGCTTCGGCCGAAGAGAGAGTATTTGTCTATGGAAATCATGGACAGTCAGCCGCAGCCACAGTCGCAGCGACAGCAACGAAACAGCTCCAACAGGCACACCGTGCCTAGGTTCAAGCTAGGCCACTTTCCATGCCTCCCCAATTGGGGCCAGATATTAGTCCACTGGATCCCGGGACATGCAGGCATCCCAAGAAACGAAATAGTGGACTACGAAGCCAAACAGGGCTGCCAGGCAACCCCCCTGGCTGTCTCCCCATGTCAGCGCTCACTCCATGCTCAGATCAACTCAGTGAACAGGGGGTGAGCACCGAAACGGAAAGGGAAGGCCTTCAACGAATCTAGAACTTCCAAGATATATGTATATGTATATGTACATTTGTATGTAAGTTCGTGTCTAATTACCCTTCTCCTCGAGTTTCCCCTCCGGTTTCTCTGATTCCTCAACGTACGGCGGCTCCTCCTGGTAAACGTCGTACTTGTACTGGCTCCCCGTATGATCCGCCCTCAACCCCTTCTGACCTTTCCCATACACCTTCTCTCTGGCAGTAAGCTGCTCCGCCGGCCGCTCGGGATACACGCCGCGTCGTCTCAACTCGGGAACGAGAAGATCCACGACATCCTCAAATGTCCCCGGGGTAGTCACATACGCCAGATTGAACCCGTCTATATCGGCTTCCCTGACCCAGCGCTCCAGTTCATCAGCTACGGTAGCGGGACTCCCAACGGCAACGGGACCCAAACCCCCGATGGAAGCCTTTTCGGCTACAACCCGCGGAGTCCACCGGGGCACGTTCTCACTGGTGGTGGTGAATGCATCCAGGAGACTGGTGATCTTATGCGCCTCCGCGGAATCAGCGGCGGTGATATCCTGATCAAGCGGGATCTTGGAGATATCGATGCCTGTCCAGCCGCTGAAGAGGACGAGGCCGCCGACGACAGAGGCGTATTTTTTCAGTTCCTCGTATTTGGCGCGGGCTTCCTCGTCCGTCCGTCCGAGGACGGGCGTGAAGGTGGCGAAGAACTTGAGAGAGCGAGGGTCTCGTCCTTTCTCTGCAGCTAGTTTGCGGATGTTGTCGATTTTGGGTCTGAGGATTGTCGTGGAGTGCGAGGAGACGAATATCGCCTCGGCGTGGGTTGCGGCGAAGTTGGACCCTGCCGGCGATGTGCCTGCCTGGAAGAGGAAGGGTGTCCGTTGCGGAGACGGGTCGACGATGTGTCTGGTGTTGAGAGAGAAGTACTTGCCCTTGTGGTTGATCTGGCGGACTTTGTCGGGGTCAATGTATGAGTCGTTGTCGGGGTCTGGGGAGACGGCATCATCGGCCCATGAACCTTCCCAGAGCCTGCATCCATTGTAAGTGTCCAGCTTACTTTCATTCGAAGAAGGATATGGATGCGTACTTGTAAAGCACACGCAGGTACTCGTCAGCCTGTCGGTACCGCTCGTCATGCTCAATCGGTGAATCCAGCCCGATAGCCTTGAAGGCTGCCTTCTTCCACGAGGTCACGATATTCCAGCCTATCCGGCCGTTTGTGAGATGGTCGAGCGTGGAGAAGCGTTTGGCGAGGAGGAACGGCGGCTCAAAGGAGGTTGACGAGGTGATGCCAAAGGCCAAGTTCCTGGTCACGGCAGCCATGGCCGTTATGGGCTGGGGAAGTCAGAGCAATGTAGACGCAATGGTAGAAAAAGGAATAGCATATACAATGGTAGGATCCGTAACCGGCCACTGCGCAGCCCTTCGAATACACTCATCCAGCTTGCCCTGATACGTGTCATAGCCGCCGTACGTATCTGCCAGGAACAGAGCATTAATGCCGCCTCGTTCGAGGAGCTTAGCCAGCTCTATCCAGTACTCGAGGTTGCGTTTGGTGGCCGACTTGTCCGCGGGGTTCTGCGGGTATATTAGCTGGCATACACTGGAGAGAATATCTCAGATGAAAGCTCGATCCTACCTTCCATTGCCCAGGAGACAAGTGCCCGACAGTGGACATGTCAAAGGCATTCAGCAGAATCTGTTTCTTTCCATTGCTATTGCCATTGCTTTTGTTGGCGGCCATGTTTAATTCAAGGATCCAACTATGGACTGACCGTCTGAAAGGGCTATTTGGAAGAGCGCAGCCGTCCTTTTATCTCATCTCCAAAATAACCGTAGCCCCGCATGTCGTAGATGCATCTCTCTCATCATCAACCGCCAGAAGCTCGTGATGCAGATATCCGATTGACTCTGAAGGCATGTCCTATTCGCCATGGAACAACACGGATTGCGCCATTGATGCTGCTTCTTTTGTAATTGCGTGATAAACGCAATGCTTATCATCGGAGGTTTCCCGGTGGATTGTTCGTTTGTTAGAACTTGGTTGGTGTATAGAACCATCCATGTCTGACTGGTGTTGTTGTGGTGGTGGTGGTGTGTTGTGAAGGACAACCCTAGGCCCTAAGGCCCCGTCTAATGGAATACAACATAGTACGGAGTACACCAGATAAACCTCAAACTAGAATGGAATTCCTTGAAACAGTTTACCAGTCCCTTTCTATCATCAATGATCACTTGGGGTGAACATCCACCGATTCCACATCCCCCGCTCTACCATCAGAACCCCCGTACTCATCGCCCGCGATATTCCCATTCTTCTTCCTGGAAACAGTCAGAGATAACGGCTATATGTCTCGAAGGAATGGGGATGGACTTACTCTCTCCGAATACAAACCCGAATCCCATGCGCCAACAAAATCAAGCAAACCGCATTCCCCAGCACAAACGGATACCCCTTGACGAACCTCGGCGCCTCAACCGTCTTAAAGACAAGCAGTGGCGTCCAGGCCGTCGTAGACTGCGCCACCGTATTGATAATCACGAGCGTCAGCGCGCGCTCGACAGGCGAATACCGCAGTTCACTATTCACCCAGCCGTACAGGACGCTCGACATCGCCACGGCCGAGTAGGTGGTCAGGAAGGCGAACCAGAGGGCCGACTCGGGCACATTCCAGATGGTCAGGATGATGAGGCCGATTATGTTCCAGGTGTGGGAGAGTGTGATGGCCCATGCTGGCCCTAGAAGAAGATCGGACGCGAAGCACACGAGCAGCGTGTAGAAGATGCCCAGGGCCGGGGAGATGGCGGAGAGTTCGTTCAAACGGCTCGTGGAGTATCTGTCCAGACTCTTCAGCCAGAGCAGGTATCCGCCCGTCGTGGTGTTGATGCTTCCGTTCCAGAAGAAGATGTCGAGGAGGAGCATTGCCCAGAATTTCCAGTTGACAGCTACGCGCAGCAGGCTTTTCCCGGTGAAGGTGCCGTGCACTTTGTGTCCGGCGCGTTCGAGACGGGCTTTGGAGAGGTTGATGTCTTTCTCTTTCATGATCAGTCGGTTCGGTCGGTCAGGCGTGCCGGGGAGGACGAAGAATCCCAGGATGCCGACGGGGATCGTGATGATGGCGCAGATGATGTACATCCATCTCCATCCAGCCAGGCCGTTGACGCCGTCTAGACTCGCGGATGCACCAGCCTGGATCAGGCTGGCCGTGAGTGTTCCTAGAGTAAGACCGACGTAGAAGCAGCCGCCTCGACGGGCGATCTCATCCCCACGGTACCATGCTCCTATAGCTCCCAACTGTAAGCTTGTTGCTTGTGCGATGCGAAGGAGCAAGGGCAAGGGCAAGCGCAAGGGCAAGGGGGCTCAGACCAAAAATGTAATGCATCCCCGGAAAAAAGGCAGCCTCAAACCATCCCACGAGGAATCTATACGCCGCCAACTCCGAGAACGAAGTGACCCGATACTGCAACAACGTGAACACCCCCCAGAGGATGTCAAGAAACGGAATAGTCCACGACATGGGAACCCTGGTGAACAGATACGCGAAGGGGAGCTGTCCCAGCACAGCACCGAGGGTGTACAAGGTCTGCAACCGCACAAGCTGGTTTCCTTCCAGATGGAGGTCCTCTTTGACACCAGAGACATATGCATTATCTAGTGGTCGTCGTCAGCCAGCGGCAGTCGGTTAGTTTGGGATGGGACAGGATGGGACAAAGCCCAGCAAAGGGAATAAGGCGAACCCACTGATATTCGCCTGGTCAATATACTTGGTCCAATACGCCAAAAACGCATACGGAACAATCAACAGATCCAGCTTGACAATGAGCCGCCGTTCCTCCTTGGTGTCCTCCTCTGCGAACCAGCGGATCTGCCACCATGGTCGATGTTTGTGCGGGTACTGCTGTTGCACACTCATTTCTTGCTCAAGCCCTCGAATATCGGAGAGAAAAGCCCCAAGGGCCAGAAGAAAGAAGAAGAAAAAAGAAGAAAGGGAAAGAGGAAGATGCCAGCTACAGACCGGAAACAGTAGCATGTATGCTCCTTAAGAAGAAACATGCCAATCCTATTGTCCTCATCAGCACCCAATCTGGAAGTTAAAAAGGTGTCACAAAACATACCCATTGCGTGACTGCTCAAGATTAACCTTCTTCACTCACTGCTAGAACGTCTTCTCGATAGGACTCCGGTCCGAAATGCTATCGTGCAGCACTGGATTGTGTCAGTCTGTGGAGGTAAGACGTGCTTACCAGGTGAATGTCCTGCAAGCTCAACGTACCTCAACATACCTCAATAGGCTAATTAATTCTTCATGTCTCCAGCGAATCGTCCATTGTAGGAGGGCAATGCTGCTGTCAAGACGTTGTTCCCATGTCCAGGAGGTGCCTTGGCAAGGTGCAGTCCAAGACGCCAAGTTGCCTTTGGCCTCCTCCTGTTATACGAAAACGCACTTTACGGCATCTCTTTACACGTCAAAAGCTCGTTGAACCGGCAATAGCCCTTCGCATTCAATTCACTCCCTAACTTGTCCTATACTCAAAGACTCGAAGACTCGAAGACTCGAAGACTCAACAAATCCAATGCAACCAGCTCAATCCAAGAAATACGACATGCTCATCGGAGACATCCCCAATTGGTACATGAATCTTCAGACATAAATCCACGTCTACCAAGCCCGATACCATTCACCAGGAGAATCGCCCAGGCATTCGCCAACAGGGACAGCTGTTACATCCGTTAGCCAGTGCTTCAGAGCCAAGGAGGCCAAGATCACATACGTGTCAGCCCTCTGGCTCGAACATCATCCAGCATAGCCTGAAGAAGCATGTCCACCGTCTGCTGATGCACATCGTGTGCTAGGACAATCGTGCCCCCGGCATTCAGTTCGTTCCGGAACTTTTCAATGCTCCGATGGATCAAGTTGGGATCATCATTTTCATAGTCTTTCGTATCCGTGCTGGCACTGATAACATGGTAACCAAGCTCGGCCATCGTCGACAGCACCAGACCGTTCACAGCAAGGAACGGCGGCCTCATATACGTTGGGAAGGCACCTATGACGTCCATAAACGCAGCTTCAAGTCGCGTCATTTCGCCAATGATGGCATCGCGATCCAACGCAGGAAGAAAGGGATGGCTCCAACTGGCAAACCAACCGGTTAGCTATCCCGTTCCTTGATGGTACTCAATCCATCAATCCAGATACTTACGTGTGCGACGCGACCTGGTGGCCATCAGCCAAAGCTTGCTGAACAAGTCCAGAAAAGGCATATATATTTCCTAGAGCCTGACCATTAATGAAAAAGGTCACTCGAGCGCCGTTCTCCCTGAGAATTTCCAGGGTGCGCGCGGTGTAGATCCACGGGCCATCGTCGAACGTCAAGGCCACCGTTCCCGGAACGGTACATCTGTCGATAATTACGCCGTAAGGGACTACAGAACGGACTGTCTGATCATTGTTTGCAATGTGAGGGATTGCAGCGGAAAATGCAGCGAGGCAGAGAAGGGAAGCAGTGATGTGCTGGACGAGCCCCATGGCCATTATAAGCGACGATGATACCCGGTAGCGAAGATAGTAAGGATAGAGGATTTAACGAGCGGAAGTGGGTTAAGACCTGGATAATAGTTAAGTTAACAGAAATGAAAGGAGGATGGTTGTATAGGCAGATGAAGAACGCAGAAGAAGACGAAAACAACAGAGAAGTTTGGTCTGGGAAGAAATGGGACGACGCTTCCTACGGCTCTTTCTTCGGCCCATTCTGACAGGCAACATGGGAAAGAGAAAGAGTGATTTTGTTTCTCTTCTGTCCTTCCGCATTGGAACAGTTGTCGAGGAAGCAGCAGACGATGCTGTACATGTCCATCGAGGCCGCGGACAGATCCATGGCAACTATCACAGTAGACCGTGGAAAGGCCCATTCCATTTGCCAATAATTAGGGATACAAATACACCTCACGTAGAAAAGAAAAGAACGACAATAACGATAGCGCTGATGCTGATGACGACGTCCGTTAACCCCATGTTATCTTGTTCTTTTGTATAAAACAGCTCGATTCAAGAGAGAAGACATGAGAAGAAAAGATAAAGAAAATATAAGTATAAGACCACTTCGGGAAGAGAACAAAACGATCATCATCCGCGGCGGGTGTACTTCTTCACGGAACGTTTCTGCTCCTTCTCCTTCTCACGCTCCAGGAACTTCCGCTGGTCCTCAGCAGACATGCTTCGAAGGAGACGATCCCGTTCCTCCTTCTTCAGCTTCTCCGCTGCAAGCTTGCGTTCCTCGGCCTTCTCTTCCTCGTCGGCGCGGCGGAGTCTCTTGATTTCTTCCTCGCGAGCGTGACGGACCTTGCGCGTCACCTCGGGACGGAAATGGGCCGAAGCGACGAGCCTGTCAGTCAAACGGAGGAACTGGGTGAACAGCGGAATGGTCGATGCGTAACCAGGGTCAGAGGCGGAGAGGTTGAGTGAGAGGTGGATGCGTTTCTTCGGGGCAGTCTCTTCGAGTCTGAGGAAAAACATCGGTGTTTAGAAATCAAGTAAAAGTAAACGCCTCGAAAAGTCCAGCTCCAACTTACTTCATAGGCTTGTCAACAGGCTGATCCGTAATGATCAAGAATTCCAGCGCATCACCCGCCTTCTCAATGGCCGTAATAAGCTCCGGGGTGAGAAGAACATCGGTGATCTCGGCACTCTCCGTCATCACGGTCACCCAGGGAGGAAGCTTAGAGTTGTCCCTGGTGAAGGTCATGGAGGCATCATAACGATCCTGACGGAACTTGCGCATATATCCCTTATGCACAACGGCCCAAATGAAGTTATCGTAGCCGGAATTGGCCACTTTCAACACCGACGTGTCCTTACCGGGGACGGGAACCAGGTCCTTCTCCTTGCCATCAAACGCGTACGAGATGGCCTCGACCGTCTCAGCAGGCACGGGCCAGCTCTCGAAGAAGAAGCTAAAAGCATACTCCATGGCGTAAGTGATCGGATTATAGCGCTTAGGCAGGCGGATGGCCACGTCGAGGAATGCAACATTCTGCCGTCCAGTGGCATAGGTAACGAACTCCTGCGCCGACTTCTCCTTGAGCAGGGACTCGGGCGCAACGAGCTCCGCAGTAGACCCGACATCACCGTCTAGTTTAGTCTTCTTCGGGATCCCACTGAAGCCCACGACGGCAAATTCGCTCTGCAGTGCCGGTGCATGCGCCCGCGTCCATTCCCTCGCCTTGCGTCTGTTCTTGCGCGTACCCCACAGATGGAAGACAACGATCAGCAGAATGAACGGCATGATCATTGCCTCCTGTATGAAATCCTTGGGCGAGGTCCGCTCCCACACCCGATACCATTTCGTATAAGGGACAACAGGCTTGTCGGTAGCCTGAGTGCCGAAAAGAACGGGACTCGATGACGACGAAGCAGCGGCAGCGACGGATGCCGCAGACGGTTCGACAAAGTCTGCGAAGTCTAGAAACATAACATTGTTATTCCCTCCAGCTCTTTCTTTCTCTTAACCAATACGTGGGCGGGAACCAGAGCATACCATCATCGACCTCCGCCGCAGCTGATGGCTGGGAGCCACCGAATGGGTTCTTGAATAAACCAGCCATTCTGAGATAGAAAGCAGAAGCTTCGACGCTTGTCCGACGGAGGGTTGCTCTCTATCGCGTGCTGGGGAGGGACGAAGCAAAGAAGGGGGGGGTGGAAACGGAGCACGGAAGGTTTGTCGCGAAAGCTAAGTTGTGTGTTAATTAGCTGGCCTGCGGAGCCAGCAGCCGATAGTCTGATGCAACCGTTTTATGAACACGAGATCCCCGCTCAATTGGTAAATACCATGGTACGCATTTATATTGTATATCTACTGGGAATGGAGAGTGGATGGGTTGTAGTATACAGTATTTTGTTCGTCCTCTTGGGACCGCCTGGAATGAAGGCCACGCACAAAAACAGAACCACCAAGGGATGTGGATATCCGTCACGAAGACTCCAGCGAGTGAGATATATACAAGGCACCAAAAGAAAGCCGACTGGCAGAAGAAAAGCAAATGAAAGAACCCCAGACGCCACAACGATAATTTTACAGGCCCATACACGAATCTAAACCCGCTTCCGGATATCAGAGAAGAAAAAGAACGAGGCAAAAAGAAAGAGGAACGCAAGCAAAAACCAGCAAAGATCGAAGAGAAAAGAAATGCAGGAAAAAAAAAAAAGATCGTAACGGTCGTTAATCCTCCAGCTCTGGCTGGAGTCGTAGTCTTGAAGAGGACATAATGCAGACCACTCCAAAAAAAAAAAAAGGGGGAGCAGAAGGAAAGAGGGTAACAAAGGATAAAGATGGAAGAGGTTTTATCCTCAATCGAGTAAGAATAAGCTTCACTGGCCGTACGCAGGGGGGGGTAGCTCTTCCTGGCTGTAGCGGTCCCAGAAACCTCCGCCCACCATCTTGTCTTCGCGCATGCGGCGCGCGACTTCACCGGCCAACTTCTCCACCAATGCGTCGTCCACAACGTGACTGGCTACATGATCCTTTAGGAACGGAAGGAACGCATTCGAAATCTTCTGCCCCGACCGCAGAGTCGGCCCAGCTTCTTTCTCTAGGCCGCACGGAGGTGCAATAGGGCCGCACATGGTGTTCCGCGGTGTGGTATCTGAGTCATCCGTGTGTTTTTGGTGTCTGCATGTTTCCAAAGGCGCAGATGATTCGCCTGTCCCGCGAAATGCCTCGGTCAAGACATCGCGATGAGGGGCAGCTTTCGAGATGCTCCTCGGACGGCGTTCGGGAGTATTAGAGACCCCGCGTTCGCTGATCGGAGAGAGCGGCGGCGTCACCGGATCGTCGGACTGTTCCTCGGTGGCTGGCACGGGCGCTGAACAGACAGACGGCGCGCTCGTCGTTTCGGTAAAGGCAGTCTCGTCGCTCACACTCATCGTTTCGACGGCGGCCTTTGGTCGTCGCAGATCCACCACGCGCTTCTTCCGTTTCCTGGCGTGTGCCTTGTGGCGACCGGCTCCCAGGCTCAACCCGTAGCTATTGAAAGCCGGCCCGAGCGGTGACAGCCTGCTCTGCATGGACACGGTACTTGCGCTGTCCGGGATCGAAGCCGCGCTCCCGGTATGCGACTGCGTCCGAGCGAGCGAGTGACTGTTGAGAGACATCGTACTTCCCAGCAGATCCGCCTGCTCTGCAGGTGAAGTCCATGCGCGATACACCACTTCCCGAATGGACGGGGTAAAGAGCGACAACGTTCGCTGCGAATCGGTAAGCGCGGCCAGGCGTAGCAAATTTTTCTGGGAGAATAAGGAGTGGGTCTCGACGGACGAATCCAGCGAGAGCGACGCGATTTGGGACTCGTTCAGGGCATTTCCAAGGGAGTCCACGGGGTCCTGGGGGGGACTGGCCAGCGGATCGTGGCCGGGACCATCCCGGGCCAGCGGTTTCTGGACGTCCTCATCGGCGCGATATTCCGGAACCCAAAGTCGCAGCGATAGGCGGTGGATGATCGCCGGGAGTTCGTCCATGAAGAGAGTGCGCAGCTGCGCTTCGATTTCCCTCTGCAGGAAGTCGCGTACGAACGGGATGGAATCGAAGGTGGAGGAAACCTTGAGCGACTCGAGGGGGTCATTTCGGAAGACGACGGTGATCCCTTTCTGCTTGGAGAAGACGAGGATGACGAAACCAGAGAGCTTGAAATCGGACAGGGTTATTTGAAGCGGGATTGTCAGAGGGGTCCTAGAGGCAAGAGGGAATCAGTCAGCATTGGACGGAGACAAGGTCATTCGGATTCGCCATGGCAAGACGTACGCAGCCGCAAGAGGTTTCGGAGTCGCAAAAGAAGGTCGGGTAAGGAGATAGGTATTCAGTGGGTTTGCTTGGACACGCGTTTTGAGGGTGAGAAAAGCATCTCCCGAGTACGACATCTTGAAGATGCCGCGAAAACGGTCTTCGGCCAGGTCACCGATCTCGAGGATCTCCAGCTCTGGCGGGATCGAACCCAGGTTGAGCTCCGTGACGATGATGTCGTCGACGATGATGGGGGGTTTGGGGGATTTGTTCAAAGCGGCGGTTAGCAGCTCCTGAGCGCGGGTGTAGAAACTCGCATCCGCGATGAGCGGAGACCAGTTAAAGTTGAACGCCATAGCATAGCGATGAGGAGAGAGGAGAGGAGATGGACAGAGCAGAGAGGAGAGAGAGGGTGAAAGGGAGGGAAGGGAGAAGGTTATAGAGCGTGGAAAAAGCTATTGTAATCAGGATGGGCCGCGGAGAGAGGAAGATGGAAATGGAGAGAGATGGACGTGATGTAAAAAAAATAGAAAAGGGCGTTCCGAGGCGGGTGCTCGCGTGCCTTTCTGGCTGCATGTGAGGGCAAAAATAATAACAAAAAGCCACCGGAAACAAAGGCGAAAAAAACGCGAAAAAAAAGGGAGAAAAAAAAACTTAAAAGGACTCCAGTCTGGACTCCGGAAACGCCCTTGCCGTTAATAATATTATTTATTATCTAGTATGATATGCAGTCGGTCCGAGCACATACAATAATAAAATACATAGCACTGTTACTCCGTTGCTCCAGGCGTTCTTCCGACCTACCCCGAGCGTGCATTTATTATCTTATTCCTGCGGTTCTCTGGGGTCTGCAATATGCAATATGCAATATGCATCATGACATGACGATACAGCCTTAATGCCTGGACGGTTGCTTTTAGGCCAAAGACTGCGCGGCACGGATATCAAGGCATGGGAATCAGGCTACAAAGTCAACAGACAGGTTAGCTCTGTTCATTCTGACCTAGCAGAGTCAAGACGGACAGAATTAAGAATCTGCTGCCATGCCATGACTTGATTATCGGCCCGGCTGACCTATTGCATCCATTATTGTTGTTCTTTCTATCGGATTCCCATAACCAACGCCAGCACATGCCCATCATCGCTATGCTCGATGCAATATCCAAAAATGCATGATAAGAATCAGGGTATAATGGTATAATATCAATCAACACGTCGATTCCGCCATCTCAGGCGGCATCCCGGCCCATCGCCCAGCAGGAAAGTTGTATTCGGAGTCCAAATGGCTCTTGGCCGGCATCAGCACCGCCCAGTCGTCCCACTGCTCGCGTATTTCACGGGCTTTTCGGCGGAAGAATCGTCGGAGCTTGGATTTGAGGCTGTTGTCGTTGTATTTCTCGTTGGAGTTGGACTTGCAGTCTGGCTCGGGCTTGTGGGGGTTGCTGTGTTCACCGTGGCTGACCAGTGTCTCTGTGTCGGTGTCTGCTTGGGTTTCTGTTTCCGCGGTGGCTTTGTCCATTTTGAGTACGTTCGCCCGTAGGTCTGTTTGGGTTGATTCTAAATTCGAAGGTAAGGTTGGTTGGTCTGTTTGATGCAGGTCTGGTATCACAGTTCCGGTGGTAGTGGTGTACAGTATATCGAGAAACACATGGCCCAGGACATAGACGGAGACTGACAGCGAGGATAATGAAGATATTCAACCAGGCAAATCTGCAGAAATCTAGCTCATTTATATAGAACTGCTCATTATTATTACCGTCGCCATTCGTATCAGTATTGCTGCCTCTTTGGGCAACTATATACCCCTGCCGAGATTATGCCGAGTTATTGGCGGCAAAGAGCGCAGATATCACGGAGGAAGATCGGAGCTATACAGAGCAGGAAATACCTCATGACAGACATTATGAGTAGCAGTATCTAGTAGCAGTGTAAAACATAAATACATGGCCTTCATAGCGTGAAGATAAATCCCAATACTGACGACCCTTACCACCATCAGTCCATGGTATAATGAGTATCGGAGTATCCCCTCCCTAACCTCACCGTCCACCCCCCTCCCCTGCCCATCGCGACGGAGGAAAGTTATATTCCTCATCCAGGTTGCTCGTGGCCGGCATCAGGGACGCCCAGGATCTCCCTTTCCAACGCTCGCGCGCTCGGTGCAGGCTGAGTATGTCTTTGAGTTTATGCGTGAGGCGTTTGATTTTGGTGAGGATTCGAGGCATCGGTTTGTCTGGTCGGGTATCCTGGCAAATGGGGGTAATTAAATTGACAGCAAGATAATGATGATGATGATGATGGATTATTATGTGCACACCATTCCGTCTGATATTACCATTTATGATGTTTCTCCAAATGGGGAAAACAAGATACAATCAACAGTGACGTATTCGTTCAAAGTCTACTTGATCCGGATCTAAACAACAGCCAATACCATGTCAAATGATCATTTCTCTGAATCTAATTCTTAAGAACAGTCATCTATGTATGTTTGACCTACTGCTTGCCAAAGATCTTCACCCGTTCCTCGATCGGCTTGAAAGCCTTCTCGCCTGCTTCTCCCTCCTTGCTACCGAATACCAGTTGCGCAATCAATCTCCATTCACCGGGGATGTTCCATTCCTTGCTCACAGGCTTGTCGATGAGGGGGTTATAGTGCTGCAGGTTGGCGCCGAAGCCGAGCGACTCAAGGGCAGTCCAGACTGCATTTACGTTAGATTCTTCCATGCAAAACGGAAAGAAGGAGAGGTAGAAAAAAAAGGAAGAAGGAAGGAAGACATACGGAAGAATTGATGCATGGCGTTAGAGTGCTCAGCCCACTGTCCAAAGTGATCCTTGTATGTAGCAAACTTCTCCGACATAGGCTTGATATGAGCCGGGTCCTCGTAGAAGAGGATCTACAGTGAACGGATTAGCTCTTCCCTCCTTTCCCCCTTCCATCTTGGAGGTTTGAACCTACCGTCCCAGCAGCAGCCTGGAAACCCCTCAGCTTAGGCAAGGTATGGTTGGTCCACACGTCCTGGGGAACAGCGCCGCTCTGTACCAGGTTTCCCATGGTGTCGATCACAACATCCCACAGGCGATCGTGCTCCTTGTGCAGCAACACCACTAGGCGGGTAGACTGCGTGTTGAACGAGCTGGGGACGTTCAGAATGGCAGTGTTGACGAGCTCCTCGATCTTCGAGTCGGGACGGGGCTGTTCTTGCCGAGCTGGTAGATGGTGCGGCGCTCCTGGACAGCTTTGATGACGGCGTCGGAGGTAGACATTTTGCGGGAGGTATACGAGAAGGACCTGGACGGTAGAGTAGAAGTAGCAGATGACAACTGGGATGGACGTCGAAGTTGGAGTTTAGAAGTCAGGGAGGGAGTGGACGATATTATACCCAACGGCGCTGCGGGGCGGACACTGCGCGACAGTAAAGTGCGAGCTGGAAATAGAACACTTGCAGCAGTCATTGTGGCCCCTAGAAAAGAGAGGAAAAGGAGAGAATAGCAGCCGATGACAAAGGATTCGGAAATAATCCAGCGGACCTCTGGGATCTAGCTGGATAAATATGGGCGATGAAGCCAGAGCTACAGCACTATTACGACATGACGCTGAAGTTCGGGCATCAGATGCGAAACACGCGGAAATCCGCCGCGTCTCAGTCCTGACAAATAATTAGTAAACGCCTGCTAAGCTCTGCGACATCCGAATACCCGCGTACATATCCGAGGATCTACAGTAGTGTACAGGTAGGTATATTATTGTTCCCCGGTAGGATTTGACATGTCTTCTGTCCCGCTGGAAAATCTTGGAAAATCCCGCAGATCTAAGATCCATGCCGCGGATGGCAAGGATGATTAACGCCTCCGCGCACCCAACGAGCACTCACAATTGTATTTCTCGCCGCCATGGGCGCCAGCGTACCAACCTTCAAGAATGAGCCGGGACTCGAGATCCAACCAATATTTCGCTTTGCCCCCAGCCCCCGTCTTGAGATCTAGATCCCCCAGACGCACTTCAACGGGCCCCTTTTCGTCTTTCGATAGCTGCGGGTTTTGGTTGTTAGTCAATGTTGTCATAAAATGCGGAGACACGGATGTGTGGGGCTTCTAGAAGCACAGCAGAAAATCATACCTTGATGTACATCGTACAATCCCTCAGGATCATCGCGGTTGACTTTTCTCGAGACTGTGCTAGTGGGCCATTCAACCCGACGTCATTTATGGCTGCTTGATGAGCCTTGAGTTTGAGCAAAGTACTATTTCGATACAGCGCTCGCGCTAACCGTACTGGATCCCTGCATCCCTTGATGAACCGGGCCGCGCGAAGGACATCTTCAAAATTGTCCGACACTAGATCTAGGGGACAGAAGGACCGTTGCTCCTTCATCCCAGCTTCGCGTGCCTCTTTGTTTTTCATGTCTCGCAAAGCACATGTACGACATCTCCGGGAGTTTGGTGGAGCGGATGGTGATTGAAGCAGCCATTTAGGTTTAAACTCTGCCAGACTGAAGCCTGGATGCTCAAAAATCGTCATGTCGGTGACCAACAACCCCATGGGCTCACTAACAGAGAGGTATACGCCATGGCGCTTGTGTGGCCGTTCCCCGGTTTTCTCTCCAATGTGTAGGAGATCGTTACAGTGCTGAACCAGTCCCTTCGGAAGGCAGACAAGGTGCTGGTCAACCAACTCCTCCAGGCTGAACAACGGGCGGATGACCTTGTCAAAGTTCTTTGCAATCTCCAGATATGATATCCCAGATGGTATCTCTTTGCGCAGCCTGAGTAATTTCCCCCGGAGTTGAACTGGCAAATCCGGAACGCTACTCCCGTTGACTGAAGGCACAGTATCACCGTTGTGACTATTGCCAGGCAAGACGGGCAAGGTCGCAGAAATGTAGACGAACCGAAAGACGACGTTGGCGCGGCCTTCGGCAAGGTAGACCAGCCGGACTCCCGCAGGGAGCTCGAGAAAGTTGGATTTGGTCATCCCTTAAACGGCTGGATCTTCTCTTTCAACTCTTCTCTTACGAGCATTGCCGTACAGCAGGGGAATTATTAGTCAGAATCACTAATCCAAACGTGGCAATGCAGTTCTGTCAAGACGACTAGAGGGAACAGAATTAGGATAATGTATGCACAATGTATAGCCACACAAAGATGACGATAGCGGAAATGCTGCAACGTGGACAGTGTAGACTCTGAGTGCAAAAAGTACGGAGCACTTACCGACTACCGGACGTCTTAAAGCCCAATGTCAAGTCAAGCTAACAAAATTCCAGTCGTACCAACATCCGCGACAACTGGGCCTTGAACGGGTTCCATGCCAACCCAATTACCATAAGACCTAGAGTCTCCGTGACGGCCTGGCTGAAGGCATCGAATGAGAAACGGCAAGCTCGAAGGTAGAGGCGATGATCAGCTGGAGATTGCCGGGAAGCGAAATGAGTCTTGGCCAGACACTGGCTCTCAAAGCTGCAATGGCGTGTTTGGCCGCCACACCAACGAGTGTAATTTTGCCTTCGCGGACGAATTGCTCAGGGGAATCAGCGCGTTCCCGACGTGAAGAAAGGCGGATCGTGGCTGACGGAGAAATAAAACGCCAGCTGAGACGGGACCCAAGGCTTCAAGATTAGGCGCCGCGGAATGACACAGAAAAGATTATGACGACAGCTAAGAAGCGATATTAATGTTAGTTGTACTCCGAGAAGCAAAGAGGCTCAAACTGGAATCTTGACGATTCCAGATCAGGGAAAAATTCTGACAGATCCATGGACACTTTGTCACAAACTTAACGCGGCAAACTCACAGTCAGAACTTAGCAGTGCCTCACAGCGAGCGTGGAGCTCAACCCATTTTCCCTGTCGTTTCTTTCACGGCTGCATATCTAGCAGATGAACAGCAGCCAGCGATTGGGCGGCCATCCCGGTCTTCACAGCAGATCGCAGGTGAAGTTGTTGATGCGGCAGACGCCATTTCTGCGCTATGATACAAATGTTTCCTGTGCTGTACAGGTAATCTGGAGAAGACTTTGGATCAAGATGAAAAAAGCAAAGAAGGCCTGTTCTTCTGTCGTGCATACCTAGTGTGATGTATTGTCCCTATTGTACATCTGTCAGGGTATAGTTAGTTAGTAGTACCTAATGAGTAAGTAGATTGCCTGGAATGTCAGCATGAGACAATGATCTAACTGAACGATGGAATATATATCCATCCAAGACAGTTTGTTGTCAGGGAAATAACTACATGTCAAAACACGCAGAGACATCAAGATGTCATCGAAAAAGCCCCTCCGTAGCCCCGCGTTGCCAACAGACTTCAACTTGCTTTTTCCTACGGACTTCTTTACTTCTACCCTTCGCACAGTCCAATAATCCATAAATCATCATCTGCGGAGATATTATTAGAGACCTATCGACCGAAACAGAATACAAAATGGCCTCCCAGTCCGACATCTCCTCCATCCCAACCCCGGCCCACTGCACGGCTGATTTTTGCTTGATTCCGGTATTATCCACCGTACTCTCTTATTCTTTAAATGTATCATAATTAAGGGAATAGATCGGAACATCCTCCCCCTCTGTATCCGCCCAAGTCGCAGAGGTGCAGCGACTCATCGAGCGGTCAGGCCTGAAATACTCGATGCATTCGGCTGGGACGACGCTTGGTATGTCATGTTTGACCATTCTATACTACTGCTATTGTTATTGTTCTCGCTATTGCTATTGCTATTCTGTTCATGTGCACGTCTGGCTCTATCTAATGCGTTGTATGGCCACAGAGGGCCCATGGGATAAAGTCCACCAGGTCATCGGACAGGCACATACTATTCTACATCAACAGGGTATTGTGAGGATTCAGTCTGATATCCGATCTGGGTCAAGGTTGGACCCTTCCTCTCTCTCTCTCTCTCTGTGTGTGTGTGTGTGTGTGCGTATACCTACCTGCTAACCACCTCTGTACAGGACGGATAAAGTGCAGACGTTCGAAGATAAGGTGAAGAAGGTGCATGAATTACTGGGCAAGGAATGAAGGAATTGGTTGACTAGGGATATGGTGAACACAATATAGAATGAATCATGCGTGCTTCGTGACTTCATTACATACATGGCTCTCACTGCTTAAAAGATACAAAATAGAAAATCCCAAGAAATCAGGTACCTACCTATCCAAACTTATAATCCCCTTTTTGCAATGCTCAAATCCAACTCAGACCGGAACGCCGTTTCCCATGCTGGATGCATGACAGACTGCAGCCATGCGCTCCAAATAGATCAAATACACCCATAGGACCAAACCGGGAGAATCAAGTAAGGATCCTATAACGGAATACCACCGCCAAGCCCATCCCAATCTCCGCCAGCCCACACCCATTCCCCAGCACTAGGATTGGCACCGGACTTGACAGAACTGACAAGATCGTCAAGCCCCTTGTAACCATTGGAGTCGGAGCTCGTTTCGCTAGAATCGCTGGGCAGGCTCTTGCGACCCACGGGAGATGTAATGCCGTTCAGATTATCTACCGTCCGAATTGCCGGGCCCTTGTCGAAAAAGTCCACCAAGATAAACGTCGGCGGGCTCCCGTAGGCAGCTTTGCAGGTATCCGCGGCCGTGCCTAGGTTTCCCACACCGCCGGATGGAGCATTGGTTGTGGAGACGTAACTGGCATTGGGGGTCTGGATACCTAGAATAGAGGACTCATACAGGAAGTGGTTCATCAACGGGAGTTGATTGGAGGAGAGTGCTGATTTCAAGTTGCCCTTGAAGCTGTCCGGACGGTCAGGCAGGCATGAGAAGTTTGAAGGCGTGTCGACATTATACGGCGTCTCCCAGATGAAAGTGAACTCGTCCATAAGATACGGTGCCACTGTGTTGCTATCCAAGGATGCGACGAAGGTCATGAGGCGGGTGCCCTTGGAGATCAGCTCCTGCAGGGTTGGCCACGACGACGGTGCGGAGGTCTGCGAGGTGGGCGTGTAGGTGTAGTTATTCACACCAGCCGCCTCGAACTCAGAATGCAGATCGGAGGCTGTAGCATCGTCTGAATTGACAAGCAGCACGGTAACCACGTCATTCGGATTGGCATCCAGCCAGTCCTTGATCTCCGACAGCCACGTACTCAACTTGCCAGCATCCAACAAGTCACAGCTGGTATGGCACAGATGCCACTCCGAGTCACTTTTATGAACCTGCGCCGTAACCAGACGAACCCCAGCGTCTAGCTGAACAGTGGTATTGTAATATCTATACAGGAGGCACTGTCAGCACGTCGCCGACTTTCACTTCCATAACAATGAATACTAGGCCACTTACTGATCCCCTGACGACGTGTCATGATTTGAAGAATTCCGTACAAAAGGGCTATCATGGGCACCCAAGTGGGTGATCACGCCGTAAGATTTAGAGCAGAGAGAAGGAGAATTATTGCATGCTGTGTCGCGTGGAACCAACGCTTTCCCGGCAGTGAGGAACGGTAGAACGGCGAGAACGGCGGTCGATAGGCAGGACGCTCGCATGGCTGTTGATATTATCGGTGTTGCTATAGAATAGGAGTGGAAGCAAGGGAGGAAGAAAAGAGGAGGATGTCAGATTCGAATGACGGATGTTTGCTAGATGCTGATGGTCTCTGCTGCGGCCACATTCTACAGCGCTGCGAGCGAGAGCCAAAAAGAAAGATACAACCGGCGATCTGCTCTCAGGTCCCTGCTGTACCGGACAAGCCTTAAACATGCCCTGAACCTAGAGTTGCGCAGACAGCAACCATGGAACGACCGGTTTTATTATTATTATTTATGCTGGGCCGTGGACGAGGCAACAACCGGGCTGCGTAATGCCATGCTTGCCCAGCCTCGCCGGGGTTACGTACGCCTCCGCAGCAGATCCTGTTCTTCTATTTTTAGACGGTTTCATGCTGATTCTTCAGGTTCCACGGAGTAACGTCGCGGAAGGCTGGCAGCTGTATGGGTGAATATTTACCATATTGAGGCTGATGGTCTGAGGCTCAGGCTGTGTGCTGTGTATGCATAATCTATTTACTGATAAATACCCAAATTCGTTTATATGCTGTATTATCATCCCATCGCAGGGCCTGAATCATCTATTTGCTCTGCACAAAGGCACCCTTCTCGAAATGGACCTCCCTGAATAGCGTTCGGTGCGTTCTGCGCTGCGACATCTTCGAACTGGGTGGATTCACAAGTCGCTCCACATCATTCTCCTGATCGCCGAAAAGGGAACAGCCCCAAGCACGCGCTACGTCGGCTAGGACCTGATGCACATCGTAAGGATTCTCGCGTCGCAGAAGTCGGTTCCACCGTCGACTGGAATGCCGAGGTCGCCCGAAAAGCACCGCCAGACGTTGTCGACATGCTCGTCGAATCTCCTGCTCTCGGAGACGGACGCCTTCGCGTTCGAGCTCGCGGAGAAGTGCAAGACCCCGGACCCACGGGACGACAATAGGATCCCCGTTTCCCTGTTCAATCAGGGATGGAATACGGCAAGCCTTCGTTTCGGGTTTGCTGGACAAACGCATCATGAAGCCCCAAGCGACAATGGCCGCTTGCATTTGCGGGTTGAAGATACGTTCAAGCATGCGATCACCAGGCCCGGATGGTGGCGGGCCCATTCCTATGGCTGGAGACCTCCCCGAAGGCGGAAACGAACCCATCCCAGAAGGATTGGATCGTTTCTTACTAGGAGCGTAGTACCGGGCGATCCATAGGGAGAGTTCCCGAAAGCGATCCCAGCGTCTGGTCATGCCTAAGCGCTTCAGAAGCTCGATCCAGAGTTCCGGCGGCACAAAAACTCCAGCAGGTACAACGCGTCGAAAGATTCGGAAGAGAAAGCCTACTTCATCTTCGGCATGGCCGCCACACCCTGCTGCTGGCCCGACTCCTCTCCTCCGTGGAGTTAGAACCTGCGCAATCAGAAACTCCATGCTCTGGTTGGCAAGGGTCTTGCCGCGCAAGGCCATATCATCCACAATTTTAGCCGCAGCGGACCACTCTCTAGCAGCGATGTGCTTCCGGAAGTGTATATTGAACATCTCCGGTCCTTCATCAGAGACCAAGTCGAGAATGGCCAAAGCCATGTTGTACTGTTGCCAATCCCGAGCCACATAATATTGTGTTAGCAAAGATTCCTGTAGCGCTGCGTTTTCGAACACGTCAGGGTGCTGGTCGGTCGAGACGAGCTCTGACAAAAGGAACCAACGGTCCTCAGTTGCAAGTTTGCGCACCAACCGTGCAAACACGGAATCACCGATCGATATATCCGCTTTCTGGAGCTTATTTAGCTTTTCCAAGAGATCCTGGCATCCGTGGGCCCTGGCAGCCATTTCACGCAAGGGTTGTGATCCAATAGCCCGCACACCGAACATTTGCAAACCCCCAACGATCATATCAAATGTGAGCGCATGGGTAGCAAAAAGTCTTGCCGCGAACTCGTCTTTGGTAGGCTTATGCTTCAGCCAGCGTCCTCCCTTACCCTTGGGGTGTGAATCCTGCGGGGAAGCTTTTCCCGGGCCATTTGACACCGGCTGAGATTCGAATCGATGTCTGGCATACTCTTGAAGCCCCTTGAAGACACCCGGCGACTCATATTTCTCAGCGTAGTCAAGTAACGGCTGTATCTCTTCGAAATCTCTAGGATGATCCTGTCTTTCAGTGAGAAAGCCATGCATCAGAAGCGCGTCCATGGAATAACCATGTTTTAGCAAATTTGAAATGACAGGGCCATAGATGTGGTGACCATCTGTAGCCCGGCAGATATCCTGGAAAGCGCGCACACCTGGAGACATTCTCCTTCCCACGTTCCTATGGGGCACTATTAAACTGGTCGTGTCCGAAAGAGGGAAAGACGCCATAGCTAATTCGAGGACTCGTAGTATATCATTGGGATGGGCCAAGTGAGGGTTCTGAAGCGTTTTATGCCATTCCACAGCCTGCTGCAGCATACCGCGTTCAAGGAACCCTCCAACCACACTGTCGTAGAACCCACCCCATCGGTTGCCAGTCGCTTCCCACAGCTCCAACGCATAGTCTGCGAGATCTTTCAAAAAAGAATCCTTCTTGAGACCTGCACTAATGAAGCTGCGCCAGAAGAAATCTGCGCGTTCTCCGATTACTGGGAGCAGTACACTATCCATTCGGATCGTCAGGCCTTTCCAAATCTCCAATGTGCCTTCGTCACCATAATGTCGCTGTCGATAACGAAGTAGTACCTCCCAAAGCGCAAAGTTAAGCCTATAAGACGGCTGATCCACTAATCGAGTTCCTAGGTCGTCTGTATGACCAACATCTGACTCGAATTCCAATTTCTCCGGCTGTAGTTTCAGAAGCTTTGTAAAATCGTCAAGACCGACATCGCTCGCATTGCTCCATGGAGGCTCTATTTCGTGAATTCGGAAACTCTTTGTCCTCGCCCGGCGTTGGCGGGCAGGAGTTTCATCGTCAACGAGTTCCGGCTGGGTCTGGCAAAGCCCCGTATTTTGTTGGACGCTTCGCGATTGACATCGTAGACATTTATATCTCGACTCCAATTGCTCAATCCCAGACGGCGTTGATACCAGACAGTCGAGAATCGAGACGGCGGATGGTCTCCTCAGCAGTCGAAGAAGAGCCGGACGCATGAGTCGTGAGGATATAGGGACAGGGGAAAAGCGATTCGGGCGTGAATCATCTTCGACCTTCAATCGCTTCAGAAATGATGTGAAAGCTTCCCATCTGGCTGCGAGGGGGAATGAATGGAGGGTGCGCCTGTCTTCTCGACAATAATGTCTTTCGAACTCCGGTTTTATATGCGATCCCGCGCCATTCCTATCTCGGTTAACGGGGAATGCAGTCACATGATCCACACGTGATGGTGATTAGTAAGTACGGTGAGCTGATGGGCGGAAAGACAAGGAAACGAAACCGGCCGGAGGATCAACATCTGGATTCGACTTCGCTTCACTCTCCCCTCATTGCTTCCTCCCACCACCTCGCATCGCCTCTCTTCGCGTTCATCATTCGAAAAAATGGTTTCCCGCACTATTCCCCGCCTGGCCGGGTATGTGATTTCTCCTTCCTCCGTTCCATGATCCCCAGCAGAAGCTTCGGAAGGCCGCACCCTCGGGTGACGTTGGACGTTCGTCAATTTATATGTTCAACCTCTACCAATTGATGCCTCTGGAGCATCTGTGATTCGGTTTAATTGCGAAGTTTGCTAATCTATTAATTCGATATTGTGCAGATTCGTGTTCCGTGAGAACCGCGTCCCTTACTACCAGCGCCTGTACCAGCGTCACGACGGCACTCGCCTATGGTGGAAAGTCAGTTACCCCAGCGGCCAATTCGTCTAGATTTTGGATTTGCAACATAGCAGGGCTCTAACTTCTTTCGATACTGTTTTCCAGTCCCCCCGTAGCGGCTTCGTTCTGTACCCCTACTTCATCTCGGTTTATGGCCTGGGCGCTGGTGAGTGTTGTCTTTGCGGGATAGCTTGTCTTTGCGATCCAAATGCTGACAATTTATAGCTACTCTATATGCCATGTGCCGTATGGTTCTTGTTCGTATCATCCTAATCCCCTCCCGAAACTCCTCATTCTAAGAGCGGTTTCCACGGACATCTTGCTAATTTCTCAATAGGGCCACAAGACCTGGTTCGGCAAGGAGTAGATGGGGTAATTTAGCAGCACCATACCTGCTTTGAATTGAGGAAAGGGCGCCTGTTGGTTTTATTGATGGCGTTTCTGTTTCTCGGACGTGTTGAACAGCAGGTGATCAGGGGTTGTATATAAGATGTAACCAGGTGGCCAATGGGAATTTCTGGTTTTGAATTTCGTTGCTTGAGCTGTGCAAGAATAAGTTACGACAAAATGTGACTGGCCAAGTACTATCGTGAGCCCTTCATGGTTGCGTTGAGTCATTTCATCCAGATAACTACCAGATGGCGGGTTGATCACTGCAGGGTTCCGCCTTTTCAGAGACTCTTCGTTACTGGTCCATAAAGAACAAGTGCAGAGAGCGGACGAAGGCCCATTTCTATGTGTCTAGTAAGGTCAAATAGGCGCTAGTAGGCCTATGGCTCATCCTGGGCTTGATACCAGATCTTTGCATGAAACTGTAGAAATTAGTGCTGATGATAAATCGACAATACTTACAACATTCTCACAGCTTGTCGAATTAGGCTGCATCCCTGAGGAATAAGGGGAAGCGAAGGAGAAAATCATAAGGGATTGTTATGCATCAAAAAATGAATTGGCGATGAGAGTTGGTGGCTTAGTCAGCCTTAGATAGCAACTGGGGAAGCGTAAACGTCCATGCCCAAAAACCCCGAACGCATCTGTGAATTTCGATAATTATGCTAGATTGATTTATACTGCACGATAGATGCATGGCTAGCTGATTTTAACAGCGTCACTTGCTTACCGGAGCCTCAAGCTTGTACGAAAAGGATGTCCATTTTGGTCGACTTGTGTCCTGACTGACTGTTTTCAGAATGTGTACATTCAGCTATTTGGAACTATTCTTTACTGCTATATCTCACAATGAACAATGGTATATCTTCTGGAAGGCCGGCAAAACGTGTACGGCAGGCTTGTGAGCCATGCAGGTTGGTCGTTCCATTGCTTCTTCGTCCCTAAGTCCTCTTTTTGTTCTACTCCACCATGTAATGCCAAGCCAGTTTACTTACTAGATCTACAGGCGCAAAAAGGCCAAATGCCCCGGGGAGCAGCCTGTCTGCTCATTGTGTGCTCGTCTCCGACAGGAATGCGTGTATGCCAGGGAAAGGCGAAGCACCCCTTCAGAACGACCACCTCCCGCCGCAGAGACAGCTTCCACGGAAATTTCTCAGGAGACTCGGCTCCCACGAGTGCTAGTATAGTCCCTTTACTAAGTATCTTTTTAGGAAAGATTATTTATACTGACATGTATTCTACAGGAGGATCGACTGGGGGTTCTGGAGACTAAGATGGAGGAAATCCTCGAAGCAGTGCGTATGCCCAACTTCTCCAATTCGACTAGATGAATGCTGATTAAACTAAAAGGTATCTAGGCGTAATAATGAAGATGACGAGCGACGTATGATAGCCGACTCACTTCTGCCAACGATGCTGGGCGGCCCGGTAGCCTCAACGACGCCGACATCACTCACTCCACTTCCTCCCTGGGAGAAAGTACTTGCAATAGGTGAACTGTATTTGCTTTATTGCGAGTCCCAGCCGCTTCCTCTCTTCCACAGAGAGACCTTTCTCAGAAGTCTTCAGGGCCGTGACCTCGAAGTTATCTATGCAATGCTTGCATTGGGCATCCGTTTCTCTGAGGAGTCATATCGAGATACTGATGACCTCGCGAACCGTTCCAATAGCTATGCGGAGACAGCCCGAAATTTAGTTATGAGAAGGATTTCAGAAGGACCAGTTGAACTCTCGACACTCCAATGCCTATGCCTCCTAAGTCTGGTCGATTTCACTAGTAAGAGACCCCCTGAAAGCTCATTGATCTGCAGCTAAATCGGTTTCATAGACGGAAATACGCATCGATCGAGTATACATGGTAGTCTCGCTATGAACCTTGCTCAGTGTGCCAATCTCGGCTCGGAAACGCGCGCTGTAATGACTCCAGTGGCGCTCGAAGAACGCCGGCGTTGTTTCTGGAGCATTTGTCTTCTGAAACGCCTCCACGGTGAAGATTATAACCTAGCAGATTTTTCCGACGTGGAATATCCTCCTTTTCCGGAGAGCCCCAGCCGGCCTCCGCGGAACAGTTCACCAGAAGGCGCGGCTGATGAGACCCGCTCAACCGGTGCTCATGATCTGGGAATCCTTGGCTACGTGATCATGCTAAGTGAGGTATTTGCAAAGACTGCGAGATATGTCCGCTTTCATGGGAAGCCAAGTAATATCCCGCCGTGGTCTTCAGAATCAGAATACTCCAAGATTATAGCTCTTCAAATGGACCATGAAACACAAATGCCCTACACTCATCGGTTCAAGCCCGCCAATTTGGGTGATAGAACTCTCGAGGAACTCCAAGCCAACAGACAGTACTGGGGACCGTGGTTTCTCAACCAGTTCCTGTACCACACCATCCTATGCCTCCTGAACCATCCCTTGCTTCTATCGCTAAGCCTCCGCAATTTTCGAAACACTATACCCGAAATCTTCCTCCAACACACGTCGGATCTCATCTCTTCCCATACAACGTGGATTATTCATTTTATCGACTATTTTGAAGAGAAATCTTTCCCAGTATCTGATCCACTACTAGGCTACAGTGCGGCAGTCGTAGCTACAATTGAACTACAGTTGAGCTTCACAGAAGATCCCAAGATCCGGGAGGAAAAGCGAGGTCGGTTCTCGAAGTGTGTCAAATTTGTAAGAGCAATGGGCACGAAATGGCCTCACATGGCACGATTGGTATGAACCACCACCTCAGGATGGAAAGAACCTCCATGCATGGATTCTTCGAGCTGACATACTGGATTAACTGTGCAGTCTGACAGGCTACAGAGGCTGGAAGGAGCGGTTTCAGCTACTTACCAACCCGATCCGCAAACGCGGAATAAAAGTCTTTTAATAGATCTTTCACGTTTCTGGGAGATCCTCGAGTATTCGTCAAACAGCGACGCGGATTCAGCTCGACGGCTGTTTGGTGATTCTCTTTATACCGGCCCACCAACATTGGCCGCCGAAATGTCACAAACGTCTCCTCTCCCAGAGCCAAGCAGGCTAAGCTTACAACAGGATCAGTCACAATCAGCATCACAGGACTACGGCCTTTCTTCCTCTCTTTCTGCCGGACCGGGACTCGAGTCGATTATTCCTCGGAGCCCGTTGGATCTGTCGGGCGATGAATTCTCTATTCTAGCTGCAAACTTCTTCTCTCAAGGCCAAGAATTTCTCCGAGGCTGTAATAATCTAGAAAGCTTTGGGAATTTCTGACAAAACAAGCAAGAAATCGCTAATTTAATTGAAGTCAAAAAGCCTTTCGGTTTAGTGGAATATATTCAACTTGAAAAGAGAAAAGGGGAGAAAGGAAATGGAAGCAAATGATGCTCCAAGTTAAGATGCTAGAGCAGCCTTGAACTCCTCCACAAAATTCAAAACCTCAGTGAAGGTGTTGTATAAGGGTGCCGGCGCTACACGAACGACATCTGGCTCCCGCTTGTCGCACACAATTGCTGCATCCTGCAGCCTTTGGGATACCTTGCCCAGGTAACCGGGTTTCAGTAGGAGACTCAGCTGAGCGCCGCGGAAGTTTGGATTGGACGGAGTGATGATCTGGAATGGTCGCGTCTCGTCAGATGTATCTTTCAGTAACAAATGCTCCAGATATGCTGTGATAAGGACTGATTTCTTGCGAATCTCTGCGATGGATGTCTCGTCAAACACAGACAGGGCTGCACAGAGAGCAGTCAGATCAATGGCTGAGGGATTCGATAATTGAAAACCGCCTGCTCCAGGAATTGGCTTGAACTCTGCCGCCGGACATATCAGCTTTGTTCGTTAAACTTGCACATCCGAATATGCAATACTTACTATTGTCCATCTTGAATCTCACACTCCGATCTCCAGCGTACCATCCAGTCAAACGATGTCGGAATTTGGGTGCATCCTCTCCTTCACTGTAATCCACGACGCCGTGCCTTTCGTGCACAAAAATTCCCCCAATTGCCCCCGGGCCTGCATTTCCATATTTATATGTACACCAGGCTGCAAAGTCCACATTCCAGTCATGCAATTTCACATCGACATTAGCATACGCATGAGCCAAATCCCACCCGACAACAAGATTACGGGAGTGGGCATGCTCTGTGATCTTCGGCATATCAAACCATTGTCCAGTATAGTATTGGATACCAGGGAGAAGAATTAGTGCCGCATCCTCGGCATGCTGATCAATATAGGAGAGGATCTTCTGTGTGGAGATCTCATAGTCTCCCTCATCTGGGCCGATAAGCACCATGGATTGCTTGGGATCGAAGCCGTGCCAGGCGATATGAGACTCAATCGCGTACTACCACTCGTCAGAATTTGGCTTAGCAGAAATTGAATTCATGGGCCCTACATGATCGCTGGGGAAGGCCTTCCAGTCCATGAGGATTTTATGTCTGGTGGCAGTCGGCTTATAGAAGCTGGCAAGCAGTATATGGAGATTCGCCGTTAAGGTCCCCATTGCCGCAACCTCCTCTGGAGCTGCTCCAACAAGCTTCGACATAGAAGCAGCTGCTTGTTCCGATAGCAATTGCCATTGTCTAAGCGGAGAGTCTTCAAGGTCTGTGAAGTGACCGGCAACGCCAATCGACGACCACGTGTCGAGCTGGGCTTCTATATACTTCACCGTGGCTTTTGGCTGGATACCAAGAGAATTTCCACAGAAATATATACATGGTTCAGGTGAAAGACCTAGCGTCTCTCGTTAGTGATCTTCAGCGATTAGATTGTTCCGAGGATGTCTCTTTACCTGGTTTTGCCAGCTTCTTGGAAGCTATATTGGCCTTGGACGGGATAATGAACTTATCACGAAACGCTCTAAGAGGATCTGCAGCATCGAGAGATGCTGCATATTCCTTGGTTGCTGCATTTTCTGGGAAAGTGGGTTTGGTTTGGAGACTGCTGGCCATGGCTTGTGTTTGTTCCCGGAGTTTCTCGGTGACTTTACCCTAACTTGGAAGTCCACAGTATCCGAAGTTAATGTCAGCAGAGAATGAAAGGGAGCCAAAGCTGCGATAATACATTCTTTTTATAATCATGTCACAGGTCCTGCGGGATTGCAATTTGGATTGCGGGTTGTCTTCCGCTTCCGCTTCCGGATCCGTGAAGGTACCGTTTATAATATTGGCAATTCCAGGAAGAGGTATGAAAAACATGTCCTCTCTCTGTGAATAATAATCTGTATTGATATTTGCCTATAGTCTGTGTTATTCAAAGGCAGGCCAGCAAGTTCTGTGATCTGTTCCGCCTTACGTGAAAGGGATTTGACTCCAGACAACCGTTCAATTATCTTTCGGCGCTGGAGGTTCTTAGTACGGCATAACGATATTATTTTTTTTTTTTTTGCTGCTTTATTTGCGTCTCCTACTGGGTACCGAACTAGTTCTGCAAGACGTCAATTCTCGCTACCCCGGCTTGCTGTTTGGCTTGGCTTTTCCTCACGTCAATCGTCTATATTGAGCCAACACGCGGCTTTGGATCAATTACGATTGATATCCTTGTTAAACGTTTATTTACTGATCCTGGATTGTCTGCAGAGCTGTTGGCCTTATAAGTATGTTTTTCTTCCAACCCGAGTTGAAGCCACATAGCCCTCGAAAGAAGCCCTAACTTGGAGCTAGTTCACCATGTTGCATACTCTAGATTTTGATCATGAAATCTCCCTCCACAATGGATTCTTGCCAGACACCATTCCTTTAAGGCAGCTCCCAGAGTATTATCTACCCTGGGAAGATATCGTCTCGGACCTCCCAACTCATATCCGCGATGGAAGCATAAGGGAAAATGTCGATAAGCTTCCCATTCTTTCGGTGGAAAATCTTCGGGAGGAAGAGGAGTGGAGGAGGGCCTACGTTGTGCTTGCATTTCTCATGCATGCTTACATTTGGGGAGGCAAGACGCCGAAAGATGTAAGACATCAATTATAGCCCCATTCTTCATTTATTTATTTGGTTCCATATTGCTAACTTTCTCTTTGCTTTTTAGGTATTACCACCGGCTATTGTACGCCCTATCCTCGAAGTATCATCTCATTTAGAAATACCTCCCTGTGCCACGTATGCTGCAGTCTGCCTTTGGAATTTCACAGCAGCTTCCTCCTCCGAAGAGGTCGATATGACCGATCCGGATAATATCTCGACAGCCATCTCTTTCACGGGGACAAAGGATGAAGAATGGTTTTTCGTGATTTCAGTCTCGCTTGAAGCCAAGGGTGGACAAGTGACCAGATTGATGCACAATGCCATTGACGCCGCCAATGCTAACAATTCTTCGCTTTTTATCGCTCTCCTCAACGAGTTTACCAATGTCCTTCGAGACCTCGGTCGTACTCTAGAGAGAATGAGCGAGAAATGCTCACCACACGTGTTCTTCCATCAGCTGCGGCCGTTTCTGGCGGGCAGCAAGAACATGGCCGCTGCTGGGCTCCCCCATGGCGTCTTCTACGACAAAGGCAATGGCGAGGGCGAGTGGCGCCAATACAGCGGCGGCAGCAATGGACAGAGCTCGTTGATTCAAGCGTTTGATGCCTTCTTGGGTATTGAACATTCGGCAACCGGGGGGCTGAAGCCAAACAAGACATCGGCTTCGTGCTCATACTTGAAGGTTTGCCATTTGCCCGCACAGCATTAAGTATTATTGAAGAGAGGGCCAGTTTGCTGAGGAAAAAAATAGGATATGCGTAATTACATGCCCGGTCCTCATCGACGATTCTTGGAGCATCTGGGCAGACAATGCAACATCCGCGCGTACGCCATGGATCACAAAACGGACTCACCTGTACGAGACGCGTACAATGCAGCCGTCATGGCGCTGAGTTCGTTCCGGGATATCCATCTCCGGCTGGTTTCACGGTATATCATCCTTGCGGCAAGGAAGCAAGCAGACGCCACCGAGCAGCCTGGACAAGTTAACCTTGCGACAGCGACGTCTCGTGGATCGAAAGAGAGCTTCAACGGGACGGGCGGTACGGATTTGATTCCGTTTTTGAAGGAGACTCGGGATACCACTAAGGCAGCAGCACAGTATGGGGATTGAACTTGTCTATTATTCTCTGAGATTTGTATATATCATGTTTGAATAATGACCTTTTGCTTATAATTGCAAGCACGTCTTCCGCACATCCGGCCGGAAGCGGAAGCGGAGGTTTACTGTTGGTCTTAGCCCTATCTGCAGCAGATGGGGACGGAGACGGAGACGGAGACGGATACATGGTTATGTTTTGGCAGATGGGATAAGAAGATAGAGTCAATCGGGTTCAATTATATTGACTGCATGTCATATTTGCAGAGGTATCGTGGTGAATCGTATATAGATAGATACCATTCTTCTCACTCACGCCCGCATTAAATCCACCACCTTTCCACTACGGCTGGGCATTAGAAGAGGTCCCAATGGACCCTGCAGAATAAAGACGGACGCTGATTGTTTTGATATTTTTTATATACTTGCCATTCTCCAATCCAAGAGGTCTGTTATACCCCAATTCATCAGTGGAGCAATCCGTCCAAAGGGAACACCAGGGGAACGCCAGTCTCACTCTCATTTCCCATGTATCCTGGGAGCGTTGAACAGGTCCCTCAAGAGTTCCTCCGTTGAAATAACCAGAGAGGGTCCTGAATGTTTCTGTCTCCAAGTCGTCCTTGTTGAGGCAGGCCAGGTTCGTTCCCACCGAGCACATCACAGCTACAGTGCTGTAGCCCTATGGTGCAAGAAGCATAAAGAATCCCTTCCCTTGATACGCTATGATGAGATTAGATGGTGCTAATGCGTAGCTTGCTGTGGCACAGGCAATTCTCGTTGGAGACGAGGACATACATGAGAATGTACTCAAACGCTCTCCAGAGCTTCAATGGATACTCCAACACGGAACAAGAGATCGACAAGAGAAAGTGAAGTGTACGGTGATCGTGATTGTCTCTCTTATTTGATGTCGCAAGCGATGGGGAATATGCGAAATTGTTCTCGCTTCCCAATGCGGAAAAAGACGATTGCAGCAACGTACACCACTTTCAACGAGAACTATTCGCATATGTTCAACCCGTATTCTGGCAGAACTCGGGATGCAGGACCAATTGCATTATTATTACCTGCATGGAAGACTCCGCTGGCCCGAATAATAATTATAATTATAGTTATAACTATAGTTATAAGTGATGATAACATCCCATCCACAATGCACGCAATCCTGAGGGAGAGCCATTCTGCCGCATCGTCACACCATGGCCCCTCGCGAAGATCCATCATGATGGAGGGGTTGGAAGCAATGGAGCTCCCTCTCGCTGTCTGATGTGATGCTTAAATTCCGCGGTTCCCCTGGTGCCTGGTGTTCTCGCAGCAGACATACAATACATCTTCTCCATCTCCTGTCTACGTCCACGTCCGTCCGCGTCCACGCAACGGCACAAACAATGACCGGCGAAAAGTATCATGACGCTCTAGTCGTCGGAACTGGATTCGGCGGCTTGTACCAGCTCCACCTGCTCAAGCAGCTCGGGCTAGATGTCAAGGCTGTCGACGGAGCCGGCGATGTGGGAGGCACCTGGTACTGGAATCGCTATCCTGGCGCGAGAACGGACGTCGAGAGCTACGTCTACCGTTATTCCTGGGACAAGCAACTGCTGGAGGATGCTCCGTGGAAGCACAACTACGCCGTCCAGCCTGAACTGCAAGCCTACTTCCAGGAAGTCGCGCGCAAGCATGACCTGTACCCGCATATCCAGTTCAACACGGAGGTGCAAGCGGCCACATGGGACGATGAGAAGAATCTGTGGCACGTCAAGCTCAGCACTGGCGAGACACTCACCGTGCGCTACATCGTCGCTGCCGTCGGCATCCTGCATAAGAAGCATCTACCTGATATCCCCGGTCTGGATACCTTCAAGGGACAGGTTACGCACAGCGCGGCATGGAAACCGGAGATCCAGTGGGAGAACAAACGCGTCGCCGTCATCGGCAGCGGTGCCTCGGGCGTGCAGCTGGTGAGCGCACTGAGCGAAACGGCCCAGACGCTCACGCACTTCATCCGACACGCGCAATATGTCATCCCGACTGCCTTCCGCGAGATCAGCCCCGAGGAGCGCAAGCTGATCAACGAGCGGTACGAGAAGACGTGGCATCAGGTCTTCACGTCGACCGTGGGCATGGGCTTTCCCGAGCCCAACAGACCGGCCTTCTCCGTCTCCCCCGAAGACAGAGAGACCATCTTCCAGGACCTCTGGGAACAAGGCAGTGGCTTCCGCTTCCTGTTCGGCGGCTTCTCGGACCTGGTCACGGACGCAGACGCGAACCGGGAAGCCATCAAGTTCATCCACAGAAAGATCAGGGAAACCGTCAAGGATCCCAAGAAGGCGGAGGTTCTCATCTCATCCGACTTCTTCGCCCGCCGTCCACTGACGGACGACAAGTACTACGAGCGGTTTAATCAGGATAACGTGCTCGCGGTGGATCTGAAGAAGACACCCATCGAGGCCATCACTCCGGACGGCATTAAGACCTCCGATGGCACCGTGCATCCCGTGGACCTGATTGTCTTCGCAACCGGATTCGACGCCATTGACGGCAGCTACTACCGCATCGATTTCAAGGGACGAGGCGGGAAGGGCCTAAAGGAACACTGGGCCGAAGGACCCCGAGCGCACCTGGGCGCGACGACGTCCAGTTTTCCCAATCTGTTCTTCGTCAACGGACCCGGGGCGCCGTTCGCGAATAACCCTCCCATCGCCGAAGAGGGGGCTCGATTCGCAGCGGGCCTGATCGCACACACGGAGGACCTTCGCAAGAAGGGTACCGGTCACGGAGTCGTCGAGAGCACGAAGGAATCGGATGACGAGTGGCAGGATCAATTGGACAAGGTTGCCGATGCCACGCTCTTCTCGAAGACGCCTTCGTGGTTCTTTGGAGAGAATATCCCGGGCAAGAAGGTGGCTGCGAGGTTCTTTTTCGGTGGTTTGGGTAGATTCCGTGCTGCTCTTGCGGATTCCAAAGCCAATGGATACCCTGGGTTTCATTTTGGATAGATGGGGTGGGGGCAGGTTGCTGTTATACAGGATTGTTATATGCTATGAAATACCGATGCATGAATATTTCTTTTGATATCCCGGATGTTAGCCGATAGGTCCATGATTTGCAATGCGTGCTTCTTGATGAACGAATACCAGAATAATAACACTAGATGCCGCGGATCTCTTTTTCAAGGAAAGAAAGAAAGAAAAAGTGGTATCACTGTGATAGGAGAGACATCGGGATGATGAAGCCTTCACCACTGCAGGATCCCCCCCTTCACCACCGATGCAACAAGCCGTCATTGCGTGATCAGCAGGATATTGGCGTCATGATCATTCTCGTTATCAAGCTGCAGGCTGATAAATCAGGATGGCGGGGGTAGAGAGTGGGAGATGTATAAAGCCCTGGTCCTCAGTCCTAGGACATCTACAAAGTATTCGTAGAGCAAACTGAAAGACAAGAAGAACCATGCCAGTCGAATTCATCAGCCTGACCTTCCCCAACGCCTCCAACGAGATCAACCCCATCCCCAATGCAGGCGTTGATCCGGAGTTTCTCGTCCGCTATGCCAGGAACCTGGACGACTACGCTTTCAACTACACGCTCGTCCCGTACGATTCGTCATCCTTCGACCCCTTCACGATCGGCGCGACCATCGCCTCGGTCACCAAGAACATCAAGGTGATCATCGCCCTGAGACCGAACACGCTGTACCCGACCGTCGCAGCAAAGGCCCTAGCGACGCTGGACCAGCTCAGCAAGGGCCGGGTCGTCGTGCACTTCATCGCCGGCGGCAGCGATGCGGAGCAAGCGAAAGAAGGTGACTTTCTCAACAAGGAAGAACGCTATGCGCGGCTGGAGGAGTACATCCGTATTCTCCGACGCGCATGGCAGTCCGCAGACCCCTTCGACTGGGAGGGGAAATATTACCGGTTCAAGCAGTTCAGCAACCGCGTGCGTCCGACGAACGGCACCATCCCCGTCTCCGTGGGGGGATCATCCGACGACGCATACCGCATTGGAGGCTCGTTGGCCGATATCTTCGGGCTCTGGGGCGAGCCGCTGAAGGAAACAAAGGAGCAGATCGACCGGATCTACGCAGAGGCCGCGAAGGCAGGACGGTCGGAGTCAGACCGTCCCCGGATCTGGGTGACGTTTCGGCCCATCATCGCGGAGACGGATGAGCTCGCCTGGGCCAAGGCGCATCGGACGCTAGATGCGCTAAGGGAAAACCGGGCCGCGGCGCAGGGCAAGGCACCGGCTGATGCTCCGCCGCCGCAGAATGTCGGGTCGCAGCGGTTGCTGGCCATTGCTGCGCGCGGGGAGGTGCAGGATCGCGCGCTGTGGTATCCGACGGTGACGGCGACGAACGCTCGCGGGGCGTCGACAGCGCTGGTCGGGGCGCCGCAGACCATTGCGGATTCGATTCTGGATTATGTCGATCTGGGGGCGGAGCTGATTTCCATCCGGGGATATGATAACCTCAACGACGCGATTGATTACGGGCGTTATGTGCTGCCCCGGGTGAGAGAGGCATTGCGAGAGAGAGAAGCGACGCCGGCATGATCGGGTTAGAATAGACAAGGAGACAAAAGAGACAAAAGAGTCAAAGGGGACAAAGGAGACAAAGGAGACAAAAGAGTCAAAGGAGACAAAGAGACAAAGGAGACAAAAGAAACAAACAGACAAACAGACAAACAGACATTCAAAGTAGAGGCACTTTCTCTGGAGTAGCTACTTGCAACAATAGCCAGAACAATAACGCCTCAAACCTAGATATTGGCAAATAAAGCACAATCCCAATCCAATACATCGTCCGATCTTATTGTGATTACCGGACTCCTGCCAGTCACGGCGAGTACACTTATCTGTGGCTTTAGGGCTTCCCCCTTTTCTGCCTGGCGCACCACAATCCTTGCGTTCGTCGGGCGCCATCTGTTTTCTTCTTCCCGAACTGCTCCCAGGTTTATCCTTCGTTCTCTGTCTGCCTGTTCCTTCCGGTGATCGGGGCTGGTTTCGATGTGCAGGATTATCATCCACCGCGCTCTATACAGCATCATAGTTATTCCTTGCAGGTGGATTCCCCGTCTTTGCGCAGGCACGAGCACAGTCAGACAGTCCGTATGCCTTGGAGGACGAGTAGTCAGGCTGAGAAGAATTCAGAGTATCCTGCAGTAGTCGAAATTACAGCCGATTAACCTTCGCGTAGGCCCAAATACGATGATCATGATCTGCAACTTCACGACGGACACAACCCAAACAACACATTACCGTTTACACGAGCATCGAAGCTGATAAGACGTCCCGCAAGTAACCGCATGCATTCCCCATGATGCGGAGGATGTTCGCACATTCTTTCCTCGCATCACGCGTCTGACTGGCTGGGAGAAGCCAGGTCTACTGGTCCCGTCGAGCAGGCCTATGCTCTAGTCCAAACCTTCGTTGCTTGGCTTCTTATCTTTCTTTTGCAGATGCACGGAGGTGCCCTGGGTCAACGGGGGCTCTCCTGGGCTCGGAGCCCCCAGAGAGACCCCATCCCTGCCCGTATCGCAGCCAGTGCTGTCCGGAGAGTGATCGTCGAGGGCTTTCTTTCTTTCTAGAACGACGGGTGGGTGACGTCCAACTTCCAAACGCTGGAGTCTGGGACGTCAGAGAGACGCCCCTGGTCTCCCATAATTCAGCTGCGGTTATCGTTGTTACTCTACCGTTGCATCTGAAGAACGCCACTGTACGATTCGGACTGTCTGCCCGGTCTGTGCCACATCTCAGCCTGGTGTTGACTAGCATACCCTCTCTGCCTGTTATCGCATCAGTTGACGCATGGATGAAACCATCTCCAGCGTGCATGTATTATGTCCTCGATGTGTTCCATTGGCTGGATTGCCCTGTTGATAGTGAAGTCGTATATTCCTGGACCGTATGCATCAGTATTGAGGGCATCCAACGGGGATGATGGATCCCCCCCCCTGTCAGTCCGGAGTACCATTTTATTATATATGCATGCGGCTTGGCCTCGCGACATGCTCTGATTCTCGATCTACTGCCCTTGTCCTCTTCGTTTACCTTCCCCTCTGTGTTGTTGATCCGTACCACCAGCGGCAGTCCCGTCTCCAGATGGCCTCCACTGCCCATGCCTACGGGGCAGACCCGGAAGATATGACGGACAAAGCTATCTACATGACCAATGTCACTGGAGACACTGAGAAAGATGCTGTGTCGCCTGAATTCGAGGAGGCGGCCGAGTTTATGGAGGTCAGGGACTTGAAGCAGGGTCTTCAGCAACGGCATATTCAGATGATTGCCCTGGCTGGCACCATCGGAACCGGTCTTTTCTTGAGTTCTGGTAACGCGCTCGCCACCGGTGGTCCTTTGGGAGCGTTGTAAGTTTTTTTTTTTTTTTTTTCCCTCTTCTTCCGTGGAGGTAAAGAACCATGAGCGTTGACTACGCAGCTTGGGATATACTTTGACTGGGATCATCGTCGCTGGGGTCGTCCTATCGGTTGCTGAACTGAGGTTGGTTTCTTTCTTCCTCTTATATCCATGCTCGTCGACGCTCTAACCTGTGCAGCGCCCTGATTCCCCTCTCTGGAGGCGTCATCCGTCACGCTGAATACCTCGTCGATCCTGCCCTCTCCTTCGCCATCGGCTGGAACAAAGTCTACTCGGCTCTCGTCACCATCCCCGCCGAGATCACTGCTGCTGCTGTCATCGTTTCGTTCTGGAAGGAAATCAACAATGCCGTCTGGATCAGCGTGTTTGGGGCGTTGCTCTTTGCCGCCAATATGTTCCTCGTCCGGATCTACGGAGAGCTTGAATTCACCTTTGCCATCTTGAAGATCCTGCTCATTGTCGGCCAGAACATTATGGTCGGTACCACCGTCTCCGATATGTACGGGTATACCTTCACACTAGCTAACCAATTGCTCAGGCCTTGGTAATCACCTGCGGCGGCGGCCCGAACCATGAGACCTACGGCTTCCGATACTGGCGCCATCCAGGCCCCTTCGTGCAGTATCTTGGTATCGGCGGGTCCCTGGGTCGCTTCCTGGGTTTCTGGAGCACCTTTAACAATGCCGCGTATGCTTACGGTGGTATGGATGATATCACCGTCGTTGCATCCGAGACGAAGGCTCCCCGACGGAACATCCCCAAGGCCGCAAAGAGAATCTTTGTCCGGGTGCTTCTGTTCTACAGTGTCTCCATCTTCATGGTGACTCTCCTCGTGGCGTCCGACGACCAGGCATTGCTGGATCCCACAAAATCGGGAACTGCTGCGCAGTCGCCGTTTGTCATCGCGGCCGAGAGAGCAGGAATCCATGCCGTTCCGTCCATTATCAACGTGGTTGTTTTGACGAGTGCTTGGAGTGCGGGCAATGAAAGTATGTTGTTTGTTCCCTCCGGCGCCCATATAGTGATATAGGACATGTACAGAGCACTAACCATGGCTTCCATAGGTTTGCTCGGCGGCTCTCGAATCCTCTACGGCCTCGCCCAGCACGGCCATGCCCCCAGGTTCTTCCGCCGCACTAACCGCTTCTCCATCCCCTACGTCTGCGTCATGTTCGTCGGAATCTTCGTTTGTCTGGGCTACATGACGCTCAGCGACAGCGCCTCGACCGTCTTCACCTGGTTTCAGGACCTGGTGTCATCAGCCATCCTGATGGGCTGGACCATTATCTGCATCGTGTACCTGCGCTTCTACTACGCCATGAAGAAACAGGGCATTTCCCGTGATGAGCTGCCGTGGAAGTCGCCCTTCCAGCCGTATATGTGCTGGGCTTGTTTCTTCATGTTGGCTATTATTTTGTTGACGGGTGGCTATACTGTTTTTATCCATCATCAGTGAGTTCATCCACTCAAAAAAAAAAAAAAAAACCTTTGGGGGTATAGTACAGTGTATACTGACTTTATTAGTTGGGACTCTGAAACCTTTATCAGCGCCTACCTGGATCTCGTCATCGTTCCTGTCCTCTACGTCGGATACAAGATCGTCTACCGGACAAGGATTATCCCCCTGGACGAGGTTCCTGTGCGTCGGTTCATTGAGATTGCGAACCGTAACCCGGAGCCACCGGAGAAGCCGAAGAAGGGCCTGCACAAGCTCAACATTCTGTGGTCTTGATACTTGTTTGGCGTGGTGTTTGAATAGGTCGATCAGGAGTCTGATATGAGGAGAAAGTAGCAGAGGATGTACTCATTGTTTATTATATGAAACCAGCTTGCATATATGAAAATATTCCATTCGAATTTTTATTAATATTTTTGTTTGAAAAAAAAAAAGTACACGAAAATCAAGGAATGACTGTGAAACACTGGCTCGCAATACAATCGGTACAGAGGCACTTCGAAGGCATCGAAGTCATACACCCAAGTATCGTAGGACTTCCGGTCAAACACACAGTCCAGGGTGGCACCATTGTTCTTCCATAGAGGACGCAGAGGCCAAGCACAAAGATCCTGCTGCTCGCCCCTGTGCTCGCCCGGCATGATAGTTGCGTTTAGACGGTTCGGCTTGTTGCCCTTCGTAACCAACCCAGAGTCTCGAGGTTATTGCGAGGGAAAGGTCCGTTGGCATGGATACTGCTGGGGGCACAGTACTCAGCACCAGGAACCAGGTACAAACGCTTCCAGTCATTCAATAAAGGCCTTGGATCCCTCCCCAAAGGAGAGATCGCCGTACATGGTCTTGCGAACGCACTCGTGGTAGTGCAGCACCTCATCATCCTTGATTCCGTCGTGAGAGTAGGCCACGGTGACGTTGCAGTAGTCATAGCCGTAGACATTGTGCCAGTTGTTGGAGTCGAGTAAGCAATAAAGAATAAAAATGGGTAGGGGTAGAAACGAACGTGAATTGGTTCTCTGGAATTTCAACCAAGTCGGACCTTGCCACGGCGGCTTCATATATGTCTTCTCATAGCCATGCCAATCCTTGATATCAAGTCGAATACTTGTTCTGACGCATATTCTGTTGCTATTGACTGGGCCACTGGAAAAAGATTTAGCAGGAGTTATGAGAAGGACGCCTTTTATGATCGGATGTTGCGTGTCCGGCGACAGCAAGTAGGGCCTTCGGACCGTGGCCTGGGTCTCTTCAGGAGGTAGACAAGTAGATCATCGTCATCACCGTTTAGATTCCAGTTAACTCGGTTGCCTCAGCAGAGCTGTGGAGAGAGAAGCAACCGTATCGTGAGGACATCAAAGTGACAATATCCACTTCAGGTCTGTAGGAGATTTCCCGCAAGGCGTGCTCGCTCAGGAAAAGACGGATTTCCGGGCAGGGAGCATATAGGGAAAAGGTCCATTGTAACAGTAGAAGTAGCTCTGTTCATTGACAGACTTGTGGGGTTGGTAACCATGCTGAGGGTGCTCAAAGGTGTGGAAGAAGTGGAAGAAGTGGAAGAAGGGACATATTGAGAACACCAGTCTTCCACGCATAATCGTTCTTCCTTCAACAACTCTCCTCCAGAGAAGTCAGAAACAATGAAAAAGTTGCGTGCAGCCAGTAAGCACACTTCTAATCCAGTCGGTATGGTTAGAAACATCAAAACTAACTCAGATCAGGCAAAACCGACCAGCGCTGCATCACGCGCCACGCTCTCGGCTGGTATCGAGCCCTGGTTATCACAGGCCTTTACACCCAGCAGCCAGGCGAGAGCACCAGCAGCAATACATTCGACACCTTCAATGTCGATTCTTACATTCCCATTCTGAAATCCTGCGTCGCGACCTATCCCATCCTCAGCGCCGCTATCAGGAATGAAGGCAGCCAGAACCCGGAATTCGTCAGACCCGACCATTTGGATTTGCGGAAGCATATTGCCATCGCCCAGCCAGGGCCCGTCGATTCTGGGGATGGGAATGAGGATTATGAATTGGCGCTCTTGAAGCGGGTGACGTTGACAACACACGATGAGATGTTTCGTGATGTCGGCACCGTTCCACCGTGGAGGGTTGTTATCCTGCCTGTCCCTCCTTCAGATCACTCAAGGGGACAGCGAGTCTACATCCTATTCGCCTACTCCCATTCTCACGGTGACGGACGATCAGGTCTTAATTTCCATAAAACATTCCTGGAAGGACTGGATTCAGAGCATGGTCATGATCATGATCCCATGTACAAAACCACCAATCTGCCCCCCTCCCCCACCATTGGAAGAAGTATGCAACCTGCGAATCTCCTGGTCATTCCTCCTCGCCGTCTTGATGGGTCCATACCTCCCGGATCGCCTCCGTGACTGGCTGGGCTTACGCGGTTTACTTGCTCATCCTACGCCGGATACATGGCTCGGCACGCCGATGAGGTACGAGGAGGACGATTTCCGTACCGCGTCTGAAATACTCATCTTACCGAAGGAAACAGTCGAGGGCGTCCTCGTTGCTTGTCGGGCTCACGGGGCCAAATTCACTGGTCTGCTGAATCATGTTATTGTGCATGTGTTGAGTCGGGTCTTGCCGTTTTCTGGGAGCTTCATTGGGAATATCGTGGTTGATCTTCGACATCTTGTGAAGGGGTATACGGAAGATGATATGGTTAATGCTGTATCGTCTGTTCTTGAGGTTTCTGCTCGTGTTGACTCATCCTACGACGATGATGGTGCACATATAAAACAACATGAAGCAATGTGGACCGCCGCGCGCAAAACAACCACCCACCTCGCTGCTCGCGCAAACACGACATCAGGCCAACCCATTGGCCTTATCAAGTACGTCTCTAATATCCGCGACTGGTATACAGGTCAACTGGGGAAGGACCGCAGCTCGTCGTATGAGATCAGCAATCTTGTCAGTTTCGATCCGAGGAGAGGCAGCACCCAGCAGAAGAAGACGGCGTGGGATATCGAACGAGTCTTCTTCTCCCAACCAGCTAATGTTACAGGGTGTCCGTTGAATTTTCAAGTTGTGAGTAGGAAGGGGGGTGGTATGGTTATCACTATTAATTGGCAGGTTGGGGTTTTGGGGGTGGATGATGAGGATATTTTCGTTAAGGAGGTTGCTAAGGGAATCGAGCAGCTGCTTGCTGACATTGCGGTGGATTCGTCTAGCTAGGGTTTCTTTCGCTCATGAAGTGCACTCTTGATATAAGCTTGTTGATGCATATTTCCTCTAATGTCTAAGTGAGATATGAATCATCATGGAATCTACCTTGGAGACTCCGTGGATATGTGGTAAATAGAGCCAGAACATCATGCTGACCATGCGTTCATCGCCATCTCTGCAAGCCCTCTGTCGAGATCGATGATACGATGCTAGTAGTGCCACTCGTTCCACGCCATTAATACTGGGTGTGTATGTATACGCCTGTCCGCAGATAAACCGGCATATTCGAATGACGAGGTTAGGCAGACCCATTGATGGATTGCCATAGACAATTTCTTCCCAGGAGGAAATTGCAATTGTCTCCGCTTTGTCCTGAATTGTCCCGTTGGAGACAGATTTCCCGTATCCATCTTAAGACTGGAGATAATCCGTCAGATCTTGAATAACAGCCGTGGGAAGACCGTCGGCTTTTTCATCCTCCCAGGAGAGAAAAAATAGCTGCCAAGGAACAGCTGGCAGCTGCCGCCTGCTCATTTCTTCCTCGTTGGTGGAGGAAGGCCTTCACTTTCCCGCAACTCAGCCAACTTCTTCTCCCGCTGAATAAGCCGCTCTTTCTCTTCCTTGATCATCTGCTCAACTGTCTTATTCGCCTCCCTCAGCCGATCCAGTTCCTTATGCTCCGTCGTCCTGCTATAGGGATTCTTCGGCGTCTCTTCATACGGTATCTCCGCCGTCCTCCCCCCAACCTGCTGCTGAACCTGCTTAACATTCTTCCCACCCTTGCCCTTCTGCGTTGGTCCCGCCCCAGAACCGCCAGTTAGAAGATCGTAAAACTGTTCCATGGGCTCATTGAAAACTACCTCCTCGTAATTCTGACTAACCACCACATCCCTCCGTTCCTTTTTCCCTTCAATATCAGGCCCGTACGGGTGCAGTTTCAGACTATGCCACAGCGTCTGTGGTTTTTCCCCGGACTCCGGAACGAAGAAGAGCTTGATTTGGATTTCGAATTCTCCCCATCCCGTCTCGGCGACTTCAAAGGGCGGCTGGTCTCGTGTCCGTACGTTCTGCGCGTAGGTCTCGTGAAGCTTGAATTGCACTTTCTTTAGCCAGTAGGAGATGTCTTCGTCGTTGACCCCCTTGACGTATACGCGCCACTGATGCGTGTGGTCTGCGGGGATGCCTTCGGGTCTCTTTGCGGGATCGAAGGGTCGTGCTTCGCTGCCGAACACTGTGATGCGTTTGTTAGAAATTATGCATGCGGAAGAGGGAGCTGGATATTTGCGGACCAAATGGTCTGAACACTGACACGCCCTGTGTCACTGTTAGTCTCTTTTCTTGTTCTTGTTTTCAGGTCGGTACGCACCTTGACGCGCTTCGTGCCTGTCATGACGGGCATATTGCGCTGTTCAGTAAAATACCTGGTATATTTCTTTGATAAGCCCACCAAGGAAGGGTGAAACAGGGAATGGCTGGATGCTTTCCAGTGGACGTGGAGCATGCTTTTAATTAACTTCGAGCATTTGACAGCTGCAGAGGCTAGCACGTGACCGTGGATTGCATCGGAAGACTCTCGCCGGACTCGGCAGAGCTACAGACAGTAAATAGCTCTCGAGCTGTTCACCATGTCCCATTGCTCTCATCCAGCGAAATAACAGCTTCAATTTCATTCTCCTATCATATCCCCTCTGAAACAACACAAAATGGCTTCCAAGAAGCTAGTCGTTGCAGGCGGAGGCGGCTTCTTAGGTTCGTCACTACTACCAACTATCTATACATACGATCAAGAAGATAGATAGCTCACCATGTCGTGTGTCTGTGTCAGGAGCCAGAATCTGCAAACATGCTGCGGCCAGAGGCTGGTCCGTGACATCTCTAAGGTACCATTCTCGTTCCCTGATGTGATGCACTTCCATGCCCGAATACCCGTTACTTAATGCTTCGAATTTCTTCCCAGTCGATCCGGAGAACCGCAATGGGATCTCGTCACAGGTTCCCGCGAACGGCCCAGCTGGGCAAGCTCCGTTCAATGGACACGGGCGGATATCCTCAAGCCAGAGACCTATAAGCCATTTTTGGGCGGTGCCAGTGCCGTCGTTCATACCATGGGCATTCTGCTCGAGGCGGACTACAAGGGCATTGTGCAGGGGAGGGAATCTATTTTCAGCGGCTTGCAGAGGGCGTTCAGCTCGTCGAAGTTGGGAAGCCAGAATATTCGGCAGAGGAAGGAAGGGGAAGCGCTACGGCCGCAGGAGAAGGATGGGCAATTGACTTATGAGCTCATGAATAGAGATTCTGGTTCGTGCACGCCCAAAAATGAATTTATTATACCCAATAAGTGTATCATACCGCTCCGTAATTGCAGTGATGCTAACATGGTACTTGTGCTGGTTGAAAATAACAGCTATCGCATTGGCGCAAGAATCCTTCAACGAGAAAGTTCCGACCTTCGTATTCATCTCTGCCGCCAGCGGTGCGCCAATCCTTCCAAGCAGGTATATCACAACTAAAAGAGAAGCAGAATCGACCATCTCCGCCTTGCTACCAGAACTGCGGAGTATCTTTATTCGACCGGGTTTTATGTATGACTCGAGCAGGAAGCTCACGCTCCCGATCGCCTTGGGTGGTTTCCTAGGTCACGAAGCCAATTCTCTCCTTGGAAATAGACTCGGTTTCCTAGGGACCATGGTAGAGAAGCCACTGCAGGTTGATGTTGTCGGTCAGGCCGTGGTCGAGGCAATCGAGGACGAATCAACGCACGGGGCGGTCGGGCTAAATCAAATAGAAGCGCTGGCGACCAAAGCCTGGAGGAAGAGTATGCTCTGAATTGCTTTCTCGGCACCAAGTTATCGCTTTGGCTGTTCAAGGTGCTTGGTGATCATTAAAACAAAAGTTGTCCTACTGCACAGCAGTTTTGGACGCCCCCATTGTACCAATATCATATCATAGTTCCCCGCTCGAAGCTGTCACGAATCTCCGTAGTGTACTTTAAGAAGCAGAGTCAGTTTGAAAATAATCATGCATATGGACATTCGGGAAATCCAAGCACGTACTTTGTTATAAAAGCGGGCCAGCTTCTGGTTGAACTGCTTGTTCTTCTCGTTGATATAGGTGACGTCCGGATCTTCTTCACTACGGCGCTCCTTGCGTTTCTTCAGCCGAACTTCCTCGGCCTTTCTCAGATCTGCCACCAGCTTGTCGACAGCAGCCCGATCAGGCTTGTTCTCAGTGAACCCAACAGTGTCCGCGGTCGAATAGAACGTGCCATTCTTGTCCACGGCAATCATCTCTCCATCGTTGGTTTCAACGATTTCCAGGTCGCCGTTGGCAGCTGCCTTTTCGATAGCAGCCATCTTCTCTCTCTCATAGGCCTCCATATCCGGTTTCATCTCCCTTAGCTGCCTTTTGTATACTTTACGCGCATCCTGTGTATAATCCTGGAATGCAACATCATCGCGATGGCGCTGTTTCTTTTCCATGCGCTTATCCCATTTCTCAGACTCATCGATAGTCCAGTCCCATGCGCGTTTGCGTTCAAAGTCTTCACCAGCAGCTTCTGTATCGGCCTTTAAAAGGTTGTGGGAGGCGAATGCATGTTTGCGCGACAAAGTAGACATTAATGCTGGGTCGGTGGCTAGCCGTTGGGTTTCGGCTGCAGTTTCCTTCAAATTGCGCTTACTGGCATTTTTCTACCACAAGTGTCAGTCTGAATAGGTCCAAATGACGCCCAACTCTTTTTAATTCTATAGACGGACAAAAAAAGGAAACAGCTTACTGCTCGGGCTTGAAGAGCTTTGAATCTTTCTTGTCTCGCACGCGCCTTGGCCACAGCATCGTCCTCCTTAGACTCTGAGGTTGTTCCTGTCGAGGATTCTCCATGTTTAGGTTCTTCTGTAGAATCGACGGATCCGTCAACCTTTCTAGCCTGCTGGTCCTCGGGCTTGGGCGAGTTGTTGTTGTCGCCGCTGTCGTGACTGCCGGTAGAGTCCACAGTGGGCTCCTTTGACTTTTGTGGAGAAGGCATGGCTGTGAAGAGAAAGATATAATACTTGAATTCAAGCGATAGCCAACCAGTACCGAGCGAGTTGAAGTTGTAGGAGAGATAGTAGTGATATGTAGGATGTAGTAGTAGGAGGCTTTTGAGAAGAAAAGCCGAATGGGCTCACCGCCCTGGGAATAATTAACGTGTTTCTCCACTTGCACGTGTTTCTCCACTTGCCCCTTCGCATTGCGTCAGTAAGTATTATTATCTCCATATACCGATCTATATCCATCCACGGATATTATAGATATTATATTCGGAGCTCCCGTCGGTTTATCCCATCATTTTCATGATCCTCTGCAGCTTCCGATTACCCCTGGAACGATGGCTCCCTGCCCGGTGTGTTGTCTTACAATCGAGACGCCTTGTCTCGGCCAATGCCAGCGATTCGTACTCCAAGCCACTGCCTTCTGATGTAGTCCGGTTTCTGCTGGAAGAAACTACGCAACGAGATGAAGACAGAAGATTATGTCCTGAGGTCCGTGAGCATCTTCAGGGGCTTCTCCTTGCCGAGCCATCACGGAGGATTGATCTACAACTAATGGAGGCTCTCCGGCCAAACACGGCACCAAACCCTGAGCTTCTGTTGAAGAATCTCGACTGTATCCGCGATCTGGGTGATTTTCGAAGACTTGTTGAAAGGAATGTGAACGGGACTTGCGGTGCTGCGATTCTTCAGACAAATCATTGTGAGCTGTTGACGCAGATGCTGACCCGCTGCGAGCGCTTCCACTCCTATCGGGACATTCTTTCAACCTTGAATGGTCTTGTTGCAAGGCTGGGAAGATTAGGAGCGTATATCTCTCCAGGCCTTCACTACTTGGGCATGCATTATGCTTGTCTCTGCTTTTCAGCCTCTGCCCTCAAGTATCACCTGCAAGGCTATCGAAATGCCAAGGGCCAACGACTAAGCTATGAAGCTAGTATTTCCCTGGTTAAGGCTCTTCTCTCGACTCTTCAATCTATCAAATTTGAAAACTCCAACTATGACCCAAGCCCCATGTTCAATGTACTTATGGGGGAGAGAGCCAGCGTCCGGGGAGCTCCTCCTAGATTGCATGATTCTTTGATCTGGTCTGATAACTCAACAACGACTTCAATCGAAGTTTACCTTTTGCTCCTCGTGAAAATGGGAAATACAAATCGGGAGTCACTGGAGGAAGTATGGCGTCGATTCCTCGAGAGAGTCGCCTCTCAACCTTCAACTGTCGCTTTTCAGTCGGCCTATACCTGCATCCTAGCTATGACCGGTCGTTTCGAGGCCAGGAGCACTGTTTTATGGCTTAAGAAAGTATCAAAATTGGCAGGCAATATACTACCAGGAATTTCAAAGTTCCGGGACCTCAACTCTCTGGTTGCTGCTCCTGAGTTACACGATGCCCTTCCCTTTCTTGCCGGCCAAGAAGAGAGAAAGAGAATCTTTGTGAATCAACTAGAACATATGGAGAAAAGACTTGGCCTGCAATGGCAAGCGCTCAAATCAAGCCATTCCAGCATTTCTGACACCTTTGACATTGCTACTAATCAGCCCTTGCTGGCCATCGACGGCGAGAATTTCGGCTTTGACAGTCGTGAACGCTTGCTCACGGAAATCCGATATCTTGGTTGTTCGAAGTCCGCTACGGATCTGGGAACAATTGCCGACCTATTGAACGAACATGAAGGTAGCGAGATCCCTGTTGCAATACCAGGCGAAGCAAACGAGTGCACAGATTTTTCTTGGATCCCTCATTTATCTCCAATTGAGTTCGCGGGCTCGCAGTTACCTAAAAGACACAATACATCTGAGCCATGGTCACCATCCACTTTAGGCTTAATTCGTGCCCGACCTCTCCTCAACGGGGCCCCTCGAACCGGAGAGCGTACTTTGCACCTTATGCAGCTTGGATATCTTGTCACGAGACCCAAGAAAGCTCTCTGGCAAATTGACAAAAATCGCTCATGGCAGGAAACCGGGCATATCGTCGCTTGGGACCGTATCAGAGGTGAATTTGTCGGACTGTTCCTCGGAAAAGGTCGCGGGTTGGTTGATGTTGGTCTACGGCCGGAATCTTTTCATCCACCAGCTGGTCTCGGTATCATTGAGAAGATCAGGCTTCTTGAGGAACCAGAGATTACCCCGTCAACCATCAATGGGCTTGACATTGTCTCACCAGCGGCCAATGTTGAAAGGCATTATTTTGACGTGGACCCTGCAGAGCTGGTGTCATGATGGACACTATGCTGTTTCCAGACTCTTAATCATCAATCGTTTTCGATTGAACCAGCACTGCTACGTATTCACTGATAGTCAAACGGAGAAGCAGTAGTTAACAAATCTGTATAAGATCTTAGACGCTCTCAGACCCAAATTACAATGTCAAGATATGCCATATCCCATATTTGAATTTGCTTGATATATATTCTCTGTGGCTAAATGGATGAGATGAAAAACCGGACGGCTTGTCCCACCACTTGAAATCTTTGATTAAAAGTTTCTTATTAGGGGCTACACTGGGATCTGTTGTCTTTCTCTAGTTAGAGAGATCAATTGAGCACCAGGTACATAATCCTACCCAAAAGACTAATTCTACTGAAATATGCAAGTACGTCATATATATGAATTTTTGTATAGCATTGGATATCACTTACACACAAAAAGAATATGCAAATGCGAGAAAAAGGGAAGGCTAATAAATTCAACCGAATCGCATATTTTCCATCCCACCTTAAACTCCGCTTTCCCTAGCCTTTTCTTTTGGCTATTTTAGTTCCTTTCGACCTCTTTATTTCCGGTGCCAAAGAAGGATGCAAAACAGATATTAAATCAGGTATCCAACAATTTCACGGGAATCTTAGGCTCATAGCTCTCATCTTCCCATTTGTCCATTAACTCCTTCGCCTTGGCCCTCAGGCTGTCTTCTTGAAATGCCACTTGGAGAAGTTCAAATCCCTCAACCAAGTTGTCTTCACGTTCGCGGCAAAGAATGGCGTAAACAAAGGCCGCCTTAGGACAGTGGTTGAAGGCGGCCAGCTGGTACCAATTGTAGGCTAGCATGCTGTAGTGTTCTGGGGGATGGCATCGACCGAGGAGATGTAAGACGCGGTCCCGGAGATTGTTATAAATAGTTGTCAGGTTATTTTCTGTTGCATTTTCTGGCGGTGCGGGTGATGCTGGCCTCTTGGGCTGCTGTTGCCGTGCCTCTTTTCTCTTTGTTTTCTTCGTCTTCCCTGTATCCTCCGCATTCGGATTTGCCTGTGTTTCTTCTTGTACTGGCTTATCCTGTATTCTTTCTCCGCGCCTAGGGAAGCGTCCGTGGAAAGTAAGATAATAGAAATTAGCCAGTTTTCGACACGCTTCGACATTTCCCGCCCTGGCGGCTCGGCTCATGCATTCTTCGTACATTTCCAAGTCGCCTGCAAGTTTCCTGATTTGAGCATATCTTATCAACGCCTGGGGATCCTGGTAGTTCAACGCGGCGACCTTGACAATCTCATCCGTTGCACTATGGTCACCTAAGCTCTCCCTCAACCATGCGTAGACCTCCCAGGGTGGCGGGATTTGCCCGCCTAGTAAAATGTCATCCGCCGGACTGGGTGGAAGCCTCGTCGGATAAATCTCCTCCATCACCTTCTCGATTAGGGCCACACCTTCGGCAAACTGTCCACGCAAACCAAGTACTTTGGCCTGCAAAATAATCGCGCTGGGGAGTTCCTTCTCTATAGCTAGGTATTCGAGCCGTTTGAAGACAGGGTTCGATGGGGGCACAAAGGATTTTTGAACAGACAATGCTGCGATGTAGAGGAGTGCTGGCTCCGAGCCTGCTTCGGCAGCAGCCGTGGTGACCCAGGCCTGGAACTGGGGACCACCACCCATGACTGTGCCAATCTTCCAAACCGTCTCAACATCTGCATATATAAATTTTCGCGTAAGCCTTGCTGCATACACGAACACATGCGCTGGGGGACTACGGACGTACCTTTAGAAATAGACCTGATAGCTTGCGCAGAAGGTGGCACCGTATAAGCAGCCTGGAGCAACTTGCCCGATACCTCATAACATGTCTTAAGACTGAGATAACTTGGGAGATGGCCGGACCTTTTGGCATATCCGCAAATGAGTGGGAAATTCGTTTCAAGGTAAGCAAGGTGTTCATCCGGAGGGTGGGTCACTCTGGAAGTAAATCGACAGTCCTCCGTGAATATTTGCAGCATCATCCTGTTGTCTTGTATCCTCGCCGCACCAGGCGCACGCTTAGGCCTTCTCCTAGGCGTAGAGTAAAATACTCGATTATCCTTCCCATCGCTTGTGTGCGGAATAGTAGGAACGGGGTGGAGCACTGCGCGGGATGGTGATGAATGAGGATGCCATGACGGACATAGCTGTGGTCGGAGACATATTCGGAAGGGATGTAAGGGTCTCGGGAATGACATGAGAGTTGCGAGTGAGAGCAATGGAGGGAAGATGTTGAGGGTTGAAAAGATGAAGGTGGAGGAGTTGCGGCTGTCGGAGAAGAAAGTGGAGTTTCTCAGATCCGCCTCGCCTGCAAACTAGACACAGCACCACGCTCATAACAGATGCACTCCAGGCGACCCAAGCTCAAGATATTTATATTTGTCAATCTATGCGGTAGACTTGATGGGATAAGACCCTCTACATCAAATCGTCCATTTGAGAGATACTGTACAGTATGTGCATTTGCCGTCTGTTCCTTTTCACCTTCCCGAACTCTTCATCCACAGGCGAAATAAGAGACGGAGAGAAAAAAAAAAGACCGAGTTTAAAAAGGAAAAATTAGAAGAAGATCGAGAAGGTCGAAGAGAGAGGCAAATACAAAAAAGGCGGGTAAGGGAAACTCCAGTAGATGATATACAGCCAGTTCAGCCCAATCATACAAACACCCTAGTCCAAAGCAAGAAAAAGAGAAACAGACGAACAAGCAAGTTATTACTCCATAGTCGCCTTTCCGCCTAGACCCTTGAGGGTCTCAATGATCTTCTCCGCCTCGTCCTTGGGCACTGACTCCTTCAGGACCTTAGGCACGCTCTCCACGAACTTCTTGCTGTCGACCAGAGAAAGACCGAGCATGGACTTGACTTCCTTGATGATCTTCGCCTTGGCAGAGGCATCGATTGACTCCAATTTGATGTTGAAAAGAGTCTTCTCCTGTGCCGCGGGGGCGGCCTCCTCTTCCTCTGCAGCAGGAGCAGCGGCGGCTGAGCCGGCGCCACCGGCGGCCACGGCGAAGCCGCCAACAGGGAGGTCTGGGATGTTCAAGCGGGACTAGAAGAAAAACAAAGAGTGATGGCCATATTAGCCGAAGGAGAAGCAAGAATAGAGAGTGGTGGTATAATCAATGACCAACCTTCAAACTGGAGACCAATTCCGCGGTCTCTAGCAAGGTCAATTGGCTGACCTGGTCCACAATCTGCGTAATCTTAGGATTGGAAGAAGCAGCAGGCTCGGCTTCTGTAGATTGCCATCTCCGACTGGGTATCCGGAGCTGAGAAACGTATGCAGGAGAAGAAAGGCGCAGGTAAGAAGTCGACGGGCGAACGAGCTGTCGGCAGCATCGAGCTGCGGCCTGGGAAGAAACGGACATGTTGACTAGGAGGAGATGAGCCTGGACTGGGTGGGCAACCGGGACAGAGAAGGGCAGACACGAGGACGCAGGCAATTGGGACGCTGGTGGTTCTTCCAACTCAAAAAGAAACTCGCAGTCTCCAAAGTGTCGCCGGCCGGAAAATCCAAGCGGTCACGTGGTGACGTACGGTATGGTACGGTGCTCCGTACAGCGCTGGTAATTTATGTTACAGACTACCGGATAAGGCAATCATTAATAACTTCTTTTCTTCCTAGAATAGACAGACATACAGATAGATAGTATTACAGCTACATTCCCAAGGCGTATACACTCTTTCCCAAATCTCTCAGGCCCTGGCCCATGTTTTCTTTCATGAATATCATGTCTCTATCGTATTCCTAATACTTGCCGCGCTCCGATGTCCCCATCATCTTATTTAATCTTCATCCCAGTTGGGGTTAGGACCCGGTGGCTTCGGTCCACCCGCCTGTCGTGCAACGATGATCTGGTCGACACTCAGGACGGTTCGTGCAGCTTCACTGGCGAGTCGGATAGCCGAGTTCTTGGACGCCATCAGATCTAAAATACCCTCGTCTGCGGCATCGAGCGTGCCAGATGGTGATTCTCCTTCCAGGTCTACGCCTGTGGTCCAGTAAATTTCCTCTTCTTCTGACGCCGAGCCGCCATCCTCTTCGCCAGATTCACTCGAAGAGGAACCGGAGCTCTCCTTGGCGCGGTGATGTGCTGTGTAAAGGCGCGAAAGAACCTCGGTAGCATCCAACCCCGCTGACTCGGCCAGCGTCCGTGGGATCACCTCGAAGGCCTCTGCGTACTTGCGGATGGCATGTTGAGGCAATCCGGGGGTCTTGTCCGCAAAAGCCGTAATACGCTCGATAAGCTGAATCTCAGTAGCGCCTGCACCAGGAACAAGACGGGGGTCCTTGGTGATGGCCTTGACGACATTGACACCATCGTCAATGGCGCGTTCGACATCGTCTAGATGGTTCTGGGTTGCACCCCGCAGGACAATAGTGGCAGTCCGCGTGATGGTGTTACTGTCCTCCTGACGGAAAACGGTAACGCGGTCACCGCCGATTTCAGTGGTCTCAACCACGTCAATACTGCCCATCTCATCAGGCATTGGGGCTCCCAGGCGTGCAAGAGGAGTGGCGCCCACGACCCGGCAGAGCCGACGGAGCTCAAACTTGGAGAGGATCTTGATGACAAGGATGTTAAAGCGATTGAGATAGTGCTGGGCCAACTCGCCGACAGTAGAGCCAGCAACGACAACTCGAAGCCCAGAGTCATACAGCTCCTTGACAGCAGCCTCAAGACGTTCCTCCTCACCCTTGGTGAAGTCGAGCATCTCCTGCGCATTCTTCAGAAGCACAGTTCCCTTGGTCTCAGTCTGGGAGATATCGATCGGGCAGCTGAACACTCCGACCTTGGCTTTCCGCGCCTTCTTAATGGTTCCCTCTGGCTCCCTGCCGAAAACCATTCCCTTCACCACCCGGGACTGCTCCAGGCTACCACCCATGATTTTAACGACACGGACATTATCGACATTAAAGTTGGCAGGGTTTTTAGGCAAAACCGCAAGAACGGCCTCTGAGACCAACGAAGCCAAAAGATCTTCAGTCCCAGCCTGTTTACTAGCAACGACTGTCCGAATAGCCTTGCTAAGTTCCGTCTGAGAACGAAGTTCCTTCAAACGGTCCACCTCGAGATCTACTCACAATAACATGAGCATAGGTCAACACGGGCAGGATGGGGAATTTTCTGTTCCCCAAATATATATATATAGGAAAGTAAAAAGCAACGAACCTTCCAAAACCTTCATCGCGAAATTCTGAGCCTTCTCATACCCCTGAACAATATCACTCGTTTTCAACCCGATCCTCAACAACTCCTCGGCCTTCTTCAGCAGCTCGCCCGCCAGGATAATAACTAAGTTAGTTGCATCACCCATCTCAGCATCCTGCTGCTGGGAAGCCATAACCAGCAACTTGGCTGCGGGATGCACCACATCCAGTTCACGTAGAATAGTCGCCGCGTCAGATGTAAGAATCATCTTTTGAAGATGGTTGATGACGATCTTGTTGCGGCCATACGGACCTAGGGAGGTTTGAACGGTTTGCGAGATTGCGCGGCACGCTTCGATGTTACGGAGGACGGCACCATCTTCGGAATCAAGGCTGTTTTTTTGGATTTCTTTCATTAGAGCTTTTTGTTCTTCTCTGCTTTTTCCCCCCCTTTCTGAACCCCTCTTCAACGGGTGGGACAGATGGCGTGCCATACCTTTGATATCCGGGTTTGAAAAGATTCCCCTGTGAGGGTGCAGGAATAGACAACGACATTTTGAAAAGGAAATTATTTCCCGCCTCAAAAAACTCAAGGTGGAAATAAAAGACAGGGTGAGGCAGAGAGAAAGGGGAGGGATACTGATGATGCGGTCTCAAGCTGCCGTCCATGATTTTTTGGCGGAGCAAGCTAGATCTTCCGGTTCCTGTTTGTTCTGTTTGCATTCCGCTTGCATGTTGGCTTGTCCTGCAGCATGCGCTTCAAATAGTATTCTACAACTCATGGGATGTCTAATATATCTAAATACAAGTATCGACCATTGAAGGAGACAGCTGCTTCACCCAAAGCCTTCTACCAGCCAAAGGTACTAGTACCAGAAGCTTGTCTGAATCCGGGCACTGTAATCTATCAGCAACCGATTGTCTTCACACAATGGACTACGGTTTCACTTACAATAGCTCCTAATCGAATGGCATCCACTATCCTCAGACAGGTTTTCTGCCTTGGGTAGCCTTGCTTCCTGTTAGTACATACAGGAGGATTCTAAATAAGAAACTCGAGGCCACTTACCACTCACGAATGGCTTCCATTCGATTATAACTCTGGAATACTATTAGCAAGCTTCTACAGATCAAAAAGGTTATCCGAAGAACACACGTACCGATGGATGTGTCGACATAAACTGCGGTGGTGCAGTCTGTTCTGCTTTCTGCATACGGGCCCAACTGGGTTCTCGCATTAGTTCTGCCAGATCAAGAGTAAAGGACGCGTCAAACTCACAGCCTGACCGCTGCTTCTGGATTGAAGCAAGCCTTAGCCATCATCACTAGAAGTTACAGTCAGCAGTATCCCTGAAGATTTCCGATCAAGACAGCTGTACTTAATCCGATATTATCTGCTTCGGCCTATAGAACGCATTTGGACATTAGAAAGGGAAAAAAAATAAGATCCTCAGTACTGCTAGATTTGAGTCAAAAACTCACCTCTTGCGTCCGCGAATTAGGCAGACCATAAATGAGGTTTAAAAACAACGACGGAAACTGGCCCGAGATATCAAAAAGTGCAGAGATGAGAAACACCAAACCAAGAGTAATAATGCTATTGCTCATGCGCTCTGCAGGATGACGGGCAACAACATGGGCAATCTCATGGCCCAGAACAGCTGCCAGACCGTCTTCATCTCCACAAATAGGCAAGATACCCGTGTATACAAACACCTTGCCCCTGTCGTATATTTAAGTTAGCCGTGTATCTCCGTTAAAAAGAATGTTGATAAGGGGATAGAAGCAATACCCAGGCAGCACAAACGCATTCACCATGCTATCATCATGGATAACATGGACCTTCCAACTAGCCCCCTCAATGGGAGCCATCGGAATCAACCGATCCAACACCCGATTCACCATAATTGTCAACGGATGATTGTCTGGGAGGATTTTACCCCTTTCTGTCCGAAGGATCTCATGATAGGTCTGAATCCCAGAATTCAATTCCCACTGACGGGAGACGCAATTGAAGCGCCGGCGACCGGTCATCTGACGTATATTCAGCTTCAGCACATAATGCAGAAAGCAGCAGGATGGGCTTTTGCGGTGAAAGTAGAAAGGGAAAAAATTACCTCAACAGTATCAGTATTATAAATATAAATTCCTCCAAGACCAAGCCCTATAATGACAAAATGATGTGGCTGCGCTGCTTTTAACATCCTTGCGAACATCGATTCCCCCTGATACCCGCCACCACCACCGCCATCTCCAAACCGTCTATACCTAGCATTTCGTAGGATGGAGCTCGAGAATTGTCGTAAACCGGGGGGTCGGGGTGGCGGAACTGTAAGGAAGACTGGGGGTCCTGCTCCGGGCGTCGATCGTACTAGTTTTGATCTTAATCCTATCGTATTTGAAGTTGATTGCAGACCCAAGTTGACATGCAACGATATCGGTCGCGAGATAAGGTAATGTTGCGATAGCTTTTGAGGGAGCCCAAGGCAATGTGGATTGAGCCTGGAGCTTGGCCCGCGGACTTCTATTAAACGGGCAAAGCTGGAACGCAGGTTCGGCAATAGGCGGGATTGCGTACTGCGGAGTAGAGCGCGTGCTAGGAACATGGTCGCGCTCTTCGCATAATAGCAACAGTAGCGATTTGGACTAACTGCCCAGAGATTCGACGATGTGGCTGGAGTAACTGCGGTAATGAGGCTATTCGAAAGTTGAAGTTACCAGGCACCGTAGCATGTGACGAGCCGCAGAACTGAGAGATCTATATGCGCCAACATCTACATATTCATCCAGACCTGGATTCTACTGGCATATCCGAATCGTTAAACATGTAGATGAAAGGACAGTGTGAAAAGAGAGCAAATAGTCATTACTCATACCAGACGCTTGTTGTTTACCAGAAATTGCTAGACCACACATTGTCAACTTCATAATGCGAAGGTGACACAGAGCCAAGATAAGCAGTTAAGTTATATGGATAGATTGTCAAAGGCATGCAAGATGGATTTATTATTTTGAACAACAGGGAAAGAGCCAATTATCCAAACAGTTTGTATATACCATCAATAATGCGTCAATCATACATCAAAAAATAAAAATAAAGGTAAAAGTAAATAAAATAAAAATAGAGAAGAGAGAATTGAATCGTCACGTGGTTTATTTTATCGAAGAAAAGGGAGGAGTAATAGTCCAAAAAAGTAAAAGAAACATAAATCAGAATAATGAGTCAAAGGTTGGGTATAAAGGTATCAAGGCTGCACACAGCGATGGCAACAAAGTGGTATCATTAGAATAAAAAAAATAAAAAAGGGGAAAGGAAGAGAAGTGACGAAGAGAGGCAGAATATAGAACAGATTGTTTGTTCACTCTTCCACCAACAAGTCATGACCAGTTTGGCGCCACTCCTTCGATTGCTCGGCTAATCTCCGGATTCCTGTAATTCGACGAGCCCAGTAAGCTTCTGAGGCCGTTCGGAATGTATAAGCCCGCTGGGAGGAAGTCACCCCAATGGCCTGGAGCACTGCCTTCCGCGAGTCGCGTGCAAAGACAGCAGGATGGTAGATCCACTCCAAAGCGCCCTCCAGGTCTGCATCAAGGGCAGCCATAACATGGGAGTCCACAGCAGCAGCCGGCGCAATCGTTGGGGTATTAGAGCCAGAAGACGCGTGAGAGTCCGGAAAAGTTGAAGACTTCGGTGATGAGGACGGGCTGTCTCCTCTGCTTCCTGAATCGCTCGCGCCCATCGACTCTCCTCCGGCACCTGGTGGAAGAGGCGGCAGGCTACCTTTACCGAGGCCCTTCAAAATGCTTCTTGTTTCGGTCAATAGATGTTGTGCTCGATCATGTTGCCCGCGAGAAACAAGAGTCAACGCTCTGCTCATCATATCGGACGTGAGCAGCTCCATACGTCGCTGTACGATAGATGGATGGGGAGGAATAGGAGGTGTGATCGGTCGCCCGGGGGTCCTCGCTTTAGGATTATGCGGGAGCATAGTAATGGCAAAGAGCGACGGTCGTGGAGAATGAGTCAGATGGCCATCGCGTAGAAGGTCACCGTAAGTTAAGTCAGCTTGGATCAAGGGCACTTCCTCTACACTCAGCACACGTTGTTCCTCGCCATCCACTCCACCACCCAGGGCTTCCAATCCGGAAACTAGTTTCTCCCAAGGGTCCTGGGGCATGTTTTCTTGGGATGGTGCGTCCGGTTGAATGACAAGCTGGACCAGAACGTCCCGTTTGTCTCCCAATCTTAGATCGCCCAGAGCCACTTCGGCATCCCTCCCGGTGGCACGCCTGGTAGTATGCAAGGCACCGGTGATCTTCACAAATTTAGCAGGGGATCCTTCTGGCAAACGAAGCTTCAGCTTCGCGTTCTGGTGCGATGTACTCTGCAGTGAACCCAGGCAACCAGCCACAGATTCCCGTAACATCATCCAATCCTTGACATAGACATAGGAACCTTTAGTGCGGGTAGAGATTTCGATCATGGTATCTGGTTTGTGTGTCAAGCCTAGACCAAGGGATTGGATGGAAACCCTGTGACTATGGTCAGTCCCATCCAAACATAGCAGCCCAACCAAGAGAAAAGAGAGACGTCATGAAGGAGATTTTACGTACTTAGCAGCTTCAGCCCTAGATACGACGAAATCCACACTGTCAGGGTCAGAGGTCGAAGAATCACTTATCAAGAGGATGTTGGAAATTGGATTGGCCGATCGTCGTTGCATTAGAAGATCCATTGCGACATTGGCGCCATCTACAACATCAGAACGCGGAGTCTTTTGTCCGACGGGCCGGATAGACTTAATGACCTTGCTCCATCCGCCCCATGAGTTTGTGGTCATGCCAACGACAGGCACTCCTCCAGCACTGGAGCCGAAAGTCACTAGCCCCATGCGGTCCCGGGGGCCGAGATTGCGTACAAGAAAGTTGAGAGCGTCCCGAAGAAGAGTAATCTTCAGCCCTTGCATGGATGAAGAGACCGGAATCACGACAACAATATCAATAGGAATGTGGGCGGTAGACACAGGCAATGATGGAGGGTTTGTATACTCGGTGATCGCCGTAACAGTCGACTTTCCAGCACCTTCGGATGAGTTGTAGGACCGTCTTGTATTTCGTGGCATTCGATAGTCGTCGTCCTCGGTACCCGAATTGTCCACATCGTAATCAGTACTACGGGACAGGCGCCCGATTGGATGAATGTCAAGGAGAGCTCCCTTCCAGGTTTCCAGCTCACTGCGGCTTTGGAATCGAAGAAAGAAGGACGGCAGTTCCCTGACAGCCAGATTCAAGGTAAGAATAGGTTCATCTGCAGAATATGTCAGGAGAGCGTGAAGAAAGCATGGGAGAAGCCTCGGAATACACGAGGCGAAGAAAGGAATCGACTTAGTTACCTGGAGAAACTTCGATGGCGCTGAGATGTTTCTTAATTAAAATAGAACCTTTGAGCGTGCATCGCCCGCGCTTGCGACTCGGCAGTCGCTCGTCATAGTGATGGTGATGTTGTTGTTGTTGTTGTTGTTGTTGTTGGGCAGCATGCTTCCTTTCTTTGACGCAAATGAGCATTTCATCAAATAGATAGGATTGTAATTCCTGCCAGGAGTCGCCATCCTTGCCCACACGCAGCTCGCCGTGCAAGCGAAGTTTTCCAAATCTAGACAGGCGTTAGCGGGAAAGGCAGTCGGCAAAACATAAGATGGGAGGCAGGGGCGATATCCATACCTGTCGAACTCGAGGCCATGCCAATTGTCCACACGCGTCCTCAGATCTTCGGCAATCTCGTCTAGATTCTCCTGTGGTTCATAGGGTATGCTTCTGGCGTCTAGCAGAGAAAGGTGACGTTTATCCATGTAGGGATCTTCACGAGGAATCTGAACGTGGGAAGAGGTTTCGGGTATCTGTGGCAGGTCTTCAGAACCCGGTTGCCAGCTTCCTTCGGGCACTTCAACAGTGATCAAACAGGTCAGCGGTTGTTGCTGACGGGATCGATTCAGAGTCGGGAATTCGCTTCTGATCGTCACTGTAGGAGCAGGAATTGCATTCGTGAACGCGGATGCTGGTCGCGGACTGAGGTCAGACTCCATCGCCTGAACATCGTAGTCATGTCGCCGGTTATGCTGGCTGTCGGTGTATTCGGCAGACGAGGCAGCACCAGTAACACCGCTTGGACTCCTTAGATGTTGCGGCTCACGCGGGCTAGCCATCTCGCGGCTCCCCGCTTGGCTGTATGCGTCCTGGGCATCGTTACTTCGAAGTGCTGCTTCCGGGTTCCTAGCTGGCTCTGTAGCACCAGCATTGTGGTCCCAAGAGGGCGCGGTGCGGTCGCTTCGGAGCGTCGCAGCGTCGCTTAATGTGGAGGACCGGATGAGATTTCCGATTTTCTCTGCCGTCAAGCAGGCGGTGGGGTGTCAGTCTATGTTTCCTAGATCGATCGAGTCATTATGTTCATTCTTACCGATATCCAACAGGCCACCGCACCGACTTGTGTCGAGGCGCAATGGAGCATCACAGGACGGACAGTATTGGGTTTCGGATTGTTTGAGGATCTCATATAAGCATGCCTCATGTGACACATGGCCGCATGAGAACTGCAGGATACGTTCCCCCCGCAGCATGTGTTCCAGCGGCTCCTCGCAAACAGCACACTCAGAACCGACGAAGGTCCTCTCCCTCCGACTGCTGGCACGATTTACCTCCATCATTGCCGCCATTGACCTGACGGATCCGGGTTCCACGGGAGCTCGTGAACGGGCGGTCGATTGGCTATCGGAATACTTGCTGTAAGGAACGGGGCTAGCAGGGGAGGCGCTGTATGTACTAAGGGAAAGACTGCTATCGGGCCGGTCGGCAGAGCGAGAGGAAGAACGCAATGATTTCAGAGTCAAGCGAGAAGATGCATGCGGGCGTGACAGGCCTGGGAGGATTCACAATGACACGCCGGTCCTTCGTCAGCTAAAACGGGTGGTTTTGAACACAAGGATATTGCTATTGCTGAAGAGAACAGTTGGCCGCGATATTGTATGATGGCACTTGAGTAGAAAAATAATAAAAAAGCGATAATATCCCGGTTTTCAATATAATTCCAATATACACTCAGGAGCAGGCAGAACCCCCCACGTCAAACCAGGGCGTAGAGATCAACAAGCAAATCCAGGAGCGCAAAGCCAAATGAAGGAGAGGGAAAAGAGGATAAAGAGATAGGGGTCTAACCGCTGAGAGCAGACTTCTTCTTTGAGCGTCCTAGCAAACCGGGCTCGTGAAGCCCAGGATCGTTACCAGATTCGGTATTTAATCTGGACGAGGCTCGGTGCTTCCACATTGGCCACGGGGATGCCCTTATTATATGTATAGAAACTTCAGACCAACGGTGGAGAAAGGAAGAAGAAGGGCGGCGAGCACAAAGAGGCGCGAGGAGGACGGAGGCGCCAGCTAGACGATTGGGTTAGGTCTAAACAGGGGTTGGTGGAGGGGTGCGAGGAGGGTTGCAACAGTGTTTGAGATGATAACGGACTGATCCACGAGAGTCTTGGAGGCTTAATTATTAACTTCTTAGTCGGCTGTCGCAGGTTCGGGAGGCAGAGGCAAGTATCATATCATGACCGTGGCCTTTTTGATTGATTAATTACTGCACAGACGCAAGCGCCGCCCCGTGCCACTCGCCGGAATGAGGTTGATTATGTATCTATGCGCTGAACGAAGGATGCAAGGATGCAGCTACTACATGTCTGCGAGGACAGGGGAGATTGAACAGAGGTCTTCCATCCTGACGCATCATACTGACTGATCATGGACCGACAGACAGAAGCAGCGTTGGTATTATTGCTGATTGCTCGGATCTGCAAATACATTGTACAGTGTTAGTAAATGGAATTAATTATTCGATATCCGGCTAGGAAACCGCCCTGTCTTCCCACTGGGCAGAGCAGGGGATAGCAAGTGCGCTACTGCATGCAGTGCGGACAGAGCCTTGGGATATTATTATGATTATGATCATGATTTGAATTATGATTGATATTCAACGGTGGGTATCCAGAGTTTAATCCGGATCCCACTGGAGACCCGGTCTTGCATTCATTCTCTTCCCTCAGGGGGAAGGTCCACGTTGTTATGTTTGTTGTTGCTGTTATGGAGGTGTTGTTATTATTGCTCTTCATCCTGCACAAACTAGTGTCAGTCTCTGCTGTAGATATCCTGTCTATCCATCCCCGGACGAAGGTGGATGACCAGAGTAAGTAATAGATAGGCTCTTGTTTAATTACTGCTCCATCGCCGTGGGAATAATTGGTCTCCGATGGGCCCATGGCTGCAGGTTCTGCGACTTTTCAATGCCTCTTTTGAGGAATTGTAATAATAATAAAAATAAAACAATACGAAGCATTTCATGAATAATATATTGGCCGACGTTCCGGACGATTCTTGTTATTCTCGAACTCTTTTGCTTTCTTCGATATCCAACAGAGTATTACTATCGTGCCCTGCAGCCCTCCTTCGCCATCCTGCAATCACCTTGCCCACTCAACACCCATCCCACACTCTCGGGATTCCGGCTTCTTCTTACTGCTGGCTGTGTTTCTGCAAGCCCAATGATCCTGTCGGCTTTCTCGGCACTTCTCCGGGTAGTGGGTGCAGGAGCGTTTGTTCGATCATCCCAGCTTCGCAAACAGAGAGAGTTGTCTTCCCTCATTCTTCTGGATATTTATTTTACACTCATGGCGCCGCATGGGAATCCGCATAAATCAATGTAGAAAGTAGTCATGCGAGTGTCTCGTGGACTGCTCCGTGGTTCTCGAACAATTCTGCAGACTTTCGGGTTTTTTTTGGGGGCGATCTGGCCCTGAGCTCGAGACGTTGACAGCCCGTGGTGGAGAGATAACTATTACTTCGTACACTTTAGCTTAGACCCAAAAAGAAAAAGAAACATTCATGGGCAAAAATAGGCAGCACGAGTCTTCAGACTAGTTGTTGATGCGACGCTGATTCCGTTTCAGGAAGACCACCTTTCCGCTTCTCGCCATCAGAGCCACCCAACTGTCACTAGTGGCTTGCCAGCAACGACCCAGGCCCTTTTGCAGAATAGGGGAAAAGGTTTCGTAAGTTGTCTGCCCGATGGATATTATTATTATTAGCTGTGGGCGAGATGCGAATCCACCGCGTGGGTACGTCAGGTCCACGTGGGATTGACAGGGCATTTGATTATTAATCACGCGTTAGTTGACTAAGGATATGTTAGCTAACTAACTATAATAATGGAGGCATATAGTTATTGGTTGGTCACTAGCTAGATAGGCCGACGGTGATGGAAAAGGTCAGCCAGGGCGGACCTAAGCGGCAGAATCCCACGTGATCTAACAATCCCGGACTTTTATGCACGTGATATAACATGTGACCAAGTCCACTGCTGTTTGCCGTGTTTGCAGAGCATACACCGGATCGCCCCAAGCGGAATGGAGATCGGAGGCCTGCCGGCATCCGGCCTAGCGCGGTGAGACCTCCGTCCCCAACATCTCACAGCTGTAGAATTATTATCACGTCCTTTTCTCTCCAAGCTGTTCCTCACTCCCCTCTCCTCCCCCCCTTCTCCCCTCCTCGTTTACTCGGTCCTCCCGTCCGCGATGTTTCTGCGATCTGTGTGGGCCCGCCAGGCTGCGCCTTTGAGGCGTCAGGTTGCTCCCCTGGCTCGTCGTTGCGTCACCACAAATGCCGCTACGTCGCACGCTGAAGATATCCCCCAGGTTTGTTGACAATGCTTATGTTGAAGCTTCATTGTACCCATACTTATCTTTATTAGGAGGATGACAAGCCCTTCACTGTCAGACTCTCCGATGAGAGCTTCGAGACATACGAGCTCGACCCGCCTTCATACACGTTGGACGTGACCAAGAAGGAGCTGAAGCAGATGTACTATGATATGGTTGCGATAAGGTACGGGGGCGTCCAGCTGGGTAATTTTTTTACATTGGCCGGTTGATCTGATCCTGTCTTCTCGATCATCTTAGGCGGCTGGAGTTGGCATCGGACCGTCTCTACAAGGAAAAGAAGATTCGCGGTTTCTGCCACTTGTCTACCGGTCAGGAAGCTGTTGCTGTTGGCATTGAGGGAGCAATTACCCGTGATGATAAGCTCATCACTGCCTACCGATGCCACGGTTACACCTTGATGCGTGGTGGGACCGTCAAGTCGATTATCGGAGAGCTGCTCGGCCGTCGCGGCGGTATCGCCTACGGCAAGGGTGGATCCATGCACATGTTTGCTCCCAACTTCTTCGGAGGCAACGGTATCGTTGGCGCCCAGGTCCCGGTCGGTGCCGGTCTTGCTTTTGCTCAGCACTACAACGATGAGAAGAATGTCTCTATTATTCTGTACGGTGACGGTGCTGCGAACCAGGGTCAGGTTTTCGAAGCTTTTAACATGGCTAAGCTCTGGAAACTCCCTGCTCTGTTCGGTTGCGAGAGTACGTTCATCTATTTGATTCTTTGTACCATGTCTAGAGCTAACAAAGTTCAGACAACAAGTACGGTATGGGTACTTCCGCTGCACGCTCCTCTGCCTTGACAGAATACTACAAGCGCGGCCAGTACATTCCCGGTCTGAAGGTGAACGGTATGGACGTCCTTGCTGTCAAGGCGGCCGTCAAGCATGCCAGAGAGTACTCTGTTGCCGGCAACGGTCCCCTGATCTTGGAGTATGTCACCTACCGGTATGGAGGTCACTCCATGTCCGACCCTGGTACCACGTATCGTAGCCGTGAGGAGATTCAGCGCATGCGTAGCACCAACGACCCGATTGCGGGTCTCAAGCAGAAGATGCTCGACTGGCAGGTGGTCACGGAGGACGAGCTCAAGGCTCTCGACAAGTCGGCCCGTACCTACGTGGACGAGGAAGTCGCCGAGGCGGAACAGATGCCCTTCCCCGAAAACACCGAGCGGGTTCTCTACGAAGATATCTACGTTCGTGGCAGCGAGCCCCGCTGGGTGAGAGGCTGCACTGTTAATGATACCTATTACTACTGAATACCCTGAGTTGCATATGATGGGAGAAGGGAGAATGGGTTATTTGGAGAAATCACACGCCACACCTTACATGATTCCATAGTATCTGTAATTTAGCCTTTTGTTTTTCTCACTCCCGCCTACATCTAATTGTAGTAGTCACTCTATCACCTGTAAAGATGTAGTATAGTATTTACATAAGGATATATACAACCCAGAGGATATATCGTCAGAGGGCCTATGTTGAGGCTCTCTGCGCAACAGTCATTGCCTCCTCTAGTAGATCTGGGGAGTAAGTCTGTTCCTGGCCTAGGGAAGGTGCCCCTTCCAGGACGGCTTGGAGGCTATTTTTTTGTCTTGGATTTCTTATGGACTATGGGGTGGGAAATGCCACCATACTTGAATATGGCAGACGGAAGACCTTTTACCTTGAGTAAGGGAAATAGCTCAATCTCCTGCATTCAGGTCAACCTGTTCTCTAGCCCTAAGGGAAATGAGGATACTTAAATAGGCGATCGGCAAGAGGTGGAAAGGGGGATCAACTAAGTTTTATGCACATCTCAATTGAGCATTTTCTCTTCAAGAGAATTGTATTGTACATAGTATTATGAACCAAGCCACGGGGAACACACAAAAATGACACTAGCAACGCAAGATCTCTGCTGAGGCACATGTGGCCAGGGGTCTTGGCATTGGTATGAGCAGTATAACTTGGGTATACAGCTTTGCTGAACTCTACACTTCCAGGTTAGGGCCTAGGGTCAGCCCTAACAAGCTGGTATATACCATCGAGGTCTCAACGCGAAAAAGGAAGCCTAATGTCAGAATAGAAATGTATCGTGTATTCTAAAGTATACAAGCACATGTTGGTATCATATCTATAATTCAAAGTAAAAATCATCAATGCCCCCGTCTAAGCATATCCAAAATCAACTCCTGTGTGTGCTGTACGGAATCTAACCTCTGCTCGAGAGCGGCACGGTCCTTCTCCATCTCTTTCCGCAGTTCCACTCGGAGGTCGTCTTTCATTTTCTCGATCGATGCCGATACCGCTGCTGATTCTGCCGTCTTCTCTGTCGAAGGAGGCTGAGGGTGAGGCTCCGGCGGAGATACATGGAAGGAAGATGAGGGTGAAGACGGCGAGAAAGGCGAGGAAGAAAGGGATAGGGGAGGGTCATTGTTTGGTTTGTCATGGGGTTCTGCAGTCGATGGGGACAACCGCGAGTCTGGGCGTGAGTCGAGGTATTTGTTTAATCTGCTGAGGATTTCTAGGATGGCGGATATCGTGGTGGAGTCAATGGTGGTAGATGCTGTTGTTGCGGCTGAAGGGCATGATCTCGGGGTTTGCCGAGTACTATTGTTGTTGTTGGTATTGGTATCGGTCGTACTAGCAGTGTTGGAGAACATCGAGTCGAAGCCTGGTGGAAGCTGGATGGAGCTAAACTGAGTTGTAGCTGAATCTGTAGCGAGAGGCATTGGCGTCGAGGAACCCCTGCTGCCGGTCTCCCAGGTAGCCAAACCAGCACTGAGTCGTTTTCTCTTCCGGAATATGCGAGAATCGCGTTTCTCGATGCGTCTGGCTTCTGCATCTTCCCAGCGTCGCCAGGTAGGTATCCAGGCGTCAACAGCCTCACGCCATCGGGGATTAGAGAGATCCTCTGTTGCCAGGACCGTTGATCCTGCGTTCTTCGTCTTTTCGCGGAGTTCATCTAGGAACTTGATGCGCTGTTTCGTGACGAGCTCGACCTTGCGCCGAACCGAATGCCAGGAGTACGGATGGCCCTGCTCACGAGTAAACTCGGCCGTGACACTCATCCACCACTCGCAGAGTTTACTGCGATGGCCAAATGTATCTGCATGGCGGTTGCAGATCTGGAACAGCGATACCTCTTCCTTGGTTGTTAACCGCTTGCCATGTTTTCGGGATCTACCGAATTCGTCCCCGTCTTCATCTCCCCCCTGTGACACGGTATTCGTGCTCCCTGTATTTGCCATGGCCTTAGACCCGTCATCAGGGTTCGACATCACGGTCTCCACCTCTGGAGTATAGCCTGGATCTGCGTCATCCTGTCCCTCTTCTGACTGTCCACTGGCGTCTTCTGGGGTCCCGGGAGAATCGTTGGTGCCCATTATCTCTTCCTGGTGCTGGGAGATTACTGACGGCATGGGATGCGACACTGACGGCTGCTGAGCGTAGATGTCATTTGATCGAAAAGCCGACGTGGTAGTTGAACCGGTTTTGTTGTTTCCATTACCAACATTGCTGCTCCTGTTTGTATCAGAATGTACCAGCATGGACGGTAGCCATCGCACCGAAGGCGCGCGGCATGCCGTTCGCAAGGATGTCGACGCAGTGGTCATAGGCCCGAAGGAGGGCACCCTGGATGAAGGGTTATTATTGTCGAGGTTCCATGAGAACAGAGACATTCTTTTCTATTCGGTTACCAAAATCGATACTATACTCGTATCGATAATAATGCGAAACTTCAAATTGACGTTCAAAGTGAAAATCAAAATCAGAGCGCCGCGTTGCAACGGAATTTTAAATGTTTTGGGCCGGTATTAGTCATCGGCTCGGTAATTTTCAACTGCTTTGCAAATCAGGCGTATTACGATACATGGCAGGCTTCAATATCTATACAGGTTGTATGTTCATACAATCATGATGCCAACGCTCTTCGCAACACCGTGCCTGCCTTTGATTAAGACAAGGAGAAAATGTGTGTCGGCATCAGAGAAAATAGGAGAGAATAGAAAAGCAAAAACACCCCGATTCCCAATAATACATGTGCGTTGAAGAGGTAAGTCAGAATTGTAAACAAGAAGTATTTCTACCGTCTCCTCAAGTACCACGTAAAAGCGGCCGTGCCGACAGGTTCACCAAATGGCGTTGGTACTTCTGCGATTCCGGGTCGCGCTACCGGGTGTCGCAGATACACTGCAGCACAGATGTTTTGGTTGACTTCGAGGTATCGTGGGATGAATGCGAAAGCGCTCATGTAATCCCGCGGACGCCAGGGGGTGGCATACGGCTTCGAGTGGTCAACTGGGTTGTCGCGCATCTGAACAAGCGCCCGCTTAAGCACATCGAATTCATCGTCGGTCAGTTCCGACGTTAGTTCCGCATCCAATTCCGCATTGGGGTTCTGGGCGGCTGCCTTGAAGGCCTCCGTCAGCTTCTCGCCGGGCTGGGCAGAAGAAGCTTCGGTGGATGGTATTTCTTCTTCCTCTTGTGAACGTCGCTCGCGGGGGGTGTTCTTCTTGCCGTCCGTTTCCACCTTCTTTGCCTTGAGGAGCGAGATGAGCTCGGAGAACTGTTCCTCCAAGCTGCCGGCAAGAATGATACTGGCTTCAGAACGGGATAGGACTCTCCGGACGGCTTTCTGGAAGCCACGCAATTCCTGTTTGCGCTTGGCCGGGAGCACATCCTTGCTGCTCGCCATGATGTTCTTAGCCTGGCCTAGGAGGGCCTTCAAGGTCTCCCGTGGATCTTCTTCTTTCTCATCCTTGCTTTCCTCTGACTTCTTTTCATCGGTCTCTTTCCCTTCGGTCTCTTCAGCTTGTTCAGCCTCGGTGGCCTTCTTCTTTGCAACCCTCGCCTCTCGACGTTCGTGCCTGTCCTTGGGTGCTCCGGTAGCGTACATGACCAACTCTGGGTTTACTTGGAAGAGATCACCGGGGTTGAGGAGATAACCTGGATATCTCATCTACGTGTAGAATTAGTATATGTATTCGAAATTATCGAATGGAAAGGCTCGGAGTACCTTCTTCCCATTGACAGTAACGGCACCGTGGACGACAAACTGACGGGCTTGTCTCGTACTACTGGCAAACATAGCCCGGAAGATGGCAACATCCAGCCGGCGTTCCAACGGGGCAAATGTCATCTGGGTATAGGGAGTTGGGGGAACGGACGAGGTCGGTGTGCCTGACTCCAATCCAGATCCACGACCAGCGGAGATTTGGGAACCATCGTCGCGGGCCAGCTGGGCTGTGTTCATGGGCACAACGCTCCGAATGCGGCGCGAGAACATGCGTGCCCATTGACTCTCGCGGACTTGCTCGCCGTGGTAGGCACGAGCGGCAGACTTAGCAGCCCATTTTTGCTGGAAAAAGGTTTTGGTTCCGGTATAAGGGTTCTGGAAACGGGAGAGGTTGTAGAGGTTATATTTGCTCCATGATTGTCGGATTTTCTAGAGCAAGCAAGTGGATTCTTAGCCTTTTGGACTTTTTAAGAAAAAAAGGTTCAACTAGGACTGATTCTCCGAAATTGGAGAAGGACATGAAAAGGGAGATGGGACTTATAGACTTACCGCCTTGCTCAAAGGCGTCGTAGCCCTGTTTCTCATGATGGCTCTTCTCCAAGGACGTCGTGGACGGCAGTCAATTGTCCTGGTGAGCAACTCGGCGTTGTCCGCTTCGACCGGCGAGCGTCTCTCAAACTTGGGACGGCCGGTCACGTGGAACACAAATCACATGATATTATTACTGCCTCAGGAATATACATGTATAAAATTAGTCCTCAATCTTTCGGAAAAACTAGCTTTATCCGATTGGACAGACACACCCTCGCTTATTTTAGTGGAATTTACAGGATCCACACATGAATATAAATATTCCTTCCCGCCCGCCGCTCTCTTAGGATTTTCTTTTTCTTTCTTTCTTCATACTTACCTTGTTTGGGTGGCTGCGATCATGAAGGCGGTCCACCACAGATCGGTCCCTGCATTGCACAGCGCGGCGGAACAATCTGTTCAACGGCCTTCTGGGTCATTGACAGGCGTATTCTTTGGCACTTTTCTACTGTGTGTGAACACGTTCTTTTCATCATTTCTTCGCCTTGTGTGGAGGTATGGAGAAGAGATTGTAGACTTAGGTAGACTGCACATACCCACAAAGACTGTAGCTTAGCCAGCACTTGGGCCAATGCCACTTCGCGATATGAATTCATTTGAATGAAGAACTTTCACCGAAATCCCTGGAATCTTACATCTAACCACGCAGCCTAGCAGTCTAACATCAGTGGAGCTGTCGGCTGGGTGCCCAAGTTCCGGGAAAACGAAACGTTTAAACTTTTCCAGGGTTCCCCTGGTACATCATTAGATTTTCTGATAGTTTCAAGTTTCTCCTAAAAAAATACCCATTAGCTTTGCATAATTGTAGTCTCCTATTTATCTTACAGTTGGTTGCAAAAGCAGTGTCACCTTGCATTATTTTTCTTTTCCCAAACCCTTTTGCCAAGGACAGGCTAGTACTCAATAGGAAATTTGACGGATTAACAATATTCCAGTATATATCTTGTATCTAACAATACTGTATTTTAAATGACGTCATTTTAGTTCCCTGTATGACACAATACGCGTGACTTTCATAGCTAGAAGCTTCCATGCAAATCAGCGCAAACCACTGTCCTAAGCAAAGCTCCCTCAGTGGCATATTATGTCTGGAGGATATGAGCTCTTGTCCGTAAAATACCAACATTGCTACTCAAGTGAGCAGATGGGATCAAACTCCCTCGTATGCCCCCACCCCTAGTTATTTCAGCCGCGAGTGAACGCCATCTGTATTTTGCCCCTCTCCCACCTATACTTACAGTTTGACACTGCGAGAGCTTCCTTATTCAAATCAACCCCTGGTTCTTCTTGATAGCAGCTCGTAACCTCTTCAGCGTATATGCTTTGAATTTTGCTATCTTGGAATCCGATGTATGAGTTTTCAGTCTTGCAGATCGTAGTTATTAGAAGACAGAAAGGACTTGGACACCGCCTACCTACTCCGGGACGATGAGCAAGCCGTTGCTGCCAGTTTATATCAACAAGCTTTGAGATATTCATGTCATGCAAGAGGGTCTCAATCAAAGGCTTTTCATTCATATGTTTAAATCCGCGACGGCATAATTATTACAGTACAGCCCTCGAACTTAATGTGGTCCGCTCAATGATTTGCTAGGATCAAGGTCTTGCCAGTGGGGCTAGTAAGTCATTATATGTTTCCAAGTGAAGCCAATTTCGACAGACTTGTATATGTACTTCATAACTTCCTTTATCATTATTTCCATTACATTTCCATTCCATCTCAAGCAGCTGAACCATCTCGAGAACCAGTTTCGTCCGGAGGTCTCCCAGTCGGAAACGCCTCCAGTAACGCCTCGGCCTCCTGAGGGTTTACAGCGCCATCCAAGATTTCGTGTGCCATCTCCACTGTCTCGTCAGTAATGCCAGCTTCGAGAATAGGGCCATCACTGAAGGCCAAGCGAGTGAGAACCACCAAGAACTTCTGTTTACCCCCTGCCACTCGTCGGAGCTTCGACTGCAGGTCTACGCTGTCACCGTGAATGCGCATGACCCCATAAATTAAACGCATTAGACCGTTGACCATAGACGTATGCATGTCCCGCTCCGGAGGATACGAGTAAAGAGCATTGAGTTCATCATGCATTGTTCGGACAAGGCGGGCCAGCACAGTCGGATGGGTTGCAATGACGGAACTGCCATGAGTACTGACTGGCTCTATTGGATTGAATGCCACCGCTGTCAGGAAAGCAAGAGACTCCAGGCGCATGTTGCTGATTTCAAATGGGGTATATGGATCCTGTCCTTCATCAACCTGGAGAGTCTCACTAAGTAGATAAGCTGCGCGGTCGATTATGTAGGCTTCATTAGCGCGTTGGTCTTGCTCCGTTTCCAGAATAGGCCCAAAGGAATCAGGCCGGATACTGGTTGCTAAGAGATTCAGTGACAGAATGATATCCTTGACGGGCTGCGAGCAGTTGAGCGTCATCAAAATGAAGTCGTACCGTATGTGTCGCCAGAAATTCTGGAGGACCGGCTCCATGTGCAGACATGCACATGCTACATGGTAGAGCAAGCTGAGCGCCTCAGTCGAGTCGACCTCGGGTCTCAATGCTGACAGTGGCGTCTGTCGGATCTGACCTAGACTTTGCCGCGAGACGGGAGAGTGTTGGAACCGGGGCACCCCGTTCACTTCTGCTGATTCTTGCAGCACCGGTACCAGATGTTCAATCAGCTCAGGGATGGAAGAAAGCGAGTCTAGTGTGAAGATAAGTCTAGTAATTGACATGAAAATAGGAATAGGTTCGAAGAATTTTTCTTTCAGGGCGCGAGACCACAAAGAAGCAATTATTTTCCCGTGATCCACAAGGCAGTTACCTGAGTGCAAGCTCGACATCTGTCCCAGGACAATGGCAGAGAGCGTTTGCTGCGGCTTGGACGGGAGTGACATGCTCCCCAGAACTTCTATATCAGTCCTGTCGTTGGGAGGGGTCCGGTGATTGAAGATCCTTTTTATATACCGCACATTGAGACTTTCCTTTTGTTGACGCAGATCCTCGCTGTGTTCTGTATCTTTAAGTACGGGATTAGGTACATCCCTGGGAGCATCGTCACTAGGGCCCACCTTCGAACTCAATTGCAATGAGGGACTTTGAACCGAAATGTCCAGATTGTCATTTCTCTTTCGTTTGCCAGGTACCACGGGCGTTCCTCGTTTCGACCGATTTTCCCTTGACTTGCTAGGCGACACTATGATGATTTCATCGTCGTCAAATCCATCACGAAAGGGAAGGACCTTCGTCTTCTTAGGAGTCGTTGGCAATTCTTTGTCTCCAGTCTTGCCTTTGGCTTTTCGACTAGTTTTATGAAAGGCCTCCTCTGCGAGGTCGTGCTTGAGAAACGCATTTTCCGTGGCAAGCATTTTACCCTCTGCCCGTGCTGCGTCCACTTCCTCCTTATGTTTTGTAGATGCTTCGGCCATTGCCTTGCGTAGGGCTGCCAATTGACGGTCATAGCTCTCTTTGAGTCTCACTTGGTTGGATCGGATGATGGAAATTTCACCGGCTTTCGTTTCTGCTGTAGCTTTAGCTGCAGCAAGTTCCTGTAGGACCTGCTCGTTCTGTCTAGTAAGCTGCCCAGGAAGTCAGTAACTCAGCAGTCCTCCAATGTATATATAGAGCAAACGAGAAATAAGGGGAGCGTATCGTAACACAACCTCTTCAATGCGCGCAGCGAGTTCCTGCATCCGTCCGTAGGAGCCATGCAAATCGTCCGGAAGAGTACTATCGCCAATATCCTCATCTTCGACCTCCATTCTGTCCACATAGGGTGGCATTCGCTGCTCCCGCTCATATTCTTGAAGTGCAGAACGACTAACGCTATCCTGTGCGCCCTCCACGGGAAGATATTCTGGGAGAGCTGGAGGCGGCTGTTCCAGAGCGACAACCGATTGATCGTCACCATCCAAGACCTCCGCGTCTAGCTCTCCCACTTCCACGGCTCCATAGTCATCCGTTAACTCGGTGTGTAAATATCGAGGAAGCTTCAGTGTACCTCCATCGTAGGCAGATTGACGCGCGATATCGTTCCGAGGAAGATTTCGAGCCGCGGAATCTCGGTCGTGGACGGGCTGCCGGGCTGCGGTGCGTGCAATGGCATCCTGCTCGAGCTGCAGCAAGGTGCCTGGCGGCAGGAAGTCGAAGCCGTCGTCTGAAAAATAGTCATTGTCGTTGTCTTCCATGAAGTGGTAAGTATCAATAAGAGAGCTGCCGTGGAGAGAGGAATTATAAATTATTTCCCCGCACGTCAAGCGAAAATGGAGGAAAAAAAGTAGCTGTTGTCAGCTCCTCCGGGCCGTCCGTTTCTCGCGTCTCGCTTTCTCTTCTCCTCTCCCTCACAACGTCAGCCTCCCTTTTCCTTCGTCGATATTCAAGGTATCTTCCGTGGGTTGTCTGACGGCTTGCGGCCGCGATTTCACATGAAAGTCCCCTGCAAACAGATCCTCACCCCTTCTCCTTGACCCGCTTCACGGTCTCTCATCACCCGCTTTGTCCATCCGTGTTTCGCATCGTCTTGGCTGTCAGTCAAGGTTTCTGTTATTCCAAGAGACCGCCATGTCCAAATCTCGACGAAATGTCAGATTCCCGCACAGATCAGGCAATTCGGAGCTGCGGCGGCTGAGCGTCTCAGACGCCAGCGATGCAGTCCCTGAGCCACGCAGTCCATCCAAGGATGGCGACAATTCTGCTGCAGCTGTCTCGAATGAGGTGAGTGGCTGCTATACTCTGCTGGATCATCATCGTTTCTCCTCCCCATGTTGCATGTCGAGCTGCTGGCTAACTTTCCCTGGTGAAGAAACCGCAGCAACCTGCCCTGTCTGATTACGAGAAGAAGAAACAAGCTTTCATCACACGCACAATATGGACATTTGTTATGATAGGAGGCTTCTTTCTTGCCCTGTTTTCTGGTCACATCTATATAATTGCCATCGTAACCGCGGTGCAGATCGTCTCCTTCAAGGAGGTTATCGCCATTGCCAACGTTCCCAGCAGGGAGAAGAATCTCCGTTTCACCAAGTCTCTGAACTGGTATTTTCTCGCGACTACCATGTATTTTCTGTATGGGGAGAGCGTGATCTATTACTTCAAACACATTCTTCTCGTGGATAAGGTTCTTCTTCCTCTAGCTACCCATCACCGCTTCATCAGCTTCACCCTCTATCTCATGGGTGAGTTTCCCAGGTCCCCGTTCTCATTCCTGTCTGGAATTTGCAATTAATCAACGTACTTCTAGGCTTTGTTTTCTTTGTTGGGTCGCTACAGAAAGGTCACTACAAGTTCCAGTTTACTCAATTTGCTTGGACTCACATGGCTCTCTATCTGATTGTCGTTCAAGCCCATTTTGTTATGAACAACATATTTGAAGGCATGATCTGGTTCTTCCTTCCAGCTTCTCTGGTGATTACGAATGATATTTTCGCTTATGTCTGCGGCATCACGTTTGGTCGGACCCAGTTGATTCAGCTGTCTCCTAAGAAGACAGTTGAGGGTTTCATTGGCGCATGGGTCTGCACTGTCATTTTCGGTTATTTCATGACAAATATCCTGATGCGATACAAGTATTTCATCTGCCCGGTCAACGATCTGGGAGCCAACATATGGACCGGCCTGGAATGTACTCCTAACCCAGTCTTTGTGCCTCAGCCTTACAAACTCCCGGAGTGGACCGGTGTGGAAAAACCAGTATACATTGAGCCCATGCAGTTCCATATCCTAGCCTTCGCAACATTTGCCTCTCTCATTGCTCCCTTCGGTGGCTTTTTTGCATCAGGTCTCAAACGTACCTTCAAAATAAAGGATTTCGGCGAGTCTATCCCCGGTCATGGTGGCATAACAGATCGCATGGACTGTCAATTCATCATGGGTTTCTTTGCCTATATGTATTACCACAGCTTTATTGCCGTCTACAAGGCGAGTGTTGGAGATATCATCGAGACTGCCATCAACGGCCTTACTGTCGAACAACAATACGAAGTCGTTAAGGGCTTGGGCAAGTATCTATACAATCAGGGAGCAGTCTCTGAAAAGGCATGTTTCTCCTTGCTAGCCTCACAGCATCCTGCATATTAATGCTAATACCTTTCTAGGTCTTGGAATGTCTGAACACTGAACTGAGCCACCAGTGAGACAGGCCGTCGCGCTGTTCAACACAATGATTCCCGTCCCGAGGAATCTAGCGAACAAGGACCTAGTTAATTTTGTATTTTTTTTTTCTTGTTTTATCCTTCTGCATATTTCAGGTTCCTGTGCTGAAAATTTCACGTACCGAATGTCTTGCTCTGACATTGTTGATCCTTGGCTAGGTAATCGGGCCTTTTCAGCTAGCTATTATTTGATGGGGTTTTTTTTCTCTCTTAATTTCCTTTTAAAATAATTTTTTCTTTGGACTATATCATTATTAGTTTGAAATTTGAGTAGTGGAGTGCCTTGCTTCTCTTCCTGATTTTATTTTGCTCATCTGCCTTCCTTTCTGGGCGCAGTAGTAAGACGTCATGACTTTATTTCCGCGGTCTCTATACGCCTCATACGGGGTCTTCTTGCAGATTTCCCGGGTACCGGATTCTTTGAATTCATCTAGAATGAGATTGAACCAGAGTCCCTAGGTCGAGTATGTCTGATGATAAATAGAAGTATTTAGATTCATGTCTCATCCGACCGAAAGACATCGTTTCTAGACTAAGTCCTTATTCAAAATGATTGGAATGAACTATCTCACCGTGTCTTCTAGTTCATCGTTTATATCATCTGCTGATATATAGATCAAGCATGCGCCCTTGAATATGGAAGTGACTAGATGCTCTAAGGAGCGAAGACGGATTTTGATGAAAGGCGCAGCCATTATATTGGCTGAATCCTTGTGCCCTCTCTCGTTCCTTGCATCTCTTTGTTCGCGGAGCTGTATCGTGGAAACCGGAAGTTGTAGACATTGGTCATACGGTCCCAACGGGGAAATAGGTCGAGTTGGTCATCTGTGGGAGGGCGTATTCCAGGTCAATCGTGCAGAGGCTCGAAGATTACTTGAGTCGTGTACGACCCAAGTGTGCAGCCTACCGCTGTTGCTCGTGAACTCCGGCAGAGTACGAACTCGTAAAATATGTCGATACTAACGGCCGAGAAGCACTGCCTTAATACCTTTCATCGATTCAAATTGCCATTCCATCATTCTTCAACTTCGTATTCTTCGACATCAACTCTGAAATACTCAAAAACGCGTTGTTTCTCCGCGTCAGCACGGTCCTGGTCCAGGATGTAGCGGACGGTTCCTTCTCGACCAAACCTGGGCTTCTCTCCATTGGCGGAAACAGGGGTAAGGGGATGACCCAAAGGTGCTGGCTTCTCAATCGGCTCGCCATTTCTCTTACCACGTTTCGGACCGTTTGTTTTTGTCTCTGTTTCCCGTTCCTTCCAGTAGGTGTAGCGGGGAAGTTTTTGTGCCTCTGCCTCCTGGTTTAGTGGGATGCGGACGGTCAAGAATCTTTCCGCAGGGAAGCTCGGCCCGACAGATGTGGACGCACGATGATGGGTGTACAACTCGAGCAAATCGAAAAGCGTTTCTTCAGCACTATGTGAGCATATGCATTGACATAAGCTTCAGGTTGGTGATAAGCCTTCTTACCCATCACATCTTGACGGCTGGTCCTCCATTTTTCGTAGTCCTTTCCAGACTCAACGTCCTCGAGGCGTTGATCCAGCAGGCGACCAGCAAGTTCAAGACAGCTGAAAGCCATGGTGGAACTAGTCTGCTTGATAGGAGCGAATGTCCGATAGAGGTCTAACGAGATGCGATATGCAAGGTTGGAAACTTGAGAGTCTTTCGTCAAGCCATAAAGCTTGGCCAGTTTGATCAACACTTTTTGCGGATGGCGAGTCCTGAAATCAAATCCTGACGCCTCAAGCATGAGCCTCTCTAAACCGATAATGCCTCTGGAATGAGATTCGAAAGCCTACTGGAGATGTTAGGAGCAAAGATGATAAACAGATGGCTATGCAGAAGTAAAAAAACGATTAAAAAATTACCGGATCATCAGGTGCCATATGTTCCGCTGGGGGCTGCTTGAGGTTGTAAGCAGCGCAGACGATCTCCTTTGATTTCTTCAGAGTGTCCTCAATCTTGCAAGCCGTAAACAAAGCAGCAGTAGCCGCGTCCTTATCATTCCAGAGTCAGAATCAAAGCTGCCTGTTTTCATTCAGAGAAGAGGGGTTCCAGATTATAGGTACCATATTATTGTATTCACTATCTGAATGAACTAGCCGAAATTTGTGATAATACACAACAGCGGTATTGAACGTTCGGACAGGTCTGAAGTATTGTTAGTAGAGCCATACCAACGTGAGTCTAGCAGAAATTAAGTGGCAAGAGATTCAACCAAACATACAGATGGAGAATCCTGCGTATATTGTCAATCCAGGCAACTCCCTGAAGGCGCAGTGCTTCCTCCCGCAGGGGGTTGACCCCCATTACTGCAATGCAGTCTTTGATGGTCTTCTCAAAGATGTAAGGCTTGGCCACCTGGATGAAAGACGGATGGGGATTAGAGGGCACGGGCTGAATTGATCCCAGTGCCTCCTGTAGGGGCTCATCACCCTTTTCTGATACCATGCTGGGGGTCTTTAATGTGAGAATCTTAATAGTTGAGGATGTGTCTGGTACTGTCTGCTGCGTTGGAAGAAGAGTTTCGACGGTGCTTATGTCAGCTCTTCCTAGTTGAGACTAGCCTGCTTAGTCAGTAGATAACTAACCAGTGCGAGGTCTGTACTTATTACTATCACCTATGCAGTCTACAGAAGCTAAGCTAGACCATTGAAGGACTTCCTGGGAAATTTGGGCCGATTGAACATAATCTGAGAGAAGAGGGCTAAGTGGCAGATGGTTCTCTAGGTTTATTTAATTGATATCTTTTGGATTTGAACTTGTACTAGTATAGTAGGCAAGTATCGTTGATACAAATGCATGCATATAAAGCCAGCTAAATCTCGGGTGACTCGCACTAGGGTATAGAAAAATGAACGATATCGAAAAAGCATGCATTCCCTCTCTTCAGAGTCTATCACCATACTTCCTGAGTAGCGTCTGCATAATAGACACAGCTCCAGACCGGTACCCGGCACCGAAAATGGCGTGATGATTCAAATGATGGTATCTAAGTAAGTACTCATGGTCAATATAAGACAGAACAGAACAAAAGTGCCACGCAACTATCGGCAAGAAATAACTCACAATTCATACAGTCGAACCCGATCTTCATACTCAGCCACTGGCTCGGTCTTGGGAACGATCTGATGATACTCTTTGAAAAACGCCGCCCCAAACCCCCCAAACATCTTCATGATGCCTAACTCGTACTCGCTATGCGCATAGCACGCGGACGGATCATATACAACCTCGCCGGCTTGTTCGTCTTCCTTGCTCCCGCTTCCCATGATACTACCATAACTCGCATTTCCACTCCATAGATCACCATGAACGACAACGGGGACAATACCCCTACCATTTCCATACCTGTCGTATCCCAGATGCCCGTCCGCTAGAAGAGCAGGGACAACAGTCGAGGCTGTCCTCTCAACTAAGCTTCGCAGTGTGGGATCCTTCCCATTCCGTTTCTCAGACGTCTCCAATACGGTCATCAATCTCTCATTAGCGTAGAAATCGGCCCAAGAGCCCCGGAAGCGATTTGGCTGCTTAGTATCCCCGCAAAATGTTGGAACAGGAAACCCGAACATCCTCTTCCCCGTTTGTGGATCGGGAGGGGCAGGAGTCGAATGTAGTTTTCCGAGTCGTTGGGCCAGTGAGTGTTTCTTGCTTGCCCTTCCCTCTCTTCTAGAACCTAAATCCAGGAATTCTGTGGCTAAAAACCAGCTCTTGTCTCCCTTTCCCTCTAGTCTTCCCCAGGCCAGTGCTCGGGGGCAGAAACCTGGGACTATGGACGCAATAGCATTCAAAGATTCGAATTCACCCTGGAACATCTCCTCGGAGGCTTTACCATCTGATCCCGACTTAAAGAAGTACCGTCTTTCTTCTTCTCCTTGGCCATCATGAGACGGAACCAGCGCACGAATGGAGCCTGTTGACGAGAATCCTCCACTGAAGCCGGAGGAGAGAGTAGCTTTAGCGGGGTCGGAGGGAAGAGAGAGCGCCCGAAGTACAGACGCGGGAACTGCAGGCATCATGCTGCTAGCAGAAACGATAGTAGTCGACTGCTCCGATAAGAGAACTTGATGTTTCTTAAAGGAAAGTTGTAGATTCTGCGTCAGAAGAGAGGACGACGATGGGTAAAATAATCGTATGACGTCGGCTGATTCCATTCTTATCGATAAGCCGATAAGCAGTTAGACAACATTGTTATAATGCACCCGCATACGACACACAGATACAGAACAGTTAAAATGTGTTAAATCGCTGCCGTTCTGATAAAAAAAAAAAAAAAAAAAAAAAAAAAGAGAGAGAGAAAGGCCGATAATAGATGCTTTATTCACAACCAGTAGAACTTAGAACTGGCCCATCAATCTAAAGCCCTTGCATATCCAGATGCCAGCGCTACAAATGACAGATTCAATGTTGTATAACAAAAATGGACAAGCACCAATGATAAATTTGCAAGAAAAAAAAGGTCATCACGTCCCTAGAGAATTCAGAAGATGGGTTGCTGTCTTCGTACGTTCTCGTACATCCAAGTCCGGATCATCCTCCAACGAGGCTAACCGTTCCATGATACCAAATGATTTCAACTTGAGCGCACGGTCCCGGCATCCATCTCGGTCGCTCTGATCGTCTTCGTAGGTGAGATTTATCGCGACCCAAACGCAGTTGGCACGTACGTCTCGGTGAGGATGGTTGAAGTAACCCATGAGGTTCCGCATAAGCTCCCCATGAGACAGGAGATATTGACGATGCCGCGGGAGACCAGCCGCTATGTGTATAATTACAAACGTCACAGCGACGATGATCTCCGTAGGCACATGAAGCAAACGGCTGTTGGATGAATCCCGTCGATGAGGGAGCTGAATGGTGCGAGGACGCAGTTTGCTTGATAGAGCGTCGAAGATCTCATTCTGTCCAATCTCCCTAAAAAGGTAGTCAATCATCTCGGAGGAGCCTGGCCCACAGATGATATTACGGATGAAGTCGAAAGTCTGCTCTTGCACAGCAATGTCATCTTGTCGTGCCTGAGTCGTCTGGTCAAGGTCGCCATTCAGAGTTAGTTTGCGGCGTCGCCTCGCGTCAGGAAGAAACACGCCCAAGCTCATCCTAGAGGATGGCATCGTGCCTGTCATCTTGAAGTCCTCTTCGCGGTCGTGATCGTCACCGTCATCATTGTCATCGTCAATATCAATGTCGCCATCCTCCTCCATTGGGTTCAACAAGTCCACTTGTTCCCCAGCAGAGTTGGCTCGGCTCATTCCCAACGAGGTCCCATTATCTAATCCTTCCTCCAAGCTTCGCTTGGTCAATACACTGGCCGGGTCTTGTCTTATGATATGCTTGATCCACTCTGGGCCTAGGGCCTCGATGATTTTCACCTTGATATCATTGGCAGAATTATAGACAACGTGTTTCAACGCCCATAGGCTTTCCAAGCGCAGTTTTGTGTTAGATGAGTGAGCATGGTCGCACAAAATGGGGAGAATATCGGCAGAAATAATTGCCTGAAAATGAATGTCAGTGACACTTCCGAAATCAGACAGCAGGTCACTCACCTCCTTCATTGGGCTGAAGTCCAGTGCGAGATTACAGATAACAGAGGTTGCTGCAATCTGCACATCAATATCTGGATGTTTGATCAGCACAAAAAGAGGCGCAGCAACACCAGCATCTATTAGACTGGTCCTTAAAACGCTAACAGAGCGTGTAAGCATCCTAGCAGCACCGCAGGCTGCCAGTAGCGTCGCAGTCGGGTTACCATCAGCGGCAGTGTTATGTGGGCCGGAAATGTCAGCAGGTGGCTCGCTAGACCGTGGTTTGAGTGAATCAATGATGTATGGTACCACCCCATTCTCACAGACGGCCTTACGATACTCATCCTTGAACGGGACAAGAGCAGCCAGAGCTTTGAGGACGTTCTCACGATACCGCATTATATGGCAGACAAGGGGGGAGTACCCAGGGGGGCCCAATCTACTTTCCGGAGGCAACGAGTCCGAAGAGGTTGGCATATCCTCTGAGCCGTCCGCATCCCACATCGGCTGTGAGTTTTCATGTATTGGGTTGTAAGACTCTTTGAGAAGCTGTGACAGTCGCTTAATTGCGCCACAGTCAACAGCATGTTTCTGTAGTTCTTGGTCATCGATAACCAAAGTCGCTAAGACAGCTGGGGCTTCCTCCTTAAGGTGCTCTGTCGTACGTGTAAGCCCACCATATTCCACGTTATCCTCCTCTGACAAGTAATCTTTATCCAGCATCCGGACAAGGATAGGAATCAAGAGAACACTGAACATGGATACTCGGTACTTCCTCGCAAGTCCCAGGCGGAAGAGCGCTGTTACGAAACGGGCTGCCATCAATCGGGCCATACCAGATTCAGAGCGAACCAGATAAAGAAGCCACGGTATCACAGCACTCTCATCCTCCTCCGAGGTAGCAGCATCAAAGACCGAAAGTGCTGCTGTAAACGAGTGGCTGTGCCGACCGTGTGATCCCTGGTGGCCGAGAGGAGGAAAGTTGGTTGTGGAACTTTTAGACTGTGCTAGTGGAACTGAGGGTAGAAGATAGTCGATGGGACTCGCAGCAAAATGGTGCGGCACGGCCGAACCAGATAAATATGTCGAGCCCCAGGGGCCTTTCTTGATATCGGCTGGAGCAAATCCTGGAAGCTGTTTGGGGAACACGGCGACGATTCCCGGCGAAGAGAGGAAGTGCTCTGCCCGCCATTTTGAATGTTCAATTATTACGGTGATAGAGCGGAGGATAGGGCTCAGTTTTGCTGTTGACGGTGCTGGTGGCGGGAGCGCACCTGGGGCGCCAGACCCCTGCAGATAGCGATCCGCGGGCAGAACAAAGCCCTGGGCAACCACAAAAGATGCCACTTTCGTCGCCAACGCATCAAGAGTACCGGACTCGGCCAGTGCGGCCTTGTGTGTCTCTTCCGTGCAGAGCTTTCCTATAAGTGACGCGGCAAGTTCTATGGATGCTTGAGCTTGTTGAGAGTCATAGTCTTGGGCGATGATACGAGCGAGGCATCCAATGCAGTCCTTTGAGAAAAGGAGATCCGATAAACGAGTATCTTTGGGCCATTGTTGATGACTCTGTAGTGGCAGCCGATCTGCAATGTTGTTGAGAGTCCTAAGAATGGGGAGGCATAGTGGGGATCGAGGGGAGTTAGGAGACGCGAGGATCGATAAGAGGGTTGGAAGGATATCGCTGGAGAAAATAGGAGAGAGAAAAGACGGGCCACCTAGGCGTCTATATCAGCCACTGACGCAGAATGAATCGGCAAGTATTTGGAGGTCCGCGCAGGATAGAATACCTTGAGCTAAGCTACCGATGATGATAATGACCTGTAGGCAAGCATCCTCCTCCTCCGACCTTGAAGACAACGATCCCCTAGACTCGACCGTTCCATTCAAATCCTGAGCCCCAGTCCTTCTCTCCGTTGGCCGTCTTAATGCAAGGATCTTTGACAGAATGGGGATGATGCCGCCACGGATCCACAGCTCTTTGCGCTGGCCATGACCAACAGTCTCGTTCTTGAGTTTTCGAAGAGCGGCAATCTGAGACGACAAGGACTCTGCACTATGCAACTCAAGAAGTATAGGTGTCGAAACGTGTGTCATCGTCCGATGAAGACCACAACCTCCCGTGACGTCTTGCAGGCTATATCTTTCGATGCAGGTCACGTCGTCTTGTACCGAAACCCGTATAACTGGACAATCGGAGGATTGCACACAGATAGTGAGTAAAAGTCCACTGGAGAAAGAGGCGGCTTCTCCGGTCCAAGGAATATAACCTCAAAGGTGTCCGACAACTCTCAAGTTGGTCGGGGGTACTCCGTACTCCGTAGAAAACGAGAAAGAGGCTTCCTCCGTCCGTGGAACTTAAGGCTAGGGGGTCAGGTACAAGCCGATAGATGACAGACACGGCCGAGGAATGAGCCGGGGGAATATCGGAATGATTAGGAGAGACAGTATAGCACAGGGCAGATTGAAGACAAAGAAGCGTCCTCTGCTCAGGGAACGCAGGCCGTGATCGTGATGCTGCTCTGGCAGGGCGCTAGTCCCGAATCGGACGCCTGCGTCATGTGGTGATTATATAATCTGGATGTCATGTGGCGTTAAATGCCTGAGGCATTAAGGTATGTATCAGCCCATTATTGCCAGCATCCGAGATGTTGCGGCAGTGGATGTTTTCTGCCTCAGGTAAAAGATGATAATAATAATAATAAAAATAGAGACTACTTGCAGTGCCTGTTTATGTGGCTAATATCTCCATCCTCCTGCGTGGAGACTGTCTGGGAGTTCTGCGAGGGAATATCGATGCCCAGCCATGTCATCCCATATATGATATGAGGCATATAGACAGACTCCATAGTGAGAAGCAAAAGTAAAGTCATGGGATTCATTCCTCCTGACCTCATCAGCTGCAGTCTCCTGCTGTAAAAGCTTCACATCTCAACTTCCCATCACCCATCAAACATAACTGCAATCTCCATACTATCTTTAATCTATGCAGAATGCATCCGCGCTCATCTGCGTCTGCATAATCAGCCTGTTCTGCAGCCCACGTGCCACGTCTGTTGGCTACTAAACCATGCTAGCCTCCGCCGCCCATTCTTCCTCTCCTCCCTCTTCTTCTTCTTCTTCTCGCCCCTCCGCGTCTACGAGCTCCCATCATGAGCATCCCGGGCCTTCGCACTGCTCCTTTAATCCTCAATCGTCCGCTACCGTCGCGTATTCCGCTTCTGTCGGCTCCCGGTTGGCCCAGGGAATCGAGGAGCTCCGGTCCGCTTTAAACAGACACTCTGCGGTCGCTAATTCTTCATCCCCCTCTGCCTCCTCATTCCCCGGGCCCTCGAGGGACCGACTCTGTGCTACGGTCCCCGCTGAGCTGGCCGCTGATGGGTCCAGAGCAAAAGCCAACACAGACTCACTAACTTCTTGGCAATCTGAGATCCCGGTATCCAATCCTGCAGCCGCTGCCACTGCCACTACTGCTGATGCAACCTCGATCATTCCAATGCCTGACGCCGATAACAAAACTGCCCCCGACGAGCACAACGGTCTCGACAGTAATGTCACCAATGCTGCGCCCCGCGTGCGGTCCCCGGGCTTGGCCGTCGAGAATCCTAAGGCGAAAAGACTACAACCCGCAAAGCCTCCGGTTAAGTTTTTGCCCGAGTGCTATGAATTTGCAGATCCCAAGGACATCGTCGTGTTGATCTCCAGCATGCTGATGGAGCTAATTCACTTCAACGACAAGATCCCCTTGCACCAAGGTCGTCTTACACGCTTCCATTCTCGGTCTCCGCCTCGAATCTCTGTCCGCGACTATCTTCAGCGTCTGACCACCCATGCTACCCTCTCACCCCCCCTTCTCCTGAGCATGGTATATTATATCGACCGGCTCTGCGCACTTTACCCTGCATTCACCGTTTCGAGTCTTACGATCCACCGGTTTCTGATCACCAGCGCAACCGTCGCTAGCAAAGGCCTAAGTGACAGCTTCTGGACCAATAAAACGTATGCGCGAGTCGGCGGGATCAGTGTGGCAGAATTGGCTTTGTTGGAACTGGAATTTCTCTTCCGGGTTGAGTGGAGGATCGTTCCCCAACCGGAGGTGCTGGTTGATTATTACAAAAGCCTCGTGGAAAGGTGTGAGGGCTATGAGATCCAACGGGAGCGAAGTGGTGACGGTAACACCCCTGTCACGGCCCTTGTCTCAGATGCGGTAGATGAAGCGAAATGAATAATGAATAACTCTTACGTCATTGGTCTACATTACCTGGGACGACTCCGCTTGCTCTTAGTCCTGAGACCTCTCAACCCCAGGATTCCAAGGCTGGTTGACGAATTCTGTCATCTTTCTAGTACATAATTACGATTGCACACATGACTGTGTCGATTGTATCGACCATCCATACAACTTACAGGACTTGGTGCGCTGATAGCGCGCTTGGGCGATTTTTTCCTTCTCCTTCGCCGATATACCTTATTGCTTAAAATTTATCATTTAGGCGTTTTTTTTTTTTTTTTTGTTTTGTTTTGATAATTCCCGGTGTTAAAGCTTAAAGCTAGCTTGATTCTGTGGGTCTTGATTTCATCAAGACGTCACACTTATTAAATTGTAAATAACCCTATATGTTTCTGAGTAGGGCATAGGGCATAGGGTATAGGGTTACCGATATCTTTCGGCGGCTCAAAAAACTTCAAGGTTCACTTCACTTTTCTCGTCTCCAACTTTGAGCAGACTTGGAGGGTAGGTTTTCGTTAGGATTCCAGCACGACCCAACAGGAATCTGGTTAATATGATATTCTTCGCCAGAACGCTTCCTCGAACAGCCTCTTTGCCTTCGATAAAGTACCCCGCGCAGAACTGATTCGCCTTTCGGAGGCTCCTGAAGCGGAGCAGTTTGCCATAATAATAAATGCTACAGATGGCTAAGACTGTGCTACAACCTGTGAATCCTCTTTTGGGCCAGGTTGTCCCTGTCAGGACAGTGCAACAGACACATGCAGTTGAAGAGTTTGGTTCGTTCCGAAATTGAAACCGGATACTCTATTCCTTTTCTATTATCACGATACAACTAGCAAATCGCCTCCTAACTGCATCTGCCTATGCCCACAGGTGACGCATATGTCGTGGAAATCAACATAAAATCTGCTTCGAATGTGATTAAGTGAGCTGCTGCGTACAACTGGGCTTCCTTGATTGACTGGCTGATCCCCTGCAAAGAGTCCTCGATTCTGCCTTTCCTCGGGATCAACCTCGCTCTTTTCAGCATCTCCGCCGATTTGCCAAACGTACTCAATTACCGGAAAGCCTTCAGGAGGCGTTTATCGTGGCCGAAGATCATCCTGCGCAGACAATCTACGTCTTGATCCCCCCGCCGTTACCGGAAGTGGACCTTCTCAATACATTGCTCCATCCCTTCGCACCTTTACCTGCCTCGCCACCGGAGGAACGTACAAAAGATGTATACTTAACTCAGCGGTCCGGCACCCCGGCTTCTATCCGCCTACATACAACTCGCATTCCTCTCCAGCCTCCCTTGAATCAACATCAAGCGGATGTATGGACAAAAAGTCTCTGGCCAGTGACTTTCAACCCTGCTACGCCCAGAGCCCTCATCGCACCACCTCCGAAGGTTCTGAACCAGACCCAAGAATCAATACGGCCTTTGGCCGGACATTATCTGGCCGTCGCTCGGCAAGTCGCAGAGGAAGCAGCTAGATCTGGGCTGGGCCGAGGAGTAGGTGCTGTCGTGGTTGACCCCAGTATTGAGAACGGTGTGGGCACAGCCGATGGAGACAATGACGATGGCTGGATGCAGGCCATCGTCGCAGTGGCAGGAGACGCAAGATACTCTCGTCGAGAAGGAAGCAGACCATCACAAGCAGAACAGTATCCGGGCATTGGCCCCAACCCAGCCAGTAAAACCTACAATGCAGATTTAGAAGGCGGGCCAGAACTCCACGCTTTGATGCGGGCTGCTGATATGGTCGCTCGCCGACGCCGAGAAGGGTGTAAAGATAAAGATCTCCCCGAGTCATCCTCCCTGAGTCCTCTTGAATCACACTTTTTGTATCCACTCGCAGAAGGGGTAGAAGCAGCATCAGCTCAGAACGAGTCATCACCAGGAGAAAAGAGAAAAAGACCATCTTCAGATTCAGACCCGTCAGATATCCACGCTTCCGAACCATTACAGTCCGAACAACTCGTTACCTCGCGCATCCGCACCCGCGCACAGGGTGGTTACCTCTGCACCGATCTGGACATCTACATCACACACGAACCCTGCCTCTGTTGTTCAATGGGCATGGTCCTCTCGCGATTCCGTGCCGTGATATTCCCCCGTCAAGGACGGATGGTTACGGGTGGGATTGCCTCTGAACCCGTTGTCTCTCCTATCCCCCCACCATCTGCACCAGAAGCAGAATCTACTACTACTACTACTACTACTGATGCGCAGGAGCCTGAACGTGAACATGAATCCGAAAGTCAAGAAAAACCCCCCGAGTCTTTTCTTCGAGAACGTCGAAATTACTATGGATTACACTGGAGAAAGGAATTGAATTGGCGGGCTCTCGCGTTCGAATTCGTTGAGGATCCTCCTCCCTCCACGACAAAAGAAGAGTCACTAGAGGAAGGACAAGTTGGAAAAGTCGACTTCCATGCCTAACTTCATGGAGGTATATATATTTTCTTATCTATCTAATAAGATGTGTTGGATATGTATATTGTCTACCTAATGTAAGATCATAATAACGATAGGATCCGTCGAAAATAAAAGACCAATATTAGATATGAAGTTGACTCAAGGGCAATCATACCCAAAACATCGCATTCTAGGCTGTTCTCTGGCATGTAGTATATCTACGAAAACATCGCTTACTATGTATATAAAGACAAACTCCTGTAATTTTGCCGTTTCATATTCCCATTTGAAAAATCAGAAGCGCTCACATAGGCTGTAGATGCACGAAGTCATGGCCCCATTACCTTTCCTCGTCAGAAAATGAATGAAATGAATCCCCATCAAGACATTGACGACATGTAAGCCGCATCATACATCATTCGTGTCCAGGCAGAGCAAAGGAGAGACAAATGTGAAGAAAATGCAAATTAAAGGAGAAGTACACTATGAGCTCGTACCAAGAAATTTTTGCCCACTACTGTTGAAGCAGACCGTTCGGCAAGTGATACACTAACTTTTCAATTCACCAACAAACGCACAAAACCTCAATGAAGACAGGGGAAGGGATATTTATTATTTTTTGGCCTTTTTTGAATCGTGGAGGAATCATAGAACAGGAGTTAGAACTAGGAAACAAGAAAACCAATTTTAATACACTTAAACATGTAGTGCGGAAAACTAGGGATGACGGCGACGGTCTTACGGCAGCCACACGCCTACTGAGGGCCACGTAGCTCTCGTGCACGGCGAGAAAGTGGCGGGATCTTGCGCAGGATAGGATCATGTGGGGTATTTTCAGCAATGGTCATGTACAGACTCTCCAGGCGTTGAGTGAGGATGTCCATAATCTTAGGCGCGACTTCACGAATATCCGGGTCCTACAGCAGACACATCGTTAGTTTACCAATAAAAAATATTATTACCTCAACAGTTATGCCTGCACGTACTCTGAGATCAATGGTCTGGAGGACAACTTCCAGCCACGCGAGACGTTCCGCAATGTTGGTCTGGAGAGAGGATGTGACAGCTACACCGACTGACAGCGCGACAATAGGAGAAAGACCCGTCAAGTATGCAGGATTGAGACGCACAAAGAGGTTATCGAACAGGTCGGCTTGCTGAGTAGACTGGAGCCACTGTAGTTCAGACTCAAAATGTTAGCAGACGACGAAATAGTTGGGAACAGGAGTTATTAGAATCCACTAACCCTCACTGATCCCTCCTCGTACCGGCCTTCATTCATCAACTGACCAATCTCGGCCAGCTCAATCTCTTCAGGAGTCCTCTGTCTAGGAACCTCACGAGGATGAGCAGAAGCAGGTGCCGTCGACTGCTGCAAAGCGAGTTTGTCATCTTCTGCCTGTTGAGAAGCCAGAATACGGTTGAGCCTCAAAATTTCGTTCTGAAAGCTGGCCTGGGCTGCTGCCATCGAAGAGACAGTGTCAGACAGGCTGCTGACGAGTGTAGTCAGTTTATCGATCTTGGCTGAGTCATTGTGGCGCTGAGCTTCGTAATGCTTTAACTGCGCCTGCAGCTGTTTTTCCAGATTGCTTCCAACCTTCTCCACGGAACCCTGAGCAGCGGCATTGAGAGCTGGGCCGATCGTACTGTGTAAGGAGCTGGACAGTTCGCACTCTATCTGAGATGCAAGTTTCTGAGCGACCATATCTGACACGGTTTTCGTAGCTTCTGGCAGTTGCACGGCACGAGCGACCGCGTCAGGAAGAACTCGGCGTAATTCGCGGGGAATCACTCCAGAAAGATGCTGAGAGATGGCATCGTTCAACTGTCTACCCACGGCACCTGCAGTAAGGCTGCTGATCGCAGGCACTACCTGAGATTGAATACAGTTCTCAACAATACGGGCGAGGTTCTTCTCGACATTGTCGGAAAGGGTGCTGGAGACGAGCCGCAAAATTTGATTGGCTATCGCGCCTGCATCCCAAGCACGGCGTTCTTCGTCGAAGCGTCGAAATAGTTCCTCAAACTCGCGACCAAGGCTCTTGTTAAACTCACCAAAGACGCTACTCTGAAGGTCCTCGAAGTGCTTGTTCCACTGGCTACTCGAGCCACTGGCAGTGGGTGGCTCCAAGTAAGACCTAGAAGATTCCATCGTTGTAGGCTTGATGCCACTGATGGTAGGTTGTTCTTTGGTAGAATCCTTGATGGGTTGTGTGCAAGATGTAGGTCGGAAGTCAGGTGCCAATTCACTTGGTGTGGCGGTGCCGGTCTCCTTCACTCTCGATGCGGCTTCACCGGTAACTGCCACCTTCTTCTTTTTCTTCTTTTCTGGTTTGTCCGAAGTGGGGATTGGCGTCGCCTCAGCTTGCTCCTCCCCAGCCTTCTTCATCAGTTGAGGTTTGGCGGGAGACACATTGCGCGATGCACTTGGCACGGTGACCGACTCCACGCTGAGTTCAGAAATCTTCTTAGGGGTCTCCCTGGCTGCTCCCTTGCTAGGAGTAGATGCCGTGTCGCCATTGACAGATGGTTCTTCAGAAGCCGGGCTTGGGAAAGTCTGAAGCTCGACAATCTCAATGAAACCGTCCTCCAAGGCGTTAACCGGGCGAATAATCTTGTTATCTGCACTCCACCCTAGATCTTCCTTCTTGATATTCAAGCACGTCACTCCTCTGGAGTGCATCACGTAAAGTTCGAACAGACCATTGTCCTCATCCACACCCCGCTTATCACTTGGGGTCTTTGTGATAGGAAGAAGGTCCAAGCTCCTCAGCTGTCCCTTGGAGGCGAACGAAATCTCTCGGACGCCGCTCAGGCATGCCGTAGACTCGGGCCTAGGCAAATCACTATCCCTTTCACTAGAACGCTTGACAAAAGACGCCTGCGACATGGGTTGCAGATTATATCTAGGTGCAGACAAATGCAAAAAGTAGATAGAATTCCTTGTCGGGTGTCCAACAACAATGATTCCTGAGCCCGGATGATAGGCAACACTGCAAATGGCATCCGACTCGTTCTCATGAGGGAACCTGATCTCCTGCACAGCCCTGCCTAGCCCAATATCCCAGAGCTGCAAGGTGTGATTCTGCTTCAGTCCAACAAGAACATAGCGGAGCGCAGTAGCTTTCACATGGGGCCGCAGCTTGTCAATGAACAGAACAGATGTCGGCCAAGATTTCTCGGTTGGAGAGCCTGTGACAAAGGTATTTAATGGTATGCGGACCTCGAATTGGGCGCCACCACTAGCGAAGAATTCTGGGTTGGTTATGGCTTCACGGATATCCCAGAACCGTAATCGGCCCGTTTTATCAAGAGAAGCTATAACTGTATCATCTTCACTGAAAACGAAATCCTTCCCAGCCTTCCCTGTTGAAATTTTCAAAGCGCGTTCTTTGAAGAATTTTTCAGTATTGACTATGCGCTGAACACCTGAAACATTGTAGATGGAGTTCATAGCTGCTTGAGGAGATACCACATAGATGTTCTTCCCACGCCCAATGGCAAAGAATTCCGGATGACGAGCACTCCGTTTGGCACGCGTTTTCAGCTGGCCACCAGAGGTATTCTCATCCGATGCCGGGAATGGGGGGAAAACTAGACTCTCGCTCTCCAAGGCATCCAGTTCAAAGAAGTCCTTGTCGGAACGCGAGATCATGGCCCAATACACGGTTCCGCTGACACCAATGCCTAGAATTGCCTGGTCTCTGATTGCACCAGCCGCTGGTGAAGAGGTGCATAAGGCCACGTTGAATATGCGATCACGACTGGAGCGGAAAATCTGCTTGTCACTACCGTCATCCTGGCGGATGATCCTCATACCTCCACTTTTGACGAGTGCGTAAACGATATACTCAGACGTAGCCGAAGTTAGTGAACGGTCCAGTTGGTCGAAATCCTTTTTAAGTCGGGCAATGTCCATGATGCCATCATCACGAAGAGACACGATTTTCCCGGTATTAGCTTTCACCGTTATGGTGATGAACGGACGGATTGGGAAATTATACACAGGGACCACCCGTTCTTCTTCCTTTGCGGCGCTGTCCTCTGCGCTCTCCCAGCTGTCTGCGAGACCATCAGCGGCGCCATTAGTAGGCTCCTTGGCAGAGTCACCCTTCATGCTGGCAGTCGCCGAGGCACCATTCGTGTGGGCTTTGGCACTCTCCCCGCTCGGCTCCTTCATTTCAGATGCGGCACTTTGCGTCTGGCTGCTAAGAGAGGAGAACACGGTTTTGGAGTCAAATTTCTGGGATGGAGCCAATGAAGAAGACTCCTCCTTGGCCACTTTGTCGACGGTTTTGTTGTCATCGCGATCAGTTTGGTCAACAGCGGGAAGCTCTTTAGGGGCCTCCACGCTTCCCACGTGGGATTCGGAGGAAATCTTGACTTCCAGTTCTGCAGAAGGCTTCGTCACCGCCTCTGGCTCGACATTTGTGCTAATGCTGGGCTTCTTGCTCTTCGCAAGTTCAACGGCCGGGCTTGCGCTCCGCGACTTTGGCTGCGGGGTTCTTTTTCGCGGAGAAACAGCAGCCAACTGTTCAAAAGGGTTGACATACGTGAAGATCGATTCCTTTGTAATTTGCTGCTGTGACGACGCGGTGGGCTTCTCAGGCCCAGGTACATTAGAGCTAGGCTCCGTGTGCTGCAGTGACGAATCCTGAGTTTCGAAATGAGAACGTTGCGGCGAAGCCAATCCCTGTGACACGGCATTCCTTCCAGACTGTTCCTGGGCAGGCTTTGAGCGGTTGAGTAACTGAAGTAACATCTCCTGCGTATTGTCTGCAGCCCGAGCAGGGTGTGTTGAAGAACCGTCTCCCAAGCCAGTGCGCGTCGGCTGGTGAGCTTGGGATGTGGCAGGCTGCACGGCGGGAGCAGGTGCAGAAGGCGCAGGTCCTTGTACCCCAAACAGTGAAGCAACCAGATCCGATGCCGAAAGACCTCCCCCATGAGGGTTGGAAGCCGGTCCAGTTTCCTGGCCCGAAGAAGGCTTGGGCTGGGTTGGTGGTGCAACCGAGATTTGCTGCGGAGCCTGAGCAGCTTGGTTGAATTTTAACAAGTTCAGCAAGCTTGCAGCGCGATCGGGGTTAGGCTGTGGCTGTTGGAGCTGCAACTGTCCTTCGACACGAGGAGTCAGGACAGTGGGACTGATGATGTCAGAGCCATTATGAGGGGGGGTGTTAACAGGCGAAGGGCTGTAGATCGAAGCCACAGAAGGATGGCGATATCCATGCTGCTGGAATTGAGGATGGGGGAAGCCCTGGCCATCGTAGGGGAGAGGTTGCTGTGGCTGGCGCAGGCCCTGCTGGTACTGTGGAGGGTATTGCGGCAGGCGAGAATCTTGACCAGACGCATTGCCCGCAGGAGAAGGACGAGGTCTGATGTTCGCCAGAAGAGATTGAAGATCGTTTGGGGTCGACATTTCTGTCACTCGCCCGTGTCTGGGGAGGTTGCCCGTAAACGAAGTCCAAAACTCAATCTCACACAGGCTCTCTTTCGAGAGCTTTAGCTAAGAGAAAGCTGCCGGGAGCACCCAAAGCAGGTCGAATACGTATTAGGGAACGTCAGAAGCAAAAGGAGCGAAAGAAAACATGAAAAGCAGACAAACAAGGATGAGGATGAAAGCAGGGAGAGAGAAGAGAAGAAACGGGCGCAGGTCGCAGAGGTCGACAGCTGCCACAGGATGACTCAGCAGTGGCTGGTGCACATGGCGGTGCACAACATTACGGTCGAGCATCGTCGTCTTCTCTCACCTGCATTGCATCTACGCTGTCAGGTTGGATCCATCCTTTGTCTCGTGGCGAGACGTATATAGGTGCAAGGAAGGAGACGACGGGTTTTATCTGGGCTCTCTCACCCGTCTTACTGGATCTTCGCTCTAGCTCTGCCACATCTGTCCTCCGTCTTAGCAGTAACAGGCTCCTGGGGGCATTTTGAGTTGCAATCATCATGTTTTGTCTTAGAAGGTAAGACGCTCTGGCACAGCTGAAGGGCGCCCATCCCTTTAGCCTTTGTCTCCTTCCTCTTCTTCTTTAAACTAACATTCCTGGTGTCCCAGTTGGCTACCCCTGCTCTTCATACCCACAAACGCCTCTCCGCTGTTCATTATTTCCTTTGTCACTCTCACTTATTTCCTTCATCGACCATGCATCTACTGCTCGGCCCTCCTTTTGATCCTCTTTCTCTCATCCTGCAACTGGTCCGATCGTTGTTTCTTTGATTTCCGCGGTGACTGGTTGTCCCCGCGGTTCAGCCCGGATTCCTTGGCTACTATCCCGACGAATTCGTCACATGTCAGCTTGAATCATGCATTCGGTAATGAAACACTGGCTGGATATGTTTTAGAGACGGTGAATACGACGACAAAAGCTCTTGCGGGTGCGGCAGTTGGAGAGGCACAACAGAAACTCGCACTGAACGGGTCAGCATTACGGCAGGAATTGACCGGTTTCGGCGTTGGGTGGCTACGAAGCTTGCTGGGCCGGCAGGAATGGACTTTACCTTGTGTCGACGTGAAGGTGCGGCTGTAAGATATAGAGTTTGGTTGACGGACGCATCCATCGGTCAGGGGATGGACGTTTTTGCTGATTTTACTGGCATTGGGATGTCTCTGGTTACTGCTATTTTCTAGTACACACTTTGCGAAGCTGGTCTTGTACATATTATATATTATATAGGCGTTTTATATAGATCATCGTGTCAATGCTTTTTTCCCTAGTACTTACAGGGGATAGATAATATTGAACTCTACGCATCATCTCCCCGAATTATCTTCCTCAACTCACTCCCCGGAACCCGATCCACCGTATCCTCCATTCTATGCACCCATTCACACCTGCCGTCCCTAAACACCCACTCGCCCCCATTCTGACTATACTCGCCGCCCCTGAAAGCACCCAGTCCACTCCTCGCCATCTGCCTCAAACTCCGACCTATATGTCCCCAAAGCGAGTTCTGCGTATACGAAGGATCAGAGCCACGCGACAGAGACCTCTTCAGTTGCAGCTTATCATGTAGACAGCAGGTGGGGTCTGTGAAGACGGGAAAGGCGCATGACGACTCGGCCTTGTAGGCGTTTATGCGCGATGGATCTCCACAGCCGATGACGAGCAGTTTGGCCGGTCCCCGTGGTGGAGGGAGGGTGGAAAGCGAGGACGGCGTTAATGTGCTGTCATCTGAAGATAGGGAGCGGATGTAGTCTTGGTCACAGGTGCAGAAGAAGTGGCGGACTGGAAGTTTTCAGCATGGACTTTTAATCAAGCTATTATTATTGTATTGATATCATACTGAAGATGACAATGACAGTCACCGCATCGCCACCCGGGGCAATGAGGTCGCCGAATGGAATCGGGTTGCCCTGGTCAGAGAGGACGGGGAGAGCATAAGCCTCAGAGAGTGTCTTTTCATCTGGGATAGGATGTGGAGATCTGGGGAAGACTTGGTTTGACATTATTATTAACTGGGTTGCAACTGAGTGATGTCAGAATTTCTCCTTCGTTATGGAGCAAGAGTAAGGCTGTTAAAACCTGTTTGCACAGGAAACTGACAGACAGCCCAAATACAGTATTCGTGTAGATTCTATTTAGTAGAGGGTTTCTTTGAATATGACATTAAAAGATGTCCAAAGAAAAGAAAAAGCAATGGAGGAGCATGCAAGGGCTTAACCCTATCACATGGCGTCACCGTGACTGCAAACATCGTTGCCCTAATTGTTTGCCCTAAGAAGCATCCATGGGAAACTCTTCATGTAGATATACGGAGTATATAAAATATACCCTTTCATGATAAAGTCTTTATATAAAAGTTAAATAGGTAAAGAATGCCTACAGATATGGCTCCCCAATGCGCAAATCCATCAAAGCCTACACTGCGCCCCTCTTACCGCTGCGTAGAGCGCGCCCAGCTCCTGCGGCAACTGGAGAGAGAACATGGCGAATCTCGTTGATGTTACTATCGTCGGTACAGCTGAATCTTCACAAGGCCGGCTGGTCGGTAATTGTCCTCGAGGCCCAAGGCCGCGTTGGAGGGAAGACGAGCACGGTCTAGCAATCAAATGGAGCAGGCTTACAAGATATGTCTGTTTTTTTAATAGCCCAGTCTGGCTGAAAGATAGCGTATAGTACGCATCCATCCATATTAACCATTCTCCAGAGTCTCCGAACGATAGCTACGGCATGATTGCCGATGTTTATCATGCATCTGTAAGAAGCCGGGACAGTTGGAAGGCTTGGTCTTTTACCTGAGTAGGCATCCCAGATGCATACACTCCATCAATTAGCGTTTGCAAGCCATAAGACTAGGCGAAGTTCATTGCTCTACTGGGAAGTTAACTACCCAGATAGGATATCCAGATGCTGGTGTAGCTAGTATGGGTTTGATAAAAGTTTCATTTTCGCAAGGCAAGCATTAAGAACAGGGGTAGCAGTAAGCACGAACAAGATGTAGTCTGATTCATAACGAGGGATGAATCTTTTCGAAATCTCAAAAAATGAAGAAAACTTTCCCAGGAAATACCAGCGTTTGGAAGCATCTCCATTGTTCCTGAATAGATTGGTTCACATCCTAGGTTCCAATTCCATCTATCTTCTAGGCAGAAGAGCCCATACACATGTTATTCTTGGCCAACAGCATATCCAGTTGAGGCAGGCAGCGCGAGCATCCGCAGATCTATCGATGGTGCAAAGGCGTTAGGTCTAAAGCCTTTTGGAAATATCACTAAGGGGTAGAGGCAGTGAATCAAAGCATACCTCCGGCTCAGGAAGCCCGGCACAGGCCAAAGAGACTTTCATATTGAAACCCTCGCGCGCACCAGTGAAGCATGTAGCGCTCGAAATAACATTTGCGCAGGCATCCGTGTTGCAGCCCAGTTGAGTACGGGCGTATCGGATTGCCCTAGCCACGGGGTCCTCGGTCATCTCCATTTCTATATGCAGCGTTGTTAACATTATCGGCACCAGAAAGGATAGAAAATAACGTTGAGCATGAGTTGGTAACTGCTATCTTTATCTTACCTGGCTGCTCCTTTTGCATCGCATCCTCCCTGACGGTAATACCTTGATGCTTCTGCATCTGCTTCATCATTCCCGCCTCCATGGCACTGTTGTTGTCTTCTTTCCTGCCAGACATGCTCGAATGCCTGCGAGAGGTAGTAACAGACTGGATCATCTGCATGTCGTCCTTGTCTTGGTCCTTGTCCTGGTCATGACGCTGTTCTCGGTCCATGGCCATGATCATACTACCCTGAATAGGTCTCGCGTTGGACTGATCCATGGCCATGCGCGCAGGGACATATTCACGTTCACGTTCATGACTACGAGTAGCTGCACAAAGTCAGTATTTGATTCAGCATTCAGGATTAAGAAAAAGGCAAGGGATATACCGAATCGATCTAGATCCGCTTTCATACCCATATCCTCATAAACAGAACCACTCTTGCCCATTTCCTTTCCCTTCTCATTGTCACGGTCACGACCCATAACGGTATCGACATGGCTCATGTGCATATGCGTCGGGTTACGAGCCATGATCATGTCGGGACGAACACCGACATCCGCCCTGGTCTCATTGCGACTCGGCCTCGGAGCGGCCAGAGTAGTATTCGCCGTAGCCAGGGCGAGGAGGACAGCCGGTGCGAGATTGAAGCGCATCTTGGATGGATGTTGCTGTTTATCTAAATAAACAAGAGAGACAAGACGAAATGTGTATTAAGTATTTGTCTGCTTTGGACTGGACTGGGCTGGACTGGAGTTATCAGGACTGAGTGAATGACTAGAAGAAAGGAGCGTATTTATATGTTTAATGAAGCAAGGCATGTGGTGGAATTGGCAAGAAAAGGCCAAAGGAAGAAACGATGCCATGAACCCGTCACACCGAATAGCAATTGTCGTCCTTTCTCGCTTGCCGCAGTTAGGGTTTCCGATGCGGGTGTTACATCTCTTAGGAGACATTGACGATGATTGATATGGAATTCTGCAGCTCATGGCGAATTGCTTCACAGTACAGGCAAAGGATAATAGAACCGGTTGGTTCAGAGTCCGCTGTGATTCCCATTGTCAAGAATCGTCAAGAGGGACGAGTGGAAGAAAGCAGTGATTGCATGGTACAAAACGGCTCCTGAGAAACGTAGAGAAAAGATATGATTCCACTTGAAGTTTCGCCAGATAAATCTGTATTCTGGACCAGCGAGCACAGACAGGTCAATTATCTACAACGCATGTAGGTATCTAACAGTGGGGAGACAAAAAGACAAGTTACATCAAAAATGGATATCAACTGTGTTCATAAGCTCGTTCCAACATAAGATGGGGACCACAATCCGAACATGAAACGAAGATGAGAAACATGGAAAGAAGAGAATCTTGGTCATCGCAGAGGTATGTCGAAATATTCGTGAAACACGAGTACTAAATCGTGGTATCACAAAGTCAAAGCGTCAGGAAGTCTGTTCTTCCCTATTTTCTTTTGTCACATCTTTCTTCGTTTCTCTCATGTTCCGCCGTCGCTGTGACACACCGGCAGGACAAGAGTCCAAGCGCCCCTGCACAACCGGAAGGTGAGGGAGCGCAAAGAGGACTGGAATCGCATCGGTTGCCAGGCGGCAACACTGGGGACAACATCGTCAAGAAGAGGAACGGGGTTGGATGTAGAATGTAGCATTGAGAGTGAATGGATGTGGAGCACGATAGAATCGAATTCTCCAAGCCGAGGCCAACGATGCAGTCGGTCTCCAGCAAGTGTCATTAGGAATTAGGTCGAACATTGTCAGCATTAATCAATTATCGTATCCTTCTACGCCAGAGGGCACGGGCCAGTCATCCTCCGTTATACTGCTCCAAAACAGCCAAACAGCAACAACCGCCAATAGAGTGAATAGCGTTTCGAATAAGGCGCCATTGATCCTGCCATGAGACGCAGAACAGAGATGCGGACTGATCAAGTAGGTGAAAACCTGGCCGATTGCAAAAAGGACGGCAGCTAGCGTTAGGGTTACTATGCGACGCAAAGATCAGTAATTTCATGAGAAAATCGAAGTCGATCCAGACCCGTCAGGTTGGACGAAGCTCCCGGAGGAGTATATCAGAGTAGCAACACATACGCATTGGCCGAATCTCGCCCAGAATTCGGATGACCACAAAAGCTTGCAAAACATAGTAGAAAAAGATGCAGACAAGCGGGAACAGCTGGTACAACACATAGAGTGCAATATTCCGGTGGGAGCCCGATAGACTCGAATCAAATTGACCGGTCCAGCTAAAGCCCGTGTCCAAGGCAATATAGCCCGTGCCGATAAATAGCACCAAGGCAGATGCCAGGAAGAGACCAATGGAAGCGGGTGTACCGTCATCGAGAAGTTGAAAGCCGACAATTGCGTTCAGGAAAAGAATCCAAATAGTAGCCGTAATGGCGGCGAGGTGGACGGCCGAGAACCCCTAGCAAGAATAAAGCGAAACATCAATATCAAACGCAAACACAGCAACGGATACGCCCTAGCTCCAGGAACTCGGGCTCGATCATTATTCCATGTTGAGACCAACCTTTCGGACATCTGTATCCAACGGAAAACCTCCCACAGTGAAAATCTCACAGATCTCAATGACAATATATCCAATTAGAAATAATTGCATTTCCCTGATCGACAAAAATTCTCTTGTCAGAAACCATGCCCAAATTCCATATATGGTCGTACCTCTTTTGCGATAGGTCGATTGTTTACAAGGCACGCATACCTTCTACCCACAGCTGCCTTTTTCCTCTCTGACCTCCATATTAGAAAGAGTGTGACCAATATCGATATGAAAGCGAGCAGAATTGACCCTGGGATCATGTTAGTTTGTCATCGCCTCTCGCATTACTTCCCGGACCGGACAACACCCTTGTCGTACCTAGATTTCGCAGATGTCTACCACCGCTTAGGTCAATGCCACGAAGCTCGCATCCTCCATACTCCGTCCATGGAGATTTATTATCTGGAACAAGAAGCTGGAAAGATATCCGCATCAGCACGATCGATTCCATTGAACGTTCGGTAGAGGTAAAGAAGGTCCCGTCCCACGCACATTGCACACAGGTAATGTAGAATGATAGCAAAAGCTCTATTGCACCACAGAACAATTGTCAGTCAACTAGCCCCTTGTTTTAAACGAGCATGAGCTTTTCGGTATTTGTCTCAACCCACTTGAAAATTACCAAATTCCGTTGAACCCATAGCGAATGACTGAACAATTAACGGGGAGAATTAAAGTCGTGAGAGGTGAGTCGGATCGAGCGCGAGCGACCATGTATATTTATCTAGATACTCTGTGCTGAAGCTTGAAATAGCAGTGGATGTATTTCCTCTGACCCGCGCGGAGTGACCGATCACGATCACTCTGTAGCGGATCGAGGGTGCGCGAGAACAGAGTCAGACACGCTCAGAGGATGAGGAAAATGGATGTTTAATGACATTCAACGAGAGAGAAAAACGATGGAATTGTAGCTCGACAGGTGCAGTGGTAGGACACGTCAGTCACGACGGGCGGAGGGCCAGGAAGATCGAGACGGAGCGAGAGAAAGAAAGAGAGAATAGGAACAAAGACCGTAATAATACGAGGATTAGGATTACTGCGATGATGATGATAGGAGCGGCGATGGCCATGCGACAGGGATGTAGGATAAGCGAAAGGGGTGAGACGGCGAGAAGCATTCGGGCTGTGGCTGGGGAGTTGCTGCAGAGACGATACGAATCGTCAATTCAATAGTCATACGGAGATTGTCGCTGCTTTTTGATCTGTCAAGCTATTCCATCTTTCTGGACTCTGCAGAGGACCATTTCATCTCATATCACATCAATATTCCCTCCGTATTTACTTTCTCCATACTACGGAGTCTGTACTATGGAGGATCTACCCATGGATCCATCCGTCTCAGATGCATGTCTGCCCCTGTCATTGGTATTCCTCCACGGCTCGATGGGGAAGAGACCCAGAAGGCATCCCGCTATAATTATCAGAATCCCATGTCGGTCCCGCATCGACTCGGTCTGGAGCACATTGCATGTTGCTGCTCATCCATTCTACGCTGGATTATAACTGCCACGGCTCTGGTGGAATTATCGTTATTTCATGCATTACCTACTGGTATGCATGCATGCAGATCTCATTTTATTATTATTACGCCGTATTTGATGCTCCGGGCCGAGTACAGGGCCAATATCTATATATTCTCCAGTCTTCTCCTGCCCAAACTCCAATAACACATGTACCGCTGCAAATGAGACCACGACAGATGTGTACAATGCCCAAGCCTGCATAAATTTAATATTGTACACGAAGATAAAGAAAACAGGGCCACGTAGGCATATAGATGACCGCACTGAATCCACATACCACGGACCCTTTGCCTTCATCTTAAGAGGGTGGGTTTTTAAAAATAAGATATGATAAGGGAAACAGGGGAAAGGAACAGTTAAATTATAAGACACCATACGCGGGAGGAATGGATAGAATGCGGAAATCGCAGTTGGATCCCGCACAGTTTCCTTGATCAGAAGACATACTGTGTCGTCAGTCAGTCTATGCATTCTTTTTTTGTTCCGAAAAAGTCTTGCTACTCACCGGAATGAATAGATAGGGCACCTGTCTCTCATACTCAGCCCAGGCCTCGCCGTATCTTTCACGGCAGCGCTGGATATCCCGCAGTGCACGGTGGCTGATCATGCATGCGAAGAAAACAGGATAGAACCAAGGGAAGGGGCTGTTGAGGCCCGTGATGAGGCCCCAGTTCAATGCAAAGTAAAGATCACAAGTGTAGTGGAGCTTGCGCGCCTTGCCATCTGCATTGTGTTAGTGCACCCGCACTAGGTAGTATCTGCGACTTCACTTACACCACCCATCAACAAGGATCTTGGTTCCATCAGGAGCAGTGATCGTCTTTGGGTTTTCAAGAGTCTGCCAGGGCAACTGAGGGAAGGCCTTCCGCGACACCAAGGTTCCCCGTTCCTGTTGGCGGAAACGGTTCTTCTGGCTATTTGTCGTATCCCAGACCCAATAAACGAACAGGTATGCGGCATACAAAGCCACCAAGAAGTATCGGTTCCAATGGTAGGTAGCAGGATCGTGGTTGGCAAGATAGAGGGTGCAATGGCAATAGCTCAAAGGCACTCCAGCAAGGTTCCAGAAAATTAGCATGAATCCCCATTTTTCGTAGTACATATCCCTGCCCATCTGTCAGCTTCATGCGCGGTCTATTCGCAGAGGAAAGCAAAGGACTATGCCCACCATGTCGACACAATGCATTCCTCGCCTTTGCAGCAGGCATTCGCGTAGAGAAAATGCGCCATGAGAAGAAATCCAACCTCGCCAGAGACATAGCCGTAGATCTCGTATTGTCTGGCCGCAGTGCCCATAGTGAGAAAGAGAAGAATGAACCATGGCAGTCGCACTTCGAAGAACATCTTGAAATCCAAAATCCCAAACATCCGTGGATTGAGCTCTGCACCCATGAAGAAGTCATAGATCGGATAGCCAGTCATGCGATGCTGGGCTCCGCGAGCCAAGGCCGAAAAGTACGCAATGAATGAAACCAGATAGCCAGAGATGATAGCAACGCTCAACAGAGGCCCAAACTCATCGATGATAGTGTACAACTTGAAGATGCCAGTGAAATGAAGAGCCAGAACGAGGGCAATGCTGGTATAGAAAGACCATACAGCGGAGCAGTAGTACGGCAGTTGTTTCCCTCCCAAATGCGGGAGAGGCCGTCCCGACAGCGTCACACCTGGAAGAGCGACGTAGCAGACCGCCTCAAAGATGAAAAAGACCCAATAGATTGTCCAAGCCTTGAGCGAAGGAAATGCGCCCTCGTATACCAGATGGCTCAGATGCGCGAAGAAGCTGGTCCAAGTTTGGCCTTCCAATCGACGTGGGAACTTCCCATCATAGAAAGTCGCACCAATCCACATGTAGTACATCAGCAATGGGAAGCCAATCATCATGCAGAGCACTCCTAACGAACCCCCAAATTCAAAGTGTCCGCTATAATCGATCCTGGGATCCTTGGCCTCTTCCTGCTCGTTGATGGCCTGGGGCTTCTCTGGGACAGGCAGATTGTCTTCCCCATTGGTCACGGCTGGCTTCACGTCAATATCGGGTATTGATTCAGTCTTGGTATTTCGGATACTGCGTTTCCGAGTACTTCGTGTCTCGAGCTTGTAGTCGGATATATCATTTGCGCTGGGCTCGGCACTTTGACGAGTAACTCGTCTGGCGGGTGTTCTGCTGCGACCTCGAGCAAGTGCTTCATCATACCCCAAACGGTCAACCTTCCTAAAGAGTTCTCCAGAATTAGCACAGATAATCCAATTGCGATAGTATGCGTGCACGGGGATAGGATAGGGGTGGCCGATCAAAAAAAGCGGGAGGTATCGCAAAACAATCCACGAAGCAATCACGTACTTGGGGGTTTTCCCCGTTTGGGAGCGCGTTACAGTCATGGTGAACTACCCGGAGAGGAAAGCAGCAGCGGAAGATTGCTGTCAAGGTCAAAAAAGGTGGAATGCAGGAGGGAGCAGAAAGGCAGGGTGGAGGCCTGTTCGGTGTTATTATTGTGCTTTTTTTCCAAATTAATTACCATGGACTGAATGAGTATAGCGCGGATTCTCATCTTGTTACCCGGAACTGCAAGGACCCCCGCCAAACCTCGACAGCGATGAAAATGTTAATTAATAGTTTAATAATAATGATCAAGAAACGCATCTTGGCTCTATCATAATCTCATCAACTGCAGATATATCCAGGTGCGAAGCTTTGACGTATGGCTGGCAGGCGTTGTGCTATGCTTCCTTTTCCAGTCGCCTGCAGCGAGTGAAGGGACGTGAGCGCACCTTGCTACTAGCTTTGCATGTCGCCGGAATCCTTCTGCCCTACTTGATGCATGCCAATCATATCCATTATATCATTTATCTTTATCTATTATTATCGCTGTCTCAAGTTTTCGTTTGATTGAGGGCAGGCAACCATCATAGGTCGTCTGCTATCCATACATCTCCTATCCAAAGTGAGAGTGAGAACCCATTATCCCAAATGCATCTCCCAAAATGCAATCCTTATATAGCAAACAATGCGCAAATGGCAAACCGCCTCGACTCCTACCCATGCCAATGTACGCTGTAGACCATAACGCGACTCTCCATCGAATAAGAGTAAAGTAGGACAGGGTGAGGGAGAGAAACGAGGAAAGAAGGACAACTGCAAAATTCCAATGCATCAAGTTCTAGTTCACGCCCCTCGCTGAATGTTTGTCGACATAAGGGTGATCTTCTTATTTTTCTTCTTTCTTGCCCCGCCAGTATTGTTTCCGTCCGCGGACGATTGGGCGATCAAATCGCTCTCTCTTTGGGCCAGCAATTCCTCCTCCCATCCCTGTAGCCATCCATCGTTGTGAACGACCTTTTGTGAACCGGATTCCTGGGAGAGCGGCGTGACCGCTGTGGTTCCCCATACGGTACGAGGACCAGGAGGGCTAGTCGAAGGGGAGGCTAGAGCCCCAAATTGGGATGATGGCTGCTGCATAAGGGATGCCGAAGACGGCTCGCCATAGACGAGCGGCAGGTCATTCGACGTTGTACCACCTGAGAGCGGTAGGAAGTCACTGTCAGTAAAGGGTGGCTCGGCCGAGCTGGCACCAAAGCTGGACCTCTTCCGGCGAGCCGCAGCCCAGCGCTTCTCTTCCTCTTCTTTCTCAGCGCGGATCCGATCCTTTTCTTCACGAGCCTCCTTCTCTCTGTTTCTTCTTCTCCTCCTTTCAATCTCCACGCGAAATTGCTCCAGGACCTCCGGCACCACTACGTCTCTCCAATCGCATTCCAGAAAGTTGACTTCGCACCCTTGTGGAAGATGGCCCAGGTACTTAACACGTTTCCGGAGTTCATCATCCACAACATGTCCAGTCGAGATGCGCTCAACTCGAGGCAAGATGGTGGCTGGGAACAAGGAGTAATCTCCAAATGCAGCCTTCAGAATGCGAATATCTAGAGAAGACAGGTAGAACTGGGGAAGGGCTTGGTAGAAATAATACGGCTGATCTGAAGTATGAGAGCCCTGCGGTCCCTTGGGCTGCTCGGGTGCTAAGCCGGTATTAGCGGTGCCAGGGTCTCTTTGTTTAGATTTTGTATTCAAATTAGAATGTAGCTGAATATTTCCCACCCCCTCCGACAGATGCCCAAGCTCATCAGAGGACCCTGGCGTAAGCTGACCACCTGAGCTTACCGAGCCATGGCTGCTTTGGGGGGTTAATTCCGTAGAGGAGGCTTTCCCTGACTTAGCGGCGTGCTGCAACGAATACATTGGAGCAACATCATCCGGTGGAGCGTCGAATACAATGGGCTCCCTTAACGGCTTCTTCGGCGCTGGTTTCTGGGAAACATCAGGGGGATTGCCAATCCCCTTAACCTTTTCCTTTGCATCTGTAATTGCCGCGATAGCTTTGTGGATCCACGTGGTGTCATCTCCAAAGAGAACCTCGTCTTCGAATTCTTGGCGACGGAGATCATTGATCTCCCCGTCGTACTGGGATGTCATATAATCCTCACCCCCTTTCATAATACGCGCATAGTCAGACACTTCAGCAGCATGGTACCATGGAATATCCTCGTCAGGGTCAAGATCCTCGGCACCATCACGAGGAAGACCTAGGGTGCTCCCAGGTTCTCGTTTCACCAATCTCAACACCACATCGCCACCTTCGACGGGCAAGTCCCCTTCCTGGCCACTGAACCATCGGACTGGGCGTGTTTCAGAGATATAAATAGTATCCCAGCAGATGGGGCACTTCTGACAACGGGCTTTCTTCCCGGGGACTGAGTTCTCATCATCGGTTGAGTGCATATACCGGATTAAACAGGGAAGACAAAATATGTGGCCACACCTAGCCATGCGAGGAGCCACAGGTATAGATAAGCAGATCGGACAGCTAGCGGATTGCGTTTGAGCAGATACCAGCACCTGTAGGACAGAGTCCCAGTCCAGGTGGACATCAGCGTTGGCAGCCTGGGCATGGTAATTCCTCATCGGATTCACAATAAACCTGTAGTTTGCATGAACGTAGCGTGCCTTATCCATCGCATGGTATCCCGAACCCAGTCCCCAGGACGCATATTGGCGGTGGCTCCGAGACGGCGGATGGTACTGCGGACGAGGAGGAAGAGCAAAGTTCATCAAGTGGGTGATGGACCTCTGCCCCTTTCGACTATTTGCGGACCTCATGACGGCCTGTACGTATCCAAGGCTGTCAACAATAGAGTCCACGGGGGTTCAATGGGCCCGGCAATGCAATAACAATGAGTATGCAGGGTAGGATCCAGGGCCACATACAGTCTCGCTATACTCAACATCATCCAACGGCCGAGGTCTCTGCCGCTTGTGTTGATTCTTCCGACCCTGGTTGTTTCTGGCAGAAGGAGTACTCCTCGATGTCAGTCCAGCTCCAAAGCTCCCGGACCCCCCTGGGCGCCGTTGGTAGCCACTGTCAATGGGTGAAGGAGTCGAATGGAATGTCGCAGAGGAAGACGAATTTGGGATATTCACGGCCTTGGAAGAAGTTGAAATCTGCCCTGAATTGGACGACATTTCTCGATTGCAATTTAATTGATGACTTCGCGCTGGATACCGGCCGCAGTGCCTCGGTCAGCTTGGAGGGGCTCCTTAGAGGAAGATACGGGAGAGCTCCAGGCGAGCAACGATCCAGGGGTGTATCAAAGTTGGATGATGGAATAAACAGAGAGAATCAAGAAAGACCACGATGAAGGTATATAATAGAACATGGACGCGTTAAACCCCGAAGGGCGCGAGAGAGGAGGATCGAGGAAGCGAGCGGATACTTTTCGAAGGCAACTTATGTCACCTGCCGATGCCTTGTTGATGCCTCAGGTCTATACGCGATGGGGTGAAAAAACACGGCGAAAAAAGAACCTCAACTGCAACGCCTGAAGATCAACAACCGCCGTCTCTGCATTCCGTCCTGTTCCATCCCTTTCCTCTCCCTGGGCACTCCCTTGTCCATCTTTGTTCAATCGCCCGAGTTACCTCTCGACCTCGATCAGGTACGTTCTCAAATAGCCGCGCGACCTGCTGTCGTCTGCTAACAAGATCTCTTCCAAGCCTCCGCAGAGCCGCCACACAGACGCCTTCTTTTACCAAGCTCGCTGGCAGCTCTTACCCACCGAGCTCCTTTACCACCCGTTTCTTTCTGTGGCCTTGTGTTAACATGGCCTCGTAGACGAGTGTCACGTTCTCGTCCTGGTGTCTTCTATTTATTGTTTCGCATGGCTCCCATTGAGGTAACGCGTGGTTGAACCGTCAAGGATATGATGAACCATCATCTGCCCGCAGTGCCCCATGGGCAGCCGCCCATGCCACCTCCTCCCAGACGGCAACAAGATCTCCCTTATTCAACTGCGCCGCCCAATATGCGGTCTCCTCCAGCGTATATGCCATATCATTTGAATGGCCACCCACCTCCTGCCTATTCGCCCCAACAATATCCACCACACTGGTATCCGGCCTACCATCAAGTTCAGCTGCCTCCACGTCCATACCAGTCACCGTATGGGCCACTCATCGTGTCCTCATATTCACCTTCACCGCCAGTGATGACACCGCCGCACATTCCTCCGTCGCTTCCTTTGCAGCCGAGAAACTCAACTCCCTTTCAGCCTACCATGTCTCCTCCAACTGGAGCGGTTCTTACCCAGTGCGATGTGCGTGGGCCTACACCCCCGACTATGACGATTCCAGGACCTCCGAATCCCGTCGCGTCTTCTTCGCCCGCTCCCCCGCCTGATAAACCCGTTCCAGCCATCAGAGCACCGTTTCGTGCACCGGTGAGTTGTTACTAAGCGTCAACTAGGTTTGAGATATCCTCACTAATAATGCGACCCCAGATACCTTGGCTCTCTGTGCCTGATCATCCTTTCCCTGCCAGACTTCCACGCAGGCGCCGTAACAACCGTCTTTTACAATCCTCTTCGATTTCGGTTGAACTTCCCGTTAAGGAGGCTCAGCGGAAGGATTCCACACCATCGGACAAGTTGGACAAGAAAGACATACATAATCGTGAAGGACCGTCTATGCCTTCTGAACCTCAAACCCCTACAACGTCCGTCATTCCTTCAGATGCAGAGTCCACGCAGCCCACCACACCCTCCGCCGTTCCACAGACTGCAATTCGATCTCAAGTGCAATCGCAGCCACAGTCTAAAGGTACCAAACCTGCCGTGCCATTGGTACCTATTGTTCCGGTTATTCCCCAGGCACCGAAGACTCGTCGGCCCTCGAAGAACGACACCAGCCGGGAATTTGAGACACCAAAATATAGTGCACCTGTTAACAACGTGACTGAAACTCAAAAAGATGCGGCCACTGAGGCTCCTGCAGAGTCAATCACAAGCCCTCCACAGGAGTCAAGCAAACAAACTCCTCTCACTCCTGCGCCTCCCAAGTCATGGGCAGATCTCGTTCGATCAAAAACTCATCCACCGGGAGCAGGTGTTCCTAGCGCTGTCTCTGCCGAGCGCATGTCCTTGCAAAAGAATGAGCCCATTGCAGAGGTCCTTGCTAGCCTGGGAGAGGAAGTATTCAGATACAGTGATAAAATATCCTTCCTTGAGCCCAGAGGACTTGTAAATACGGGAAATATGTGCTATATGAATTCTGTAGGTTTGTTTCGAATATCTCCGAGGGGAATGAAACTGATGCAGAGCGCTTCAAATAGGTTCTCCAGATTCTGGTGTCGTGCGTGCCATTCTATCAATTCCTGGACCACATTGGCCGGAGAGCAGCGCACAGTTTTCAAAGCGATGTCCCCATGATAGATGCTATGTAAGTGAACCAGTATCTTACTGAAATGTTCACACTGACCGTAGGCTATTATAGGATTATGTTTATGAGGGAATTCCGTGTCATTGATGCTGCAAGTTCAGAAGATCAGCTGAGACTCAGACTCAAGCCAAATGAACTGGAACAGTACGGTGATGCATTCATTCCTGAGTTTGTATATGAGGTGATCAGACAATTGCCACGGTTCCGAGACATGCGAGTAAGTTTTACACTTTTTGTTGTTTTCGTGTGATAAACAAAGATTAATGTGTGTCCTACCTATCTTCAAGAGAGGTCACCAACAGGACGCTCAAGAATTTTTGGGGTTCCTTCTGGAAGAAATGCACGAAGAATGTGCCCGCGCCTTGAAGGCTTCCTCTGCGATTACGTCATCCCACGAACCAGGAACATCCGAGACAGAACCTACTTTCGCAAGTGAGCCGTCCAGCGACGGATGGTTGGAAGTTGGTCATAAACAGAAGACTACCGTTACACGGTCATCCGGGCATATCGCATTGGAATCTCCGATTACAAAAATTTTTGGCGGCAAGATAAGGTCAGAACTCAGGGTGCCAGGCAACAAGAACTCGGTAACTTTAGAGCCCTATCAGCCCCTGCAGCTCGATATTGGGTCTCCAGACATCACCAATATTATCGATGCCCTCAAAGGTCTCACGAAGCCCGAGAGTATACAAGGAGACTTCAATTCTTCGCGTGGCCCTAATGTTACAGCAACTAAGCAGATCTTCATTGAAAGTCTGCCACCAGTTCTCATTCTTCACCTAAAACGTTTCCAATACGACAACGTCACGAAAGGCACGCAGAAGATCTGGAAAAAGATCGGGTACCCACTCGACCTTGAGATCCCTCGAGAAGTATTTCCACCCCATAGACGCAATGCTATGGCTCTTCACGGTGGCTTGCCCAAATATCGGCTCATCGGGGTCATTTACCACCACGGCAAAAATGCCGGCGGCGGGCACTACACGGTAGATGTGCGACGGCAGGACGGTCGTGAATGGATCCGTCTTGACGATACAGTCATCCGCCGCATTAGGGGTGAGGATGTTGCGGAGGCGGGGGGTGATGAGGACCCCAAGGCTTTGGCTGCTGCTCTCGAGCAGCATAAACGTGACAAGGATACTAACACCAATATCTATGACCACGTTGACCAGGACGATATGGGTCAGATTGATAGCGAAAGAGGCTGGAGCCAAGTTAATGGAACAGGCACAAGCGGCAACGCAAGCAAGAAACTAAGCTCTGTGAATGGGTTCGCTAAAGCTGTTTCTGGAACGTCCTCTGGGATTAGGACCCCTGCCAGCAGAATCGGTAATCAGGACAGCAAGGTTGCGTATTTACTATTCTACCAGCGTATCGTCTGATCGCAAGAAGAATAGAAACACAAAGACGCAGCCATGGCAAGGCTGCTTCCTTTTACAACCTTTCTTTTGCCTTCACGCTATATTTCGCGCACAACAAACCCGTCATGTCTCCGATTTCAAAAATTCCAACCGCACTACTAACAAATCGCGCCATGCTGCCCCATGTTTAGCATAGTGCCAATGTCAATGGGGAAGTTGGCAGTTTAATCTTGCGATGAAACTGCTTTATATCAGATGTACATATAAGAATATGAATGTTGGCTTATCAGCTGGCCAATTTTCGTGTTTGCCGTCGGTCTCTGCGTCTTCTCCGCAAAAGTCCAGGAATGCCTGTTTTTGCAGTGAGTTGGCCAGACTTATTATCCTCTTCTCTCTCTCTCTCGCAGTTTTCAGCTCTCAATCCTTCGATGACCACCGTTTGGGAGCTTGCACATTTGCATACTTTTTTTTTTTCTCGTTTCATTTCTTCTTGTCCCCCTTTTTTCATGTCTGCGATGACTCTGGTCTGTTTTGGTTCATTTTCATATCTGGCGAGATTTGGTTGCTGGGTCGTGTTCTGGCAGAAGACGACTTTAGTATATACCCTTTTCCTTTTCTCCTCCTTGTCTGACTTCTTGTTGTTTCCCTCGCATAGCCATTTGATTATTGCCTGGAAGATGCAGATGGGGTCTCTTTCTATTTTGATATGTGGAGCTAGTGGGGATCATAACGACTGCCATGAATTCTCAGTTTTGCATTAGACATCTTACGTGGGTCCACGTGAAAGAGGAGGACATATGTGGATGAAATATGGATATGGGAAGGGTCCGTGGAGGAGCAAACGGCTGGGATCATTTTCTCCCTCGCCGTCTGTGACTAACGATCGGGTTTTTATGTGGGATGGGGAGCGATAGTTGGACGGGAGTGGGATTATTAAAAAAGCATGTTGCGGGAGGAGAAAAGAAACAAAAAGGGGGAAACGGAAAAAAAAGGCCAAAATAATGAAATGAAAGGAGATTTGTTCGAATACATTTGGTACAATACTAGGTGTCGAATGTAGCAATTGAATGATTCGTATGAGGTATACTATGAAGCCTTAAGACGTGGAACCTTTCGGTCCTTGCAATGTTTGCAGGCAAGCAACAATCTCTATTATTACTTGGGCTTTAATGAAAATTAAAATGCTTTTTGAGTGGAGATCCTAACATCTAACAACTTCTGGGCAGCGGACACAGACCCAGAAAAAAAAAAAAATAAATAAATAATAAAATATCCGCACTTTATAATATACCTTCTACTTCCTCCAGACATTTTCAATGACAGCTTCCCCCGCCAACAGCTTGTCGACCCAAGCCAGGCTCTTAAAGAGTATATCAGAATTCTCTGCTAACACTCATACTAGACTGTCAGCCTTCTTCTGCGCATTCTCATTCCCATGACTAACAGAGAATTCCGAACTCCCCGGATCCATAGCTGGTCCCGTTAGAGGTTGCGGTTGGCTTGATGGAGAACCTGTCCTTATGATAGAGCGACCAATGCGGACGGCGGTGGGTCGTGGCGGTTCTCGCAGACCACGTTTGCGACCTACAATCTCTGCGTCTGGGACTGCAGTACTATTGGTCTTGTTGGTGCTAGAGATGGGAACGGGCTCTGGTTCAATCATGGTGCTTGTGCTGAGAGCAATCGAAATGGTCTGTGGGAGATGGTATCCAGCTTTACCCAGGGGAACGGAAAGACCGTGAACCACCTGCCTTGGTTAGAGAAATGGGATGGTAATAAAGGATGGAAAGGAAACTTCAAAGAACTTTCCAAAGAGAGACTTACTATACTGCAGATAACCAGAAACCATACGATAACATTCACCGCATCATAGATCCTCTGCGCATCCTCGCGGACCTTTCCATCGACAGTGATCTCACGCAGAAATTCCCGACAAACGGACAGGTAGAAAATAGCACCAACACCAATAGGTCCAAAGAAGCCAACGAAGGCGGCATGCGCAAAGTTTTCAATCTGGTGGATTTGCTTCCACATGACCAAAACTATGGGCATTCGGCGAGCCAGAAGAATTAAAATCCCCAAGAAAATAAGTCGAAGAATGGGAATGATATCGTTATGCCTAAACTCTGACCAGGGACATACTGCACCAAACCACATGAAAATGGCAAGATTGAGAAGCATATCAAGCGTCGGTTGAAGCGAATCATCTAACGTTTCGAGACGGAACCAGTCACTTGTCTCGTCAGCAAGATACTTGGAAGAAATACGAGATGCATTGGTAAAGCCTTACTCCTGGGTAAACACGTTGCCCGCGATAAAGCAAGCTAGGAGATCATCGCTACCTATGAGGCCACATGTCCCCACGATGAAAAGCTTTTCCCGTGGTTAGTAACGAAGCCATACAGGACCCAAAAATCGAGAACTTACCGCGAGGGCAAGGGCATACACAAGAAAGCTCTCACGATCAACGTAATTGTTCTTTTTTGCCCAATGAAGCAGTTCTCTAGACAGCCATCCGACAACGATGCCGTAGGCAATACTCAAAAGCACCGTGTAACACCAGGTTTCATAGAACCACATGCCGATAGCCTTCCCTGCTCCTCCTCCGCTAGTGCCCATGCCACCCATTCCAATGAACTTGACTAGGTACAGTCCGAAGAACAGGAACGGATACCCAAGGCCATCGTTAGCACCGGATTCGGCAACGATAATCCTCTGCAGCGGAACAGGCACGTGCTTGTCAGCGAATTTCCCCTTAACTATGGAGTTGGAGAGGACGGGGTCGGTTGGAGTGACACAAGCACCAACGACTAGGGAATGCAGGAACGTGAAGTTGGGAACCATTGCCCAGATCAGAAGACTGCTAAATATCCACATAGCAGCCATGCCAGGCCCGAGCAGTAGTGCCAAACTTTTCCACTCTATCTGCAGGTAGCGTTTGGGAAGCTGGACACCTGCAAGGACCAATTGCACTCCAAGGACGAGTCTGGTAAAATACATGGTGATCGACTCCAGGTTCTGGGCTGAACCCATGGCATAATCCATGGGCCGTATAAAATTGGCGGCATGGGGAGAGAAAGCAACCCCTGCCAGCATTGAGATCACTGCCAGTCAGGTCAGCACACACATCTGATCACCGTGCAGAGAGAAGATGAAGAAGACATAACCAGCCACACACATGCTTCAGACAGGTAGAACTTCTCCTTGAAAAGGTACGAGACCAGTGCAAAGACCGAGATAAATCCCCCCAGCGTCGCACAGACGATGTTGAAGTTTATCAGCGAAATCGTCGGCATTGTGACTTTCCGGGTGTATACTGATATCTAAGCGTGGATGGATAGAGTGTGACAGAGTTTTGACTCAATAAATAAGCTTATTCTATGGGACGTTCCACGAGATCTGAAACAAGTTGTATATTCTGTTGAAGACTTCCGCGAGAATTACGTCTTGCTTTCAAAGAGAAATGCAATAAACGAAGAGTAGAAGAGGATCCAACCAGTGTTATTCAACCATAGTAGAAGACGGAGCCAATGCAGTCAAGTTGTCGACCATGAAGCGAGGTCTCGCAGCAATCGATGTCTCTAGGAGAAAAGCCAGATTGAAGGCCGGTTCTGGGGTAGGAATCGTTCCCTGTGTCTTCCTTAAAGAAGTGTATAGGGGCAGGGAGAAGATTGGGAGCCAACAGAGCGAAGCCAAGAGATAAAGATCGAGAGCGAAGATACAGTGGGATGTCATGTACATTAGCCATCACATCATGGTCGCGTGACAAACACGTGACTCTGTTGGATCACGTGGGAGTCTGCCGTCCTAGACCGCCCTCGCTACCTATCTCACAGCATAGGCATGCCTAGTTGGTAATACGACCATACATATGCCTATCCATTAGTCCTCTTAACAGCCAGAGTCTCTACGAAGACCAGCGTTAGCTCCATGCTAGGCTACACGCACGTTTACCCTTCCATTCAATCCCTCTACGCGCACCTTAGAGCCCTTCGTAGCCCGTATCCGCGCTACTCTACACCCGTGACTCCTGACCTGCGTCTTCCGGACAGCAGGCCTTACATGGATGGACAACTGATGAGATTGGGCTACGCTGGCTTAAAAATGTCTTTATGCTATCTACTGAAGCAAATACAACTGGGGAATATTGCCTACTTGTCTTGGATGACCATGGAAGCCATCTAACTCCTAGGTTTGATGAGATATGCAGCCATAACAACATTATACCAATCTGCATGCCTTCACATTCATCACATCTTTTACAGCCTTTGGATGTTGGCTGCGCCTCTCCACTGAAATGGGCATATGGGAGATTCGTCGAGAATAAAATGCGGCTTGGCTTCAACCATATTGACAAATTTGATTTCCTAGAGGCATATCCCTATGCCTGTACAGATATATTTAAGCTAGAAACCATTCACAATGATTTTATGGCAACTGGCCTAATCCCATTCAATCCAGAAAGGGTGCTTTTGCAGCTTAATATACAACTCAAAATACCTATACCACTAGGCAGCCGATCAACCAATTCAGCATCAAAGACACCTCATAACCTTCATCAAATACAAAAACAGGCATCTAAGGTTAAAGGGCTTCTTCAAGATGACACACAAGGTCATTTATCTCTTGCTGAGACACGGTTGGAGAAGATTTATAAAGGATTTGAAATGGCACTAAATGAGACCATTCTTCTTAAGAAAGAAGTCCACAATCTACATGCTGCACCTGAGAAGCAGCTTCAAAAAAAAAAAAAAAAAAAAAAGCTCAACCTACTGAACCAGCATTGGCTGCAGTTGAGCATCATGTACAGGCACCACCATGGTGTAGTGATTGCCATATCATTGGACATATGCGATTGCAATGTCTTAATCTAATCGATATAGTAATTAGTTTTTTATAATATATATGCTTTGTGGGGGATACTGTCCCTGTCCTTCTAGATCATGGTCTAGGGTGGAACGCTCGCTTACCGATTACGTTAACATCTACCTCCCATTTATCTACATTATTAACCTTGCAGCATGATAATAGTCTGTTTTAAGAATGACATTTCAACAAAATCTAGTGCTGCACTATTAATTGTGCATTTTTCGAGATCCTCACTCTATACGCCTTACCCAAAGAGATGCAATTTCAATCCTGCGGCATAGAACCCATGTCAAACAAATGGTAAAACAACACCACCTTCACTCATCACAGAGAAATTTACAAAGCAAAGAAGCCCATGTTACCTGCTCAGATATCGTCATCTTCAAATACTTCCGCAGGAATATTCTGCACCAGTTCAGAGGCCTCTTTCCTTTCCGAGACTCCCCTTCGCGCGCCATAGACCGCCAGGCGATCCGCTTGGTCGTTACCTTCGTCTCGATTGTGTCCCTTCACCCATTCGAACAGCGTTTTGACCTTCAATGCATTCCGTTCCTCGATCTTCTCTAGGATCGATTCCACCAGGTCCTTGTTCTCCACGGGCTTGTTGTCCGACGTCATCCAGTGGTTACGACGCCATTTCACAAACCAATCCGTCACGCAATTAATAGCATATCGACTGTCCGTGAAAATGGTCACGTCGCGATGGCGGGGCGCAATATCAAGGGCTCGGAGAATAGCAGTTAACTCGGCCCGTTGATTAGTTTGGCGGCTGCCTTTCAAAGGCTCGGAGACATTCCTGCTGGGATCCGTCGATATCAGTGGGGAAACAACAAGCAGTAAAAAGAAGAAAAGATCAAGGTAAAGACTTCACCCACCTCTTGTCCTCTGGTCCAAAATAGACTCCAACACCGGCCGCTGCCACCGTTGAACCATTCTTCAACGCACTCCCGTCTGTGTAGATACGTAACATACCCGGCGGTCCTACTGGTCTCATCTTTGTTGCAGCCTTCTGGGCAGGGGTCTTGTACACGATCTTCCCCGTCGTAGGATCCAAGAGCACGTTCGGGTCAAATCCATCTTCCGTACCTGGAGGCAGAGGTCCGGTGCCAGGCTCTAGTTGGGTCCCATTTTCATCTGCAGGGGCCTGGGTTGTCATGCCAGGAGCTCCAAAGATCGGTCTCTGCACAGTATTGGAGCCCACAGCACCGGACCCCTGCTGCTGGCCCATCCTAACAAACTCTTCCGCTTCCTGTCTCGTGGAGAATTTCTTATATCGTGGTCGAGCGAAGCCTTTGATCTGCTCCTGCGCCTTGGACCAGTCTGTGTAGACACCAGGTACATGCCCGCGTTGGATACCGTAGAATCTTGTAGGCTCCGTCCCTAGCGCAGCAGTACCACTCGCGGACGGCAGTCTGCATCCCGTTAGAAAGGCTTGTGCTTCTTCAGACGTCGGAAAGGCCTGGACTATAGAGAAAACATATCAGTCCATATCCAACGGCGAAAACGGCAGACGCGAGTACACCGCGTGTTTCGTTGCGTACAAACTTACAAACCGCGCCCTTGTATCCCGTAACCTGGGCGAGACAGTCATTCCACGCATGGTATATACCAGGCTGAAAGCCCACTTTGACCGCATAGTATCTGCTGCCAGTATTTCGCTTGCGCTTTGTCCCTGCGGAGGGCGAACTCTGACTGGGGGAGGGGTTCACAGGGACCGGGCTCGGAGAGGGGGTTGTAGTATTCATAGCGTTTTGCAAGGCGTCAAGGATCAGAATCAAGGGATTTCGTCTTCGATGGATATTTGCAAGGTGATGAACCGTTCTCGACGACGTAGGCAGAAATCCAGGCCGGCAGCTCGAAAGGGAACGCCAAGGTTCCGATTTCGAAGCTGGAAGCCAAGACCAGCGGCGGAGCGTCGTGGATGCTTCGATCGGCGGGTTCAAGATGGTGAGAGTCCTTGTATTCGGATAACTCGCATCTTCCAACGCAGTGCCGTTCTGTGGGAGGTTGGGTCGTGGGAGAGTGGAGGAGAAGGCGGAGGAGACCGGGGAGTCTCGCGACCCCTCACCTGCTGCACAGAACGGGGATTGCGGTCAATGGCAGAGTTTCCTGGTTCCAAATGTCTCTCTTCGCATCAAAGAGGGCCAGACGTGGTGCTAGCTCTCGAATGCGAGATAAGCTCAAAAAGCTTGGTCTTCGCAATTTTGCCGAGTTTGCGTTGGAGCGATTGCGGCGACGGTGATGAAGTCATTGGATTGCACTCTAATTACTGCAACCTCACCTGTGCAAAGATCATGCCCAACATTCCTCAAAAGAAAATCCGGAATCATCTACGGCATTCCTGTTATTTTTCAGCTTATGGAAAGGCGGAGTGAGCCCATCGCCAGGCCTTCGATCACATCCATGGATAGCATCGAGTCCCGAGTATCTCTATGCATATGCACCTTTTTTCTGTGGAACATCACCAGCCGATTCACCCTCACAGCTGCATTGGACTTTCAGAAAACCCGCCGGGGTTAGAGGAGAGTCAAGCGCGCAGACTGTATCCTCATTCTAATGTATTGCCGATGGGCCCCCCCAAAGTATATTTATGCTTGTCACGTATAGTTTCAGCATACAGAAGAAAGAGAAGTCCTTCGGAGAGCTAGACAGGGCCTCTCGGCAAGGACAAAGATGTATGATATGGTCTGCTTTCGTCCTGGGTATTATTTTTTTCGTGGTGCCTTTCGCCTGAGAAAGAGTCGCTGTAAATGGCTGCAATATGATCCCTTATTTAATTCAAAGAACACATACTAACAATACCATTGTCCCGGTTAGAAGGATTTGAATGATATTGAATAATACTCCTTACCATACAGGATATCCACCGCTCCATGACGATTATGTCGTCGATTATGTCGTCCCCATTCACAGTGGATATTTAGTGAGAGAAAATTTCTGAACAAGGATGAAGACAAATAGCTTTTTCTTCTTGTCTTCTAGCTTTCTATATGTGTCTTTGGTGCATGCTGTCTGCAGAGACTGGCACCTTTGTCTCCCACCAACGTGAGCTTCACAGCCCTAACGGAGTTTTACAGGTGTAAGTGAACAGGGTCTATAAGTTTCTTCTTTTTTTATACCATCTTCCCTCAGGAATTCCAGATATAATCTTTGCATATATACATGTCACAGCCTTGAGGCTGACTTGGCTCTGTAGACTCTGTGTCTACAAGACGCGACGCATCCCCTGCAGAAGCCAGAGTCGCGGAGCACGGGTCAGCAAAGTAAGTCCTCTTCTCCATTTAACAAGCTTGAGGTATACGGGGCACGATGTTCTCTCCGAATGCCGTTTCGATGGAGACGCGTTGTCTATCACAATCTCGCTCTCCTACGCAGTAGGCAAAGATGAATCTTGACTAACCATTCATGTAAAAGCCGAGATACACGTCCATCGCTACTCCTTGCCCCTTCATCAAGCCCCATTTAACAATGGATGGAAATTTAACAGTGGACCCGGATCTAACAGAGGACGAAGAGTTAGCAATGGACGAAACCGATTCTGACGAGGCTCCTTTCATATGGGACGACGATACCGAATCTGAACCGGACTCTCCCACTGCTCCTCCCGCGCGGAACGTCGACTTCAACACCCAACTACAGGCCGCTTGCAAAATAGGCTACTATCCTAAAGTGGTGGAGATGATGATCAGAGGAGCCAATCCGTATGCCAAAAATGAATCTGGACTGAGCGCCATGGACATATGCGATGTTATTGGCAGAGTCGACATCGTCAAATATTTTCTACGTAATCTAAATATCGCAAAGAATGGATTGAGAGCTCTTATGTGCGCTGTCCGCGACTGTAGGGGCACCGTTGTGAGGGCTTTGCTCGAGATGGGAGTTAGCAGTCAGCTCTCCAACGTAGAGCTCTACAAGAGCATCTTGATCTCCGCGTGCGCAATGAGCAGCCCGGCCGTTATCGAGGCGCTGGTGAGACATGGTCCAGGACATCCTATTTCCATCTGGGAGCAGCTCCTGGTACTCATTGCTAATTTGGCCGGCAATATCGACATCAGCAACCTTGTCCGTGAGCTCGCTGAGAGAGAGCGACAAAAGCTACTTGCAGATGTAGAAGTGAGTATATATGGCCCCCAGCACAATCCATACCTTTTACATCATATGGTACTGACTGTTATGCCAGGCATTCCTTGCTACTGCAAACAAGCAATCTAACCGTAACCCCGAGAATAGTAAGCCAGTTGAACCGGTTCATCTCCCCAAGGCGGAAGAAGAGAAGAGATCTATTTTCAAGGAGGGAGCGGACCCGGAGAAAGTATTCTTTGAATTTGTCAATTGGGACGACGAGCTTGCCGAGATGGCTAGTGTGGGCAAGGTGATGTCTGCTCCTTGACGTTCTCTGGAAGAGAAAAGACACATATGCGCGGCACAATGCTCTGTACATTATCGGTATCTATGACTGGCATCGTTTCATGCGTGTCGGTAGGGTGGGTTGGTTGACGGGATACATAAAGATGCAATGGATCTGTTTACTTGATTTCCTTGGGATAGGTGACGGAGATGTCTGGGATTTGAACGGCTATTCATGAAGCGCCATGGTCGTACATGTATCCTATGGCTTACTGTTCTGTACTTTAAGTACCCGGTGGTGTTTCTAGGACTTGGGCTGGTATCAATTGATTCACGATCCTGAGTACGAGCACTGACTAGGTGAATAACGAAAACCTCAGAAGCAGATCTTCCTAGATCGTCAAAAGCTCTGTTTGCTGCTCTAATTCCTCGATCTCAACCGGACTCAGCAATCCCAGCTTCTCCCTCCTTGTTGGCGCCTTCGGGTCAAAGAAGGGTTTCTCCGCCAACGACGTAACTCTGGTTCCATGTCTCGGCTCAGAGCCTTCATAATCCCAGCTGGCATTGTGGATGGTAATTCTAGACATTCTGAATCAGTTTCATGCAACGCAGGAGGAAGAGAAACGGTGTATTCGCAAGATAGAATACATAGACACACCTGTTATCCCACAGAGCACTGGTCCGTGGGGTCCATTTGAACCGAACTTGAATATCGACATTCTTCTCATAGACGTCAAACAGGTATCCCAGGATAAGATCACTCTCTGCCTTGTCGAAGCCTACAATCCTATCCGTCATGGCCCGGTTTACGAACAGCGACTTCCACCCAGTAGCGGGATGCACGCGAACCAAAGGATGCTCGCGCTCCACATATTTCGGACCGGACTGTGGGTTCTTGCGATCAAGGTAGGGGTGAGCAGAACGGTAGATGGCTGTCCTGCCGTCGATTATCTTGCGGAAGGCCGGGGATAGTTTCTCGTATGCGGCGTATCCGCTGGCCCAGAGAGTGTCGCCGCCCAGGGATGGGACAGTGTCGTTGTGGAGATGGGTGATACCCGCTGGCTGCTTCTCGTGAACTAGGTCGGTATGCCAGCGTGAGGCGCCTCCAGGACGACGGAAACTGGGTGTGATCTCTGTGGCTTGAAGCGCTGGCCAGATCACCGTCACGCCTGGGACTCCAGGAACTTGGGGCACTTGTGGCTGCCAGAAGATGTCAATAATTGAGAGGAAGAGAGGCGGTGGGGGGGAAAGGGTGTCTACATGTACTTCAATCTCCCCATACCATTCTCCCAACGCCTTCTGCTGCTGCGGCGAGAGATCTTGATCGCGAAAGAAGACCACGCTGCGTTCGGCGATGAGCAACGCCAGCTCGTCCTTCTGCTGGTCAGTTAGGTCTTTGAGCTGCAGACCCACGATCTCCGTTCCAATGTGCTTGGTCAGGTGGATGACTTCTTTTGCGGCAGACAGAAGGGCCTTCTTCTCCGGGTCCGCTCGACTTCCAGGGTCTACATGTGGACGGTCCTGGTCGCGGATCTTGTAAACGTCATCCAGGTACAGAGGCCGAGAAGGTCTGTACGGGTAACCGGCAGAGAGATCAATTCCTGCCTTCTCCAACCGCTGGCGAGCGGATGCTGGAAGAGCAAGCGTGTCCTTCTTGGGCTCTGCGACGTCAACGATTCGAGGGTCAATGGGAGCGGGAGCCATGTTGATTTGGATTGTTCAGTTCCCATTGCAAGGCTTCGGGATCTGATGGAGACCCCCCATGGCATTATATACGGACATGTCGAACATAGCGATGCATGATGCCGACAGCGAGTGTGACTGTCGCTGCATCTACCACGACGATGATTATCAAGCTTCAAGTTGCGTCGATGAGGGGTCAATCGCATCATCGAAGCCCTCCGTTGCGTCTTAACCGCGTATAGCGGCCTCTGTTGGATCATGGCAGCTCTTCCTACGTTCTGCATCTTGGCATTCGCTCTCTTCTCCGACGATGCTGTCGATTCGCGGGGCTATTATCACTGCCCCAATGTCGCAATCCCAAGGGTGCGATGACAGCACGGGGGTCACTGAGCATAGGCTGGAATCCTCTGTCTATCTCTAATCTGCCATCCACTGTTCGCCTTCAAATATCGGCACGGTGGTTCCGGCTGTGTCGCTTGCACGGCTCGAATGGGTTCTGCCATCGTACGAGCTGATCGAAGCGACTTTGGTTTATCTGGAGAGGCATACGCAAGTGGTGACAGTCGTGGTGCAATCCACCCAGTTCCCGTGGAAGAGACGAGCTGGACTGTTCATAAGCTACGAGAAGAATAGCATCGCGTTGTAGATATCCCGAGTCCAGTTTGCACTACAATATCCAGACACTTTGGGGATCAAAATGTCGAATCTCTCGGTTAACAGAGTGGCTGTCATTGGCGCTGGCATCAGTGGTGTTGTGTCTGCTGCCCATCTTCTCGCAGCTGGGGTGAAAGTCACTGTCTTCGAGAGGAACAAGGCAGCAGGAGGAGTATGGTATGTCCTCTCCAGATGGAACTTGTTCGGCTTCGAAGCTCTTGACCAACCGTTTCATTGAAGGCTCTACGACGAACGACTACCAATCGAGCCCGTGTATCCGTCTACGAAGCCATCTGCAGGAGAACGGCCTGGGGAGGCTCCCCGAGGAAACGAGAAACGTATCCTCGAACATTCACCACCGGGGTTAGTTCTAGCGGCCTCTGCCCCCCTTTTCTGCAATCTTCCCTGGTACTGATGACCTTTTGCCCCCGCAGACCATGCTACGAGGGCCTCACGAACAATGTCGCTACATCTCTCATGCGTGTGAAACTCAATGCATGGCCGGAAGGGACCCCAGAATTTGTAGGCCACCGTGTGATGAACCAGTACATCCAGGACACATCGAAGAAATGTGGAGTCGATGGAGTGACGGTTTATGGGGCTCGAGTGGCCGACGTTAGCAAATACGGTCCGAAATGGCAAGTAACATGGTCAACTATACAAGAAGACCCCGAGTCGGGTGAGATACGAGAGCATTTTGACACTTCGGTAGGGGCAGTTCTCTGGTCTGAGCCGGAGACAACGGCTGACATTGTCATGAAATGAAGGATTTCGACGCAGTAGTCGTTGCGTCTGGCCATTATCACGCACCTCGCATTCCGGATATTCCAGGTCTCGCTGAATCCAAGACGAAATGGCCTGCCAGGATCCAACATTCGAAGGCGTACAGGAAACCAGAGGGTTTCGAGGGCAAGGTAAAGTGTCCAACACTACAAGATAATCCAGTGGCCCTCGCTGATCCTCTACCTTCAGGATGTTCTCCTCATCGGAGGAGGAGTCTCCGCAGCAGATATAGCCGGTGAAATAAGTTCGGTAGCCAAAGATATATACCAAAGCACACGGAATGGGTCCTTTGACCTACCAGCAAGTGTTCTGCCGGAGAACGGGGTGAGGATCAGTGAAATTGCTTCCTTCGAACTGCAGCACAGCCAACGTGCCTCCGAGTCTCTCCCAGTTAATGAGCCCTTGCCGTTAATCGTGCACCTCAAATCAGGACAGAAACTGTGTGGAATCCACCGGATCATCGTCTGTACCGGATACCACATCACCCTTCCTTTCCTTCGCGAGTACCACGAGGATGACACTCCTCCGGAAAAGGCCAGTGACACAGTAATCGTCACTGACGGCACGATGGCCCACAACTTGCACAAAGATATATTCTACATCCCTGACCCCACACTTGCTTTCGTCGGGGTCCCGTATTATACGGCCACGTTCACTCTCTTTGAGTTCCAGGCCATTGTCGTGGCAGCAGTATTCTCGGGGGTCGTCCAAATACCGACGGAGAGCAGCATGAGAGAGGAATATACGGAGCGAGTGCAACAGCATGGGGCTGGGCGAGAATTCAACTCGCTGAAGGATAAGGAGGAGATCTATGTCCAGGATATCCTGCGCTGGATCAACAGCGATCGAGCAGGGCAGGGGTTGCCACCGATCGAGGGACACACTGATGCCTGGCTCAAAGCCAAGGAGAAGCAGAAAGAACGGTTCCGGCTTAGATTTGCAGGGAACGGACAGGACTCCAAGGTTCCTGTCCTCCCGGCCTGTGCCTGAGGTAGCGGTTATGGTTTAGCAGCGCAGAATCCTACCTGGTAGATACCCGTGCAGCCTGGGTCAATGAAGCTGAAGCAGCACACCCTCACTTCCTCGGCACGCTGTAGATTACTACCTAGATGGATATACAATATGATACTACCCATAAGCTTATGCACCTGGCACACCATCCCTCTGGCGGATGGCGAGTGTTTTCCGTGCTGAGACCGGCCGGCAATTGCGCGAGCCCTGCTTCTGATGGTAAATTGCTGTTATCTTGCTTTCCAGTCGTCATGATAATTGGCCGACTAAAAGAGATAGCATGCTGGCACTGTCAACCGTGCATCTGGTATGGACATGGCTATTTAACGGGCACCGCTATGGCTGCTCCTGGTCTGTTGTGCACTTCAAAGGCGGCTTTTACCCCCCTTGCTCGCGACGGATTCCCCTTCTTGTGCTATCACTGATCACTCGGCCGGAGGCTTTCTGCTGTTTGTGTCGTGGCTATGACTGCAACGTCGGCCGTGGTCGATGAGGGAGCAGTGAGCCCTTCAGAGACCGTCGTCAAGAAAGAGCCGAAGCGAAAATGGATGAGCTACATCTGGGATACCTTTGACAAGTCTCCTCAGGAGCGCAGATTGCTTTTCAAGCTGGATACGGCCATCTTGACATTCGCGTCTTTGGGTGGGTTTCCTTTCTTCTGTGCGTTGGTATGTGTAGATGACGCTGGCTTACCTCTAATTTCCTCAGGGTACTTCATTAAATATCTCGACCAGATCAATATCAATAACGCCTTCGTTTCCGGAATGTATGTTTCCCATTACTTGTTCTATTCCCATTCGAAATTCGACGTTGACAATCCACAGGAAGGAAGACCTGGGCTTGTACAAGAACCAGCTGAACAACATCCAGACATGCTGGACCGTTGGCTATGTCATCGGCGAGATCCCAAGCACCCTGCTCCTGACGCGTATCCGCCCAAGATACTGGATTCCAGCAATGGAGGTATGGAGTGCGTGCTATCTTGCCTCATCGTGCATTCAGGGCTGACCGATCTCTCCAGCTTATCTGGACTGTTCTCACGTTTTCCCTGTCGAGATGTAACACTGCTTCCCACTTCTACGCGCTGAGGTTTCTGATTGGTATGCAGCAAAAACTCACTCTTTCAAGTGCGGCTATTGACGTGAATGCACCAACACTCCAGGACTCGCCGAAAGTACCTTCTACCCCGGAATGCAGTACATCATCGGCTCATGGTACCGGAAAGACGAGCTCGCCAAACGCTCCTGTATATTCCATACTAGCAGTGGCATTGCCGGCATGTTCTCCGGGTATTTGATGGCGGGAGTATACCACCTGGGCGGCCGTGGTGGGTTTAAGGGATGGCAATGGTAATGGCTGGTTGACAGAAAAGTCCTCCATTCCAATTTTTCTCACTGAATGCATAGGCTTTTCCTCATCGACGGCATCATCTCCCTTCCCATTGCGCTGAGTGGGTTCTTCATTCTACCCGATGTACCGGAGATTTCCAATCCATGGTATCTAGGCAAAGAGGTCCGTCTGTCAGCATTCTTGACAACCGTGGGCTCGCTACTCACCTGTAGCGTTTCTTGCAGGAAGTTGCCCTGGCTCAGAAACGAATGGAGCTCGAAGGGAGAGAGAACAGAGGGCCTTACACAAAAGCTAAGCTCAAGAAGATCTTTACATCGTGGCATATCTATCTCTTGACGCTGTTGTATATGTGAGCCAGGCAGTTTTCTTTTCAAGTTGTCCTTGCGGATGGTCTGCCCTGACAAGTTATAATAACATAGAATGTTCAACAATGCCGGAGCAGGCGGCAGCCAGCCCATTTTCCAACAGTAAGCCATTGCCCTTTGGTGGAGTCGATTATTGGGTAAAATTACATATTGACAAAATAATGCGCAGATTTCTGAAAGATTCCAAAGACCCCAAGTACAGCGTTGGGCAGATTAACGCCTATGCAACTACACCAAATGCCGTCCAAGTGGCAACGACTCTCATCTATGCCTGTAGGTCGAATTTCTCTGAACTGTACGTATCAAGCTTGGAACTAACATTTTTGCACAAGGGCTTTCTGATTCGGTCCTCAAAGGAAGACGCTGGCCACCCATTATTTTCGGTGCTGTAGGTTCTCCCAAATCCAGACCCTTTCTCTGCTGCATATAACCGAACCATTTCTTTCTTTAGGTCATGAACATAATTTGCTACCTCTCATTAGCCGTTTGGGATATCCCCATCGGATGGAAATGGGCTTGCTTCATCCTTTGCGGAGCGGGATTCGGACTCAGCGGTCTATGTATGGCGTATGTTTGCCATTACTTCCTCTCAGTCTTTACAGAAGGGAAGAAAAAGCTAACCGGCATTAGTTGGGCCCATGAAATCTGCTCCGACGACAACGAAGAACGAGCCCTCACGGTGGGATCCATGAATGAAATGGCCTATGTCTTCCAGGCATGGCTGCCACAGGTCGTATGGCAGCAGGTCGATGCACCTCAATACCAAAAGGGCTATATCACGGTGACGGTCTTTTCTGTCGTTCTCATCATCACTGCATTTGCCATTAGGGCTTTGGAACGGGTAGAGAATTCGAAGAAGTATGCTGACCTCTTTCCCCCCCACTATCTGTTACTGTTGGCATACTAACCTTCAATCTCAGGGAACGAGAAAAACAGCAAAGGGAGGACAGTGATGGGGTTCTTTCAGTTTCAGTTTCAGACTCACCCAGAGTTACGCCTGTTGATGAGAAGGCGATTAAATCATAACCTCTTCGAACATTGAGCAAGAACAGGGTCCCGACCTAGAAAACCTTAGTTTACATGGATGACATCTATTTTTATATGGCAATATGCCCTTACCAGTCTCCGGCTATAACGCGGCTATAACGGATCCCTTAAGAAATTTATCCAAGGGCGTAGGGCTAAGACCATAAAGCCCTAAAGCCACTAGGGTTCGATCCAACCAGTTCCTTCAACTGGACTTGTTTTCTCCATTCTCCGTTAATTCTGCTGGCCTACTGGAGTTTCTCGGCGCTTTTGACATCAAGGGCTAACATAGAATGGAATTAATCTCAAATAATAAGTACAGTAATCCATCTCTTAAAAAAGGAGTGGTTACACAGACCGCTCAGAACACTGCCCTCCTAGTTCTTCCTTCTCCATGCCGACTTCTTTCGTGAACAGAACTATCCAAACCAAATGAAACGAATGGCTGTAGACTCCGGTGATCGTATCTAATGTCTCTAGCAGTACTGGTGGTTTGAGATCCCCCAGCTGAGGAATGAACCTAGTGGCGTTCTGGCTGTTCTCCAGTGCCACAAGACTGCTGACAGTGTATCAAGTTCTTTGATGGTTTTTGCAACAATACCAATTAACTATCTATACTATGCCTATGAAGGAGCTGGCATAGGAGAACCATCAATATCCCCCTGGTTCTATAATAAAAGCCTATATATAAAAGATCAACGGGATTGAAACAGACATGGGAAACATTAGGCAACAAGAGCATGTCCCAGGCTCATTGGTACCATATTTCGCTTCCTTCGTTGGAATCTGCAGACACCTGTCCTAGATAGGCTCTGTCCTGCACAAGCTTCTGTGTCCCTGCATTCATTAGGGTGACAGCCCTCACAAAATAAAGGATGGGCAACTTAGGACTACCACGTTATGAGAGATGGGCAACCCAGAGAGGCTCAGTGTGGGCCATGATCGGTGCTATGACATACTCGCCGAGTAAGGCCCTGGGCGCCCTCATTAAAGTGGCTACTTCCAAGAAAGGAAAATAACAGCTACGGTCTAAATCCGGTACGTACAGTATGGTATATATGTTCGGGAAATCTATGCAATCCGCTAAAGTTTCGCCTTGAAGGCATGTCGTAAGTCCTCAAGACCAGATGGTCCGTCGTATATTTGCTGCTCCACAAGCCGGGTATTGATCTATTGAGTCAATGGGTTAGTATAGGCATTGAAATCAGAAAAAGGATTAACCAAACATACATGTTGCGGCCCTAGGTCCTCAACCCTTTCAACGCCAAGTAACCGCATGCATGTGCTCGTCTCATCAGCCAGAACTAGAAAATCGGTTAGCAACACCCGATGCACGGATTTGCACCAGCATAGGACATACTCTGCAATGTCCGCTTCACACCGTCAACACCACCGGCGGTTAAACCCCAGAGCGCAGGCCGGCCAATACCCACGGCCTTGGCACCGAGGCAGAGCGCTTTGACAACATCAGTGCCCCGTTTGATACCACCATCAACGAATACGTCAAGCTTATCGAAGACCTCTGGGCAGTACTTGCGGATCTCCAAGAGGGTATGCACAGCAGGGGGTGCTGTATCCAAAGCACGGCCACCGTGATTGGAAAGAATTATCCCCTTCACTTGAGGCGTATGGAGGGATGCAATATAAGCGTCCTCATGGGACTGGATACCCTTGAGGATAATCGGTAGGTTGGTATGTTTGGCCAACCACGGAAGGGTATCTTTCCAAGTCAGGGTAGGATCCGTACCCGCAAACAGCATCTTCCCGACGCCACCGCTTCCTTTCTCAACATCCGGCGTGCCATCAACAGTACGCGCGACGTCTTTCGCGCCACTCGGGGCTTCTGCCGCCGTGCTGGTAAGGTTGTTTCGCTCGTCATCTTCTCTTTTGCCCGGAACCGGCGCATCCAATGTAAGGACGACGAATTTGATCGGGTTGAGCTTGTTGATCCGTGCAAGCATGGCTTCGCTCTTCTCGCGTTCAATCTGAACATATAACTGCCAGCCAAACACCTGGTCTGGAGCTGCATCTTTCACGATCTGTTCCGGTGTCATGGACGCATTGGTGGAGATCAACTGCATGGCTCCAAAGCTGCGGCATGCTTCTGCAATTCCAGCCTCGCCTGCTGGGTGGCCCAAACGAGCCATTGCAGTAGGACATACAAAAATGGGCAACCCCAATTTGTGTCCTAGGACAGAAATACCAAGGTCGCAACGTGTGCAGTCGATGAATACTCTTGGCCGGAGTAAGATGGAGCGGTAGACGTCAGTATTAAAGCGCTTCGTGACCTTGTCATCGGATGCGGAGAAGTAGTATGCCCATGCTCTTTTGCTGGCCCGTTTGGTGGCCGCGGCTTCGATATCGTCCATATTGAGAAGTGCTTCGAGAGGAAGCGGTCCCTCTTCTTGCTTTTCTGACGCTGCAGGTTTCGCCTGTTCCTTAGCAAGTGTTTTGGGGTCGACTATACCCAACAAGGCTCCGGGCTTGAGGTTGTCCTCTAGAGTGCCCGGTGGGTGGATAGGATCATATTCCTCGGTGGCATCTTTGCCAGCCAGCTTCAGGATAATCTTAGCTCCACCAGGGTGATTGTAGATGAAGTCTGTTACCTACAATGAGTTGCGTGCGTTAATTAGTTTGAAAATTACCAATGACAGAGGTGACGGGAATAGGGGAAATCTTACATCGTAGACCTTGCCATACAATATTACCCAGCAGCTTTCCGGGGTATTATGCTTTGCGACTACATTCATGAGCAAGTATCTTGGATGCTTTGGGGGAGAATGGCATACCCTCAGTCGCATCAAACACCTTTCCCATCTTGGACGCAATACACACGAAGTGGACGATTTTCAAGCAACAGACGTGAGCAAGAATAGGGAGAGAAGAGGGAATGAGGAGAAGTTGGAGAAATGTAGCTGCAGATAAGCGTTCGGCGAATGACCGTCGGCAATTGACCGATCCTTCGGAAGTGTTCCTTCCAGTCACGAGCCTTGGAAAGCGGCTTAGTAACGATGCAGAAGAGAAGCTGAACCTTTTGCAACTATTATTTACGGAGTACTCGAGGGCAAGAATGGGTGGCTGAGTTGAGTAGTTTGGCAGTGGACTTGCGGTCTTGTGGATTTGGCTGCAGCGTTGGGATGAACAAAAGACACAAGTTGATGGATATTCTCTCTGCCAAAGTCCGATGGTAGTCTTTCGCTGAGGTAGTCCATCAGAGCTTCACATTGGGTACTCTTGTCAATCAAGCGGTGTATCTGTGATCTCAGGGGTTCGTTCACCAATCTCCTTGTCTGTGCATCCCGGCATTTTCCAGAGGGAAAAGTGGTTGGTTTGTGGCAGATTGAAATACCTATATATATACAATAACAGTTAGCTGATGATGAGAAGTCATTGAGACACTGAAGGTAAAATTGTACCAAACAGTCCAGTGACCAAATATCAATTTCCTCGTCCCAGGGCTCACCTTCAATAAGTCCACGAGGGCACAAGGCTCTGGGAGTTACTGGACGCGCATGGTGTTGGCGACCGCTCCAGATGGCTAGTATAATGATTAGCAAACATGAGCAGCTCAGAGGCAAGAGAAGGGGCACCCTCCACCCAGGTCACCTATCCAAACTGAGAGTCTCTGGAAGCCTACATCATCTAGCATTCCACGAGGTCTTTGCGAGGGAATCAGGTACCGGGGTGCACTATCTTCAACTTCCGCACCTGAAAGCCATTCGACAGGACTAAATGTGGTGGCATCATCAGCTGAGAAGAAAATGTCGGCAGGCTGTAGATCTAAGAAAATGTCAGTGGCCACCTTTGTAGCAATAGCAGTGCAGACTATACCGCTATGAATAATGGCCTGCTTGCGTAGAAAATCCAAGCCTACCAAGATTTGCCTGGATACAGCTTGACAGTTTGCGTAGCGAGGCTTTTTTCGAATAATCATAACTTGGCCATCAAATACCGTCATTGGAAACACAAGGCAAAGATGCGTGCCGTTTGGCCCTCTATGCTCAAAATAATCTAGCAATTGGACAACATGCTTCTGTCCATGCTGTTCAAGGTTGGTCCGATAAATGTAGCAGAATAGGAAGCTCCTTGTTTGGTCTCGAAGCGTCTGCTTTAAGTATCTTCAGTACAACATGGAGCTGAAGCCTAGGAGGATGGGAGATAACCGGAGGTAGTGATCACTTCTTCTCATCCATTGCGAGACACCCAGTAGAATGTTGACCATATGCTAATTTTACAAGCACACGATGTTGTCGGTTAAGGACATCTCCAACATGTACTGGGTGAGAACCTCCCCCACGGTTCTCAACCGGTTCGACAACATGGTAGATCCACTCGAAAGATGCATTTCTTAAGAGTAATAAAACGAGGCAATATGAAAAGGTCCGAAGCAAAAGATGGGGTCAATTCACAGAACGATGGGGGACTTCGATAGATATACAGCTTCGGTTTATCCCATCTGGGAAGCATCATGTGGTGTACAGCGAATGTGCTTTTAAGAGAGTAGAAAATAAATAGAATACTAGTTTAATACTAAATAGCAAGTGAGAAGATGAAGACAGATTAATACAAGTAGTGTTCTATACCGAGAGGATATTCAAGTGCCAGCCTCCTAGGAGTTAAGGCGGATACAGTGACGAGTGGTCCCGATTGCAGTTATTTCTAGCATCAATGTCACAGGCATTCGTATTCTATTGTAATTTGGTAGTTGGACCCCTGCAATATCCAGAGGATGTGGTGTGTGAGATATTATTGTTACAGGAAGCAGATGTCAAAGTATATTATCTATATTGGAGAAAGTCCCCACAGGTACCTTGTACGAGGTACTTCGTACCTCTCCGGATTCTTCCCAAACTCTGTCTACTCTCTACCAACATGAGTGAACAGTGCGAACACCCCCATTTATCAGTGTGATTCACTCGTTCTCCGTACCGTTTCATTTCATCTTTGAAAGTGCTCCCCTTGATCGAGAAGCTGCCGTGGAGTAGGCGTTGCGCATCCCAGGTACTCCGCACCAAGCGACATACGAAGCAGAGCTCGTCCTGTCCACCTTCTCTACGAATTTTGGGGGGTGATAACTGTGAAGACTCCCCTCTGTTCAGGATTCCGGTGCACCTCTAATTCGTAGCACAAACTCTCTCCCACCGGCGCTATGTTCGAGGTGCGTGCTTGACCGGCTTAAATGCCAATTCGGTCCCATTTCAGCAATGCAGTGCTAACTGATCTATCAGCGTCGTGCAGCAGATAGATACCGGTTGCGGATGCATCGCGCCCGATCCGTCGCACTGACCGCAGAAGAAATGGTCGAAGTACGCGCGGCTCAGCGAACGTTCGAGGGTGCCTACGTGCGAACGGCCCTCTCGCAGTTCTCCTTCGCCCTGATCGTTCTCAGGATCTTTACACGGGAATTCTACAGTATAGGTGCGCTATTCGCGGTCTACGGTGCCGGAGTGCTCATTATCGGTGCCTACCGTCGCCACCAAGGGAACCGTCAATTTTTTGAAGAGACAGGAGATGACGGTGTCCAGCGCCACAAGTTCCGCACAAGCGGGAATGCCGTCCTGATCCTGACCACGTTGAGCATTGCAGCTTACATATGTCTCATCGTGCTGACAGCGAGACTGAGCAGTTGATCCTAGAAGACGGGGGAGATGTGTCTGAAGACAGTTCGTTCTAATGGGCTATGTTGGTTTCCCTTTTGGCTACTCAAACATGGCTGCCTGCAAACGACCCCTGCCCCATCTGGGCGGCGCCAAGGATTCCGCTCATTTTCGCTCCTCTCCTATGTGCCGATCAGGGGCGGGATGTATCTATTTCCTTGTGCCTAGCGATGCCAAGAATGCCCAGCCTGGCTCCTTTTGCAGCAGGGCGCACAGCTACTCTGAAGGGATAATGTTCTAGCAACAAGATCAACACTCCTGCATTTCAATCTGCAGCGAGGCGGATCATTCCAATCCGAATGGCATAGCGTTGGCTGAGATGCAGGCATCTGAGTTCCTCGCTGAGCTGAACCCGTGACTTTGTCGGTCATCTAGCGGTGATGAATCTCAAACGACACGCAGGTGTACGCTTGTCGGACGAGGCTATCGACTGTGACAGTAAGCCTGTCTCGTGAGTTCATCCTGCGGACACAGCTGTCCACGGAGATCCGTGTAGAGCATGTACTTACGATGGACTGGTGTAACCATTCCCCGGTCATACCAGCCCAGCTGGATAGATACGCATATAATAAAGCATATTGAAAATTATAGATGAGTTGGCCAAGCACAGCTGTCTCTCTTTTAGGCATTTCACCTGTTTCGTGCTGTGTTCCGAGGTTCTTTTGGCGCGTATTCGATAAACCACGCGGTTGAATCTACACCAGTCATATAGCCACATGTGCTGCATTAACAGGGAATGTAGTTTCAGCCAGGGAAAAGGCTGGATGAAACAGAAGCCTTTCACTGGCCGAAGAGAAGGCTGCTGTCACTCAGGGGGAGAAGGCTGTCCTGCACAAGGTGAGAAAAAGGAGAGGTGACTGCACCAGCCAACCAGTGCACACCCCCTTTTTCAGAGTTGTGCCCATTTTTGTTTTTTTTTTTTTTTTTTTTTTTTTTTTAGCAGGAAGAAGCGAACACAGTGGTGGTGGCTGAGAGTTGAGTTGGTTGGGGAAAAGGAATGATGAAAGTGACGTTTGTAGGTTGAGTCATTCCAGAGAAAAAAGGTGCAGACTCCCGCTGCGGCCTCACTGTTCTGCGCCACCGCTGGAGCTTCCCCCTACTCCGTCTTCACCCTCCGGAGTCTATCTATCTATCGCTGCAGGCTTCTCTTTCCCATCTATCTGTATCGCTCTTGCATCCAGCTTTCACTCACTCACCTCAGTCCTCTTTGTCTGATACCTCTATTGACTGGTTTCTGTTCCTCACCCTCCTGCGGCTGCTTGGTAGCAGGTCCAGCATGACCCAGCAGCACTCGGATATCGCGCGGTCGGCCATTATAGGGAGTATGTCCCTATATTCATCCGAGCCATCCAGTCTCAAGAACCAGGATATTCCCCAGACCAACGGCGTTCACGAAAGTAACAGTGGCGAGGCCAAGGGCAGCAGCAGTAACGGCCTTCACGGCAACAGTAACGAGGGCGTTGACGGGAGCGCCAAAAGCGATGTCAGCGACAACAGCAACGGCTCCGATGGCAAGGATTCGACTCTTATGCCGCCGCCGAAGTCAGTGATCGGGAGAGCACTGGGTAGTAATATGAACGGCGTGCCGACCGACAAGGCGTCATTATTATCGTTCAGCAACGGGGTCGGAAAGGCCCTGACGGACACTCCGATTTCTACCGCACCCCCTTCTCCACAGATGTATGTGATTGCTCCTTTGCCCCGAGCCTCCGGTATCTTGCACGGCCCTGCTTCTTCCCTCGGGCCAGACCGGCTGCAGCTCTGCTTGCCTCTGCCTCTCTGCATATTGATAATAACACAGCGTGATGCTTCTGCTTTGTTGTGCTTGCGCTAACCCCGTCTTCCCACAGACTCGCCCGCTCACAGCCCCCCACCCCTCCCCGAGTTCGTGCCACCACCCTCGACATCCCCGGTCTGACCAGATCAAAGGCCTCGCCCGACGGCAGAATCTCCCAGCGCGATGTGGGGTCCAAGCTGGTCATCGTCATGGTGGGTCTTCCTGCCCGGGGGAAGAGTTACATCACCAAAAAGCTGGCTCGCTATCTGAACTGGCTCCAGCATGACGCGGAGATTTTCAACGTAGGCGAACGTCGCCGTCTTGCTGGGAGGTCCCCGTCAACTGGAAACGGGAGCTCTGCTTCCCACAAGGACCTAATCGACTCCGTCAAGAGGTTGAGTGTCAGTATAGGCGCAATGGCCTCGCCGCCAGACGAGAGTACCTTACCGCCAGCGGCCGTTCCTACCAAGATCCTTGTGAATGGTGAAGAAGCAATCCAGGACGGTGATGCCCCAACCGTCATTCCGCCCATCGACACGGGTCTTACTGCTGCGGAGAAAGCCCGCTCCCAATCTGTTACACAGTCCGCCGAGTTCTTCGATCCACAGAACCAGAGCGCCGTGAGGTTGAGAGAGCAAGTGGCTCTGGATACACTCGACGAGCTCCTGGATTACATTCTAGAACGTGGAGGCAGCGTGGGTATTCTGGATGCCACTAACAGCACCCTGGAGCGCAGAAAAGCCGTCGTCGACCATATCCGCCGTCGCGCTGGTCCCGAACTGGGCGTTCTCTTCCTTGAGAGCCGCTGTGTGGACCAGGAGCTGTTGGAAGCCAATATGCGGCTGAAGCTTTCCGGCCCCGATTACAGGGACCAGGACCCGGTCCAGGCCTTGGCAGATTTCAAGAAACGGGTGTCTCTGTATGAAAAGTCTTACGTCCCTCTTGGCGAGTATGAGGAAAAGAACAATATGGCCTACATCCAAATGATTGACGTCGGTCGCAAAATTGTCTCTCACCAGACGAACGGTTTCCTGTCCTCACAGGTTGTCTACTACCTCCTCAACTTCAACTTGTCACCACGCCAGATATGGATCACAAGACATGGTGAAAGCAAGGATGACCAGGTAGGGCGCATCGGAGGCGATTCCGATTTGAGCGAGAATGGAGTGCGGTATGCAAAAGCCTTGGCCAAGTTCATTGACCATCAACGGAAGCAATGGGAGTTGTACCAGAGACAGAAGGAATTGTTGAAGAACTTCCCACCTCGTCCTGGCGACAGCACTCCACCAAATCCGTCCTACATTCCAAGCGATCGTCCCCGTAATTTCTGCGTGTGGTCGTCGATGTTGAAGCGCTCCGTGCAGACCGTCCGTTACTTCAACGAAGATGAGTACGACGTCAAGGAAATGAGAATGTTGGACGAGCTCAATGCAGGAAAACTGGAGGGCATGACTTACAATGAAATCCGCGAGAAATACCCCGAGGAGTACGGCCATCGGAAGAAGGACAAGATGTTCTACCGTTATCCCGGACCAGGAGGTGAAGGTTACCTTGATATCATCAATCGACTCCGTGCTGTGATTATCGAGGTTGAGCGAACTACAGACCATGTGCTTCTGGTCAGCCACCGTTCGGTTGCTCGTGTCCTCCTCGCTTACTTCCGTGGCTTGAAGCGTGACGAAGTGGCCGATCTTGATGTCCCATTGGGCATTGTATATATGCTAGAGCCCAAGCCTTATGGCGTTGACTTCAAGGCATACCGCTACAACCCCGCGACCGATTGGTTCGATTATATTCCTGACTTCCAACTTCGCCAAGCAAGCTATTAAGCATCTCATTATCCTTGGAAATAGGATTTTTCCATGCCGAAGGAACGATGACACTGTTCTGGTACACAGATGGTTTTCCTACTCCTTCCTAAACCCCCTACTCCATACTCTTTCCGGAATACTCCTATCTTCTCTTCGATATTCCACGACTTCATTAATGTCCTTCACAAACCGCGTTGTTGCATCACCACTCTCTCATAACTAGCAACTCTGGAATTTCCCCTGACGTCTTAAAGTTTCGGGCTTATTTCTTGCTGATTTTGCTCCTCGCCCTGACTTTCTGCCCTCAACTGCACTATCACACAAAATATCCTTCTTCTGTTTCTTTGGTTCAATTAGCGTATGGGTTTTCTTTGGGCGTCTAATTGCGTAACGGGAGTCTTTTTCCTCTTGTGGCTATGTCTCTTTTAACTCTTTTTTTCTTCCTACGTTGTGTTATTTCTTTTCTAGACAGGATACTCCCATTGTCCTTTTGTACGGTTGCTGGCGTTTAAGGATAGAGGGCTCTCAGATCCTCGGTGGGTTCTGTTCTAGAAGAGAATGTTGAGTAGAAAGACTCCTGCTGGGCATGAGCGTCGAAAGATAGGAATGGTGGATGTTCTGTCATGGATTTGGGAATTTGGGATTTTCGCTAGAGAGAAATTGTCAACGGAAGAATGAATAGATCGTGTGATTTGCATCTTGTTTTTGGCTTTCTCGATGCAGAATTCTAGCTATCTATCTAGTCCGCTCAATCATACACCGAAGTTTTTATTTGCTGGCCTCTTTTCCGTCTAATCTCTTCCATATACTACACCCTGCAATTTTACTGGAGTTTCAAGGGAGGACAGGGAGCTGTACAAACTCTACGAAGCGATACAGACAGGAGGTACAAAAGGAAGTTAACTGTGCTGCTTAAATATACAGAAGACATGACTAGGTACTGAGTGATAACAATACACAATGCTTCAACATGATTGATCGTCGAAGGACCTCGTTCCCGTCATCTTTAATTCGTCATCCCATGGATAGAAGGAATAAGCCAGAGGAGATAGGAAATATGATATAGAGTTGCAGTCGACAAGATTTCCAATTAAACATGACGAGAGCCAACTAACTAGAGCAACTGCCCTCCCTGGTTGACCAGAGCCAAGTCGCTCAAATTCGCGGCGACAGCGTTTGACGAAATCCATTGAGACGGTCCCGGATGAGCTTCTCTCCTTTCTCGAAGGACAGCAGCGAACTACAGAGATTGGGATCCACGAGTTAGTATGAAACATCCAGAACCACAACACTGGAGACACAAGATGCACATAAACATACCTTGAACCCGAAGTTCATAACCAGCGCCGCCGCCAGACCGAGACACACAACCACCGGCCCAAGAATATTGTCCAGGTCCTGACCGCTCCGCTGGCGGATAAGCCTAGCGCGGAATTCATATATGTACCATCCCCAGGCTGCCGCGAAAAGAGCGAAGAATGTGTAAACCACAGAGAGCGCGCGCGCAATATCATTGTGCTTACCCGCAGCGTTATACAGGCCTAAGGAGAGCGAGGAAAGGAGTACACTTATGTGTAGCCACTTAATGAATGTGCGTTGGTTAGCGAGCCATACTTTACTTTCAACGCGTACCGGGCCAGCATCCTTGATCCATCTGCCTGGATGCCGAATTCCAGGCGGTAGGTCAACAGATTCATTATGAGAGTTTCGAGAGCGTGAGATTGGAAATGACGGGAAAAAGGAGGCAAGACGAGACGGCATGTTTGCCAGTTCATAAGACTGGCGAGCTTCTACAGAAGGCCCAGGTTTTGCAGCGGAGGGCCTGTGTGAAGGATGTGTTGTCGTCTGGGGTGTTTTCCCAGCTTGTGACGGAGACCCTACGTCGATGAGCCTACCGGCTGGGGATCCGATGAGAGCCCCAAAGGAGGGACTTGAACGGTTCCCCATGAAACTTCCCACTGCCATGTCATCCTCAGCCCGTTTCGCCAAGCGCTCCTGCTCTTCGTGGAATGCGGTCTCTGGATCGCGTCGGATGTCATTTTCCAGTTCGCCCAGCCAGAACGGGAAGCTGTTGACATAGTCATCAAACAATTGGGCGACGCCGTGAACAAACTTTGAGAATCGAGGAGCTTCCTTCACTAGATGGGAGGTCATAAGATCCCTGGCCCATTCAGCGTTATGTGCGTTCCCCTTCAGCTTGATCTCCAACAACGCGTGAGGGAAACGGGCGATCTCGCCAGCCCTAATAGCATTGAACGGATACTCCATGGCGGCATCGTCAATGTCAGTGCGATGCCATTGAGAAGGATCGCGACATGGGCGGTCCTCATCCAAGCAATCCTCCCTGATCAAGGCCAAATTGGTGTCGAGAGAAATCCGGATCCGGTCATCGCCAGGAATCTGGAAGGCTGTGCGGGTGTAGTTCGCTCGAAGCATGGGCTGCAGATTATTCTCTTTGATAAATGCTTGTAGCTCCTCCACATCTCTCTTCAGCGAATCGGCCTCTACCAACTCTCCATGCCCAACCTCCAACATTCTGTGGACCTTCTTGTCGAATCTATACGTGCCTTCAAGAAATTCCTGAATGTGCTTCTCCTTGAGCTGCAACCTCACGTCTCGACTCTGGTCATCTTCCGTAAGAACCTTCTTCTCCAGAAAGATGGCTGGCTTGTCTTTCAATTGCCCGGTCCAGCGTAGCCTCAAGGACCCAGCGTCAGGAGCCTTTGCGACCTTCTGGTTGTAAAGATCGAAACGAGGATTGTCGAAATATAGAGACGTAATAGTGGGATCTTCAATGGTCGCGAGATTATTGGAGTTTCCTGGTCTGTAGATGAGAACAGGGAGTCTTCGGAGAATGTAAGTCTTCACCTCCAGGAGATTATCTGCGTGCACCCAGAATTTGTACGATGAGTACGACTCGCGACCGAAGACAGTTTCCGAGGGCTTTCCTGGTTCGGGGACATCCTGACTGAGTACCTCACGGACAAATGAGTACATCACAGATATTCTGTTGACGAGATGCGAGTAATCCTCCGAATTAAGCGGCAGCTGTGACAGTCGCACTTGGAGAAGGGGCTTGACCTTATATCGCGCACCACGCTTGCGATCGTGTTTCTTCGCAGCTTTGAGAAAGCCGGTGAAGTTTATCCGACTATACTTTTGCAGTTCGCTCACTTCTTTGAGGATTCGGTCAAGCTCGTCGAGGACCTCACCGGCAATAGCTTTCCTCTTCGTCTCCTCGACAACCGGCGCCTCCTCGTCATTTGACCCAGGTACTAACTGCCGCAGTTTAACCTCACATGCAGATGTCCGTTCCCGAAGCTGACTAGAAGTCTCAACCTGAAAAGCATTGACCTTATCCAGCTGAATGTTGATCAATTCATTCACGAACGCCTCCTCATCTTGCTCCGTCCAAGTGGAGCTCTCGGTATCACTGTCATCTTCTACTGTCACTTCATGCTCTCTCAAGAGTGACTTTAGCTTTTGATAGTCAATATATTTATCTTTCCACGGAGGGTAAACTGAATTTCGGAGGGTTCTTCCAAATCGCATGGTTGGTGAAATAAGTGGGGAGCTTCCCGTTCTTTGGGGTGTCTCTATGGAATTGAAGTAACAAGGATGCTGTACTCAACAATCAAATTGGTCAGTACTTAACCAGAAGTGACAGTCAAAAGTGCAATCGGAGCACCGTCAGAGAAGAAGTTAGTTTTAGGGAGAGGGGAAGCAGCCGACTTGGGTGGTTTTAGATGATGGATGCATCATAGCTCGCTCTGGAAGCACGTGCGCCAGCAGCAAATTCCCAGCCAATCTGAGGTCGGTTATTGCCGGGTCGATTATCCATTTCCGGTGAAACATTCTGGACCGGAATAACAATATTCCTGTTTATAATCTAATCAGCTTATCGATATGTATCACGTGTTGGAGCTCTCTGCATTGAGCTTCCACTGTTCTGTCAGCCTTCCTTTCGTATTCTGGTTCTATACAAAATACGCACCAATTTAGATATATTCCAAGAACATTAAATTATATTCAAAGCACTCGCTCTACATACCTGATTACACTCGCTGAATGGCGTCGTCACACAAGTCGACTCCACTGTCCAAATCCCTGCATGATGTTCTGGTAGACCTCTACCAACATCCATATCCGCATGTTCCCAATCCACCAAAATGCAAGAAACGCGCGTCGGTAGCTCTCATCCTCAGAGTCCGGCCTTCGTATAGCCACTGTCCCGTCACTTCAATCTCGAAACCGAATCTAAACTTGTCGGTCGAGCAACAGCTAGAAGATTTCTTTTCTCAAGACTGGGTCAGACATGGCGACCCTGAGGTTCTATTTATAAAACGGGCATCTCGTGTGGGTGATCGCTGGACGGGTCATGTTGCTCTCCCCGGAGGAAAGCGAGATCCTGAGGATGCAGATGACAAGGCTGCTGCTATTAGAGAGGCTTCCGAGGAGATTGGGCTTGACTTGACGACGGACGATTATATCCACGTGGGAAATCTTCCTGAGCGAGTTGTCACCACCTCCTGGGGTGCCGTACCGTATGTTAGTCGCTTCTGTTTCTCTTTACCGGGAAATTGACACTTTCTCTAGCTTGATGGTCCTCTGTCCCTTTATTTTCTTATCAACACGCAGCGACTCGCCCACGCTCAACCTGCAGCCGACAGAGGTGGCTTCGACCCATTGGGTTTCGTTAAGGGCTCTTTTGGCTCCATCTTCCCGAGCAGTAGAGCATGTCGATGTGTCTGATCGATTTGTAAAGCAGGGCGGGTCTTTCATCCGGCTCGCATGTCGGTCCATAATCGGCTGGATGCAGTTTTCCGCCATCCGTCTGACACCAACTGAGAGTTTGCACTGTAACTCAGTCCCAGGGTTTATCCCTGGTATCGAAGAGTCGCAAGACTTCCCCTCTATCTTTCAGAAGTTGAAAGCATGGTCTGCACGCGGCAGGCTGACTGATGGGACTCATCGTCCCCTCCTTCTGTGGGGACTGACGCTTGGTATATTGGCCGATTTTCTGGATATGCTGCCTCCCCACACAGCAGTCCAGTTGTGGACATATCCCACTTTCACTCCTCCTGACCTCCGACTCATTGTGAACGTTTTGACTTACCGCCTACGGAAGCACAATATGCTTCTGGCGAAATCCACTATGCGGCCCAATCAAACAGCAATTGATAGTCAGACAGCTGCATTGCCCGTCACCAGGGAGACCGATCTGGACAGCAAAGGTGATGGCGGCATTAGCGGGGTAGGGATTGATAAATACAATGAGAGCTCTCCAGGAAATTCAGATAGGAACTTCTACGCTGTTGGGATTCTATTGGGAGGATACTATGACCGTCTTCGGGTTGCGATCATTGTCTTCCTTGCATGGAGAGCTGCTGCCGGATCTATAGCGACTCTCTCTATTTTCAGACTGTTCCGGCACTATCAGCTTTATTAGTGATAGACTAGCAAATGTAATATAATCACAGCAGTTGGGTGATTTCCATTGCGTATGTCCTGCTGTTGCGCACTGGGTGTCTCCAGCTAGCCCGATTCAGCACGTGCCTGTGAACTAACCATCAGTCTTCCATCAACCACAGCGTCGATCTGCATCTTCATTTCAAACAAAACACGTCCTGTTGACTGCCTATCTCATCTCTGGCCTCCATCGGTGTTACCAGCAATCATGGTCGTCGCACAGAAGCTCTACCCTCGCTCGACAGTGCGGCGCATCGTCAAAGTCCACTCGAACCGGAGCGTGAGCAAGAACGCGGATATCCTGGTGAGCTCTGTCTTTTGCGATTTCCATCTCTCTGTACCATGGTGGCTAATAGCCTAATCATGATGAATTAGATATTTCTGGACTACATGCTGTTTATGCAAGAGTGAGTTCCACGCCGCTGTTTACGACCATTGCGAACTTGCCGGAGTTGTTTCCATATCGAACCTATTTACCCCTCTATTCAACCATATCCAAAAAGAATTGGTGTTGAGAAATTCCTGTTTACTACAGATTGATGCGTGAAGCGAATATCCGATCCCGAAAGGCCGGTGAAAAGAATGTCTCTGGGAATTCGGTACGGAAAGTCACTGAGGTATGTTTACGGGACAATGCCGACCATCGTGCCGTTGGTGGTAGCAGATCTAACTTTCTCGTCATTTTCTATAGAAAACTCTGCGAAAATTTAAAGGATGATGGGCGGGTTCTGTTCTGCCTTGGGCCGGGTTCTTTGCTCGGGTGTTTCTTACGTTACATTCTCTTTCATGATTGCATGTCTTCCAATGGGTGTTGAGGCGTTGTTATCTGGTCATTTCCATTTTATGATACCCTGAAGAGATTTCAATTGAATCCATGGCCACGTGGGACCTTCAATGGGGCATAGCATTTTTTCCAATCAGCGCAAGTAAAGAAGTAGATGTAGCTCTGGAGACATGTAGAGGACTAATAAGATACCCCTTATCCCTTATTACAGACAGCAGATCAGATAGCTGTCAATAATGGAGAGTTTGTTGCCTACTGAATGCAGTCATGTCAGCTTTGACAAGCTGTGCGTGTTGGTTTGAGGATGATCGAATGCCAGCAGATTGACCGTTGGGCTGCAGATGCGATCGGCACGCGACTGGAACAACAAACCTCTCATTCACTCCGCCTTTTTCCTCTTCCAACTCTCAACAATCCCCCACAAAACAGCCTTTCCCCCCTTTCTATCCCTACACGTCCTACAGGAGGCTCTGACATCTTCTACCTTATTGTCTATTTCTTCATATTGCACCATCTCGCTCCCAGTCCGAGTCTGTAAAGTCTACTTGGCCTTTGCGATAACCACTTCCATCATGACTACTAGTTCAGAGAAACAGAAGAAGACAGCTGCTTCTGAGCAGACTGCATCTGAGCTGCCGAATGGTACTGCAGAGGGATTTGAGAACACTTACCTCAAGGATCTCCAGAAGTAAGTACCTAGCTTCTGCCTTTTTTTCTCCCTTTACAATTGCGTGCTTTGTTTTTGTCGTTCGTCGCGTGAATACTTCCTATATTTTAATTATTGGAGAATGATGCTGATTGCTTGTCCTTGCTATCTTCAGGAGCCTTCGCAATGCCACGAAGAAACTGGTCAGTCGCATCATCTTAGGACCTGTCCAGCTCATTCCACACCACTGACATACGATCCTGTCGCTTCCAGAACGCTACCTCCAAAGTCGATGCCATTGTGGCAGAGAACCCTGGAAAATTGCTAGATGACCTAGTCGCGGAAAAGAAACTCAACGCCGATCAAAAGGCCCAGATCCTGAAGAAGCCAACCCTGCAAGCCAACATCGCTCAGCTTGAAGAGCAGATCGGCCACTATAAGAAGTTTGCTACTTACTACGAGGAGCGGCTTGCCAGTCAGAAGGCTGATCTTGAGAAGGCACACAAGGCGGAGTTGGAGGCTATCCGGGAAACCGTCGTCGCCGAGACCACTAGAGCAAATGAGAAGCTGTTCAAAGACCAATTGCTTGCTCTTAGCAAGTTCCTTTCCGCCGCTGCGACCATGAGACGCTCGGGTGATGAGACTTCTATCCAGAGTCGTGCATTTGAGGGTGTTCTCTACCAGGTCTATGGTGGCACCCCTGAAGCCGTTACTCTCATACAGAAACTGGTTGACGGCGTGGAAGAGAAGATTGCTAGTGTTGAGGGGGAGATCCTTGATTTCACTTGTGAGTCAGATACACTTGGTTCTCTTCTATTTTGTTATTATACACTTCTTTGGCCTTCAGATCGCTGACCCTTTCTTTTTTTTTTTAAAAAAAAAAAAAGACGGTAAGGTGAAGCAGGTCTCGGAAGAATATGCTCCTGCCACCGAGGCAATATGCACTGGAGAGGCTGCGACAACTACAGAGATCGCTCCAACATCTGATCCTACTCTGGTTAATGCTGGTCTCACTGAGCTCCAGGATACCACTATGGGAGGTAACGGTATCAACGCTGCGGCCCCGTCTCAGCAGACGGAGATTGCTCCTCCTGCGCAAACCCTTGTGTCGGATGCTGCGAACCCAGTCGCGCAAGCTAATTGGGATCCTAATTCTACTGGCTCTGTCGATGCTACGACGACTGAGAATGGGACGGAGGTGCCACGCGCGCCCGCTGAAACCGATACTGGACTTCAGGCGACCCCAGTCGCGGTCGATATCGGTTTGAAGAACAACCCTACTGCAGCTCAGAGCTCTGGCGCATGGGCCGAAGATGTGTCGGCGGCCCCTGCTTCTTCTGCCTCCAAGGAACACAGCAGCGATGGGTTCGAACCGGTGGTGCATCATCAGAGACAACACAGTGGACGTGGCCGTGGTCGTGGACGCGGTCGTGGCGATGGATTCCGTGGTCGTGGTCGCGGCGATTTCAGAGGCCGTGGACGAGGCCGCGGAGAATTCCGTGGTAACCGCGGGCGAGGTGCATTTGGAGGCCAGCAAGGCCATCAAGGTCACGGAGCCAACGGCGCTGTGGCCCCTGCCACGGAACCCCGGTAGTAATCTTCGGCATGTCAGACACAGTGGCAGTTATTTCATCGGATACCAGTGTCCTAGTTGCTCTCGCGAATGAATATCTCTCTGCATTAAGTCCAAGTTTTCGCAAGAGCCTTTCTTCGCTCGCATGCCTCGCCTCTTGCGATGGCAATTCCTTTATTCCGCCCCCCTCTGGCCTCTCTTTTCTCTTCTCTCGACCTTGCCCGGATGTTTGACCTCGTTGATTACTTGAGTTATGGTTCACGAATACAATGATTCCAGAATCATGAGTTTAGGGTACTCTGTGATGGACCTTTACTTTCATCATTGCCTCGCGCTTCAATCCTCTTTTTTTTTTCCTTTTTCAAATCATTTAAAAAGTTGTTGATTGTATTTGTCCTGAGTTATTGAGCGTGCATATGGTTGCTCTTCATTTGATGCTTCTTCCATTTTCTTTTCTTTACAGACCCACCATCACATGATTCTAATTTTCTTTCACCATTGTACACTTCTCATGTATTCTACCTTGTATTTGGCTGGTGGGTTTGGTCTGCGGCATCTTTCATGAGGGACAGTCTGAGAGGCAGGGACTGGAGGAGTTTTAGGGCCAGTAAAGGGAAAGGAACAATGGATGCAGTACAGGATGGAGCAATGAAGCGTATCTGTGGTTAATTCAATATCCGCATACTGTCACACACACATGCATGCATGCACACAAGTCTTATTTCCATTGAATTGTAGATGTTTGTAAAACTTGCTAAAGAAGCCAGCTGTATTGCACTTGGGGTATCGATTCATTTCCAACCCAGTAATGCACAGGTGGAGCCTGGGTGTTATAAATGCTGGCTGACCTCCATCATTCCTTTTCTTTTGCATTGGATATGATACAGGATGGACAGAAACATACTGGCCCAGACACCACCGCCTTCCTCTCATCCAATGCTACTTTATTTGTTGGAACTTAGCCCTGTGGTGTCTTACCACTCTTCTGGGAAATGAAGGTGAATCTCAATCAGATCGAGTTCTACCATGGCCCAAGTCGCCAGCCGCCATCTACCAGTGCAAGCCAACTACCTCCAGCTTATACTCCACAACCTTTTCAGCATTCTTTTTCGACCGGGTTCGCCTTCCGCCCAGTACCATGTGGGGCACCTCTACTGCGAAAAGGATACCGAGCCACATCAGGCATCTGACCTGGGTGAAAATCCATGCTCAAGGGCAATCGATGCTCCAGAGCAGGCCAAAGATGCCAGCACGGCCAAAGGCAAGTCAGCCACACCTGGCCCATCCACTCAGTCAACCGAGTGCTCTAGTCCAGAACATTTTGGTGCTCAAACGACGCCAACTTCTGATAGCCCAGTGCGCTACCCATCAATAGCTGTGGTTGTACCGCCACCGCCCTAGAAGTAACAAGCTATTAGGACAAGCACAAGGAAGCCAAAACCGTACTCGTCGGACAAGAATGCGCTGCTGGTGCGGCTGAAAGAAAGAGAGGCAATGCCATGGTCTGAGATTACGGCTCACTTTCCAGGACAAAATGTGTTGTCCCTTCAAGCCCACTATTCAACCAAATTACGCCACAAGGCCAGCTCTCGGTCTGAAAGACAGTGATAGTGCTGATAAGAGAAGCTCTTGGTTATCTACTGCCTGCCTAACAACCTTACTGTCGAGGCAGCATCATTGCGTCTTCACATCCAAATGCTTAAGAGTGGCCAACATGCACAGGGTAATAAAAATATTGGATTAAACTTCACATTGCGTCAACAGAGACGTCTGTCAAGCAGAGACGCCAGTAATTCTAGGCTACGGCACCATTCATGAATATGTCAATTATTACACCTCTTTCTGATTTGTTGGAGAATATTTCAGCCAGCCTCCTATCAAACTCCTTCAAATTGGCTATAAACCCAGCGCGGGGCTCCTGGAAGTTCGGCCTTTGTTTAGTCAAGGAACAGCTGGCAATTTGCCCAGGTATGCTTGGCTTCCTCCGTTGTTGCAAGTTTGTCGTACGCTTGAAGGATCCGCGAGAGGGCTTTATAGTGTGATATGGAAAAGGTCACGTGGTATGGCGGCTTGGCTCCCTCTCCAACCCCTGAGAATCCGAGCCCCTGATTGTATGTAGAGCAAGATAAAGAGAGACAAGATCTGAATGGCATCCGCTCCTTAGTAGGCTACGTACGTGTAGTCGATACAGCTTCATTCTGCCCTTCTTCCCTGAGTTACATGCATATTCCACAACAGATGATGACCCTCTACCAGCACCAATTTCTCAGCAGCCTACCCCTGTAGTAGCCACTCCAATATCTGAACCCCTGGCCAAACTAATACCAGAACCGGATTATGATGATCTAATCTCTCATCAGCTCCCTGGTGACCTTAGTCAGCTCTCCATTGAAACCCACCCTCACCAGTGAGAGCATCCTACAACAGCCTCACTGGAACAAGACCCTAGTGCAGTATCAGTAGAAAATATACACAAAGGCAAACAAATCTGGAAGCCTTCAGCATGAGCTCAAGCTCACCTTACCAGGCTAGACCGACCAGCCAACCAACTTGATGGCGTACAAGCCAGATTCTCAGCAGCGTCCTTTTCAACCATTAGGCAGATTAAAGCTGACTAATACCACCATACCCCAGGTATACCAAAAGGATCAACTAGTTGGATTCACCGTGACCAGCTACCACCAGCCCCAGAGAACTGGTGAGACCTTCAAAACCATCCATTAAAGTCTGAATTCATTAAGGCTGCAAAAGCCAAATGGTCTGCAATTACTAAACAAGGAACCTATCAAGCAGTAGAATGACCTAAGAACAAAGCAGTCATCCCTTTATGCTGGGTCTTCACATACAAATTTGATGATGATGGCTATCTTAAAGCTCTCTAGGGATTATGAAAATCCCCTATCCTTTGGCAACGCGAATTTACCAATGCCTGCCTAACATACGGGTTGAAACAAGTCCCAGAGGAATCATGCCTATTTTCCAACCAGGATATCCTCTTATTCATTTATGTTGATGATATTGTCATTCTTTCCTAATGTAAGGCTTCAACGCATCTAGAAATTCCAAGATATATGAAGTTTGCCAATCCCAGAAGTGTGTATGGCATGATAATAATAGAATCTGTTGAGGGGAATATCCCAGCTGTAGCTGGTCATATGATTATGACCCATTTGACAGACTTTGTCAATGTGCAAAGGATTGAATTCTTTGTTCCATTCTTGTATGTAGAAGACACAAGCAAGCAACATTGCTGTTTTAAATCTGATGGATCAGAAAGGATCGAGACCCGGAAGATTGGAAGAATTTCAAAGAATCAAGGCCGAGACGCGTCCCAAATTAGTCAGACAGGGCTTAGGGCTAGGTCATGAGACATCCAGTCATTCAACTCGCCTTTGCGTTTCTTTTACCAATTCATCTCTCATTTTTCATCCAATTCATCAATATCTCATTGCTTCTTGGTATAGAATTCGTCTACTGATTCCATCTTTGTATCTATCCTCTTTTTGTGCTGTACCATGGCGGCTAGACAAGTCTCCGCGCCGCAGCGGCGATCAATCCTAAAGGTCTTAATGATTTCTCTTTTGTTAGATCTGGTACGTGAATTCCTTTGTTTAGTACTCAGAAGTATCCTACTAGGATGTCCTGCGTCTTCTGACAAGCGTTTAGATATCGTTCACGTTCATCCTCCCGCTCTTCCCATCACTACTCACCTTCTACCGCGGCAAAGACCCATCGCCGACGTCACTCCTCAACCGCATATTCCATTACCTCAATGCGTACAAAAACTCTTTTGCCAGGCCAATTGACTCGCGCTACGATATTGTACTCCTCGGAGGTGCTCTGGGCTCCCTTTTCTCCTTCCTCCAGGCCATTGCTGCTCCCTTCATCGGCCGCCTATCTGACAAACATGGTCGAAGAACCGCTCTTCTTTGTTCCATGGTGGGCAATATCCTCAGTGTTGCGCTCTGGGTAGCTGCAACTGACTTCCGCACCTTTCTCGCGAGTCGCATTGTCGGTGGTCTTAGTGAAGGAAACGTCCAGTTGTCCAATGCAATCGCGACCGATATCAGCGATGAGAGCCAGCGGGGATCCACCATGGCCCTGGTAGGCGCCTGTTTCAGTATTGCCTTTACGTGTGGTCCGGCTTTGGGCGCTGCGCTCTCGAACATCACCACGGTAGCAGCGAATCCATTCGCCACCGCCGCGGCCGTTTCTCTCTTTTTGATTGTTCTGGAGACTACGTACTTGTACCGATATCTCCCCGAGACACATCCACGTCTTTCAAAATTTCATACCACTTCGGATTCTGAGCCAGCTCCCTCAAATGGCGCCAAAACCCCGTCCGCTAAATCTACGCCGCGCAAGCATACGAATAACCCAGCCTTGCTTAACTTCATCCATCTACTCTTCCTACTTCCATTTTCCGGTATGGAGTTTTCTCTTCCATTCCTTACGGCAACCCTTTACGCTGGAAGAAGTGATTCCAGTCCGTCAGCTCTTAACGGCCGTCTGCTTTCTTTAATGGGCCTCATTGCATCCCTCCTTCAGGGCACCGTTGTTCGCCGCTTACCACCTCTCGTCACTGTGCGCGCTGGGGTAGTGGCGTGCGCCATTTCTTTCTTCCTTCTCGCCCATGTTTCGACGATAACCGGGCTATACGTTGCAGGCAGTCTGTTGGCTATCACCAGCGCCACGGTGGTCACAGGATTGAACAGCCTAGGCAGCTTCGAGGCTCGGGAAGGCGAGCGTGGCATTGTGCTTGGCCGACTTAGAAGCTGGGGTCAGGTGGGTAGGGCTGCCGGTCCAGTCCTCTTCTGCTCTTTGTTTTGGTGGGCAGGCCGTGAGGTTGCCTATACCACTGGTGGATTTGCGATGCTAGCTGTTTGCTTAGCTGTCTTCTCTACACTGAGGTCGCCTGTAATCGCTTCGGCTGGGACAGAAGAGTCCAAGGCCAACTGATATGGGAAAGCTAAAGAAAGGCGCCCCTTAGGGCCAGCCTATAACAGTGGCATGGGGGCCCTTTAGGAGTAGTAAATTCCTACTGAGCCAAAAGGGTTGGTTATCAAAAACCTCATTCTGGGAATCCACGTACCTGGGCTCGTCGACAGGTAAATATTTACTAAGCAGATACGATATTGGGGACAGACATCCCAACATCCGTCAAGTCTTCAGGCACTCTACGACCCATGTCAATTAAGAGATGAAACTAATCTCCATGCTGAAGGTTCTAAGCCACTCCAGCCAGTTATATAAGGCCAAGAAGTGAGATATCCATCGACTTTGAGATAATGAGTCCAATATGAGGGAAGAGACTGCGAGATGGTGGTTTCATGAGGATTGCTTCAAAGGAGAGTTCACAGCGTATTTCCGGATCTAGCATACAAAGAATCGGATCTCAATTGGTAAGCCTTTATTATGTAGGATCTAGAGATCCGTCTGGCCCTGGTTAATGCCATTTCCTCGCTTTTTAACAACAGCTCAATATAAATGATGTAAACCAAACAACCAAATGTTTGGGTTTGAAGCAGCGGCCAAATCCTAATATCTCGTTATTCGGGTATAAAAACAGAAGCTCGGATAGTTAAGAGAAAAAAAAAAAAAGGCATGATGAACAGTACGAAGAGCGGGGTTGGGTAATATATACTAAACGAGCCCGGTGCATGCAATTGAACTCCGGGACGCCTTTTGTATAAAAAGCATTCAAGAAGCATGCTAGTCCACACGTATGTCACAAACAGCACACGGGTGGCACGTTTCAACCCGAGAAGACTCAGTTGCTCAGTCACCGACGGCCTGAAGAGCCGTCTTTCTCATACTGCGGATTCTCAAAATCCTGGCAGGTATGAAATGCCAAACCAGCACCAGTCGAAGGGCCGGAAGACGGGTCGAACGACCCTCTTGCCTTGCCGAGCAACCAGTCCGTCAAAGTCACGAACTTCGAAGTGCGATCCCAGCCATTGGCATCGTCCGCATGCTCGACCGTGTGAGATAGGATACGACCCTCTTCGTCGAAGGAGAATATGAATAATCCGGTAAACTGTTCCTCGTTCGATAATTTGAAGATAGGCGCCTCCCCGCCGAGAAGTACGCTGAGACGCTTGTTCACCCCAGCTTTCGAGTCGGAAAGATGGCCCTGCCTCCCCCAACTACTAGGCCCCGTAGATGGTGTGTTTGAATAGCCTTCTCTCCTCAGTTCGGTTTTCCAGCGCACCACCAATCTCTCGTCCCCACAATCCTCATCGCAAGAACGATTAGGATCTAATACCGTCCCTGCACGCACGATCCGCTCGCTGAGAATCTGCAACTTGACATTCCCGACTAGTGGGATACTGCCCCATGCCACTGGGACGGTCCAGAGCGCCGCACGATAGAAGGTCCGTCCTTTGACAGTGGGAAGATGCGGATGTGTTGATGGGAATAGGTGAAGGGTCACATTCGGAGAAAGGATTTTCGATGGAAGAGGGTGTATGAGGAGGGAAGGGAGAAGCGGCGAGAGAATTCGAAGAGCTGTAGCGCACGCAATAATAAAAATCCCATCAGCATTATCTCCCAATTCAGCAATCTGGACTTAGCTACACACGGTGCAGTCCAAGTTCGAAAGAGCATCAACTTACTACTTCCCAGTTTCAAAACCCGCTCATTCGGCGGCTTGTGGTCATTGTTCATGCTCCCATTCGGCGAATTTATCTGTCGGCGATAGCCGTTGTGGAAGAAGAAAGTAGACGATGGCGTAGGTGATGGTGGCGTCACTGGCGACGGAGAAAGCCATGGCTCATCTAGAATTCCATAATGATGAGGCTGTGCCAATGACCGCAACGGCGAGGAATTGAAGGGCTGACGATTAGCGAAGGAAGCATGAGGCGCTGACGGGGCAGACGGTTGATGGGAATGGAGAAAGCATCGGACGGCGCACGGAGAAGATGCGAGCTTCGGCATCACGATCAGCTAGGATAAGAGCAAGAGATAGGAATCATGCGGAATGCATTGGGCCAGGAAGAGAAGGAGGCAGAATGGGGCGTAGGCATGATGGTGTTCTACAGACATGGAATCAGAGAAAAAAAAAAAAGAAAGTCGAGAAATGACGTCGGACGGAGAAAAGGCCGGGTCCGCGCGTATTTCGTTCTGTACATTGTTCATTATTATACAGAGATACATCATAAACAAACACCCAAGAATAACAATATCATGCCAATTCATCATCGTCGTCATCCTCCCCGATCAACCGTCTTTCAGCCATATCGCGGATCTTGTCTTCCAGAATCCCTCGGCCATACCGCTGCGCGACCTTGACGGCAGCCTCAAGCATCTTCCCATTGGCATCCCTCATCATCTGGACCAACTCCAAAGCTTTCATGCCCCGTTCCTCACCTTCCCTGCATTCCACCGCCAGCATCTGTAGAAGGGTCTTATCAATCTCCAGTTCCTTCCTAGCCAATTCCGCACGTTGACTAGTCGTGGCATTGGTGGACGACAGGAGATCCTGGAAGAGAGCCAGGAGAATATTCTGACGAACAAAGGCTTCCTCGAGCTTTTCACCATTGTTACGCATAGCCGCATCATCCAGATCTTCGTTCGCTTCTCTCTGTGGTGCAGATGAGATGGGGATCTTGAAGTCGAATTCACTGAGCAGAGGCCGTGGAAAGTATGGATATCTGTCTCCTCCCTTAAGGATAATACAGTGGAATTTTTCTTGGGCCACCGCAACCGGCCAGTAAGTCTCGTCTTTACGCCCACCAGCCAGTCGGTCCATCTGTTTGGTGTCGAGCAGAGGTACCCATCGAGCTTGGCCTTGCTGGCGCCAGTGCTGTAGAACAAGTAAGACACCATCAGAATCAAATATGCATGGATCCTAAGTCAATCATTAGTCAACAATGCAAAAGCTGGTATTGCAGACTGGAACCCGGCACTTACCCCGGTGTCAGAGAAGAAGACACTAGCTAATTCGGTGCCCTCCACGAGTGCAACCGCATCTTCATTTTGAAAGACCTCATCGCGCTTGATATTCTCAACAGTATACCGCAGTGTCGCTCGGCCATCGGCCCCAACCGGTCCATTTCCAATAGTTATAACGTAGTCCCTCCAGGCAGCGCAGGTCACGGCAGGGCTCTTCTGTCTATATACTTTATACGGTGTCCCAAAGAGCGTATATACACGGACGTAGGACTTCGTCGTTACAACAACGATGTACGAGTTACTTAATGCCATCGCTAAACTCAGTTCAGCAAAAAGTCTTTCTTTTGTCAGCAAATTGCGCGTCCTTACCTCTAACAGACTCTCCCTTCGGCAGTTGTGTACGCCAGTCTGCTCGCGCCGTCCATGTTTCATGGGGACGGTAAAATATGGTAGAAGGGCTACCATCCTTTGGATTGTTCGAGAACAGTGTACCGTGCTCATCTGGATTACGTACACGTCAAGACAGGATTACTTGCAACAACGAGGCAAGGATGACTTACTTAAACAGGCTTTATCATACATATACGGATCCGTAAAGTGGAAGTCCCGGTGTAGCTCGCGGTCATAAAACTCCACGGTGACTGTATTATGAGTCTCTTGGTCAACGGTCCACACGCAGCCGGTTAAATTTAAGCCTGTCCAAAAGTCAGCAATGCATCATCTAGCCAGAGGCGTAATCGTACAGAGGTATCGTCTGTTACCCCTCCAGGGCGTACTGCCTGGCTGGAGAGGAGGATGCACTTCTGGCTGCCAAAATCCATCCATCCGCCTCTTGACAGGATGGCCGTCCAGATCATCCAAATGAGCATTTGTACGTTTTCCGTACCCATTGATTGCTTCAGCGTAACCGGCGCCATCGTCATCTTCGACAAAATCTTCCATACCATCATCTGAACCGAGGATGTCGTCCAGCGAATCCAGGCTGCCCGCCCTTCTCCTTGTATTTTCTGTTCGCTCCTTTGGCCTGCTTGTCAGCGGTCTGACATTGTCTGAAATTTCGGTCAATGGACCAGAAAAGATAGGAGCAGCCTGTAAGGTCTTTTGAAGGAGGGCAAGATGATCTCTTGGAACGAAATTATCGTATATGAACAGTTCTCCATCCGATGTCGTAAACGAAAGGGAGTTTTCAGTAGGATGCCAGGCGACATTGATGACATTCGCAAAGTCATAGCGCTCCAGAACTTTCTGGCTCTTAGTCTCCCAGAGCAGGATCTGGCCATCAGCACCAGCAGACACTAGAAGAGCTCCGTTCGGGGACCAGCCAAGTGCCGTCACATCTCCGTTATGGCCACCTGAGAATACTTTCTCTTTCTTCCATTCCATAGTCGAAAACATGCAAATATCTCTGGTTGCCTCTGCGGTCACAAACGCGGTTCCATCCGGATGCCAGACTACTTTCGATGTGGCCTCATCCTCGGGTTCTAGTCTTCGGATAACGCCGTCGATTTTTCGAACCAGTTCTGGCTCCTCTGAAATAGTTGAATAGATGTAAACATGCCCATCTGTGGACGAAACAGCGACATATCGTCCATTTGGATCGAAACTAACATGCTTGGCTCCCTTTGCCTGGTCTCGAAGATATTTAACTTTCGTCATATCCTCGATATTGACGATTTTCACGGTGAGCTCACTATAGTATCCAGCGGTCAGTATCCTCGAAAGGTTCCATTGTGATGATCAAAGGCTCAAACTAACTCGCTCGCCACAGCAGCCCATTCCCCATCTCTAGAAATAGCTATGTCCCTGACTGGAAGGGCGCATCGTACAAGCAACTTGTCCATTTGGCCCGTCTCAATGTCGTATTTCCAGACAGTCCCGTCCTCGGCGCCCATGATGAATGACTCGTTCTGAAAAGCTCCGTCAGATCCATGACCGGGTTAAACCCTATTTTCCTTGGGGGGAAAACACGTACGGTAGCTCCAATCCCCAGGTGTCCATCGACGCCCTCATCGATGGTAGTAGGTTCTCCATCCTGTCCAACAGTGTAGATACGAATCGCAGAGTTCGAACCGCCAGTTATGACTCGTCGACCGTCGGGTGTATATGTTAATACCGTTGTCCCCGGGGTATCTAATATCAATAATATCAATAAAGAGCTATATCAACGTTATTTCTCGACTGAATATTCGTGAACTCACGAGCTGGCCTGCCCCTCGGGCGAATGGCTTCCAGGCTCATTTCGGAAGCAACTCAGACAAGAATTATGGACAAACAATTTCAAAGAGACAGAAGGGCGATATTTCTTAATCCAACACCCGCAGAAACACGGGATCCTCACAGCATTGAATCTGTCGTCGACTTGTAGATGTGGAGCGGTTGGCACCGCAGCAATCTCCCAACGCGTAAGTAAAAAGCACGCGTCGCGCGTACCCGTTACAGCCCGATTGGGATGAGATATATTAGGGCTTGGGGTTTGGGGCTAGGGCTTTCGTCTGTTTGTAGGATTCGAATAAGATTTCTCACGTATTTGGTTCTTTTCATATCTATTGCAGTAAGACTTAATGTATGTCTCTCTGAATGTCTTTATAAAGGCACAGAAGTTGACACCATAGGAATGCTATATTCTATTTAATGCGCTTCTAATAGGTGTTGCATCCTCATACTCACGTATAAAACTGGCATTATGCCATGGATGCTATCACTTCTTCCAGCTCTTTCAATATCTCCTTTTTGGTATCTTCATCTGCCCAACCCATCTCGACCGCGTTCTGTACAAGCCTCGCCATACCCTCTTTCGTAGATTGACAATGTGTGTATACCATCGTGTTTCCATCGATCTACACATTATGCATGTATGTCGGGTCGTCATTGTTGATGCAGAACTTCACTCCGTCTTCCCATAACCTTCGAATCTTGGGGAAGACAACTTCTGTCGCTTGACGGCGGTGATAAGCATGCGGATATAGTCAAGCCAATCCCACGACTTGTCAAACCCGGAATCAAATCCTCGCGGTCTATCGCATTGAGGCCATAGTCAATCCGTTCGGTCCCGGCGCCGTTGCAGATATCGAAGATGGCCTTATGGACATGCCCAGCGGCGTATTCCTGGTCCATGTCGCAGTGCATGGTAATATGTAAGCCATCATTTCTTGTCAATAAAAGAGCTTCTTCGAAAAGCATCGGCGGCCGGTTTCGTTTGCCAGGTCAACAGCATGGAATAGCCCCCTTCCTTTTCCATCTTTCGTCGTTGCCCATGGTAACGCTGACTGATGGGCGTTGAGACCATCTAGACCATCTTCCAGATGCTCATCGCGCAAGAAGCAAGAAATCCAGTTACTTCGGTTGCCGTATTTCTCAGCTCCGTCACGCTGCGCACGCAGAAAAACGATTCAACACAACCTCGGCCGGTATTCCTCGAGGAATGTCGGGGCGCCATTGTCATCGTCTAATTCGCGCCGATGGTTATAAGTGACCTTGTACGGATTCAGCGGTACTTCGTACGTCGCATAAGGTAGGGGGATACCATTTCGATGTGCGAGTTTCCGCCGCAACGCCGGCGTTAAGGTGCCTTCAATATGGACCTGCAGCTCAACTTTGGTCAGGGCAGCGATGAACGGTGATATTTCAACTCCATTCATTCTGGTTGATAGCTCACGAATAATATTCATTACCTCAGTCAGTCGTGGCATTTGGCATCATCTTCCCCTTCATTTTCGCTGCGTGATCAGTTTCGGATGAGAAGCCCGAGCCGCTTTGATTTCGGGAATCACCGACGCGTTATCTCTCTCGATCGTCCAACGGTTATCCAAGATTCTTCTCCAGGAATCATTAGGTGCGTTGATATTAACAAGCAAAAGGCCAAGGAATGTAACTCTGTCTCGATTCGGTAACGTCTTTGCAGATGCCAAGCGATAGGTCGATGCCAGTGCGTTGTCCGTCAGTCAATAGTACGTTTGTTTCGTTATCTCACCTGCGTGCATCAGTATGGAGGACTGATATCAACACCATGTCAAGAGGAGATGTCACCCTCCTTTTCGTCTGGGGATGCTTCCGAGCATAGTCCATTGCTCTCCGGACGAGCGGTGGTTGCCAGCATGACACATCCGGAGGACGATGCTGCTCTCGAAAGAGACGCAGGAGATAATAATGCGCGAGATGATGCCCAGTTGCGCCGGACGCTACGCAAAGTTGACTTCCGGTTGATTCCCCTATTGTTCGTCACGTATATGCTCAATTTTATGGATAAAACAATTCTCTCGAGTGCTTCGGTTTTTGGATTGATTGATGATACCGTACGTCTCCCGTCAAGAAAGCACCGTTGTGAATGGAATCTAAGATCTAACCTGGCTGCTATGGTTGTCAATAGCATCTGGTTGGCCAGCAATATAGTTGGGTGTCGAGTATCTTCTACTTTGGCTATTTCTTCTGGGAGTATCCCACCAATTTTCTCATTGCTCGGGTGCCGGTAGCCAAGTATATTGCGTTCAACACATTCTTCTGGGGTGCCGTTGTTGCTCTAACAGCAGCATGCGTCAACTACGGTGGTCTTTTGGCCGTGCGTTTCCTGCTGGGGGTCGCTGAGGCTACTATCACGCCCGCGTTCATGTTCATCACTACGACATAGTACACCCGTGATGAAATCCCGTTCCGGACAGGCATCTGGTTCTCCGGGAACTCATTTGGCGGCCTTGTGGCAAGCCTGATGGCGTACGGCGTCGGCCATATCAAGCATCCGCTCCAACCCTGGATGTGGCTGTTTATCATTCTCGGCGTTGCAACTTTCCTATGGGGGTTTGTCATGTTGGCGTTCTTGCCTGACAGCATCTCCAAAGCAAGGTTCTTGACTCGAGAGGAACGCGAGCTGATGACCGATAGGGCCGTCATCGCTGGCACAGGTCGCACAGAGAAGACCGTATGGAGATGGGACCACACCATCGAATGTCTCATAGACCCCAAGACCTGGCATGTCTTTGCCCTCGCTATCCTGACGCAGATTCCGAACGGCGGAACCCAAAACTTCTCAAACCTGGTCATCAAGTCCTTCGGGTTCACGTCCTTGCAGTCAACGCTCATCAACATCCCAGCCAGCGTAGTCAGCATGGTGTCAATCGCGCTAACCGGCTACCTGGCTGGACACTACCGACAGGTAAACTGCATTCTGATCGTTGTCGTTGTCGCTCTGGCAATGGCAGGCAGTGCATTGATCTACGCGCGAAGTCACGTCCCTAAGGGTGGCCAATTGTTTGGTTACTTCCTTCTTGAAACAGGCCCCGCTGTCCTGCCACTGGTCATGTCCCTTGTACAGGCCAACTTCAGAGGTGTCACCAAGAAGATGACCGTAACTGCGATGATGTTCATTGCGTACTGCGCGGGTAACATTGCAGGCCCACAGTTCTTCAAGACCTCCGAAGCACCTCTCTATCCGACTGCGTTTAGGGCGATCTTGATCTGCTATATCATTTCAGCGATATTGGCTATGACCATGCGTTTCTATCTCCAGTTCATAAATACCAAGAGAGACCGTGAGGAAGGCATCCAGGGAAGTGCTGGCTTCTCTGGTATCGTCGCAGGAGGAAAGGTTACTGAGCTGAACAATAAGCATTACGTTGTTAATGCTGTGAAGAATGTGGCCTTGGAACCAGAGGATTATGATGATGTGACAGATTGGAAGACTTTTGGGTTTAGGTATCGTCTGTAGACCGGAGGCGTACATCTAGAGAACTAGTTCTCTGCGTGGGCGAGCTTTGGCCAGTTGTGGCTACTCCGTCGCCAGGCTTCCTCGAGTAGTAGAACAGGGAGCGCGAGAAGAGAGGCGATAATGAAGGGACCGCGCAGTCCACCTGTCTTGCCAAGGCAACGGCTGAAATAATATTATGTTTATATTAGACGATGAAATCAAGGAGATATAAATAACGACAGATCCGTCCTTGCTCGGGTGTTCGAGAAGCCAAAACATCCAGTCTAGGCAACTGATTACAGCTACAGCAGTGCTTATACCCTCATTTTCATCTTTACTCTGACATCATTCAAGGGCAAGAAAGTCCCTACGGAAGACTTGGGACCGGGAATTTTCCATCCCTTCTCGCCCACCGGTTCGATGTCCCAAAGAGATAAAATGGCAGCCGTGAACGCAAATATCTCTCGCTCCGCGAAATGCTGTCCTTTACCCTCAAATATATTGTCATGAAAAGGTGTGATAGTGCGCGAATCGACCTTTGTCTCCCCCGTCTCCGAATCTCTGTGGATGAATCTCTGTGGGTCATATTGGCCGGGGTTATGGAAATACCGATCATCCTTTTGATGGGCACCATGTGAAATAGCAATATAGTCGCCCTTTTGTAGTCTGTATGTCCTGGGACTGGTCAGGCCGTCAATTGCAGCATCCTTGTCGGATTCAGTCAGGTTTAGGTCCGAAGTAAGTTTCCTAAAAGATACCCCCGCTGATTCCAGACGTATAGTTTCGTAATAACAAGCCTTGAAGAGGGGACAACACTCGATGATGCCCTTCAGATCAATGGAAAGCTTAGGTGGCTCTTGAAATGGGAAACCAGTTTCCTCGCGGCTGACCCGCGTAGCTTTGGCGTATGGAGATATCTCTTTTCGGATATCCTCCAAGAGTTTGGGATCGGCATATATATGAAGCAGATTCCAAAAGACAACTTTTGGTGTGTTTCTAAGCAGAGCCCAAAACTGAGACAGATGCCCTGGGGCGCTGGCGCCGGAGGACAATCCCAGCTTCCTGGAAATCCGGATTCGCTCCTTAATGGGCTCTGAAACGTCCTCGAGGTCACGCAACTCCATACCAGGATCTCTACCATCATCCCAAGCTATAAACGCCTGGTGAAAAGCTGAGAAAACCTCTAGGAGACGCCTACGGGCAGGATGCGCGGCAGAAACACCTGGTGAGGGAAGCCAGCGAGGCGCTCCAGTGAGCAGAGAGATAATCCGGTTTTCCATAGTCCAAAGATCCTCTAGTTGAGAGAAGAATGACTCGGTAAAAGCACTTCCCATAAACAGAGAGACAGAGAGATATCCGATGAAGTCCTTTACAAGAGAGAAAAGGTTTGCTTCACAGGTTCTGACTTCAGTGTCATAATCATCAACAGTGACTTGACTGGCACGCTCCCAAGGTGCCTGGTCGACAATACTTCGACAGAACGTCACTAAATTCGGGGTTTCGCGCTCTATCAATCCCAATTCGGCTGTTAAAGCTTTAGTGATAAATGGTTCCCGCATGATAGCAGTCTCATGGAATGCACGAGAATCCTCAGGTTTCAGCCTATGGATTGCACCCGTGTCACCAAAAACATTCTCAATGACATAAGCAGTCACTGCCGCACTGGATGCATCTGGAGAAGACAAGATAGTCTTCGTGATGGACGGAGACACGACCACATTCTGCCTGACACCGCCCATCAAGAGACCAAAGACGGATTCCTTAGCTGAATTCCTTCGGTATCTGTCAGCTGATAGTAAAATATGGTCACGCTTTAAGAAGAAGAGACAGACCTGGCCTTGCAGACAGAGGTTACATGGTCCCAAGTCAGTGACAGGCCGTGCCCAATCCACGGCAGCCAGTACGGAACGATTTTCACACTCTGTGGCTCCTCATTGCTGGGCTTCCTGCGCCTGCTCTGAAGGCCAGTGGTGATGCGCGTCACTATGCATGAGAATACAATAACAGCAATAAATGTCCGCCAAGTCAGCTCTGGAAGATGGTCGTAGCTGTTCCGGACAGTCTGTGCCAGATCTGATGAAGATGGAGATGACGGTGGCGATGCGTACTCCTCCATAGCTGACAAGGGTAATGAAGAAGTCAAAGAAAATATAAAATGACAGACAGAAAATAGAGGAGAAAGAAGATCGGCGCTGTCACTAAGGAGTGGAATGTAAGTTCTTGAAACTATTTACTGCTGCGATCTGTAAGATGGCCCTTTTCTTCACGTGACTTGTTGATTACACTTTTAGAGAACGGCACATTCTACAGACTGATTTCTGGGCAAATAAACAAATACCAACATGTCTTTCCTTTGGGCTAGTGATCGCTGAGTAGAGTCATAAGTAGCACCCACATACATACATCCACACATGAATATACACATTAGATACTTGTACAAGAGGACAACCTCGAAACTCCTTATTGTTCAGCTTTCAGAACCGCCTGTAAGGCTGTACTATCTTCCTCATATTTGCCGATCTTGGCCTGCGCTTTATGAACCTTCTGTAAAAGCCAGGTGATTCTAGGGTACAGTTCTCGTGGCTGCCTGCGCATGGCTTCGAGTATACGAAGCTCTTCCTCAAACGTCTTGATCTTGTCATTCTCCTTCCGAATCAGCTCTGACAAGACGGCGAGGTCAAGACGGCTGCTCAGTGCCTTGTTTTCTGTCAGCCTCCGGAAGATGGCCCGGAAAACCGGTCGGCTAGGCTTGATTAGATGCGGGTAACCGTTTACGGAAATGACAGAGACAAGTTCTGCCTGTTCAAGAGCGTGAATGCTAGCCTCGCCATTTTTTTTAAACAGCTCAGACAAGAGCACCTTGTTATAGGTGATCACCCCATCCTTTGAATTCGCGATCTCCTTAATTAAATGCCAGACCTGTTCGCGATTCCACGGCTGCTCTGAGGTATTGGCTTCCAGGAGGAAGATCTTCAGGATCTCAAAAACCGCCTGATCAATAATGCGATTGGTGGCAGCTTTTCCATGCTGGTCAGCAACACAAAAGCAGCGTGTGGTCGTTGGGGACTTCGTACCTTTGGGAGTTTCTCCAGCCTTGATACGGTGTGCCATGAACTCGAGGTCCGTCACACGACCACCTAGAGTTTCAATGCAGTAGTCCAAATCATCCAGCGGTTCCGGCGTCTTTTTGTCTGCCCCCGGACTCCATTCGTCATCATGCTGAAGGTGTCTGAGAACAAACCTCCTTCCAACTTCAAGTGAGCAGTCACCCAAGGAGATATTTCGGAACACTTGGTTTGGGAGAGCCCTGCTCAGAGTCTTGGAGAATGAGATGTCAGTTGTCAAGAAGATTACATGAGCGATGTTTCCGGTAACCAATTCAGCAGCCCATTCGGTCATCTTGTCGTATACAGCGTTTTGCTCCATGGCATTATGCAGGAAATTATCAATGACAACAACGGGACGTTTCTCAGGATGTGCCTCCAGGTACTCTTCGTCACTCAGATAAGAGTCCTTGCCGTCCTTTCCTTTGCCTTCCAGGGCAATTCTTTTCAACGCCACCGAGGTATTCTGCCAGATCTTGCTGAGTTGCGCGTCTAGTGTCTGTGTAAATCCAGCTTTAGTTCCGATCACGCCTTGCGTTGCAAGGTCGATAAAGCTGCTGACGTTGTTCATCCAGGAAAACACCGGCCGATAACCAACCTGAGATGCCGCAGCTGAAATCTTCTCGGCATCCCCCTTGGCCTCCTGTATGCGCTTGCAGTCGATGATGACCTTGTACTTCGAGTTTTCAAGTGCTTGGTCTATCACCAATTCTCGTTTCCCTGAACCACGGGGCCCGTGAACCACAATGAAAGTGTCAATGTTCTCCGTTAGCCATGACTGCAACAAAGAAATATCACTCTGACGTCCTTCCCATATTGCAGCAAGCCCACGGTCATCACTTTTACGACGACCGAGACCGAGATGCATGATGTTCGCATTGCTGGCTAGGTCGCGTACCCATTGCAGAGTCGGGTTTCTCTCTGTCCGAAGATTGGTCTTGATTTTCAACTCGATGAAGAACGTGCGAACCGGATCAAATATAACCACTGTAATCCCAGCAATCAGCGCTGCGATAGCTGGAATCACTATCCGGGGGTGATTGAAAAGCCAGTCCTTAATCGAAGAAGCCTTGATGATGCGTTCATACCGCAGCTTTAGTTTGGTGCCATTTTTTCCGCCCCCTTCCTGCTCTGGGACCGTATATCCATGCAGACAGTTCTTTGCCATGACGGCATATTTCGGTCGGGCAAATTCTATGTAGGCATAATTGGGAGTCACTTTGGAACCCGGCTCTTGTGTTTCTATATTCCGCAACTTCCCGTATTTGCGGAACAATGAGTACAGAGTCTCCGCAGTCAGTTCTACCGCAGGATGATCAGGATCAGTAGGTAGAAACTCGACTCTGAGCTTCTGGGATGGGATACGATAGAGATCCTCTATCCAAGGCCGGCCAATAACGCGAGAGACTTTGACCTTCTGGAATGGATTAAACCAAGGAGTAATTGGATTCTTCTCCAGATGGTGCCTAATGGCAGCCTCAATATCGGTATCCTCAACACCAGGCTTGCGGGAGTATTTCACAAATGCACCTCCTTCATTGAACCGAGGTATTACGTCCTTGATCTCGATACCTATGTCTGACGGAAAGACCCGTCTTATTATATTCCACGGTGTCGAGGCCGCGAGATGCGGTTTATCAATCTGCTTTAGTCGCTTCTCAAATGACTTAGTACCCGCTAGGGGTCCTCGGAGCAGCCATTGCAGCTTCAAGGGGAAGATGTCTGTGGAGGACCGGTATAAGCCCGTAGTAAGGTGGGACTATGGCACATAGAGCGAAGGCAAAAAAGAAAGTGAAATAAAGTGTGAGAGAGGAATGGGAGGAGCTTTAAAGCTTACTGTTTATATAGATGACACCCTCCTTGTTCCCTACATCGATGTGTCCTGATTCGAGAGCAGAAGCGTGTCTCACGCTGACAACAAAAGTTACCCGAGGTAGAGTTTGTCTTGGACAAGCACATCTTGGGAGACGAGCAGCAGCAGCAGAGAACAATGCTGCCCTCGAGAAGGAAGCCCGCATCATCTTCTCTAATAATGCCAAACGAGAGAAGTTGCTGCCAGCGAAAACATTTGAAGCTGGGCTTCTCTTGGTGTGTTATCAATGACGTCATGTGATCTTACGCGCCATAACGGGAATTCCGTATGTTTTCTTCCGAATTACCGTCACGTATTGTTTGAAAATTACCGGGAAAAGCAACTTCGAATGCCTCGAAGCAATCTAGGAATCTTCTCGGTTGATTTGCGTCTCACTTCAATAACCCTTGAAAAGCCCAAAAAAATGGGATGGTGGTGGAAATCGTCCCCGTCAAAGGATCGGCAGCAGGATCTGCTTCAGAATAGCAAGAATGATGGCTCCAAATCGGACTCGAATAGTACCTCTGTCCCGCCGCCGACGCCGAGGACATTGACCGCAGACGAACAAGCAGAAGCAGATCTCAAAAGATTCTTCGCCAGTTTAGAAGTTGAAGGGAATAAGCGGTCAAATCCAGATCAGGCATCGTTCCATCCTTCTTCGTCTCCGTCTGCATCTCCTGAAGTACCCTCCACAGCGCCCACGGAACCCGCAAAACCAGCCGCAACACCGGAGTCCATTGCTCCCGACTCCCTCTACGCAGACACCATGTCTTGCCGTTCTGCATTCGATTATGCCTTTTTCTGTCAATCATTTGGTGGGCAGTTTGTCAATGTCTACAGATATGGCGAACTACGGTCCTGCAGTGAACATTGGGACAATTTCTGGCTTTGCATGAAGACTAGGGCGTTTCCGGAGGAAGAGAAAAGAAAGGCCATTCGGGACCACAACAGAAAGAAAGCGATTAAGTACAAGACTGGCCCGAGCAGTGAAGATGTCTGGGATTTAAGGACAGAACCTGTTCGAGACGCCTTCACCGGAGATTTCGCTGCGTTTGAGAGGATGAGGGCTGAGGCAGAAGGGACAGAGAAGCCGTCATTGTGAGGTGGGCTTTTGAATTTTTTTTCTACCATGTATTATTATTCAGACTCACTTTGCCTCCCTTTTTCTCCTTGGCCCCCTTTACCCAACGTTTATTGTTCTCATGCTGGCTCATTTGGTATAGATATCTGGTACAATGTTCAATGCAATTCACCTCCCAAGGTTAATTCCTTCAAACATTATTTGGACCGTTCACTGTTCCTTCTAGGACAATAACAAAAAGCATCATCTTCTCTTTATTCACACACATCCTTCAAAGAGGGTATCCATTGTTAACCTGAAACAGGTCCTTTGTCCAACAATGGAATTCTTTATCGAAGCCCATCTATCCCGTTTTCTTCATTTCGACCCCTGTCAAATACTATTTCTCTCCTCCAATGCTTATAAAAAGCGGATTCCTCATGATATCAGTGCATCCTTGAGACCGCACATCCCATATTTGCCACTACACGAATCAGACCTATATCCAGTCAAGGTCTCCGAAACGATGTCCATCAGAACAACTCCGAGAATCTCCCAAACGCACAAGGATACCAAACAAAATCCTCAGCCGCAAAGACGTAAGGTCCACTTCAGTCCTAATATCCAGGTTATTCCCGCCGATTTGCCATTATCAAGCGAGAAGAACAACGCCAATGCTAGACCCAACCGGGATCCCAGCCGCAGACTCAACCCAATCATCAAACCCCCCTCGGACTTCGATAAAGAAATGTTAATCGAAACACTACGAGAAATGGTGAACATTGCCGAAAAAGGACTCCGTATGTACTACATGTTCCTACGCGACAAAGACATAGACGAGGCATTCCTCATAAACGAGCGCTTTCTGAGACTAAAGGCTAGACGGAGAGCCATTAGGGATGCAGGCGATGCAGGGTTCACCATGCGGGTAACTAAGAAGACCAGGCATAGTGGGAGGAAGGCTGGGAGGAGCACAAGCCAATCTGAAGGGGAACCGGCAAGTACTGGCACTTAGCGACACAAGAAAATAAAAAGTCGGTTTCAGGGATGAGATCCCAGCCGGGAACGAGGGTTCTACCTGATCTGCGGGATATAATCGACAACAATGAATGGGGTTTGGCCTTGTTCGCTTTATTTTGAAAGACGAATGGGCGACTGCTCTATTTCACTGGTCCTCCCAGCCGTGAAGCCTATAGGCTACAGCATCTACAGATATATTAATATCAAAGAAAAGGCGGAATGTAAGCCATAGACTATTCACAACCTCTCCTCTAATCACTTGTTGTCCAGTTCGAATCTTCGTCTACAGCTTAGCAGAATACCATACAGGGAGGGATATGCTTCATGAGCAGCGTACAAATCCGGCCCATCGCTACTGGATTTCTCAACACTCATGCATTGCGTAGTATGCACGTAGTTCATGGTAGTTCAAAGCATTCAGTGCAATGGTTAGTTGTTTTTGCCTCCTTGGTGTCTCTAGTTACGCATAAGCGTGACTCTCCTATGTGGAAAGAGGATTGAGAAGAGTATGTATCTATCTATCCAACACAGATCTATTGGGCTGTGGGAAATTCCTGAAAGAAAGCAAGGTAGTAATAATAATCAAGAAAGCTAAACTGTATGTACAGAACATTACAAGCCCTCCGACACCTTGCACGTAAACTGCATGAACGCTCAACTGAAAGGCAAATCAACATAACAAGAAGGGAAAAACATGGCAATGAACCAATCCCAAATATGAATAAGGGAGAAACATGAAAGAAAAGGCCACCTGAGTTAAGTCACTTTTCCCGCCTTCTTGTACAAACAAAGAAATCGTGATAGTGCGTTTTGCGACATTCCGTGGCTTGCCTCGCAAAACTCCTCGCCCAGAACGCATTAAAGACCAAGGATATCATACTGTAAATACAATTTTTGCCAAAATTCGCCCGACTCGAAATCGTTTCCACGTCGACGTTCATGGTTCATCAGACTCGCTTTTATCAACTTTTCTGTAATCATTACTTTTTGGATAAGCAACTTAAGCGAAGCCCTCGCCGTTCCAGGTCCTCCTTATGAGGAAAGGACCTCAACATATTGTGAAGGTTGTGGAACGGAGTCAATTGCTGGCCGTCGGACAATACCGCCAGAGACAGGAAGCTGAGAACTAATGCCCGTGAGGAAGGAGTCCACCTCACGAGCGCATTGACGGCCCTCATTAATGCCCCTAAGAAATGAGCGTTAGACGTTGCTAACCACAATACAAAGAGAGCAGACAACTTACCAGACAATAAGAGACTGTCCACGTCTGCAGTCACCAGCAGCGAAGACACCAGGAACGTTTGTTGAGTACTTCCCAGGAGGAGTCTTGACATTCTTGCGAGCATCACGTTCGATAACATCACCGAGAAGTCGATCCTCAGGACCTAAGAATCCCATAGAAAGGAGGACGAGGTCAGCAGGGAAGAACTGCTCACTACCGTCCACAGTCCTCATGTCCCATCCACCCGATGCACTCTTGGTCCACTCGACGCGAACGGTGTTGATACCCTTGACATGGCCGTTTCCATCGTCGACGAACTCCTTAGACATAACACAGTATTCACGAGGGTCTTTACCCATATGGGTCTTGACTTCGGTGTGACCGTAATCCACACGGTAAATGCGAGGCCACTGTGGCCATGGGTTGTCACGAGCACGCTCTGGAGGAGGCTGAGGCAGAAGTTCAAAGTTCGTAACAGACTTCGCACCGTGACGAACAGAAGTTCCAATACAGTCGTTGCCAGTATCACCACCACCAATAACGACAACATGTTTGTCCTTTGCAGAGATATACTCGCCGTCAGAGAGGCCAGAGTCGAGGAGTGATTTGGTGTTACGGTGCAGGAATTGCATGGCAAAATGAACACCCTCGAGCTCGCGGCCTGGAACTTTCAAGTCACGGGCAACAGTGGCACCAGTTGCAATGACAACTGCATCGTTGGTCTCGCGCAAAGACTCCAAGGTGACATCGCTGTCAGGGCCAACGGCGACGCCGGTCACGAAGCTAATGCCTTCTGCAGCCATCAAATCGACCCGGCGCTGCACAACCCTTTTGTCAAGCTTCATGTTGGGGATACCATACATGAGCAAACCGCCGATACGGTCGGCACGCTCATACACAGTGACACTGTGGCCAGCACGGTTGAGCTGGTCAGCAGCCGCAAGACCAGCAGGACCAGAGCCAATAATTGCGATGGTTTTGCCGGTGCGGGTCTGGGGTGGTCGAGGAACCATCCATCCCATCTCGAAACCGCGATCGATAATCGCGCACTCGATTGACTTTATACCAACAGGGTTCTCGTTAATTCCCAAAACGCAAGCGCCTTCGCAGGGTGCGGGACAGACACGGCCAGTGAATTCGGGGAAGTTATTAGTCATGAGTAGGCGATTCAGTGCATCTTGCCACTGGTTCTGGAAGACAAGCTCATTCCACTTGGGAATAATGTTAGAGATAGGGCAACCGGTGTCAGACTGGCAGAAAGGAACACCACAATCCATGCAACGAGCAGATTGATACTTAAGCTCATCCTCACTGAGACGGCTGGACAGCTCAGCCCAGTCACGGGTACGGGTGACAGGGTTACGATACTTCTCGCTGCGTCTGGAGTATTTCATGAAGCCCCTCGTCTTGTCAAGAATGAGAGCCGATCTCTTCTTCTCAGTCTTCGAGTCGCTGATACTATCCTCGATGTCTAGCATATCAGCCTTTTTGGATGCAGACTCAGCTTTCTCCTTCGGCTTCTCGGAATCCGCCTGCTTTTTCTGGAGATAAGGAAGTGAAAAATCTAGTTTCTTAGCCGCCTTGGCCTTCGCAGCTTCCTCCTCCAGAATCCGCTTGTAATCAGTTGGCAAGACCTTGATGAAGTGAGGAAGAGCACGGTTGAAGTCAAGGAGAATGCGTGCGGCTAACTCAGAGCCAGTATAGTGATGATGATCCTCGATCAGACCGCGGACGAACGCAATCTCAGCCGGGTCCTCAAGGCCAGATACCTGGACCATTTCCATGTTAACCTTGGAGTGGAAGTCCTGGTTCATGTCCAGAACATAGGCAATACCGCCAGACATGCCAGCAGCGAAGTTACGTCCAGTAGAGCCCAAGATGAGAACACGACCACCAGTCATGTATTCACACCCGTGGTCACCAACACCCTCAACGACAGCAGTAACACCCGAGTTACGAACAGCGAAACGTTCAGCAGCCAGGCCACGGAAGTAGCAGGTACCACTCGTAGCTCCATAGAGACAGGTGTTACCGATGATAACATTCTCCTCGGACTTGAACGTTGCGCCCCGTGGCGGATAGATGATGAGACGACCACCAGACAAGCCCTTTCCGACGTAGTCATTGGCGTCACCTTCAAGTTCGAGAGTCACACCAGGAGCCAAGTAGGCACCAAATGACTGGCCAGCAGAGCCCTTGATGTTCGCATGTATGGTATCTTGCGGGAGGCCAGCCTCACCGTAGCGACGGCTGATCTGATATGAGAGGGTCGTTCCCAGAGCACGATCAGTGTTCACAATGTCACACTCAATTCTGCAGGGCAGACCCTTCTCCAGGGCAAGTTCTGATTCAGCAATCAATTTGTTGTCAAGGCGAGTATGCAGGCGGTGGTCCTGCTTGCGGACGTTGTAGGTAGCAACGCCGGGGCGAAGAGAATGAGCAGGGGTCAGAATAAGAGAAAGATCGATCCTCTCTTGCTTGGCCGAACGGATATCGTCCCTGACCTTGAGCAGTTCCGCTCGTCCAACCATCTCATTAATAGTGCGGAAACCCAACTTGGCCATGATTGCACGCAGCTCGTTCGAAATGTAGTAAAAGAAGTTGATCACATGCTCAGGCGTACCCTGGAACTTCTTCCTGAGCACTGGATCTTGAGTAGCAATACCAACTGGGCACGTATTCAGGTGGCATTTACGCATCATGATACAGCCCATTGCGATCAATGGCGTTGTTGCAAAGCCGAATTCTTCGGCTCCGAGCAAACAGGCAATGGCGATATCACGGCCGGTACGAAGCTGACCATCCGTCTGCACGACAACACGACCACGCAAGTCATTCAGAACCAAAGTCTGGTGAGTCTCAGCAAGACCCAGCTCCCACGGAAGACCGGCATATTTGATACCAGTCCAGCGAGAGGCACCGGTACCACCGTCGTGGCCAGAGATCAAGATGTGGTCGGCTTTGGCCTTGGCAACACCGGAGGCGACGATACCCACGCCAACCTCAGACACAAGCTTGACGGAAACGCGAGAACGAGGGTTGGAGCACTTGAGATCATAGATGAGCTGCTTGAGATCCTCGATGGAGTAAATGTCGTGGTGGGGAGGCGGGGAAATCAAACCGACACCAGGGGTCGAATGGCGGGTGTGCGCAATGGGGCCCACGACTTTGTGGCCCGGAAGTTCACCACCCTCACCTGGCTTGGCACCCTGGGCCATTTTGATCTGCAGCTCATCAGCATCGGCGAGATAGCCTGAAGTGACACCGAAGCGACCGGACGCAATCTGTTTGATGGCGGACCGCATCGTGTCGCCGTTATCGAGCATCTTGCTACGCTCGGCGTCCTCACCACCTTCACCAGTGTTAGACTTGCCTCCAAGACGGTTCATAGCGATGGCGAGCGTCGAGTGAGACTCCGCAGAGATTGAGCCATAGGACATGGCACCAGTCACGAATCGACGGACGATCTCGGTCCAAGGCTCGACCTGATCGATAGAGATGGGGGTGCGCTGTTCGAAGTCGAACTCGAGCATGCCCCGAAGAGTACAGTTCTTGATCTGTTCGTGTTCCGCTCTGGCGTATGCCTCATAGGACTTGTCGTTCTTGGTACGAACGGCGTCCTGGATATTGGCAATGCTGACAGGGTCGTTGATGTGAGCTTCACCTCCCTCACGCCAGTGGTACTCACCGGACTCGGGAAGACCTGGAATCTCGACGATCTTTCGGGACGGGTAACCCCTCTCATGGAAGGCGAAGGCGTCCTGTGCGATGAGTTCAAATGTCAATCCACGGATACGGCTCGCTGTTCCAGCAAAGCACCGATCGATGACAGAGTCATCAATACCGAGAGCCTCGAAAATCTGCGCCCCCTTGTAGGATTGCAGGGTGGAGATACCCATCTTGCTCATTACTTTGAGGATACCACCGTCGCAAGAAGCCTTGTAGTTCTCGATAACCTTCTCGTCGGAGAGCGGCTTGCGAATCAAATTCTCACGGTTCATCTTCAGGATGCACTCCATTGCCAGATAGGGGTTAATGGCATCAGCACCGTAACCAAGCAAGACACACAGGTGGTGGACTTCACGAGCCTCTGCTGTTTCCACGACCAAGGCCGCTAAGGACCTCCACTTGTTGCGAACGAGATGGTGGTGAACGAGACCCGTAGCCAGAAGAGCAGAGACCGGAACACGGTCAGCAGAGGTAGCACGGTCAGAGAGAACGATAATCTTGTCGCCATTCTCGATAGCCTGGGTGGTAGCTTCACAGATAGAATCCAGCGCTTCCAGATAGCCGGGGACACCCTTCGTCTTCTCAAAAGTGATATCGATCACCTTTACCGTCCAATCTTTATGGGCTTTGTTGATGTTCTTCACTGCATTGAATTCGGCAATAGACAAGATGGGGGATGGGAGATGCAGGCGGCGGCACTGGGATGGATCCATCGCAAGAAGGTTTCCCTGAGGACCAACGTAGCAATCCAAGGACATAACGACCGCCTCTCGAATAGGGTCAATCGGGGGATTGGTCACCTGCGCGAAAAGCTGGCGGAAGTACTCGTACAGCAGACGGGGCTGTTCAGCGACGCAAGCCAGTGGAGCATCATTGCCCATAGAACCAAGGGCTTCCTTGGAATCGGCCGCCATGGGGCCAAGGAGCAGGCTAACTTGTTCAAAAGAATAACCGAAAGCCTTCAGGCGGCGATCATTTTGCACGGTAACGTCATCGAGAGGAAAGCCCAGGTCGACATTCTGAGTGAGCAGCTTCTCGTTGATAGCGGGCAACTTGAGCATTTCCTTGCCTACCCAAGCAGCAAAGTCCTGACGGTGCACGACGGTGTTCTTCAACTCGGCATCGGAAATGATGCGACCAGCCACGGTGTCCACGAGAAGCATCTTACCGGGCTGCAGGCGGCCTTTCTGGACTACTCTCTCGGGGTCAACTACAATGGTACCAACCTCGGAGGCACAGATGATGTGATCATCATCCATGACGTAAAAACGGCAGGGACGTAAGCCATTACGATCAAGATTGGCACCGCAATAGCGACCATCGGAGAAGGTGAAGAGAGCAGGGCCGTCCCATGGCTCCATCAGGCACGCAGCCCATTCGTAGAAGGCCGCCTTGGCAGGATCCATAGCGGCGTTATCCTGCCAGGCTTCGGGGACCATGAGCATGACAGCCTCAGGCAAGGACAAAACGCCGTTGATCATCAGCAGCTCGAGGACATTGTCAAACGCAGCGGAATCGGAGCCGCCATCCTCAACAATGGGATACAGGAGATCAAGATCATCGCCAAAGACATCGGACTTGAGAAGGCCTTCTCTTGCCCGCATCCAGTTCTTATTTCCACGGAGGGTATTGATCTCACCATTGTGAGCAAGCCATCGTAAAGGCTGGGCACGGTCCCAGGAGGGGAATGTGTTCGTGGAAAAGCGAGAATGAACCAGAGCAAAGTGGGCTTCATAGTCGACATTGACCAGATCATGATAGTACTGATAGACCTGGACGGGAGCCAGCTGGCCCTTGTAGATGATGTTCCTATTGCTGAGGGAGCACAGGTAGAACCAGTTTGCCAGGCCAAGAACATGTGTAGCACGCTTCCGGAGAACGTAAAGCTGACGCTCGAATGTTCGCTCGTCAAACTGCTCTGGATCGGTGATCTCCGGCTTCACACCTTCACCGTAGGTAGCCTTGTATACAACAAATGGCTGCAAGATGACAGGCTCGCGGGAAAGCGCGGCAGGACCCAGAATTGTCGAGTCCCGCGGGACTTCACGCCAGCCCAAGACCCTCAGTCCAAGAGATGCTGCAAGGTCTTCGAAAGTCGCGGTAGATTCCTTGACGGTCTCTGGATCAGGCTTGAAGAACAGATTACCTACAGCATACTGGCCAAGCGGGGGAAGCTCCACTCCCACATCACGAGCGAAGTTCTTGATAAAAAATTTATGCGGAATACTCGTCATCACACCAGCACCATCACCATCGCGGGCATCGGAGCCAACGGCTCCCCGATGAGTCATGTTACATAGTAAATTCCGAGCTACATGACGGAGAATTAGTGTTGACGGAATAATAAGAAGAGGATATATCTTGGGAGTCTCATACCATCGCTGACAATCTTGTGGCTAACTTTACCCTTGATGTGACTGGAAATAGAAATATACTCGTCAGAAGGAATTCGTAAGAGGGGGAGGGCCAATTGGGTGAGGACTCACGCTGCAAAGCCTACACCGCAAGCATCCTTCTCATACTGCGGATCATAGAGACCCTGCTTTTCAGGGAGAGCCTGAGCCCAACCATATCCTTCCTTTGGCTGAAACTCGGTGTATTGTTGAGCAGTCTGCTCTTCAACTATATCTGTGCCATAGATTTCCTCAAAGTTAAGACCCATTCTTTCCGCCGGTGACCGACAGAAAATAGGAATGATAGGTGTTTTTTTTTTTTTTGGAAGAGACTGGATCTGATGAAGTGCCGCCGGAGGGGATTCCTGGATGAGGCAGGCTGAAGGGTTGGAAGAGAAAGAAGTTGGAGAGCGACGGGGATGTCGTCACGACTGAGATGGTACGTAGCGGGGTCAGCAACGCGGGTATGGGAGATGCAATAGAAGGATTGATGACCCAACGTCTGGCTCCGTGTGGTGTATGTAGATAGATGGTAAGAGGGAAGAAGAGAAGAAGAAGGGGGGAGAAAAATAATCGAGAGAGTGAAGGCGGGGGAGGGGGAAGAAAAATGCCAAAAGGGAAAAAGAAAAAAAAGTGGGCAGGTCCGGGGAATGAATCACAGCAACAGGAATAATAATTGAGGCAACTCCGATACTGGAGACTACTTACTAGTACTGGAGAAACGGCCGAGAAGCAGCAAAAGCGCCAGCAATCAAAGCATCGGAATAAGTAATCCTGCTATTATTATGCTGCGCAGATATGTATGCTATGCTATACTGTGACTTGCTCCTACAGTGGGGGTTGAAGGCGTGGCGAATCTGCGCTGGACAGACAACCGATATACGGAGATGACCCTGCGTACGTACTTTCATATAGTACTGTGCTACTACCATGATACTCTCCAAATCCCCGCGCATCATCTCCAGACGCATAACATGACGATGGAATTCTTCAGACAACAAAGGCATGTATCTCCCGTGCAAGGATGCAGCAGACAGCTGGCATAGAAGCCTAGGTACATAGTAAGTTCCCTGTCAGCCGGATTTGCCTGAAGGACTTAAGGATGTATGCAGATGCACGGCCAAGAGCGATAAGCGCAGGCAGCCAATCAGGACGTTGGCTTTTCAAGCTTTTGGCCATAAGATTAGGCTTTTGCTACGTCAGGATCCACTGTAGTGGGGCTCTGGAACCGAGAGCAAAAGTAAGGTGCGTTTTAGAATGTGTTCAGACTTCAGAATCAGAATACTACTGTACCTTTACTATATGCTCTAGCACTACGAAGTATATTACAGTAACTCCATAATAATACAGACTGCACATGAATTACCCTATCCATGTCCTATGTAGTATATTGTCTCCATATATTAATAAGGTATTGTACGCTGTATGGTCTACTCCGGACAACAGCGTGCCGTCCCCAGTGCACTGAGCCCAGGACGATCCCCTGCCCAGTTCCTTGCCATCATGTGCAGGCGTGCATGCATCATGCATCTGCATAGATATCCAGGAAGTACCCCACACCCGACTAGCCTTCTTCTTGTAGAATGTAGATACAGTATAGAAGTGGATAGCAGTACTAAACAATACATACTTGTTCTCTACTCCGTACTCCGGGTACTCCGTGCAGTGAACAACGGCTCTCTGTGCTCCGCTGGACAACAATAATGGGGCATCTGAGCAAGCGCCAGGGTTCACCAAACCCAGTGACTCCACAGTGCCCAGTCCCGATTTCGGTGCCCACCGAGCTGCTGCCAGTTCCGTAATGCGCAAGCCCCATTGGCCGCTGCGTTTCCTCAAGCTCATTGTTTGAGGTCATAGAATCAGAGCTTATCGCGGCTCCGGCAAAATCATCTCCAGCTTCATGTCTTTTTTTTACCATCTTCACATGTCAGTCATCTGGTAGCACCATTACCGGGCGGAGAGAAAGCTGCACTCCGACAGACTTTGACTAGACGCGGTGGATGAGGATTCAACTGTCTGTATCGGCTCACGGAAATAATGCAACTGGATATAAATCAAGCCAATCCCGCACTACTATTTAATTCTACCACTGTGGATTACAATTCCATTCCCCAGATGACTTACTACCACGACAAGGCTCGTTGGCTGATCTCAGTAAAGCGACAGAAGACAACTCACAGAGGATCGCCGTGCCAATATAATGAGATCCTTTGCAGCATAAATGCACGCAACTGCTGCTACTCCGTACAGCGCACAATCTGTCCGTCATGTGACCTCGCTCTTCGGGAAGTGGGAGGTCGCTCGGCAAGACGGACTTCGCGGAGGACACCAAAATCCGGGACTTTTTGCTTTCTTAGGTGAACAAGTACCAACTCCCCCTTCTCCTGTTTTTTCCGATCTTCCCCAGCGCGCGTCTCTGCGCTCTTTGCCCGCTTTGGGTTCACCGGGCAATTGACCCGGACGCTTTCGGAGTGCTCCCTTCATCTCCGAAAACCGGACTGACCGTCTTGTCTCTTGAGACTCGGGAGTCACCAACTCTTGGTCCTCCCTGTTCTGACGTGGCATTGCCCGACGACTGCACTTCTACGCTGTCGCTATTATTCTACTACTATTACTTACCACTACTACTCTCCTTGACAAGTCACCCGTCACACCACAACGTCAGGCCATAGGCTACGGCGTATGTATTCAAATGCAAATGGAAATTGTGGGCCTTTCATATACATATTCCTTATACCCAGCAATCCTCATACCGCTGCTTCCACTGGTCATCAGACCTCTCGCTGTTTGGTGCGACTCCCCGAGAACAACACTATCAATCATATTGATTACCGCGGCCGGCTGCGGCCGTTGCCGCTAGACTAGCGTCCACTGTCGATGCCGACGTGATAATCAAACAATGGGGGAAGCCCGTGGGGTTGATTAGCAATCCCCTGATCCTGGGGTCGAATCTCGGAGACAATTCGGACTTTCGAGGAGACGAGCCATGAGTGGGAGGACAGGATGACTTGTACTTCCTTCCTTCTGCCGACGATACTCTCGTTCAGTCCGTGCCGTCGATAAGTAGGTACGTATGCCGCAGTTTTGACTGCACGATGCTGTAGACAAGGAGAACGTAGGCCTGATTGAAACATCAGGGAAACCCCCAGGAGACGAAAAGACAATAGCCATCTTGATAGAGGCATTATGTCTTGAAGCCTCGTGGACTTGTAACTGATGCAGAGTCTAGACATATCTGAGTACCTCATAGCTGTAAGGTTGCTTAAGCTTCTTTCAAACAAACAAACAATCCTCGCGATTGGTGGATCTTTACCCTTTCGGGAAGCCAGATCAACTCCACTGTTGCTACACTTTTGACAAGCTCTCTCCAGACTGAGCAGAACAACCTACAATCCATTTTCATCGTCTATAAGAAGTACAGTTTTCTTTCTCATTTTGTTTTTTGGAGCTGTAAATTCGTGTTCTGTACTTCGGACCCGTGTTGGAAGCCATCGGCTCTGCGCAGCGGCGCGACAAGGATAGACACGTCTTGAGCTTCTGCAGTCTTCGAACTGGTGAGGAAATAATCATCGAAAACACCTGGAAGCTCACCCAGAGACATACTCTGTGCTATTTGAACTATCCCAAATAAAAATATGCTCTCTCTACCCCTCATCACGCCTCGCGATGTGAGTTGTACGCCTACGCCTCAGGGAATCATATCTATCCATCAACTGACACATATGCCCTCGTTTCCAGTCCCATGAACTCTGGTTTGGTTCCTCCCAACCCTACCGTTCTTCATTCCATTACCATCAAAATTCTGGGGAGACAAATAACCACCATCATTCCCGTCGCAACAATGGCTCCGCCGCCCACCTGAACAGCCGCACACTGATTTCATCAACTATTCCTGCCAACGGTCTCTCTGCCCTACTCCTCGAAGAGCGTGCTTTACGTACACGCAAGCAGAATATTGCCTCCTTCGGGTATTCGTGGATCAAGCCTGCAGGATGTACGAAGACCATGCTGGGCATGAAGGAAGAGGAGGCGGAGAGAGAAGAAGCTATGGCTGCTGCCGCTGCAGAGATGGCGGCCACTGCTGCTGATCCCAGCTTCATGGATGGTCCACAGATGGATATGGATGGCCAAAATGATCAGATTATGGAAAGGGATTTGGACGACTATATTCCTGAAGCGGATGGTGAAGGTCTAGTGGAGGAAGGGGAAGAAGGTCTAGAAGAGGATTACGATGAGGATGACGAGGATGGCTTCATGGACCGGGATCTAGACGACGATATCCCCGAAGGGTTTCAAGATGATGATGAGAACGATGAATCGATTGCGGATGATGGTTTCGATGATCAACCAGATCTGGATGACGATATCCCTGAGGCGGACGATAATGATGAAGATGAAGATGAAGATGATGATGATGATGATGACGATGGCGACGATGGTATGGCCCGCGACTTAGACGAAGACATCCCCGAAGCAGCTGAGGCGGCATCCGAAGAAGACGAATGGCAACACACAGACACCGATGCCGAAATCGATGATGATGGCAACGAGCAAGACCTTTCTCCGCGTGATATATTCGCTGAGAATCTCAGAGCTAGTACGTCCAGTAGCGTTGGCCTCCCACAGCTACCATCTCAACTCCAAACACGAAGGAACCAAAATTCTCGAGCGCATCGGCCATTTCTGCCCCGTTGGAGTGGCAGCAGTGTCACCGATGCTTTCAGCTCCAGCGGCATGATGCTAGATGAAGAAGATCTCCGCGCGTCTATCACCAGCATCGGCAGCCGCCAGAGTATCTTCAGCAGGAGATTCCCTCGACGATTCGGGGGTCCCAGGGACAGTTTAGAATAAAGGTACTTCACACACTAAAAGGGACTTCTTTTGGCTCTTATGGAGATGACGTCATGTGATTTTGTATAATACAAGTTTTCGCCCAAAACAAAAGGAACAGGGTGGAATCGGCGCTCTTTGATTTTGCTTTTGCATTGCTTTTATATTATGTTGCAGTTCAAGATCAGCATTCAGGGCGTCTCACTTTGTTTATGTCTGGTACTGAATTCTGCTTTAAACGTATCCTCAATGTTGGTATGAGAAAAGGAATTCGAATTCGTACCTTGGATTGACGTGGAACGATTTGACCTATATTGAGTTGAGTTAATATGGTATAGAATTCCTTTTATACCCAATAGCTACTATCGTATATATCCACATACCTCTCTCTGCATGCATTTGAGTATACCTAAGTCGCTTCTATTGAAACCTTGCATTCCTGGATGGATATTCATACTCTGCAAATAAAAACAGAGGACTACCATTTACACTTACCGGACTAGAGATACATTTATTGCTATAAGTATCAACTTCCACCAGGACTGATCAAATCGTGTTATAACACAATATACAAGGGACAATTCTGTAACAGGTATGCAATTATAAAGTATCTATGTAGTATATAGGCAGAAGAGACGAAACATCAATTCTATACCCATACTTCTCATCCATTGTAAGCATGCAGAGCTCAGGTCTCATACCCGAGTGCCCATTTTTCAGGAAATGAACCCAATGAAAAGAGAACCAAGACCAGTAAAGCAAGCAAGCAAGCAAACACCGCAACCCCGAGAACTGCGCTGTAGAAAGACATGTGCCGATGGATTATTGATACAGCGCCAAGGATTATTAGTAGTGAGGTAGTAGTGTGACCTTCGTAGTGTCATAAGGCATGACTAGAGTAGGTTAAACCGACTCTCTTGAATGAGACAAGTAGCCCAGTAGGAGAGGTATAAAGACGGAAGGCAGCATGGGGATCATCGTGCCCAAGTTTGGAGTTGCAAAACAAAGAGGTAACCTTCCTCTCTCTCTTTCTCTCTCTCTCTCTCTCTCTCTCTCTCTCTCTCTCTCTCTCTCAACTCAACCACACATATACGAAGAGGAAGAAGACAGCAGTAAAGAAGCCCAGCCATACTCGCCAGCCAACGCCCGTGCGTTCGGCCATGCGAAGCATGCGGTTCATGGTGCCGCGCACACGCACACGAGTGTTGTCGAAGGTATCATTCAGTCCCTGGTTCCGCGTCAGTCACCGGACCCTGGTCAAACGAAAGGAATAACGCCTACTTCTGCCAGTCTTGTGGAGTCTCTGATTTCATCTCCAATAGCAAGGGTAATCTATAGAATATGGACTGTAGTCAGCAAAATGTTCAAAGGGGAAATATCCCAAGTCCAAAAAAATAGTGTGAGTACCTCTTTTAATGCTCGAACTTTCGCTGAAATCCCTTCGACCTCAGCATCATTCTGGGACTCAAGAGAAGATAGAACGGCATCCGAATATTGTCCTCTACCATCAGAGAGCATTAATATTTGTCGCGACAACAGCTTCCAAAACTCGCCTCAGGCGGAAAGTGAAAACTACATACTTCGAATTAGGCGTAGCAGTTCTGTACCCAGCGCCTGTACCTCTACCATTTACGTATCCATCACTTCCTGACCCAGGATACCCTCCGTACCCCCCAACACGAGCAGGCGATCGGCTGGTCGGCCGTGAATCGCCGGTGTAGGATTCGAATAAAGAAGAGGCGGCACGAGGATCGCGTTGGTGAAGCGTTGAGCGAGGGAATCTGCCCGATATAGAATGACCAGACAATATAGATATTAGTCTATGCGTAAACCGCGGGAGCGACCAAGTCTAAACGAGAGAAAAAAGTCCAGGTTCTAATTACCGTGAGGCCATGGCAGTAATAGCTTCGAGGTAAGACTTCGAAGAGGGAGCTAGCTAGTTCATGGACATGCTTCCGGTCTTGTACAGGGATGCGAATAAAAAAAAGGGGAAAGGGGTTAGTTGATGCTCTTAGAGACGAGTCGATATATTCTTAGGCGACTTGTTCACGAAGTCCGAGTCGTAATCATTAAGTTGCTTCAAGCCCGGTACCTGCATGGGCGTTGCACGTGACGGAAGGCGAACGCGCATCGCGGTAACTTGTCGCATACAGAATAAAACGCATTTGCGACGCTACGGAAATGTCAAGGCATACAAGTCATCGAGGGCTGTCTGGACGTCTTTACTCTAGTCCGTCTTGACGATGGCCATTGCGCTTTACAGTCCGCAGCCAGGACAGACGAACCAGCGAGTATCTTGTTAACCATTAAAGGTAAATAAATCCAAGGCATATGTCTAGAATAATCACGAGGTATTATTCTTTGAGAAAAGAGTAAAGGGTTTTATTGACCGATAGTCATTCCTGTCATTTAATGCGCCATCATCGAGCAAATAAAAAAAAGAAAAAGTGAAAGATCATGATAATAAGGAAAAAACATCACCATCACCTGGCGCCTTTGACTGAGCCTTTCCAGTTAACAAATGTCCGACCCACTTTATCCGAATGATTTGTAGATAGTGAAAAAAAGTAAAGAGAAAGGGAAGAAAAGTAAAGTTATGTAAAAGACGCCATGCATGGACACTTTTTAGTCGCGCATTTCACCGTCTTCATCAGCGGCGAAGTCCTCATCATCTTCGTCGTCTTCCATCTCATCATCTCCAGCTTCCCTAGACTTCTCGGCTGCCTCGGCAAAGTCTATCTGCTTGCCACGAGTGCGTCGTCCGCCCTGGATGATATTATCAGCGGAGATCGGCTCGAGATTGTCGTGGTCTTCGTCATCATCATCTTCTAATAAAACGAAAAGAAGTCAGTACCAGCTCGAGCACCAATTATGGCATTCAGGTTCGCAATAGGATTTAGGAGGAAGATGGCAGGTGGCCGCCGCATAAAGCATGGAAAGAGGAAAACTATTTACCTTCGGGGATCTGAGCAAGTTCACGAGTAACGTCAGCACTTTTTCCCACTTGGAATACTAAACTGAGAGCGATCGGTGTAGACATACGATATCCTCAGGCCCACTGCCTTCATCACTTTCATCTTCGCTCAAATCCTGAGGCGCAGGCTCTTCAACGGCCTTGGCCTTTCCCTTGCCCTTCTCCGCAGCCGCAGCGTCAGGAGCATTAGCGGCTGGGTCATCCTGCAGAACAGTCTTGTCGTTGTCACCCATTGCGGTGAGTGAGAAGAGCGGCGAAGTAACGGAAACCGGTATGGTAAAAAGAAGACAGAGCAATGAAAGATTGACGGGACTGTGGCTGGAGATGGGTGGGAGGGATGACAAGAAGTGGAAAGCAAAGAGAAGAGAAATTTGACTATGCAAAACAATAGAAGCTGCGCCTGGTTGCTGGGAAGGAAAGTAACGCCTCGCAAGATTCACTCGCGATCGCCGCAAGTGCGGAGCCCGATTGCGAGCTCTCATTGGTCAGATAATTCCAGCATGCCAGAGCTCCCGTGACATGTCAAACTCTGTCTGATTTCGCCCAAACGGGTAATCAGGGTAAATCTAGGGCTACTGCAGTCGGCCTGGAGGAGCTGGCATTTGGACAAGAGATTCAGTGACTCAGAATTTAATGGAAGAAGGGAGAAAGAAAGAGCGCTTTTTGAGCCAGTCTAAGACCCGAACATTTCTAGTATTAGTTCATCAACGGGTGATTTGCAGATGAAAGAAGCTCCTCCGTAGACAGTTGAACGTTAACATATCAGGAACAGAAAACCAAATAACCGACCCCTACGGTAACCTTCGGGGTCGCGCGTATTGCGCGACCCTGACAACCACCCGAGCACCCCAGCCACCCGAGCACCAATTTTAGACCCCCCTTCTAGCTTCAATATCTCAACGAATTCTATAGTATTTAACTTCAAAATATATTTAAACTAAAGCTCTACTCTTCAGCTTGGGCCCTAGCATGTCGTTGCCTTCGTATAATAATTCCTCGTCGAATGCATACATCCAGCAGCTCTGGTAGGCAACGCTTATACTTAGTCCTCCACCTCTTTATTTCAGCCTGCTCATTAATATTCGCAGTATTTCGATTTATAGCTTCAAGCTCTGAGCTTGATACTATGCCTCCCTTGCGAATCCTGCGCCTAGAGGCCTGTGATCAAGCTGCGCGGTCCCTAGCAGCTTTAATATACCGGTCAAGCTCAGCTTCGATAGCAGCTGAATATGATGCTAGCATACTACCACCATGAATAAGCAGCTCTAGGCCCTCATTAAATTGATCCTTGTTGATATCATGAATCTCCCATATCCTATCACCAATCTCCCTAAATCATTCAGCTTTTTTTTGGCGTACTGCCCCAGGAATCAACATCATTGGTATTGGTGGATGAAGAGGATGGATGATGTGGTTGAGGCATTTGATTGAGTACAATTGATGGATTGAATGGTATGATGCCAGTCTTTTGGAATCCATGCCGAATAGTACGCTTTTTGAATGTCTTCTTGCGAATTGCCCCTAAGGCATGAAGGAATTCAACCTTAGTAAATTTACTGTATTCTGAGTAGGTTGCATCTGCAACTGCTTCTGAATGCCAGTGCTTATATGCATGAAAAACACCAACATCCAATGGCTGCAAGAAATGACTTGTATATGGAGGTAAGAAGAAGGTGATGATATTGGTCTTCTCACAGAATTCAACAAATTCATGTGTTAGATGGGAGCCGTATCCATCACATATAAGAAGGGTATATTGACCCTTCCTATATCTTTTAGTATGCCGATAGAATGACTGAATCCATTGGAAGGCAATTGTATCAGTCATATAACCATTTTCTGATACTCCAATTGAATAGTCTTGTTGAATATCAGCAGCTTCAAACCAATTTGTAAGTATACAGCTACCACTCATGAGAATAAGTGGTGGGCAGGTCCAGCCATCTGCATTGACTGCTTCAACCACAGTAACATATTCACGGTTTGAATTCATCCCAATATGAGGCTTATTAATATTGAAGTCCCTGGTAATAATCCATTGATCACGACCAACACCGATATTGAAGCCAGTCTCATCAAAATTGTAGATATCCTCCTTTAATATCCCATGGTTCTGGATGGTCTGATGGAGCTTCTGAAACCACTCCTGAATAACCTCACGATCCTCTGCACGCTTGCGGTCAAGCTCTATAGCTCTAGAGCGACGTCTTTTATATTCAGGATGCCTTCCTAGCCATCGGTTTAACCATTTCTCGCTGACAGTAGGTGGAGGGGTGTCTAGGCTGGTATGGGTTGATTTCAGAATAGAATTGGCACTTGATTGGATCATTTGTGCAAGTGGCTTTATATTTAATTGCTCTAGAGTATCAACATAGTGACACAGAGCCTTTTCTTGCTCTTCTGATAATCTGGTGTTGGTTGGTGGTCGTTCACATAGATTGGACCGTCCCTTCCACCTTGCGGAGAGGGTTTGCCGTTTAACTCCATATTCACGTGCAGTTTTGGCGATATTTGGGGGATTTTGTGTGCTTAACGCGTCAATAGCTTTGAGCATTCGATCTTCATAATTTTTATTGAATTTGGGCATGGTGGTGGTGGTTGAATTATATGATAAAGTTGATGGGTTGGAATTCTACGAAGTTCTAAAATCGGTGCTCGGGTGGCTGGGGTGCTCGGGTGGTTGTCAGGGTCGCGCAATACGCGCGACCCCGAAGGTTACCGTAGGGGTCGGTTAGCACCCATAGTGACATCGCAGGGACGAGAAGTACATGGTTACATTTGGACCTTTGAATTGACATTTTTGTTACCTAACTGCGAGACTGTATGTATGCGCGACCCCGACGGTTACCGTAGGGGTCGGTTAGCACCCATAGTGACATCGCAGGGACGAGAAGTACATGGTTACATTTGGACCTTTGAATTGACATTTTTGTTACCTAACTGCGAGACTGTATGTATGCATGCATGTGTTAGCGAGGCACAGACCGCGCTGCACATAAAAAGGCACTATTTTGCTCTCGAACCCATGGACTGAACAAACCCATTTAACCGGGTGCTTACGCCACGACTATAGCTGTATGATTGACACAAAACCGACTGATATCGTCTCGAAAATGGTGAAGATCAGCATAAATCCCATCTTGAAACGGACATTCCCTCTATCAGTGCTGCTGGCGCCGCTCCTCGCAGCCTGTCTTGGGGCTTCAAACCTAGCTCAGATCGCTGTTGCCGCTGCAACATCGGCGGAGTCAAGTGCTGCGTCTGATTCCTTAGATTCATGGCTGGCCAGAGAGACTCCATATGCCCTTGATGGAATTTTAAATAACATCGGCCCAGACGGCGCGAAGGCTGTGGGTGCAGTCTCTGGCGTGGTGGTTGCGAGTCCGAGCAAGAGTAATCCGGATTGTGAGTATTCTCGTATTTCCAGCCCCCAACGTCAAGTGCATCTATAGCAAAGAAAGAAAAAGCTCATGCTAATGGATGTATCTGTATATATTTCTACACTTGGACTCGTGACGCTGCTCTGACTGTTAAATGTCTGACCGACCTCTTCCTGGTCAATGGTGACGTGAATCTGCAGTCGCAGATCCAGAACTACATCAGCCGCCAGGCATATTTGCAGACCGTATCCAATCCATCTGGTGACCTGTCGACTGGGGGACTTGGTGAGCCCAAATTCGAGGTTGATGGCGCTGCATTTACCGGTTCCTGGGGCCGTCCTCAACGAGATGGGCCTGCGTTGAGGGCTACGGCTCTGATTGCTTATGCCAATTGGCTCATTGTAGGTGTTTGCATGTTGGATTTTCTTTTCTTTCTAATATAATCTTCTCTTGTTGTTACTTGCTAACTTCCATCTACAGAGCAATGGACAGACCTCGACGGCGGAGTCCATTGTTTGGCCGGTTGTCCAGAATGACCTTTCATATGTGATGCAGTATTGGAATTCATCTACCTTTGGTTTGTCGAGGCCTCTAAAATGGGACAAGCATTCTCAGCTAACGTATGGAAACTTCATGCAGACCTCTGGGAGGAAGTCTACGGCTCATCGTTTTTTACCACGGCCGTGCAGCATCGTGCCCTAGTCGAAGGTGCGGCTTTCGCCAAAAAGCTTGGCCACTCTTGTCCCGACTGTCTCTCCCAGGCATCGCAGATCCTCTGCTTTTTGCAGTCGTACTGGACCGGTGCTTACGTGCTCTCTAACTTTGGTGGTGGCCGCTCAGGGAAGGACGCCAACTCGATCCTCGGAGTTCTGCATACTTTCGACCCCGATGCAGACTGCGATGATACCACTTTCCAGCCTTGTTCTGCCCGGGCGCTTGCGAACCATAAAGTAGTTACGGACTCTTTCCGGTCCATCTACTCTCTCAACTCGGGTATTGCCCAGGGTCAAGCCGTGGCTGTGGGACGGTATCCCGAGGACGTCTACCAGGGAGGCAATCCATGGTATCTCTGTACTTTGGCTGCGGCGGAGCAGCTCTACGACGCGCTGTATCAATGGGATCGAATCGGGTCCTTGTCTATAACGGACGTCAGTCTGGGATTCTTCCAGGACCTGTACCCGTCCGCTGCAGTAGGTGACTATGCGTCTTCCACGGAGACATACAGAGATATCATGGCAGCTGTGAAGGCCTATGCGAATGGATATATGGATATTGCTGTAAGGAGAGCTCCTTTCCATCTTTTCCTTGTCCCATGCTGAAATAGTGCTACAGAGAAAGTACACACCTGCCAACGGCGCTCTAGCAGAGCAGTTTTCTAGAGACGATGGTTCCCCAGTCTCAGCGGTCGATCTGACCTGGTCGTATGCCTCTCTTCTCACGGCAGCAGCCAGACGAGGCTCCCAGATGCCGCCATCGTGGAACGAATCTTCTTCCAACAAGCCTCCATCGACTTGCTCAGCATCCTCTGCGACGGGGCCCTATGCCTCGGCTACCAACACCGTCTGGCCCACAGCGTCGTCACGCCCCTATGGCACGGGACGGTGAGTCTCCCGACCAAAACGAGCTTCGAGTATAAGTATGTGGTGCAGAAGGAGTCTGGGGAAGTGGACTGGGAGGGCGGAGAGAATCGGTCGTACACAGTGCCAGAGGGATGCGAGGGCTCTTCAGTGACCGTCAACGACAGCTGGAAGTAGATAGTAGACGGTAGGCATAGGCGTACGTGCAGATTCCTGCCATGCCACTTGGAAGCCAGGGAGAAGGCCAAGAGCACCTCATCCTATGCAACCATCACTCGCATCGCGCAGGACGCATTAGCACGGTTTGAACAGATGAGCAATTAGCAGTGTATCACATAGAGTATCTTTGAATAACATGCATATACGCGGACGATACGTGCAGTGCCAGCTGGAAGCCTCTCCGGTCCTTCATTTCCAATGGCTGCTTGCGACCTCAGCATCC